TGTTTAGACCGGGTTTAGCTCAGAGGACGTCTGCACCGTTTCTCGGTTGGGCTGTTTGACTGTTTCTGTCTAGTTCTGCTCGCGGGGACTTGACAGGACGGAACCCCACGATGGCTCCCTTCCCCTTCACCACCGCCAATCCCATATCCCAAATCCCAGATCCTCAATCCCAAATCCCTATTCCCACCAGACGGGGACCTCGTGATCCCATTGTCTCACACCGCTGCATTGCAACTAAACCTTTCCATGACTGCCTCGGAGGATCGGTCTATACAGCCGTGTCGAGGTGCAGCTCTCTCTCTCTCATTTGACAAGATTGGACTACGCACGTACCACATGCAGCTCATGCACGAATTTCCCAGTTTATCCCCTTTAATTAATATACTGGCGAAGTTTTTTCTATTTGCGCTCTCCTTTCTGCAAACCCCTGGTCCCTTGCCTGGCTCACCCTGGGGCCTGACAGCCGGGCGGATCGCCTCGTCTTGTCTCGCATCATCCAAGTTCGCTAATAAGCGTCCATAACATGCGCAGACAGGTAGATATAAGGTTGGCCCCGTCCCAATGTAAAGTTTCCGTTCCTCTTTTTCAACGACATCATCGTCCATCTCATCATCAAACCATACAACCTCCTACAAATTTGAAGTCATCCCTTCATCTCCCTTCGTCTCCCTTCACATACCTTCAGCCTGCCTGACTCTTGCCACAACACACAAGTGTCTGTTAGGACTCAACCCACGTTGCATACCTACCTGACTACTCGCAATTCTCTCAAATATTCCCGGCTTTCTCGTCCCACCTGCATATCTGTTGTCACAATGGCTGTCAAGGAGCACCAACCACTAGTCGACATGTGCTGCACATATTGCTGCAAGTCAGTCGACTTCGGCACCCACGACTACTGCGGATACAACTACGCCTGCCCTCGGTGTCCCAACTAGGATGCCGGTACTCACCTAGGTTGGCTGCAAGCCTCAGGACAGCTCTAGAACGCCGTCTGAGCTGCCACTGACGGCCACCGTCTGAGACAGTGCAGCTTCACCCGCGCCACCACCACACTTCACTCGTTGATTTCCGACTTGAAACCATTAGAAGACGCAGTCATCCTTTCTTCAGCTGTGACTAGTGTTCCACAGACTCCAGAGAGGACCACTCCAAACCACACACAGAGAGAAACGCAAGGACCGAGACTCCTCTTCTTCCACATCGGCGTGAGTTGTGTCTCTGGTCTCAATGGTCCTCGTCCGTCTGCATCGGGCCCCCTCTGCAAGGCTGACGATGATACGTCCATGGATCTATCTTGGCGCCTCTGCCCGGACGTGCCCTGATTTGGTACCCAGTGTACACAAGGCACCCATGCGGCATGTCTGCATGTACTGCACGGCGCTCCATCACGACGAACACCCCATCATCGCCCTTGACCGCCTCAACCACCCTCCACTTTCCGGGCCACGGTTCGCGTCGCTCGCTCACAGCATGCCTTCCCCATTGGCTGTATCGTCACTCGTTGCTGCTGCATACCAAGCTGTCACATTCAGTCGCTGATTTGTATTTTCCTTGCACGTGGACGGACGAACGGGCGGCAGATCAACCAACAAACCTTAGAAGAAGGCCGTCCCGGACTTTTCGCTTATGGGGGGATTAGCACAGGGGGAGATGGCACCGCATGGGGGGAACGGCACGCACATGTGGACTGATGATGACGGGGTCCTGCAGGAGCATCGGATTCGGGGTTAGGTGGGGCTCTGGCTTGTTGCTAGCAACTATGTCCTGACTGTTCTCTTATGCCTTCCACATAGGAGGGAAGACTGGGAGTTGGAGAATACCATCGAGATCATCGTCTTCATCAACTCCGGACGGAGGCATTTTCCGGTATTTCACGCATATCACAGATCCAGACATCTGTAGACCGCCACCCGGGCACACATAATAACAAAGAACAAATAATTGGCAAGACTACCAACGTTACCTAGCTTTCTCACTTGCCTCTTACATGTATGCCACGCCTGCCAGTTTATGCTACGCTTGCCTGTGATGCCACGCTTACTCGCTTGATGACGGGATCCCCCATTGCGTGCTATAGGTCCAAGGTCGGTCTGGTATGGGGAGAGATTATCTGCCTAGGTTACAGTACCTATTTAGCTAGCCGGCATTCCTCATGCAAGTCCACAACCCCGTTCCGAATGACGCGCAAGCAACAAGGGCCGAAGAATATCATCGATCGTGATCTCAACTGCATACCTACTTGAGGTAGGCAACCGAGCAAAGAAAACGCCCAAGCCTGCCTGCCTGTCAGCTAGCTAGCCGGGTCGATGACCATTGGAGCATACCTATGTACACTCTTCCGCTAGCTACCAGCAAGGCTGCAACGTCGGGTCCGCCGCACCGCACTCAGCATCTATCTCCCTCTCCTCCTGACTGACAGGGTAGGGCTGCGCTGCGCTGCGCTGCGCTGCGCTGACTCGACGCCCTGCTTGTATGTACTAGGTTACGTGAGTTACACGTACGTCCGTAAGTTCCATATGGAAGAGTAGAGCGAGCGTATGCAGTCCAGTTAGTCTGACACGCGTCGAATCACCACCCTCAACTACCTTATGATTGATGTATTGGGTTCGTTGCGTCAAACGTCGCCCTGCTGCTGCTGTGCAACTCCTCCGCGAATGACTGCCTCCTGCGGCAGGTTAACCGTTGCAGTCTTCTCCTATCTATCTATCCCACGCCACGCCGCCCCGCCCCGCGCCACTCCCCGTCCTGCCCTACCATGCCCAGCCTGCAGGACCCCCGTCGACCGTGCCAAATGGACGGAGGTGCGAGGCAGAGGGAGGGTCCTGCCAGTTAGTTCCCTTGGAGCAATGTTCCCAGAAGCGGGATATCATATTATATAGGGCTATATCAAATATCGTACCTCCCAACGTCGCCACTCCGTCAGGATTCGACGCCGCGGCGCTGATCAGGGGGCCAGAAGACCGGGATGACGCGAGCTGCATGATATATCTCACGCCATCACATCCCATCAAAGCGGAGACAATCTGGACAGAGAGGACCGTATTCCGTCCTACGTGCGCCCCTAACTACTGATGGAGCATGAAGAACTGCATATTACTTTTCCTCCAGCTGGAGTCCGGCGGAGATCCGAGACATTAAGCTACCGATAAAAAAATCCATACGATTTCGTATGGGGGTTCCCCTCAGCTGCCTGTGTTGATACGGCGCCGGCCGATCTCCGGTAGTTCCGACTGAAGACAGAAAACCCCAGAATCTGAGAGACATAACCAGGCGACGGAAACCGACAGGCAGGCAGGCAGGCAGGCAGGCAGGCAGCATCCGGACGCGATGCCGAGCCCGAAGCTGGGACGCTGGGAGTAAGCAGCCGAAGCTAATGTGATGCAACCGGTCCATCCATCATTCGGCTGACCATCCGAGCAAGCGAGCCCAGAAAGCGGAAGCGAACCAGACAAAATGAATCCGCATCACGCCCCTGGGTAGGTGAGTAGCATCGACGGCACAAACGTCCCTACGAGAACCAGTGCCCTCCAACCAGCAGCACGTCCAGACCGACAGCCCGCAGGGCACTCCATCCGAGAGGACTTGCGTCCGTCCACTTCCACTGGCTTCTCGTACCTCGCAGCTCGCCCCGTCATGTGCCAGTCCAGTTCTGGATACGATTCGTGCTTCGGCCGCATATGGCAGGTGTCATCTCATCGGGGACAGACCTTCTCGTAGCAGCATGCAGGTGCTCAACAGACCCCGACAGCAAAAAACAGAGCGATGAACATTCCTGAATCGGGCGTGCACTGTCCCGTTTTGGGTGCAGCATTGGCGCTGCAGTCGTATGGTATTGTATGTATGTAGGTCTACATAGGGCATGTAGTTGTGGGCCTGCTGCCGGGGTTCCTGTAGGTCTCGGCGGGCTGTCAGACATGCATCACGCATGCTGCAGGCGCACCTCGTACGGACGAACTGGACCGGCGGTACTGGCCTGCATGTGGCCCATTGGTGCCCAGGTGATTTGTCTTTGGTCTTCGCTGATCTTCCCTGCACGCAATGTCCTGCAAAGAAGACAAATCCCAACTATAGCCGACGTATGTGGGCGGAGACAGGGGCATGACAGCTGCGTCGGTACCAAAGAGCGACACTTGCCAGCAGCCGGTTCAAGGTGAGTGCGGGTGCCCCAGTAGACGGACCTGAGAGGCAGTGAGACATCGGGGTACAGAGCTGTTTCGGTCATATGCATGGGCACACGGAAATGGCGAATGATCGGTCATCTGGAACGAAAGGTTCGAAAGAGCATGGTGCAGAATACGAGCAAAAAGTGTGGTCGGGAGAAAGCACACAGTAATTGCCAAGGCCCAGCAAAGATCTCGCGCAACCCGAATGGATGCCGGAGAATAAGGCAAGACAGAGTTAAGCACGGCCTATCTAACGGACCTGTACCGCAATGATGCAAGTACTCCTTAAGTCTGGGTGGTGATACGTTGTCTGCTCTCACTGGGAGAGGCCTTTGGAGCTCAGCTTGGATCAGCAATGCCTGTGCTGTTCAGAAGCCCGCCTATGCACCGTCACATATCACTTATTGATATTTCATGACTTCGTAAGCGAGAAGCTGACCCGTGATCATGACAGCGACAGACGCATTCGAACTTTTTGCTGTAAGCGATGTCTGCGTGGGGATTACATGACAGCCTTCGTGAATCATTCCTTGATTCGGAAACGCTGTCTCACTGAACCCCCACTGACGTCCGACTTGGCTCTCACACCTCAGCAATGGCCAGCAATGGCCAGCAATGGCTTTGCCGCTCCGGGAAATGCGCGAGTGCTTCGGGTTGGTTCCAGCCGACCATAGCAGGTCTTGGTACTCAAGCAGTGGATGTTCTGATGACCGTCACGAATGGCGTGGTGTCAGTCCGAGCCTTTGCGAGGGTTGGTAACGAAGGTGGGATCGTCCATGGTATCGGGGTCGATGCCGTGGTCCACGACTCTGTCGGATGCTACCAACAAGGTCATCAATACAGAGACAGGAAGACGGCAGCAATAGACGACTTGTCGTATTTGACGTATTTGCCCCTGCCCTTGTCTATCTCATGATACCGGTCCCAGAAACGGTTGTAGAGAGGCTCGAGCATTTGCTGCATGTCCTTCGCAAACATTTGTCTGACTTCGCGTTCCATGCTGTATGTCTTGTGTCGAGCCACAAGAGCGTCGAATTCCGTGTTGAAGGTCAGGAATTTGGCCTTGATGCTGTCCTTGTCCTTGGTGCTGAGCCCCTTGAGAATCGAGGCGGACTCATTCGAACCTGAAGGCGGTCGCTGCGATTTGTTCGTTTTTATCACGTCGAACAGATGCATCGACACGTCTCTGCAAGACTCGGTGTAGAAGGCTTTCGCTTTCTTGCGCCATGCGTCCATTGAAGCCAGTCTGCCTTCCAGAAGCGGCTTGAGGTCGGAATTCGTGATCATGCGTTCGACGATGGTGACGTTGTTGGCGAGGAAGACCCCAAGGACCGACTTGGCCTTGAGGAGGACCCTTGCCTTCCCCTCGAGTGCCACCATCAGCGAGTCAATGGTGTCGGTACAGTAGTGTGCGAAGATCTCCTTCCCATCTGCACCGACATCGAACGATGCTAAGCTCGGAATTGCGTCCATACTGATGTTCGCTGCCGACTTCCAGCCACCGTCGCCCAGCGATATCATAATACTCGATATTGGTCGCAGGAAATCAACCATGGTTTGCAAACGTCGCATTGTGTCTGAAACCACAGGCATTGGAGATCCGTCTGGTGGGAGAACTTGTATCGACGCCACCTTTCGCTTCGTGTCGTCAAGCAGCTCGCCCAATGATAATTTGCCGGTCTCACGCACTGGTTTGAGTGCGGCGGCCAGCGAAGACTTGAGCTCGCCCGTTCGGGTCTCGATGTTGTTGGACAGATTAGACATTACTTCCGTTACCTCGTATGCAAGATAACAGTCCGTATTAAGATGTTGCTTGATGTGGTTGTTCAGCTCCCTGATGGTTCGCGCCAGCTCAGCTAGCGGAGCCTGGCAAACGATCTGGAAAGCCGGCCCCCAATCTTGCCGCATGAAGATACTGCAGATGTTGTCATACTCGGCCACGAATAGACCCTCCATAGACTTGGCATACATACTAATGCCGTTATCTCCCGCCCGGTAGATGGCATCAGCGCTCTTCTTCTTGACCGTATTGACGCTTGCGTAAGCCGAGTTCACCAAGCTCTGCGATAAGTAGGGTCCTCGGACATCTGCATATATCTTGATCAAGGGGTTTTCGGAAGAAGTGTTGCCAGAGACGTAGGAATTCATCAGGCTCAGCTTGGTTATACTGTCCTGGGTCACTAGAGGAAATGGCTTGTCCTTTGTAATGAAGCTCAGCGGTTCGATGGATCGTGGCGTCTCGCCTCGCAGCAGCTTGTCGAAGGAGTTTTCGAGTTGGGTGTGTCCGGTCTTGATCATTCGCTGAAGGTCTGTCATGGTCTGCTGATTCGAGCGCAGATTTGAAGTCTTCATATTCTCGAGAGCCTTGTTGAGCCTTTTGATGGAGTTGAGGTAGTTGGACAACCCGGCCTTCTCAGGACCCTGTCGGATGATGTTCTCTTCATCGTTCTTGGAGTCGGCAGGCTGACGGAGTCGCTCGATGGCCGCTATTACCCCATCGATGTCTAGTAAGGTCGCGACGTCAGCATCAGTGGCTCCAAAGTCGGGCTTGTCGGTGTTCTTACTGTTCCCCAGGATTTGTAGCTTCTTTGTCTCGCCGGTAAGGGGACCCGACACGTCGCGCACACTCTTCCCAGTGGTTTCCAACCTCCCCAGACAGGCTTGAATCTTCTTGGTCAATTGCGTCGTCTTTTCCAATCGCGAATTCAATACATCGACCTCGGCACGGGCCTCCTCGTCCGCGGCGTGACGACTATTGCTCATTCCGACAGCCATGTTCCCTTCGCCGGCGCGCAAGAGGCCGTAGTAGGAGTACGCGCCAGACAGATGAAGGAGGGGCGCGGTTCGTCTCTTGGCCGTTATATGGCTCGCGATCATTCCGGATGCATGGGCGTCTTGCGAAAGGTGAGTCACGGTCATGAGTATCGCGAGGTTGACAGTAGGATAGTTGTCGCAATGTCAGGGAACAAGCTGTGATGTTGAGTTGGGAACTAGGTTGGGGAATGATGAATGGGGTGCGGCTCCGCTGCAGGCCCGGGGTAACACTTCGGCTCATTCCGCGCCCCGGTTCTCGGGACGCTAGAGCCACCCCCATTAATGATTCTAGGGAGTATCTGGAACGTGAAGTAAACGTGAACCAGATCTCTGTAGGCGAGATACCTTATCTTCATTCTTTTGAATACGTGTACAGACCCTGGGACCTAAGCGAAGCACATGTGTTGTACAAGTAGACCCACCACCTACTACCCTTACCTACTACCCTTACCTACTTAGGTACCATAGAGTGCCAAGGTCAGGTACTAGACACTATCATACGTTTTCTTCAATCCACTCATCGAGCCGGTCGACGAGGTCCTTCTTCAGGCCCTTGGTGTCGATGCCACGCTCGCCCATGATGGCCTTGAGCTCGGCAACCGTCAGTTTTTTCAAGGTGTCCGCAGCGCTTCTCTTGGACAGCTCAGCGTCGCTCACACCACCTGCAGCTGCCTTCGAGCTCGGCTTGGCTGCCGGCGCTCTCGCTTTCTTCGCTGGCCGAGGTTCATCGTCATCATCCTCATCATCGTTATCCAAGTCTCGCTTGATCGCCTTTTGCTCTTGCACCTTGCCTAATGCGTCGTCGGCTTCCTGGGCCCACTCCTCTATGTACCCACCGCACCGCTTGTGAATGGCACGGTACTTGGGAACAGTCAGGTCAACTGGCTGCTCCGGAACTTCCTCCTCCAATGCAAGAGCTTGTAAAATCCTGTAGTGCCACTGGAGAGCCGGGTTGGGATACTTTGAAGGATCGTACGTGGCAGCCGGAAGTTGCAGCTGTCGGACAATAGTGTTCATCTTGTCGGTCAGTTCGTCTGTGGTACGCATGATTCCGGGTTTCTCGGGACCTTCACGCACGTCGTCGGCAAACGGGATGGGGTAGAGCCACAAGCCAGCGGGCATAAACGGCGTGCCTGACTTTTCATCGGAAGGAGACCTTGAGGGTATGATAGCCACGAGCTGGGGATTGCCGTTCTTCCGAGCAATGTGCCACGCAATGCCTACTTTGTTGGATTTCAGCAGCTTCTGCCACAGGGCTGTGAAGACACGCGTGGACCCGACGTAGCCAACTTCGCTGGGGAAGATGTAGATGGACTTCTTGACCGACTGCCAGATCTTCAACTGGGGCCGATCCTTGAAGCCGATGATTCGGATAACGGGCCCGCCAAACTGTTTAACAGACTTCTGCTCCTCTTCGGTGAAGTGGACGAATTCCCCACCAAATTTGTAGGCCTTCTTCACCTCTACTTTTTCCACCGATCTGGCGCTGTCCGCGGCAAGATGAGCGCTCTCACCCACAGCAATCTGAGCCTTCTCACCCTCAAGCCAAACGTAGCAGCTTCTTGCAGCCGCCTGCTTTTGTATGATGTTGAACCCCTTGACAGAAATGGTAAATCCTGGCCCAATCTCAAATGCCATATTACTGAAATACGCCCTTTTCGGTGTCTGTCTGGAGCTGATGTTGGAGACCAACGAGTTGAGCAAGGTCATACCATCACCCGACTTGGATGCCGTGATTCTTCCGGGAGTTATCTCATCGGCAACCGGATCACGATAGATCATATCCTGTTACCGTTGGTCAACGAAATCAAGATTGACAAAGCTGACGTATACCTACATCGTAGAACTTGCCAAAGTCAAACTTTTCATCTCCACGTGTGATTGGGAAAACATCAACCTTGACTCCAAGGTCGTAGAGGTCCTTGGCGCGCGTCAGCGCGTGATCTCTGGTCTTCTTGTCGTTATCAGAAAAAGGCTGATCATTATCCGTGATGATGAAGAGCCTCTTCGATCCAAAGTTGGGCGCCTTGGTGGTGAAGAGGGTGTTTGCTAGGCTAAGGATGTTGTAAAGGCTGCCCTCCTTCTCCGAAGGTACCAAGATCTCATCAGCGTCGTCACCATCCTCGACAAAGCTCTTCAAGGCCTTCACGTCTTCAGCTGCAGGGACATCGAGATCGGTATAGACGTAGCAATTGGCGTACGCGGAGAAGCCTTCACTGGGTTTGGCCTCGGTGTCATAGAGTATGATGGCCATCATGTCTTTCGGGTTGGAGATGATGCGCTGCTGCATCACCTGGTAAGCACATTTTAGGGCAGCATACACGGGCGGATCCTTGTCGGCCTTCTTGTCGTCGGACTCGGGCGGAGGCTTGAGCATTGACTTGCTGACGTCAATGGCGAAGATGAGAGCATCCTTCTGAGCCTTGTAGTCCTGAGGAAGAGTCAGTCATGGGTTTGGCAAGGGGCAAGTGTTCGCATACATGCTCATCAAGGGCATCTTCTTCCTCTTCCTCTTCGTCGTCTCTTCTCGCATAGTAATCACTCCGGTCTGCCATGGTCACTGATGCTTCTCAGGTCGAGCAGCCGGTGTGATTGGCGGATGTGGTGACAGTGGGTATGGTAACAGATGGGATATGTTAAGTGTCGCGTAGCTTGGTCGTGAACACTATCCTTAGAAGGTAGTTGAATGATGCCCCCAAAGGTTGAGTCTGGGATCAACACTGTGATAATCAGACTGTTGGATACTAGACTCACACGACCTCGATTTCAGGCAGACGTCGCGTGTCTCGGACTGCCAGGCGCGTCGTCGAGACAAAGGAATGCTGCAGGCACCCGCGCTGTCAGGTGACGTGAGCGGGGCAGCTGCCAGGCAGTTCTGGAAGCTTTGGCCAACCCCAAGCGCGAATCTAGGCCGTACTGAGGGTGCAGGTGAGCAAAGGGGCATCATTTATTGGCTTAACGCGCCGAGCAGTGGATATCTGGATTCATGAGAAGAAAAAGAAATATTCGGCGGTAGCTCGCACTGCCGAGCCCGAGCGGGTGGGACATGAGCCGGGATGGCATGCTGTCATTGATGTCGCCAAAAGAACCAGCGCCAGTTCCTTCCACCTTTCAGATACCCAACTTCTACAGCTTGCTCCTGGAACATTCAGCGTCCCCTTGAGCTCCTATTTGCAGGAATATCGGCACAATGGCGACGAAGCATTCTGTTGCGCAGCTGTCGCGTACAGCAGCTGGAGCTTCTAGACCATCTGGTGCATCCCCCGGTCTCTGGATTCCGCGAAGTAGCGCTTTGCAAACGAGGTCTTTCGCGACACCTGTCCCGCCCGTGACCCAGAATGCGACCGGGTCAAAGGGTCCTACAGCTATGGTATTCATGAACATGGGCGGTCCTTCGACAACAGACGAGGTCGGGAGCTTCTTGAGCCGTCTCTTCGTACGTTGTCCCTCGCCACCCCTTGTCCCGGCTAATCGCTGACAGTCGCAAAGGCGGACGCCGATCTGATACCCTTGGGACGGTTACAAAACTATATCGGGCCTTACATTGCGAGCCGCAGGACACCCAAGATCCAGAAACAGTACGCAGAAATTGGAGGTGGTTCGCCCATTCGCAAGTGGTCGGAATACCAGAGCTCCGAGATGTGCAAGATCCTCAACCGTATATCACCCGAAACCGCCCCTCACAAACCATACGTCGCCTTCCGCTATGCCGACCCCTTAACCGAGGAGATGTACACCAGGTTGCTGGAAGATGGCTTTGGCAACGGGAAGGGTGGCAGAGCAGTCGCCTTTACCCAGTATCCGCAATACTCCTGTTCAACGACCGGAAGCAGTCTCAATGAGCTGTGGAAGTGGCGACAAAGACTAGAAGGAAAGGCCGAGTCTGGCACCATCCAATGGGGTGTCATTGACCGGTGGCCGGTCAATCCAGGCTTGGTGGAGACTTTTGCAAGCAACATCGAGAAGACATTGGCAACGTATCCGGAAGAACGCCGTAGCCAAGCGGTGCTGCTGTTCTCGGCACATAGCTTGCCCATGTCTGTGGTCAATAGGGGTCCGTCATGATTCTACAAATCTGCCGGGCGAATAGGTTGGCTGACACGCACAGGTGATCCTTATCCCGCAGAAGTTGCGGCGACGGTGTATGCGGTCATGCAGCGGCTGAAGTTCTCCAACCCTTACAGGTTATGCTGGCAATCACAGGTTGGCCCTCAGCCGTGGCTGGGTCCTCAAACCCAGTCATCGGTAGAGGAATACATCAAGAAGGGGCAGAAGGACCTTGTCCTGATCCCCATTGCGTTTACTTCCGATCACATCGAAACACTCTTCGAGCTCGACAAGGAAGTAATAGGGGAGTCTGGTCACGCCGACACGGTGAAGCGGGTAGAGAGTCTGAATGGCAACCCGATCTTCATCGATGCTCTTGCAAACCTTGCAAAAACCCATCTGGACGGCGGCGTTGCGTGCTCATATCAGATGGGGCTCAGATGCCCTGGATGCAAGAGCGAACGTTGCGCCGAGTCGAAGAAGTTCTTTGCTGGGCCGGAGAATGCGTTCGCTGTGTAACGGCAACATGGGATTATGTCAGCCATATAGGCATTCATGCTGTGTATCAATATATCACATAGACAAAAGCGGCTATGTACGAATGGCGTATAGCGACGTTATTCCTCGCAGCCTCGAGCAGCCATCCCCATTCTGCTGCCGGCTTCGAGATGGTATCCAAGTGCATAAGTGTCCCAAGCTTGCAACCCCCAACGGTGGCTTATTAACAGCGGCGCCAGGAAACATCAGTGCGTCATTGATCTGATGTGCTGGCCGCAGGATGAATCAAGGTTTATCTTTTCGGGTTGAAGAATGAACCCGAGTCTGATACCCCTTAACGCGGACCGGAATAGCATTACGACTGCGTGGCAGCCTGCTAACCTCTCCAGTGTCCAGCCTCCTGGGGTTCTATTGGCTTGCGGCTTCTCACGTCTTGAACAGCATCGGGGAGCCTGGGAGCTTCCAATAAGGTCCGAATAGATGCAGTAGGATTGGATGGATTATCAATCAACTTTTCGTGCCATAAGCAGCCGCCCAAGCCCACCACCTGCCGCCGGTTGGGGACGACAGGGATGTGAGAGTGAGACAGCCCAGCTGCCCAGCTTGGCGGTAATCCCCAGCTGCACAACCTAGCGCATCATCGACGACTGGACGGCCCACCTCGACTTGATAGCATTGATAATCAGCAGCCATGGCATTCTTGTCCACGATAGCCCACCTCTTCCCACTTTCGCATCTGTCTCCGCCGCAGTTGATAACCTCTGCTTTCTTGCCCAGTGCACACCGTTGTTCTTCGTCTGTACCTTCAAGAGATGGGGTAGATCTCCAATTGTATACTCTTATACTCTCCTCGCCTCGGACCCAGCGTCATTGACGGAAGTCCGCCGATGACCCCGAGATTAGTGCTTACCACGATAGCTATTAGTGGGACATGGGATCGCGAGCTCTTGTATTGTACCATTACTCCACGATAACGACATAACGAACTTCGACGATCGCCCCTTCTCGCGGGCTTTCAACTAGACTTCCCAGCGCGATCACGAGTTCCAACGCGAGCCGCCACTCTTCGAATACGCATAAAGCGGTACCCACGAGGAGTCTCCAACACACTTAGACGACCAAAGCCAGCGAACTTTCACCATGACGAGCGAAGCGCAACCGGGGAAGCATAGCAGCAGGGGTATTACCCTGATAGACGCCGAGGCAGAGGGACAATACGACGAGCCGGCAGAAACGACTCCGCTCATTGGCGCGGGCGCCGCCGAGCAGGAAGGACAAGGAGACGTAGCAGCGAACGATGGCAATGGCAATGGCAATGGCAATGGGAAAAGAACACACGCTTGGGAAGGATCGGAGGGTTTCGAGGACATCGTATGGTGGAGGAGACCGTCCGTACGTTACCGGCCGTTGGCGTTGGCGTCCGCCCCGGGAATTCCAAGCTTTACCGGCACTCTGGGTACTGAACTGACCCGGGTATCAGGTATACTGGCTCCTACCGCCATACTTCCTGTTTACGTTGGCATTTGGAGGCATTCTCGTGCCGAAAATCAACCTGTAAGGACCACAGACTCGCAAGCTCTTCGCTCGTCGCGCAACCGTCACTGACTTGACATGGACTTGCAGGATCGTTGACCTCGTCTGCCGTCAATACTTCTCCGAACAACAGGCCCTCGACTCGGCCTTCACTTTCTCGCCGGTAATCATCGGCGGCAACAATCCGCAATGCAATGCCTCGGCGTCCGTCCAGAAGAGCGTTGCGACTTTCACATTGATCATAGGCGCCTTGACCGGCGGCTTGAGCGCGATCACAGCACCGAAGTTGGGCTCGTTATCCGATCGCTATGGCCGCACACGGTTGATGGTCATCGCCTCGTGCGGCGGTGTGCTCGCCGAGGTCATCACCATCCTGGCAGCCAAGTTCCCGGACAGCGTCGACTTCCACTGGATAATCCTCGGGGCTTTCTTCGACGGTGTCACCGGGTCCTTCACGGCAGGCAGTGTGCTGGCCAACGCGTACACGAGCGACTGCACGCCCCCCTCGAAGCGCGGAGTCTTCGTTGGGTACCTGCACGCCTGCCTCTTCACGGGGCTGGCATTTGGGCCGCTCGTAGCTAGCTACTTTGTCAAGTGGACTGGCTCCCTGTTGGTCATATTCTACGTGGTGCTCGGCTGTCACATATTCGTCATCCTGTTCTTCTGGTTCGTTCTGCCGGAGTCGATGTCGAAGAAGCGCCAGGAGATTGCGCGCGAGAAGCACCGCGCCGATATGCAAGCCGTCGACGGGTCCCTTCCGGAATCTGTGACTAGAATCGTGGGACCACGGCTGTCGAGTTTGATGGTCGACAACCTGGGGACCTGGTTGCCCTTCATCTTCAGTGCCAACCCTTTCGCACCACTGAAGATACTATGGCCACATGGAGCTCACAACCGCGCTTTACGGCGGAACCTTATACTCTTCGCTATTGTCGATACTATCATCATGGGTACGGCGATAGGGTCCGGAACCGTTACCGTCCTGTATTCCGAATTCATGTTTGGCTGGGAAACGCCCGAGGCAGCGCGTTTCGTCTCCATCGTGAGCTTATCTCGAGTCGTTATCCTGCTCGGATTCTTCCCCCTCGTCAACTACATCTTCCGCATCCGACCCCTCCGTCGCAAGAGGGAGTTGAGCGGCAGCCTTCACGACGTGGAGACCAATTCCGGCGCCGACAACCTCGACGTCTGGCTTCTACGCTTCGCCCTCGTCAGCGACCTTGCTGGCATCATCGGCTATATCTTTGCCCGCAAGGAGGAGCTGTTCGTGGTATCTGGTATCATCACGGCCTTCGGTGGCCTCGCAGGCGCGACGATCCAGAGTTCGGTTACGAAGCACGTCCCGGCCGAGCGCGTTGGTTCGTTATTGGGCGCAATGGGCCTCTTGCACGCGCTCGGCCGCGTCTTTGCGCCGATTTTGTTCAACGGCATATACGCCGCGACCATCGAGACTTACCCCCAGGCCTTTTTCGTTGTCCTCGCCTCGCTTTTCGGACTTGCGGTGCTTGCGAGCATCTTTGTCCGACCGCATTGTGAGTCAATTCTTCATCGATGAGCTTATCCGTACGAGGCTGCTGACCATAATGCAGTGTACATGAAGGAAGAGGGCTATATCGCTGTTCCCGTGCGCGAGCCGGGCAACCCCAGCGATATAGATAATATGGCTGATGAAGAGGTACCGAGCGGAGTTCTTCCGAGGCTTTAAACATCCATCTTTGCCTGCTGGGTTAATTTCTGTATAACCTGCCTGATTATACTTCGGGTAGGAGAGGAGAGGCAGTGACGTGCAAAGGCGTCGGACGGGATTCTTATCTTTACGTACCTATATATACTGGCTGGATAGACATTACATACGGGGAACGGCGTTGGCGTAGATACAGTTGGTCGTGTCATACATGGTGCCTTGGATCAAATATATGGATCACAGATGCATTTATGATAAGGTAGTTGAGAACTCTTCAGCGACCTACCTGCGATCATAACCCCGGATTCGGCCAAAGCAGTTGGCTGCCGTTAGTGGCTGGGGAATGTTCAATTATTTTAGTGCAAGCCAACGACATGGAATCGAAACCATTAGGTAATAAGTGGGTTTGGTGCAAATGCCAAACACCATAAGAATCCACTCTCCCCACGATCCAAACGCTGGCACATTTTCTCTTTCTCTCTCCAACAGCCCTTTCGAAGGGTCCGGATGGGATAGCGCAGGATACGAAACGCTGTCGTCTCCTACTACGAGACAGAATCAATCAATTGCTTATTGCCCAATATCGGACACTTAGCAGAAGGTCGGGACTCGGTTTATGACCCTCGGCCCGCACAAAAATGCAGATGACAGCTGCTTCGTGAAGAATCAAACTGTCCCGGCGGCCGGACTCGCGTCCCCGCCGGAGCAACAACACCACGAAAAGCCCTATGAGTCTCACTCAGGCTCTTCCCCCGAGGGGGACCGTGAAGCACAACGGCATCATGCCGTAGGACCACCGCCAGCCTCGGTCGGTGATGGGAGCGAACCCACTGCTACTGCCGCCGCTGCCGTCGAACCCCAAGAGTTCGCAGAGACCGCCACCGACTTCCCCGAGGGCGGACTGCAGGCCTGGCTCGTCGTGGCTGGGTCGTTCTGCGCCATGGTAGGAGTGTACGGCATCATCAACAGCGCCGCCGTCTTCGAGTCGTACTTCTCGACGCACCAGCTCCAGGGCTACAGCTCGTCGACCATCGGCTGGGTCTTCAGCACGTACCTGTTCATCGTCTTCTTTGCCGGCATCCAGGTCGGGCCCCTCTTCGACCGCCATGGGCCGCGGCTGCTGGTTGCCGTTGGCAGCTTGCTGGTCGTCGCTAGTCAGCTGCTGCTGGGGTTGTGCAAAGGTGAGACTTAAGACTACTCATGTGGTTGTTGGACCCTAAAGTTAGGTAGATATAGTTGCTAACGCACGCAGAATACTACCAGATCATGCTGTGCTACTCCGTCCTCGGCGGCCTCGGCGGCGCCCTGCTTAACGTCCCGGCCTACGGCGTCATCGCGCATTTTTTCCGCGCGCGCCGCGGCCTCGCCACGGGCGTCGCCGCCACTGCCGGCTCCATCGGCGGCATCGTGTTCCCCCTTTACCTGCAGGCCGTGCTGCCCCGGATCGGGTTCGCGTGGAGCACGCGCATCATCGGCCTCATCCTGCTCTTCCTGTCCGTCATCGCCAACCTGCTCGTGCGCACGCGCCTGCCGCCGAGCACCCGCCGCGCCTCGGTCATGCCGGACTGGTCGCTGTTCCGCGACCTCAAGTTCAGCCTGTGCTGCGCAGGCGTCTGGTTCATGGAGTGGGGACTTTTCGTCCCGTTGACTTTCATCGTCAGCTACGCGGCCGCCCACGGCCAGGACGCCAACGCCGCCTACACGCTGCTGTCGCTCCTGAACGTCGGCTCCTTCTTCGGCCGCTGCCTGCCTGGCCTGCTCGCCGACCGCATCGGCCGCTTCAACGTCATCGTCATCACGAACGCGCTGTGCGCCGTCACGATCCTGGCCTTCTGGCTGCCGGCGCGCGACTCGCACGCCCTGCTGATCGTTTTTGTTGTCACGTTCGGCTTCGCCAGCGGCAGCAACCTCGGGCTGTATCCGGTTTGTATTGGTCAGCTTTGCGATGCGCGCGACTACGGCCGCTTCTACTCGACCGCGCTGATGACGGGCAGCTTCGGCACGCTGACGAGCGTGCCCATTGGCGGCGCGCTGCTGGGGCTCGGACATGGCGAGCAGGGCTGGCAGGCGCTGATCATCTTTGCGGCGTTGTCGTATGTGATCGCTATGAGCTGCTTCCTCGGCGCGCGCGTCGTGGCTGTTAGCTGGAGGGTTAAGGAGGTGTTTTGACGAGGTGTCGTGGGGTGGTGTCGTGGGCGGGGCTTACGTGATTCGTGGCATGGGTGTGACGAGTTGGACGTACATGAACTGGATGAGTCGCTGCGGGTGAGATCTCTGGTGAAACCTTGCATGGATCTGTTCTCGGGTCAAGTGGTACGATAAAATGTTGTGGGGAAAGGGGGAGGGTGAATCGTTTGCCATATCCCATACACTAAAGGACGCTGGAGGCATTGGGTATGGGCGGACCAACATCTTCAAGGTGGTTGACGCACCACGTGTGAATGATATAGCTGCATTCCCAATATACGTACGAATGACTACGTCCGAATATTTGGTACACGACAAGTTTAATGATGTTTTGCAGACATGACCAGCGAAGCGATTGTGAATGGATATCCTACACACCGCCTGACAACAGATGTTGATGAGAGTCAACACTTCAGCCAGGCAGCATCAACGCCATCCATTTACAACCATTCCCTAGCGTTCATTACCTGTGTTTGCCTCGACGGCTCTTCGGCTTTATGTCCGTGACTTCCTGGGTTGCCACCGTAAATCGTCTATATATACGAGGGATCAATTTGCTTCTCTACTTTAGGTTTCCTTCCCACTATGCCACAACAGATGCCGACTACTGTAACCTCGAGATCATAATAACAGTTACCTATTTCACCACTTTTCAGCCCGCACAGTACCCAAACATGGATCATATCAGCCACCTCGGCATCTGCTACACCACGAAGCGGCACGAGCCCCTCAAAAGGCCTCCTCGTATCATCGCCCACCGATCCGCCCACCGGCCTCATGGTCAACGAGAAGACCGGCGAGCAGGCGACATTCCACCCCTACCGCTTACTGATCCGCGACGACTTCAAGGACGCAGCGGCCGCCGGCAACTACCGCGTATGGACCGCGAGGGAGCGCAAGATCTACGATATTTCCAAGCAGCTGTACGAGTATGGCGAGCCCTTCTGGACCAAAGAGGGCCTGCGCGCCGTGGAGGAGCAGCTGGAGCGCGGCGACGAGGTCGTCAGGCTGCCGACGCTGACTGGGAACGATGTCGAGGTGCGTGTCGAGGGCGCTGGTAATCGATTTGATAATAGGCCCCCTGAAAATGAGGATCCGCTGTAAGTTACGTCTCGAAAAGACCTTCCCACTCACTCACTCACTCTCTCTCTCCCTCACTCCTCATCTCTGCGACGGTGCTGCTAATAAGTTAAATATCAAAACCCTGCAGTCCCGCGCCAGTGCTCTTCCTCCGGTCCTCCCGCCACCTAACGGACCCGAACCCGCTCCACGACCCGCACACCGGGACGCGGTAGCCCTTCCAGAGGGCCAACTGCACGATGGAGCTGCGCACGCAGACGCGCAAGGCTAAGGCCGAAGGCGAGCACACGCTATCGCACGCGCGCACCCACCTCGACGCCGCCATGGCGGCCTGGGACAAGATGCCAAGCCACCGCTACGGCGCAGACGCGCTCAGGCTGGCCTTTTCGAGCAGGGGTGCGGTGCGCATCTCCAAGATCGGGTGTTTCGGCCTCGGAGACCTGGTCCATGCGGTTGAAGACAGGGAGGGCGAATATATCGCCCCCTATAATGTTTGTGCCTGTCGGGCGCAGCACGCGTTGGCGTTTGCGGTTCGGGCTGCGCTGGTGCGGATCTACCGCGAGGAGCAGCACCAGGACCACGCCGGGGAGGAAACGGAAGAGGGGGAAAGGGAAACAGCGGCTATCCGGCTCCTGTTCCAGGACCCCACCTACACCGACAAGTGCCGCGCCCTGCTGACCGAGAAGGGCGGCGAGGTCGTGGGGAGCTTCGGCGTGGGCGGCTTCGCCGAGGTCGACGAACATACACTCGTCGTCTCGCTGAATCCGTTCGCGCCCGTGCGCGAGATCATCGCCGATGTCGCGATGCCGGCCGCCATGCTGTGGAGGCCGTGTGTCAGCGAGGAATCGGAGGAGAGGGGCCCGGGCTGGTATGTGCGGAATGCTGACGGGGTGGCGGTGTGGCATAGGTGAGTGTCAATTTTTTTGCCCCGTGGCCTTCGGGTTTTTTTTCTTCTGGTTTTTTCTCGTCTGCTTTATGGACTTGTTTCTTGACGACGATCTCCCCTTCAGGAGGCTTGGTGGTTCTTGTACGTGTTTACTGATGCTGCATGCTGGACAGGCAGTACATGGATGATCCGACGACGCCGCGGGTCCGGAGGCTGTGTGAGGGCTATATCAAGATCGATATCCCGGAGGACGAGCATGGTTAATTGCATGGTGTAGTGCTTTATGTTCGCCGACCTGATCTTGACAGAAAGGGCGAGAGTGAGGACTCGGCCAAATTGTAAGATCCTGTTTCCTGATCGACTTCCGTCTTTGAGGCGGCGTGGTGATGGACCGGTCTCTGTGAGAGGTGGAAACTCCAGCGTCGGACAGTTCTTTTTCCTTCTATATTTTGGCCTGTGTAGTCGGTGTAATGGTTTTCTCCCTGATGGATGCGTGACGACTAGATGAACTTAACGTTTTGGCTGCGGAAGTGGTTCAGCACGAGTCAGATCAACTCAATAGATATCATTCCAGCAGAAGCACGATTCGTCTGTTCAAGATTTTACCTACTTTCACATACCCCAGCTAGGACATGCTTAGACAATGGAGTCTACTCCAGAGTTTGCTCTATACCGCGAGGATACCTCTATCTAGTCTCTAAATGTTCTATCTAGTTCTCCTTGCGCTCGTGTACAAGCCGGCCGCGCACCCACACCTTCTTGGTATTCCGGTCATCGCCATTGAACACCCACTTGGCGACGCGCTCGTCCCAGGGCTCCCAGCCAAACACGTCCACATTGCCCTCGTCCTCCATGTCGTCCTCGGCGGCCTCCTCGCACACCATGCCCAGGCCGATCAGCTGCGCGTCCCATTCCATGCCCACCTCGAAGGCGCCGATCTTGTCTCTGAGCCCCACGACCTCGGCACCGCCCCGCGTGGCAAGGTACAGCACCTCCTCCACGCTCAGCTTGGCTTTCTCGCGCTCTTCCTGGGGGAGTTCGTGCAGCTTCCCACCGGGCATCACCAGATGGTTCGACACCAGGCTCGCCTGCCGCGCCGCCTCGAGCACGCTGGGGCTGTAGCCTCCACTCATGTCGGTTCCCAGACCTACCCCAATGCCCTTCTCCAGCATCCAGCGCACCCTGGCCTCACCGCTCGTGATGGCAGAATTGCTACAGGGGCAGTGCGACACCTTGGCCCCGCGCCGCGCAATGAGGTCCGCCTCCTCCTCGCTGAGATGCACGGCGTGGGCCAGTATCATCTTCTCGCCCAGCAGCCCGTACCGGTCGTACACGTCGGCGTAGCTCGTGCTGTCGGGGAACAGCTCCCTCACCAGCGCGATCTCGCCCGCGTTCTCCGAGACGTGCGTCTGCACCGGCAGCTCTGTCTCTCGCTGCAGCTCGCCGAGCTGGCGCATCGTGTCCGCGCTGCAGGCCGGCGCGAATCGCGGGGTGATGATGGGGCTCACGAGGTCGAAGTTGGCGTCTATGCCGCGGATGTGGTCGATGGTCGCGCGCGTCGCGGCGATGGCCTGCTCGGGCGACTCGTCGAGGTAGTAGGCCGGGCCCAGCTGGTCCATGCACACGCGGCCGACGAAGGCGCGCTGGCCCATGGAGAGACAGAGGTCCGCCAGCAGGTTGGTGGGCTCCACGTGAATTGTCGCGTAGTAGGCTGCCGTGGTCGTGCCGTGCGCCAGGGTCCGTCTGATGCACCGCGTGTAGACCCTCCGGGCTTTGGGAAGCGAGGACAGAGAGGCTTCCATGGGGAACGTGTAGGTGTTCAGCCAGTCCAGCAGCGTCGACTTGCCGAAGATGCCTACATTGGGGTACTGTGAAGCATGCAGGTGCGTGTCTGTTTACCCTGTTAGCAGACAGACGGGCGTTTGTGGGCCGAATCTGTGTGGACTTGCCGACGAAGCCGGGGAAGAAGAACTGGCTATCCTTCCCGACTGTGACCATGACTTCCTCAGCGCTCCAGCGGAGTCTGGGAAACAGCGTAGACTCGGCTTTGGCCTGGTCGCACTCCGGCTCTATAGCGACGATCTTTCCTGAGGTATCGACGCATACAGCCGTGTTGTGTAGGTATTGAAGTTCATCAAGCTTCCTGCTGTGGATAAAGGTGCCAAGAATCAGCTGATTCTTCCCATTATTCGGGGGTGCCATTGCAACCTTCCCTGTTTCCCAAAGGTCTCAAAACGCCGAGTCTTCAGCTTGGGTCTCAACACGAGGCAATGGCAGAGAATTTTGAGGTTAACTTTGGCAGCGGAGCCAGGTTTGTAGGGTATGGAATGCGTAGATCTCGTCACTTGATATCCTCCAACGCGGTTGCGTTATGGCCTTCATGCGTAACATCGACTCATATTCATGAATTGATAGACCCGACAGTGTTACATGAATAGCTCTCATTCATAGTAAGATACCGTGACTGTCGGTAGTGAAGTCCCCCCTGGGCCGGAGCGTGTTCGAGGTCAAGTCAAGAATGTGGGGGTGATCAATGACGGTTATGAGATGCCAGATTTGCGAAACAATGATATGAGTGTAATTGACGTTACTGCATCTAACCAGCTTGCCGGTAACAGAACTGGGTCGTGATAGGAAGCAAAGGATGTGAGGTGAGACAGAGCACAAGCGGTTTGCACGACGGGTTCGTCCACAGGTGGCACAGCAGTGGACCTGCATCGCAAGCAGAGGTCTGGTGGGTTCCGCCCTCTAAGACCGGCCTGCGCCGGCACCCGAAGCGCTGCAGGTGTACAGCGGGCGAAACCTGCACTAAAGCCTCACTGGAAACATGCAAAGCCAGAGCCCGGGGACACATATGGGGCCAGCTGTGGCGCTGGAGATAAGCCACCCACCGGAGATTTCAACGGCTGCTCAGGGGTATGCTGGATGCTGGCTGTCGTGTAGCCCCTGAGCAATTACTTACTTTAGGTACCGGGTAGCACCGCTTGAAGTGATGACTCCCGAAAGAACCCAGTCTCGTGACACTTCCAAGACGCAACATGAGCAGTGAGTGGGATTGGGTGTTTTATCAATTGGGGTATGAATGGCAATAAGAGGCGGCAGCACAGCAGTTCGCCGTGCACGCCGGGATTCGGATCTCCATTCCTGGGAAGCGATTCGGATCTTTTACCGAGGCGGGCCAACAACCAAGAGCGGCAATGGCATGACCACGCGATCCCGGTGACTGTATCGGCTGTGCCGTTCAACCGACGACATGCCGTCGCAGAAGACGCGTTGTTCGTTGTTATACCACGAATATGGTCCATAACTCCAAGGTCTGGAACATGTTTTCGATTGGGCCACATCCCGCACCAATTGTGTGTGGAAAGGACCTTCGCGATTCGTGCCCACACGCTGCCCGTGAGACTGACCTGCTCAGCGGCTTGTGGATGTGCTTCGGAGGCTGCCGTGTGCAGACGGGGGCGGGACCGGTTCAACGACTGTGGCCCGCCCCGACGTGCGCCGAACCAGGGAACGACGCGTCCTTGCCGGCCGGCCCTTTTGTCGAGAGATGTTTCAAGCCATCCGTGAGCGGAAGGTATGAAGGCTAATTCTGGTACGCTATACGGCATCGGTCTGGGAAGTGTGGTCGTAGTTGATACGTTGTTGTATAGCCGCGTTTCGCTCGACGATACTGGGACCACAGTAGACTGACGAATCTGTGGCAAGGGTTGAGCAGCCTTATCACTTGTGGTGTGTAGCCTCCGATAAGAGGCTGAAGAACATGCTCACTTGCGGTGTAGTCTCTGGTAAGAGATGAGTATCCAGTTCCCCTATGGTGTGTACCACTCACCTGCACCAGTCAATAGACGCCCGACGAATTATCACCTGCCCTCCTGGCGCCTCGTGCAGGGCGAAACTCAAGATTTGATTAGTCCTCACCTATAGTCTGGTCACTCATCTGAGTCTAGATTGACGCGAATGAGCTGATACAAGATAAGCTGATATAAGCTGATACCATCGCCAAGAGCCATTCCAAATACCAAGACCCTCGAACCTCGACCTTGGGCTTGTCGTAGGGCTCACGTCATTGTATCTGTCGGGCACGCTCGAGTCATTGCAGCTCTGCCAGCGTTTAAGCTCGGTTCGACCGTGCAAGGGCATGAGCAAGGGGTTGACTCCTCAAACCACGTTTTGCTTGTCGCCGGTTCGAGTATTCCAATTCTCCCACGTGTCTTTTCTTTTTCTCTGCAGGTACCGCCAAGTCGAACAGTGCGTGAAAGCATGCGGGTCCATTATGTCTAGGCGCCCTTCTCTCTCTTCGGTATACAGCTGTTGTTGAACCGTTTCCGTGCCAAAGGTCGCAGTGGTCGTCGAAGGAGATTCGGATGCTTTGATTGCAATCCACCCGTCGAAGGAAATTCAGATTCTTTGATTGCAACCCATCCGTCGAAGGAGATTCGGATTCTTTGATTGTAACCCATCCACTGCGTGGCAATTGGGCCAGACGTCACGACATATATCGCACATATGTTGGCCAGCCTTTACAACGCCAACGTGTCGCGGATAAAGGTGCAGAGCTGGCCTGGAAGGGCAGGTATCGGCTTCTTCTTATGTCACAGCTTGATAACACCACCTCGTTATGGTCCCGTACTCTGGCCCGATCTGTCACCTCAGTAACGTCATGTTACGCTCGGTTCGCCGTGCAGGCCCAGCGCCGAGCCGGACAAACTCCTTAGGGGGTACTCCACGCCTTCGCTCGCGGCTTGTGATTCTTAATCAGAGTGCTAAGGACCGGAGTGCAACGGCGTCGCCTTGGCATCTTGGGACGAAGGATGAATCTTGGATGGCCTACGATTGTCCTACCGGCCAAGCCTTCCATGGAGTTTTCTCTGAGCGTATCAATGATGGGGCTCACACGTGGGGGTTCCATCGGGGGTTCCATCGGCAGGTCCATCGGCAAGCGATGCTGCGTGGGAGTCTCCCCCTCTCCGCATACCGTCACATTATGTGAGTAGCATCTGAGAGTGAGGTACGGCATCGCAGTAAGCAACAAGAAAAACAAGCTCTTCGAATTGACAATTCCCAGAACAATTGCTTCTTTCTGTGGCTAATCTAAGGTTGCTCGTCGTATCTATAGGTGTTTCGAATAGAAGTCTGGTAGAGCCGTCGGCAGGAATGACCCGTTAGGCAGGTAACGGCTCCGTGGTGGGAGCTTCTTGTTACGTTCACATAGTCGGCGCCCACTTCCTCCGGCAACGATGGCACGCCCACATTCGTCCGGCGGCGATGGTACCACGGCATGCAGGTAGATCATGCCGTGGCGTTTGAAGTGCCGGAGCTGCGCTCTCGCTAGGCTTCCCGTGTGCGACTGAGGGCGGCATATGCAGCTGCTCATTGATGGGGTCTCTCGCTTGCTCCCAACCCCACGAGCCATACGCCGCGTGGTATGGATCCTGTTACGTGGCACTACGCGCGTTCGGTCAATGTCAAACAAGATATCAGGTTATATGGTTATATTCCCAACGAACGTCAACGTTGGGCTCGGGTGTCGGTCAACGTTAACCACCACGCTGCAAGCTTGCTTATCGTCGGATCGAATCTGGGTAGGGCGTCCCAGTCGCGTGGTCGTCACGCTGCTGGGAACATACCCGATTCTTGCCCATGGCTCCTGTGCTTATCGAGCCTCTCTGGCCGCCCCAGACTCCCAACTCACTATGGTCCCAAGCAATCACTGGGTGTGGGATCGAAGGGGCAGCCGTTCGTTCAATAGGTCCCGTCATTTCCCTTGGTTCTAGCCGTCATGATTGTGTAGTGGTGTTTTCCGTGGAAAAGCTCCTTTTGCGGGTGTGTCAACTAACGTGCTACCCGCCACCGAATGAAAACCGAATGCCATGCAACGGTGATAGGCAGAAGCAGAATGAGACTTTCCCAAAACTTCCACGAGTCGACTAGGAGTGGCTCTGGGGAATCCTTGATGACCAGGGTCCTAGTAACAGCGGTTGTTTGATAGAGTATCACAACATTGCGTCTGATCCGAGGCGACGATCACAAGCATGCTGGCATGCAGCACATACAAACTGGTACCGGACGCAAGTTCGGATCGTCGGCCTCGCTTAACTCAAAATCCTTAATTAGAAGTCTTGCAACGGACATGACTCCACATCCTGACAGCGGCCGACTGCAAGGTTGGTCACATCTGGTCACATTTCCCGGCCCGGGCAGTGTCACCATCCGAACCTTAATCCGAGCCTGCGCAGGATTGACCTTGCGACCAATTACGGCTCAGGGGTAGCGAATTAGCGATCGAGATAGCCTCAGATAGGAAGTTCCCATAGCAGAGACGAGTGCCAAGAGGCTGGGTCTGCTCCGCCACTGAAGGCGTGACGATAATGGGACCAGGCAGCGCAGAGCCCATGTACCTGCAGGCCGCCGGTGAGACGAAGCAAAAGAGGGCTGCCAGTCCCGTCTTGGGTCGCCGCGAGTCTCGAGAGTCAGGAAGCATCAGGCGAGTTTGGAATATTTGGGCAAGGGCTTCGGGGCAACTCTGGAGGCTGGAGGCGGGAGGCCGGCACCAGCCAAGGACTCAGGACTTGGCAGGGTCTTCGATCTTTATACAGGGGGTTTGATCCTTCGGATCTCAGCTCATGCTGACATATGCAGCCATGGTAAGCCTAGACTGCGTGATCCATGATCGGCAACGGGGAACTACAGAGCCCCGTTGCAAGGTTTCTTATTCCTACAGCGCTTGTACTTTGTCGAAATTCCAAATCGGATATCAGGTCATTAGGGGTTTCTGGTTTGCTCAGCCACCACATGGCATACACGCATGTCGTCCAATCCTCCAGGACAGAAAACCGCGTGGCAGCTCCTGTGACTCGTCAAAAACGTAGAGTGGCAAGTGCCAGGTATCTGCGTGAACGTTATTCTCAACAAAGACGAAACACTCAGAGCTCCCCCCCGCAGCGCCTTTCTTCTTATGTCAAGCTTGTTCAGTGGGTTGCAGTGCGATCTGGGCGGTCCACTGCTCAATGTGACATGTCACAACATCCGATAGCACTAGGACCAAAGGACACTGCATGTTCAGCCCGGTCACGCATTGATTGGTTGGTTCGGATCCTCCAGAGCCAGTAACGCGGCCTGGGGGGTTATAACCATGGTTATACCATGTAACCACATGTCGCCGAAACCGATCTCACCGAGTAATCAACGCGAGGTCAGCAGGGCTTAGCACGGCCTGTCTTATAGCAGAGGGGTGGGATTATCTCCATTCTCTGCCCAAAGTCCTAATTCAGAACGCTACCTAACATGATCTCATCAGGGGACATAACCAGAACCCGCCTGGAAACACCGGAAACACCGGAAACATGAAGCCGCAAGCGGTGGGATCCAGGACGGCCCTCAAGCTAGGGCCGCATCAAAGGGTATTCAAACCAGACTAAACTCCATTGCCGTAAATATCAGTTGTCGCCGTTGATCACCGCACCGTGTTTGAGAAGAAGTGCCACTATATCCGTGTGGCCGTTTATGATGGCACGTTGGAGGGGTGTATACCCGGCGCTGTCCCGCACATTGACCGAAACCTGGCACTGCTTAAGGAGGATCCGTAGGGTGTCGATGTGGCCGCCGGCGACAGCCAAGTGAAGTATTGGTGCATTCGCATCGGGAAGGGAACGTGGTGCCGTATTCGAGCTATTGTTGAGCTGGGCGTCGGGCGTTGAGAGCGTGCGCCTATCACCTCGCACGTGCTTAGAGGTAGCTAGTTTCCAAGCAGCCGGATCTTCCAGTTTGGGTGGTGAAGGGTAGTGGAACTCCTCGGGGTGGGAGTGGAGATCGAGGTTCGTGTGGAAAGACCCCTGGGGGTCTGGGTTGGCCAATAAGTGAGTGGGGGATAGCTGCATGTCCATCGAAGAAGCCTTGGATCCCGATCCTCTCCAGGAGCGAGACTTCTGCCCTGCACCCTTGGGGACGTCGGATGTGCTAGTGCTCCGGGTGAGGTTGGCACGACCCTTCTTGCTGTGAGACGAAGCAATCCTTGAACTGGAGTCCTCTCTGCCAGGGACTATCGTCGTCGTCAACAGCCCGTGACTTGAACCGTATGCTTCAGGCGAATATGTCGGCGAGAAGCTCTTCGAATCATCGAAGGTGAGCGAAGTGTCAAACTCCGTTGGAGAGATCATGCCCGGCATAAGTCTCTCTGCTCCCTGGACCGAGGCCTCTGGCCATTCTTGGGGATAGTTCCTCATCCACTGCATTTCGCCAGCCACCGTCGGTGACATGTCGTAGTTCAGTGGCGAGACAGCACGAGTCCCACTCGGCGTGCCGCTGTCTGGCGAGGAAGTGGACGGGCTGCTTTGTCTGCTGGCACCACTATCGGGTGTCTCTTGCAGTCTTTTGATCTGGTCTCTGAGCTTCTCGACTTCGTTCTTCTGCTCCCGCATCTTACGTCCTGTCGAGTGTGAGTTGGCTGTCACCTATCACGTTGGGATCATCCATGTACTCACGGTAAGCTCGTTGGGCTAATCGATTCTGGATTCTTCTTCGCTCGACAGGGTCCGCCAGGCTGCTCAAGTCCTCGTCAGGCTTCATCATATCTGCATATAACGTATCCCGCAAGCGCTCGGATCGTTTGGCAGCGGTCGTGCTTGACTCTGACACGGTCGCCATAGGGTAATGTGATAGTGTGAGGGAAAATTGGTTGTCTGATAGGTGTAGTTGCAAGAACAGTAGGGAGGCGAGCTTCTGGGATGCCGATCTTGGCTTTGTAGGAATGGGAGGGTCGAAGGATTTATCCCATCTCCAGAGATACACCCGCGGAATTCTAGGGCGCCGAGACTTGTAGTCGATGAGATGGAAGTCGACATGTTACCCTGTATTGCGCCACCCGAATTGCAGTTCCTGCAGATTCATGACTGCAGGGGGTGGTACCAACCAGGGCTCGGCTGCCAAGAAGATGCACGGAACTGGGCTGGGCCCCAGAGACCCTCAGTCCTTACGGTGGTGACGAGTGAGGCGCCTGCGGCGAAGCTCCCATGGCATGCACACACGGAGGAACAACGCGACTAGGTTCGCCAGCCAATTGATACGATGCACACCTCTATGCGATGATACTGCTTACTTTGTGCAGTACTTTAGACGGCGCCGCGCTTTTGTCGTTCTAAAGGCAGACCTCTGCGCATCCCGTGTCGGTTGCCATATTTGCCCCCTACTTCGAGTATATTTCCCATCTCATGCCACTTCATCCTCCATCTCGATACTTGACCCCCCACCCTGCCCACCACTCACCCCCAGCATAACCGCGGCAACTGGCTCGGTGAGATCAATGCTGTGAGTGTGAGATGACACCAGACACTGCCGAACGCTGTTCCGGAAATCAAATCTTTATTCATGGACACATCGGCTCTTTCATGATGTTATAGTGCGTGGCGCAGTAGAGTCATATGATATGAATATATATCCCCTCTAAAGAAGGTGTTGTAGACCACCATGTCTACAATGCTGGTACCCCAGCTTCGCAGCATAGTCCTCCATTTCCCTAAATCTATGTCGATCGTGATGATGAGCACATGGCCAACTTGAAACAGCAAACCCAACACTGGATGACATAACCAGCGCGTACATAATCTAAAGCTAGAATGCCAGAGCACAAGGGAACAGTCGGGGTATTGTGAGTGAGCATCCAGTTATGCTGATCCGAGGATCGCCGAGTTACTCCAGACGTCCGGTACACCCAGACTTGTATTCAACAGATCCTTCCCGCGCTCCTCCCGAGAAGCCCATGAGATGACACTGGATCACCACACTGCCCTGGCCGCTCCTCCAGGGGAAGTCCTTTTAAGCATGTCGGAGGACGGGACTGCTGATCTTATCACCCCATATTATATCCTCGACCGCGGGGAGAATCTACTGGAACCAAACGCAGTGCTCTGCGAGTCTGCTCTTTTGTCAGGGGTCACATCTTACTCGGCCAAGATGGAGTCAGGAAACATGAACGCCAAGTCCCTAAGCGCGCTGCGCCCATCAACATCCCTTGCCTGCCGATCGAGGTGATATAGGTTTAGCCAAATATGAAGCCAACGGCGGGAAGGTTCCCCGTGCGGTCGGGCCCGAGACCCTGACATAAGATGGCAAGACTGTATACTACCGACGTGTTATTAGGCTACGAGACTGACCTCTCCGGCATCGACCAGCGACTGGCGCCGCCTTCGAGGCATCTTTTTTCGTGCATGGCCTGAACGGCTGGCTTGACCTGCTATTCTTGAACCTAGACTCTTTAATCATCTCGCAGACATTGAGGCTTTATAATGCTTATTTTCGAGATTCGACGCTTCTACTGACAAAATAGGCTTCTGAGGAGACTCTTTCCGGAGCGTATACAATACACCGAGGGCAATCTGCTACGCCGAGGGCAATCTGCTATGCCGAGGGCAACCTGCTACGCCGAGGGCAACCTGCAAGCAAGGCCCATGACTGACGCGAAGCAGGAAGGTGAGGAATACAATTCCAGCATAATGAATTTAGAGCTGGCCCCATGGATGTCGTATACATTCTTTCATCCATGGTACTTCCCGGCATTACGGGCAGGAAGGAGTCTGGAGACCATCTCAGACGTGCGTGCCCAACGAGCGAGTACACGCGGGTACATATCTGGGTTGACCTTAGTTATACCCACCATACTGACTGAAATCGTCAAGCCACGAGACAACGGCTGTATCTCTCTCCTAGGCGCTCTTCGAGCTTGCTCGCCACCAGTAGGTACGAAGGTAGCTACAGACCGAGATTGCGCAAACACTAAGTAGCAATTATGACGGTGTTCCATTTGTAGAACTTCTCAACCCGATGCCGTACATTCGTTGCGTTGTTATGAGGGTACTCAGCCCCCATCCACTCTTCTGCCTTCATCATGCGTGAGGCGGTTCATGCTACAACGGTGATGGTCCTTGAAATTCCCTGCGGTACCAAGTTCTCCGTCAGCGTTTACGCTGTCAATCAGTCCACAGATCTATGGGTGGAAGGTGCATCTGATTTCAGACCAGAGCAATGGGAGGACTGGCCCTCGGGGGGTTCCAGCTCTACTTACTGTTCCGTGAGGTTCTCCAATGAGCCGCGGGGCCGCAAAACGTTTTTCAATGCCTAACCTGCATATTTCCCCGGACTTGCTAGGCTTTGCTTGTATTGTTCTCATGCAAGTTGCAATCCCGAGATCTAGAACGGGCACCAACCACCCTGAAGCCGAAAAGTAGACAAAGCTAGGCGACAAGTCTAGCTGGACTTTAAAAGCCTCAAGTTCAACTATCTACAATAAAGACTTGTTAAGAGAGTGTTGAAATAACTTATCATATTTTGGACCTCGCCTTTACGACGCAGATTTTTCTAGCAGATGAATCAGTTTTAATAATAGTTTGTACTCTCAACCCATTCAGTCACTGTAGGCCCGCCTACTTCGCGGACGAACGTGTCGGCGGCAACGACACTGTAGCGAGGAGCAGAAGAGACGCATATTACGCAAGACGATGAACGGCACTTCAAAAAGAACAGGTAGTGGTCCTAGTCCGATCCGAACATTTCTGCATCAAGTTAATCGCTCTAAGACGCAATACAGTCTATGTAGCACCTGGGTATCACCCCCCCAAAAGCGCCGTCTCTGGAATACAATGGAGCGTACTCTAGGTTCCCACTGGGCGTCTCGATGATGACGTCAAATCTGTTGTTGTAGAGATGAGTGGGTGCTCTTGATACTCTTCGTGTTGTGTTGAATATCGTATCGTCATTTGTCAGGCACCACTGATTCATTGATGTTAGCAAATCCATTTGCTGAGATAGCCATCAGGAGTCTTGAAGCTTTGTAGGAGGCGGTACCCCCCAATACTTCTACTGTGACCAAGGGCTCCGAGTCTTTTCAAAAAGGGGAGGGAAGGGTCTCGTCCCATTTTTAACCCACCATGACCATCCAATCCGTATTCGGGCATTCCATCCGATCCAATTCGGATAGGTTGGTCCAATCCGGATAGGTTTGCCATCCAGCGTCCCAGCCGAGGTCCGCCCATGATAATGAGGCATTGGACGTAAGCGACCAACCCCATATCGTTTCGAACTTTTGACGGCCAGCGATGTGCAGGTTCTCGTTGCTCCTCCCGCCGTTTCGAAGATATTGGGTTTTCAGACATAGACGGGACCGGGAGTAGAGAGGTGATTTGTTAGAATAAGGAGTTAGACCTGTCTCCTATACCAGACCGAAGCTTACAGGTCATCCGAGCCAGCATGGGGACCCTTCCCGAAGCCAAGACTACCCCCACGGAACATCCAAGTTACTACTATTTACGCACAGCGCAGCAAGATCTAGAGCGAGTAGTCTAGGCCGTCTGCCAATCCAAACGTGATGACGCTCGACGGGGATACGTCGTTTTCTCTCGCTGCTCGAGCTTCGCATGGCGGTGCCCTGTCCTTGTTGCTCTTCCCTTCCCATATGACGTTATATCACTGTATGCTGGAGGCTCGCCCTTGAAGAACGTGTCATGAGCTACGTAAGCATTCGTTGTCATTCGTTCGTCTTACCCCCTGTCCCTCCAGCCGCAGCCTGACCAGGACGCTTCTTCGGTTGACTAGATCAGTTCAGGTCAAACGGCCTAAATACACGATTCTTCTAGTCCAAAGGTTACAGATATGCAGGGCCGAGATCAGGGTTAGGGTTAGGGTTAGGGTCTGTATTATCGGTGAGCTCGAGAATCCGAGTAACAGCCGAGCTTAATGTTATCAAAAGAATGCCATTCTCTCATAATCAAAGCCCCAATGCGGTGCGGTCGCGACTGTCAAGTCATGGTGGCGTACAGTTATAGTCAGCCTCCTGAAATGATGTATGCTTCCGGACTAGAGGTGGCAGTGGCAGCGTGTGTGCCCGAAATCGGTGGCTTCAATCGACGCAGATCTTCATGAGATCCGATCTGTGGATCATGGTGTGCATGGGTAACCTTGGAAGTAGTCTGCCGCCCTTTCTGTGATACCGTACACGGTCACGATTTGCTACGAACTCACTGAAATGTCAGAATGTCTTGCTTCGCGTTGTTCAACCATTGCCACCTAGCATCTGGGCTGTGAAGCTTTGCCACCATGTGGTCGGAGCTGGCCATGATCGTGTATCACAGAAAAGGCGGTATACTACTCGACAGAGACACCGTGACGTACCTTTGTGAGAGTGCGCTCTTATTAGGTTGCCCTTCGAACTCTACTTCCTCCCCTCCACGTGCCCTCCTCCCGATCTCCAGCTTCGTGTTTGCAAGATGCACTCTACTCACGTAGCCGGAAGGGGCTCCAGGACGAGGGCGCGACAGTCCATCTTGCCCGTATAGGTCACAGGTCACCAGACTGGCCTTGTTAAACACCAAGTCTGAAGATGAGGAAGAATGCGCTGTCGGAAGCTGCCCGCGAACGGGAGCTTCTCAGGTACGAGAACATCACGATTCACCACTAAACCGGATGTTGGCTAATGTCTTGGACGCAGGTACGATCCCACGCTGCTCTCAAACTTCACTTTCAACGATAAAGGCACTTTGCTGCCCGACTCGCAGTTGCGCACATCGCCCGACTCGGTCCTCACCTCTCTGGCTCAACTAGGAGCCTGCCGAACGAAGACTGCGCGGTCGCTGATCTCCATATTTGACCAAAAATACCAGTACATCATTGCCGAGGCCACTCCAGACATGCCGCTCCTGCCCAGCCTTCCCCAGGAGGAGCGGAATGGAGAGGTCCTGTACCTTTGCCAGACTGCGATTCCAAGGGCACATGGCGCATGCGATTGGGTTCTGACTAATGAAGATGATGGTCAAGAACTACCAGTCACTATCGTTCGCGACCTGGGAACCGATGCCCGATTCCGCGAGAGGTCGTATTGTCGGGAAGGATCGCCCGCGCGTTTCTATGCTGCCGCTCCTATACAGTCTTCTAAAGGCATCACCATCGGCGTGTACTGCGTGCTTGATACTGAGCCGAGGTCGGAAGAAGATGCAATTAACGATCGTGTTGACATAGTGGTGCGCGACACTGCTCGGACTATCAAGGAGTACCTCGAGTCGAGGCGCATACGGCAGGAGCACAAGCGATCGGAACGCATGATTCGTGGCGTTGGCTCATTTGTCAGCGACCAGAACACGTTGCTGGACTGGTCCCGGGACAACCGTCAAGCAGCAAATGGATGTGGGACGGTTACAACGAAGCAGCCGCAGCCAGTGCAGCAGGGCAATCTAAACATCGAAGTTTCCGACCCATCAACTGGTACGCCGAGTGTCGCGAGTGTCGCTAGATATGACTCGGCGTCCGCGAGCGAGCTCATTGACGTCGTAGGAGACAGATCTGAAGCTCCCATCGAGTGGGCTTCACCGGCTGCTCCCAAGGCGTCTGCTGTCTCAACTCCACTGCGTACCACCGTCAATGAAACAGCGTCCGTCAAACAAATATTTTCAAGGGCTGCTGCTCTCATCCGTGAAAGCATCGAAGTGGACGAGGTTGTGTTTTTCAGCGCCAGCCCAGGAACCTTTGGCGCGCTTGTCGATACGGCCGAAGACGGTGATCAGTCTTCAGATCCTCTCACTGCTTCATCAAGCAGCGATGAGCCCAACTCCCCTTCGGCGGATGAGACAGCAGGCGGATTCTGCCACGTCCTAGGGAATTCCAATGTAGCGTCTTCAAAGAACCAGGGCATCCCCAATATTTCCGCGGCACCAACCGCTTTACCGAGGAGACTATTGACTACCTTTTTGAAGAAGTATCCCCGCGGTAAAGTCTTCAACTACGACGAATGTGGGGTGCTTCAATCGAACGACTTCTCTGAAGATAGTGCGCAGTCGTCCCCCTCGCCTGCGTCAACTCGGACATTCTCATGGTCATCGCAGAACCGGCGCGAGAGAACATACTCGGCGAGACAGCGAGGAGCTGAACTTCTATCCGAAGTCTTCCCCGGTTTACGGAGCTTAGTCTTCGTATCTGTATGGGATAGCAAGAAAGAGCGATGGTTTGCCGGCGGTTTTGCTTATACCCTCAGTCCTACCCGTATCCTGACCACTACGGGTGAGCTCAGCTACCTCAAGGCGTTTGCCATGCTGGCCATGTCCGAGATGCACCGCTTCGAAACAAGCCGTTCTCATCAGGCTCAAATGGATGTGCTCAGCTCACTCTCCCACGAATTGCGTTCGCCGCTGCATGGCGTGATACTCAGCGTCGAACTACTGGCGGGCACTCGTCTCGATACATTCCAGGGAAACGTCACGAATACGCTGGAGACTTGTGGCCGGACACTCCTTGACACGGTCGATCATCTTCTGGACTTCTCCAAGGTTAACAACTACATTGCATCCAGGAGGCCAGGAATGGGTAGAGCTCGCGGTCTGCGTGATGGTGGTGCTTCGATCGAATCTGGAATGAAGTCGCAGCTGTCAGATATAAGGCTCGATGTGCTCGTCGAAGAGGTCATCGAAAGCGTTTTTGCAGGCTTCCAACGCATGTCTGACGGGGGGCCAGTGTCCACACAAGACCAGAACGGCGAATCCATACCAAGCCTTCCTCACGTTCGGGTCTGCCTTGACATAGAATCAAACACAGCCTTGAATATCCACGCAAGCCCCGGGGCAATTCGACGTATAGTAATGAACCTTTTCGGGAACTCGTTGAAGTACACTGAAAGGGGTTGGATCAGGGTATCGCTTTCACGAGACGCAGACAACGTCAAGAGACGCGGCATGAGACAGCGCATGGTCCGACTAGTTGTTTCCGACACCGGAAAAGGTATCTCCAAGGAGTACCTCGCAAACGATCTATTCAGACCCTTTTCACAGGAAGATAGGTTGAGCCCTGGAACAGGACTTGGTCTCAGTCTTGTGAGGAAGATTGTCACATCCCTGAGGGGTGAGATATCCATCAAGAGTCAAGTGGGTGCAGGAACAACCGCCACTGTCTTGCTTCCGCTTCCACCCACCGACCAAGCGCTCCCCAAAGGGAAAGAGGATGAGGAATTCGACAGGCAGAAGCGTATGCTGAAAGGGCTTCGTGTGCGTCTTGTGGGTCTGTGCCAGGTAGGAAATCATGCGGACTGCGAAACTTCCGAGATTAGTGGCTCAGACTGCTTCTCCTCTGTCGGTAAAGTATGCAAAGAGTGGTTTCAAATGGAGACGACACCAGCTTCGCAGGGCTTCAGGCTGGCGCCAGATATCATCCTGTGCACGGAGCTGGTCCTCGACCACAACAGGTCTGCGCTTGAGGGTCGATCCTGTCATCCTATCGTAGTGATCTGCCCGAACATTGTTGCAGCGCATGCTCGAGCTCTTTCCACCACCCCAGTGGGAGACCGCCGGATTTACGAGTTCATCTCTCAACCGTAGGTCTTCGCCGCGACCCCTATATAAAGCCAAAACGCTAATCAGTATACTAGTACTGGTCCCAGGAAGCTGGCAAAGGTTCTTCTATTAGCTTTCCAGCGTTGGCTCGATACGCAAGACAGTTCTGCGACGTCAAGTGTCTTGACTCCCGCCTCCAGCCTACACTTTGAGGCACCTACAATGACATCCTCATATAGCAGCCTTGGATCATCTGATCCCGCCTATCCCGTCCCGGCTCCGGGACGTACCAAGTCGTATTTCCATACGCAAACACACCCACTGTCTCAGCCTCACAGAGAGCCACTCACGCCATCAACAGGCTGTCTGCCACCACCCTCTCCTCCGATACGAACGTCGCCAGTGGAATACCTCCTAGTGGATGATAATCCCATCAACCTCAGGATACTGTGTGCATACATGAAGAAGCTTGGACATCCATACGCGACTGCAGTCGATGGACAGGAGGCCGTCGACCTTTTCAAGGCCTGCCCGAACCGGTTTGTCTGCATCCTGATGGACATCAGCATGCCGCGACTGGACGGAATGGCAGCGACTCAGCAGATCCGGGCTCACGAACGAGACCAGAATCTGAAAGCCTGCGCAGTCTTCGCCCTCTCGGGCCTCGCTTCGACCAGTGCGCAGAAGGACGCTTTTGAAAGTGGCATTGACTTGTTCTTGACCAAACCTGTGAGGCTGCAGGAGTTAGATGATATATTGTCCACGCGGGGCCTCCTGTGAAGCTAAAAGGAGGGTTCGGGCAACGCGATCATGATTGATGACAAATGAGGTGTTTGGTATTGTACGTTCATGTAACTTGACGGGCAAATGGGCTGTATCGTCAATTTTTATGGCTTAAGAGAGCAACATCAAACACTGTTCTGGGGGGGGGAGGGGGGGAAACCGACAATGATACACTATTACATTCGGCCTGGGGTCCAGAAAGACTGGAATACTGTTGCATGTTTTATTTTGAGTACTCTTATTTGGACCTTATTAAGATCCCTTATTTGCACCTTACCTTAGTCAGCCACCTGTTAGCCAGCTGCAGCCTATCTGCCAGGCTAGATGGCTACCACGATCAGGTTTTATATGGCGATGCCACCTAGTTCTAGATTATTATGTCCGTCCCAGCTGGATACGTCGATGGTATTTAAATGAAATGGACAACTTAGCCGAGCTGTTTGTTTGTTTGTTTGTTTGTTTGTTTTGTATTTAACGTGGGGGGTAGCTCCTCAGTAGTGCAAACCACGCCTCCCAGAGCCTCTATATCGCAGGGTTGTGGAGGTCTCAAGATAATAAGTACAGTCAGTCCCGCTCACGGGCCCATCCCCGTTGTTGTGGCGGTATGACCTTGGGGTCATCCATCTGGTCCTTCAAGAAAAGCTATCTATCGGGGGCAGATTGTTGAAAAGAACTTGCTCTTCTCCATGAATTTTGCCCATTCTGTGCTCCTCTCCCCTAAGTACTGTAAACAAGCTGCCCTAGGCGAGTACCTAGGCAGTAGCCGATTTTTCCCCAGCCTCTTACAAAAGAAAATGTGTTGTGGTGTTTTTTTTCCACCACAGCTGTAGTGATCATTCGAGTCTGTATGCCCAAAGCGTTCATGGTATCTGGCAAAGTCGCCATGTCCAGATCTGGCCGCTAGAAGTCTGTGTAAAGTACTCCTCTTAAAAGATATAAGGTCTTTTTCAGTTACTGCATGTGAGTATACTTCTTGATACCTAGGTTCTGATTGGTCTTTCCACCATTGGTTGAACTCTTTCTTGCCCTTTCTTTTGAGATCTCTCTTGACCCAAGAGATTGTAGGAAGGTTTGTCGTGTCTGTTTCTAGCATGGCACCCTTAGCCGAGCTGGATAGCTATTACGATCGGGTTTTATGTAGTAATGCTATATAATTTTAAATCACCATGGCCATATAGCTGTGGATCCAGAGCATGGACCATATGGAGTATTCCGATAACCCCACCAGATGTGATGGAGGTCAACGGATAAAGGATGCCTGGCAACCCACCTGTTGCCCCAGGTACCTCACCACTGTAATTTAGGTATTTAGATACATCTCGGATGGAATCCTTTCCATCCGACCTTTTAATCAAGCACCACCCAGACCACTGATAGATTACAACAAGACTTGTGATTTGTCAGCATCTGGGAAAGCTACCAAAAGGCACATAGCTAGATGCGGTAACCTGCTTAATCAAATAACTGTCGGTCGCGTTTAATAAAGCCGTTTCCCAGGGTAAATAGCTACTACGATCGGGTTTAATATGTCGACGCCATACGATTTTAGATCATTATATCCCTGGAGGCTAGCATCTAGACTTGTTAGTAGTGATAGACTTGGGGTGATGGACTTGGTAGTGATAGACTTGGTGGTAAGAGGCTTGGAGGCCAGCCCGATACCAGGTGGCTGTTAGCTGGCTGACTAAGGTAAGGTGCAAATAAAGCCGCCGGGTAAGGTACAAATAGGAGAACTTTTTACTTTTACCCTACTGTTGCATGTTATGGGGTGTGGTATGAACATGTCATGCAAGGTGTCCAAACAGACCCATGTCAGGAATCAAGACGGAGACTCAGGCGCGCTTTGACTCACGTGGTGTTTGTTGTCGTCGTATGTCATATAAAACTATTCCTGATTATTATATTGCTCCATCTGCCATGGTCAGGATATTAATTAAGTGTATAGCCGTTTCATAGCAACAATACTTCATAAGCACCCCTGAGGGGCATCGTATCTATGTGTCAGTGTCTTATCTCGAGTCGCTTATAAGATACGGTACCTCCAGGAATATAGGCTGGGTCTTAATCAGCCTCTCTGTGGACAATTCACGCTCAAACGTAGTAGGATAGTAACTTATCATGTTCATCATAGTAATGCTTTTGCTATGCTAACCGAGAAACCCGGCAAGGGCCCCCATCGGGCACACTTGCTAACGACACGTGCGGACAGTCACGAGCTGCTCTTTGCGAATGGTTGAAAGACTTCAACCAACATGGCCAGGGAGTGACGACGACATCCTTCAGTGGCGTGACCGTCATCTCAAGCGTCCTTCTAGACCGATACGGAGGCCCTGGTACAACGATTCGACCGACTATGTCATTACACGTCTCGCTACGAAAAAGCGCAACAGCAGCACATTTACCAGTCGTCTCATACAAGCCCAGAGTGGCCGAGATGCACTGCACCCAATCCTTCTCATCCTTGGCAGAAATGTCATGGAAAACACTGGAACTCCTGCAGGACTACCTGCAGGAGTTAACCCTTCCTTTCGTACCTGACCAGACACCGTCACAGACCAGTATGCAACTGCCGTATATTGGATCATAGCCAATTTCTGGTGCGCAAAGCAGGCAATGTGATACATAATTATTCATTCGACTGAGGCACCCGAATGAGGATGGAGAGCCTTTAATAGAGAAATTGATGAAACAGAACACCGATGACCCGCGGTCCTTTCAAAACCTCACACGGAGCTAGCTGCCTACAGTGCCGTATCTTCACACCCTTCATATATGCAGGGGAATCGGATATGTGGTAATCCCACCTGCGAGGAGAACAGCCGTAACGACGACAGTACCTTGGGCTCACGACAGTTCTTAACATAATCCAATGTTAAGATCCTGAGGTGGACGACCGAGCTTGCCCCTTCCTGCGCCAATTGATACACTCAAGAGCGTTACTCCGACGTCTCGTCCAGCTAGCCCGGCATTACTCGTGGGAACAGACAACGCTTCCTTCAGGCGCCCACACTCATTGTAAGAATCGCGAAATATGCTCTCCCGGCGTTGCATTCCAATGGTACTGGCAACCTTTGAGCTGGACATGAGCGACGAAAAGAACCTACAGAATCACAGAGACTTCTGAAGAGGCGAGGGGCACGATACCTCCCAAGATGGGAGCGGAGATGTTTGCCCTCACATATTTAACGAAGAAGCAGCATAAGGCGACACGGCAAACTTCAGCGCCTGCCATGTCAGTTGCCGGAATTAACGTGTGGTTCCTCCACAGGAAATACTTGCCCGAAGAGTACGTGATAGAGTAGAGTAATCACTGTGGCTACCCGGTTATCGTCCTATCGCCAACGCCAATAAATGGCGTTAAGTCATGCTCATATATCCTTTCCAGGATCTATCTTTCATTCGCTGCCTTGAATGTTGGCCTCTAGTTTAATCAACAAAGCGCATTTCACCGGGATACAGCAGACTGCGCGCCTCATCGTCCAGATTATCCAGCATGAGGCGACCCGTGGGAAATTCCGATGGAAAGACGATGAGTTTGAAGTTGTGGTTTACCAGGCCTTTTGAGGTGGTCATGGCTATGAAGACCGGTACGGTGACACATGGCAACGGAAAACCCAAGGATAAAACGCGAATTATAATGTAGAGATTCACTGGACGACAAAGGCCAGCAGAAACAGACTGCAACACTCAATCCTCGGAAGAGTTGGACACGAGCCGTGGCTATTCTGGCTATACGGCACGCAGCTCAGCATTTTCCGTCGTCGGTGGTCGAACGCAGAAACGCAAAACCACCGACGAGGCCGATGAGGAGCTTTGCGGACCTGGAAGACCGATCGCAGACATGGCTTCGAGATGTGACAGCTACAAGAATAGTGGTTTCTAAAGCCTGACGCAACTCAGAGAGTATGGATCGTACATCGGGCGATGTTGATCATCATGAGTGCATATCTGATGCACTGTCGTTTCTGCGTGAGGTATGGGGTGAAAACCTCGGTTGTAAATACATTGATCCAGAAACCCCTAGCCACAAATTAGTTGACCAAGAGCCTTTAGGAGTGGAGGAGGCACCAAAGCCGCGTTTATAGTAATAATAAGCTCCGTATGCAGATATATACAACCAGAGAAAGACAGCGAAGACAGTGCTGAAACTTACTATCACGAACTAGACTCTAGGACCGGGAAGAAGGTATTGAGATAGATATATGGGAGCACGCTACGCTTAAATTTTCGAAAGCTCGCTTGATAGCAAGTTTAGGAATTCATTTGATAGTAACTGCTATGACTGAGACTCCACAGGAAAGTATCCTCACCGCCGTCACGATAACCTACGAAAAGTGTAGAACCCGTTCCTCTTTGCGAAGATCCCTTGGAAATGCACTTACTCTACAGGTCGAGCTGGTAGCCCTCTATGCTAGGCACATGTTGAAGTCGACTGCTACCTCTCACCAGCCGAAGCGCCTCCAGAGTCATCATCAGCTTGCGACAGCCGGATCAGCGAACCTTGATAAGAAGACGTCCAATTCAAATTAAACTGATATCTAATACCGGTCTCTATTTTCCGCCATAGAACCACTGATTGCTGCGGTGCCTGATTGAGGTTAGAGTCAGGGTTAGGGTTAAGTCCACGTTGCCATGCTGCATGATGTACTTTAGGTATGGGGTAGGTTACTGGAAGCCTCGAAGCACAGGAACTACATTGTATTTGAATATATGAGACTGAGGAGACCTGCTAAAAGCGCGCCGTGTCCACCTTGAAATCATTCTGGGGGTTGAACCCAGTAGATGTATGCTGGCATGTTGTGAGACAACATACCCAGGGGGACGGTTAACCGAGACTGGTTGAGTTCATGATTACCACCTGCACCTTTACCTGCGTTGGGGACGTTCAGCGCACCACGAATGACCTCATACCATTGGCCTTTTCATCCTTGACCGCTTCCCCATCCATCACGCCATGCACATAAGCCTCGCCACAATACTCAAACTCGTTCTCACCGGCATCATCCACACTTCGCAGCACGAGCGGCAGCTGCGCGCCAGCAATGATGCACACCATGTCACCCGCCCGCATGCGATCACTCCCGAGGCCAACATACCCGAGACTAGTCGTGAACAGCGTACGATTCGCGATCGTCTCCTTCAAGTCCGGCAGGATCTTCAGTATAGTCATGCTCCATGAGGAGGAGGAGAAGGAGGAGCCAAGTAACATCTGAGAGCTCAAGTCTAAGTCTAGGCCACTCGCATCTGTTTGCGGAGACTGCTCCGACGTACGAGCGTGCATGTCGATGTACCTCGAGTACACGTCCGCAGAAGCCGTTGTCACGAGCGCCTCGAGCTTGCTGCAGTGTGCGTGTTCGTAGGGCTGCGTCTTCGAGGCGTGGTCTAACAAAATGGAGGCGGAATCTACCGAGACCACGTTGTCAAACGCGAAGCCGCAAAGATGAAGTGCCAAAGCGTTGCTCTGTACGTCGAAGCTTGACGGCGGTGCAAGCCCTGCGGAGGCATTGTACATGGAGTGCTCCTCGTGATTTTAAGAAACGTCGTTCTGCTTCCAACTGGAATTTGGGAAGAGGGCCGGTACCTGCACACGGACCAGTCAGCAGATGCTCAAGTTCAGATCAGAAGTAGCACAGGCGCCACGATGTCTCTGCTGGGAGCGGAGCAGCTGGAGACCTCTGTGGCCGCCGGATATGGCCCAAGCGACGCGACACGTACATCGGGATGCGTCCAGTCCGGGATCCACGAAGGCACGCCCTCTATCCGTCTCCGTCCGTCCCTTGCTAGGTCAATGCACACTTCCGACACATTCTTTGAGTAATCCGCACGATCAAGGTAGCCAGCGGAATCGGTCGCTAAACCCAGCAACGCAAATATGCGGTCCCGGTCATCCGTACATCTCGACACTCTTGCATGCTGGAGTAAGTTCGTCATCGTCGAAGGACGGACGCGACGGCCATATAGGGGATCTCTCTGCAGCCAGAGGTAGAGAAGCCGTTCCAGTGGAGTACTTCAATGGATCCCAATATTTTCCTTTCGCTCCTTGCGTTTGTTCGTAAGTGTCAGAAAGCCGAAGAGAAAGTTTAAAAAGTCATGCTTGCGGTCGGCATACCACACCGACGTCGAGCTATAAGGTCCTTTGTGATATATAGGCGTGGAAGCTTCTTGTAAGATCCATATGCAGTGCCAGTACGGGTGCTCCAGAAGTCTTTCCTTGAGCACAGGCAAGTCTGGACGGGTGTGTGCGTCTTCGCCATCTTTTGGTACGTACCGCTCTCGTTTTCTATCTTTGAAGAGGTCGAAGACATGCATATTGCTAAAAGCATCAAGTGCAACGAAGGAGGAAGCTGTTTCCGGGCTAACAGTACCGAGCCAGACGACAATACCCTGCGCTCTTTCGTATATGTTTTTCATTCGGGAGACGACTTCGCTGCGCTCGGGGATGTTTTGCTGGTCGATGCATATGGCATCGACCCAGTATAGTGTCTCCGGGTCAGCACCAAGCATGAAAGAGAGAAGATTCGAGCGCACATGCGCCAGTCGGCGGTTCAACACGATAGGGAATGTCGCTACGTCGCCCCATGTGTACGATAGCGCAGTATAATGCGGTGCGCTTGCGACATCGTGCGTCGTGAGCTCAGCTTCAACCGGACAGGAGTCGTCAGAGTGAGGAAGGATCTTGATGAGCCGGATCTTTTGAATACCAGAAGTCGGCAGCGTGTCGTATTCGAACAGCGGAAGGGCAGGAGTGGCAATACTTGGCGGCTGCCATGTTTCCTGCTCCAGCTTACGTAATCCCTGAGAATCCTGCGCGCCTTGTACGTTCTCTATCGGTTCCATGGTGGGTGATGGGTCCTTGCGATATTATGATGATACGGACAGCCATCACATGGCTCACCCCGCCACCGCCATCATGTGATATATTGTGCGAGAGGAGCCAATACGCCAATGGGCAATAATTAGTCAGCAATCCCACCTGTTACAGGGCAATACAGGGCATTACAGGGTTTATCGTAGAGGGCTGTTGGGCGCGCACAACACGCCTAGGACGAACTACAGTTGTGATACCCAGCCTCTGCTCAAGATTCAAACACCTCGTTCCGCCCCTGGATTCGAGGCGAGAAACTCCTCGGGCCCAGGTGGAGTCCCGGGACGATTTGGGAGAACTCCTGTAGACGGTTTGAGCAGATGGGATGAGGCGGACTGGGATGGATGACGCTTCCGCAACTATGACCTTGTTGCCATGCAAAGAGGGTCGGCTTCAGACCAGGAAGACGGCCTGAAGGAAAGGCGTGTCCGAAACGCAGGGAAGTCTCTGCCCGACGAGCTAGCCAAATACGCCTGGCCTGTTTTGAGAAAGCTCCCGTATGCGTCGGTAACGACTCCTACGGTAAAACGGCTGCTTGAAGGGCTCCCAGATCCTCTACATTGGAGAAGGTCGAGAGGACTTCATCTTCCTTGAAGATAGCGCCAGCTTTTCGACGGCACATAGCATCTGTGAGGTGTCGTCACTTGTATACGAAAGCCCGGTGGATATGCTCATCAAGCGCTCTCGTGATGAGAGGACCTATTGAGAGACGCAGATGGGCAGTGGAACGAAGCAAGCCGATTGCCAATGTCCATATATATCCCGGTGGGCTGTGCTGCCGGGACCGCCATTACGGCACATCAAAGGTTCCCTTTGACCTCGAGGAGGTATAATTCAGTTGGTTATCGGACGGCGGGGACGATGTTGTTTGATCTTCATAAGGTTAATGACGAAGGATGATTTGCAGGTATGGGGAATGCTTGGAGGTTTTGAGTGTGCCAAGATTGTAGACGATATACCCAATCATCCCAACCCCGCAAGATCGACAGTGCAGCACTCGCGCCATGATCACCATGCTTCTGACATCGCACGAAGTGTCAGTGAAGTGACCAAACGTGTCTCTCAACACTACCCATCGCGGCCTCGTGTGGCCCGCAAATATCCCCTTTCAGGTGGTACCCCAGATCGCAGTCTGCCGACCGTAACCTAGCCTAGCTGCCTTGCAGACGGAGGAGTATCTGATTTGGAAGCGAACCCGTCGTTCCTGGGTAGTATGCCGCCCAGAGATCGATTCCCGGTAGGCTTTGCCCCCAGGTTTCATGGGCCCTGATCTCTTTAACATACGTCTGGGGAGCATCTGCCACCGAGTCTGCATGACCCTTTACCGAATGAAACATCGGAGGCTTTTAAGCATCGTGGAGGCTGCAAGTCCTCTCCCGTGGGAGGCACCTCATGTGAAGTGACATGAGGTGGGCTCGACGGCGCGAGAAACTCGGCTCGGAACGGCCTACTATCTTGAGACGAGCTATGAAGATCGAAAACTATGCATGCTATGCCAGCGAACGGGACAGACGGCCTCTAACCTCTGGGGTAGTTTCAGCTTGCCATCCCAGATATCATGGGTTCCCATGTAGGACAGGCCGGCAAGGTCAGCTCTTTACCCCAACAAGACCCCAAAAAAGGTCCCGGCACGTGGAATCGATCCATTTGGCTTCCCTTCAGCCGACTTGGTCGCCACGGAAAAGAAGCCGTCAGAGAGGAGAAGCAACATCATGTGATGCATGGGTAGCGTCTAGCTGCATGGCCGCTCTTGAGGTTTGGGGTCGGTTCATATTGCTATTGCAGCCACCTGCAATAACACTACGAGATAAGTCCTATGACCTGGTTTTGAGGTGCCACCACGGACCGTGGATTCAGGAACGCTGGCCGGAGCAGCACAGCGCTTGCCGGCCAGACGTCCTGGTTGCTGCAGGGTTCAGCGAGTATATTGCATGCATCAGTTCCGCGGCAATCTCGCTATGCTGACCGGAGGACGGAAGAGACCAACATCTTGTCAGAACAACAGGTCAAAGAACATGAACGAGTTATCGAGCATATGCGTCGCCTATCGTTGAAGAATTTTAGCGATGCTGCTGCGATGCATCTAACCGGTTTTCGCATTCCTCGAGCTAGATCTGTAAGCCAGATGGGAAGTCGGTCCTCGTCCCGCAGATTGTCCCAGCATCTAGTTTTGCGACGTGAGTTATTATCTTGGCACAGACAGGAATGCGTAGCATTTCCAGACGAGGCAGCACAGGCTTTAGAGCAATATAGAATCCCACCCTTGAAACTCTTCACATCGGGTTGTTGTATAGCTGACGGCCGAGGATGGGCGATGCTTTTTAGCGGAGGCTGGCAGGGCTGCGCCGTCATGACGACGGGGATGGAACCCCAGATTTCCGTCAAGCCCATCTCTGGAGTGGCATTCCCACAGCATCCACTCGGACAATATTGGTATCTCAATAAAGAATACTGTGCCGTACAAGAAGCCAACGGCCGTTAGGTCCTCTCCTGTGCTTGAATCTCGTTATACCGAGGATGCCAACGCGGTGCTCTGGACCTCGGTTGTTTTGCTTCATCCGACTGCATGTCTGTGGAAGGAAATCTCATGAAATAAAGCTCGGCCTAGTTTGAAAGGCTGCCTATTGTTGGGCCGCTCGTTATTGCTGATCGAGTCAATCTGATAACACATCAAACTGTCGAGGCCCGTGACATTCAGCGTAGGTAAAAGTTGTCGCCTGATCCTCTAGATTCGCCCAAGCAGAGCCTCCAGCGCCAGTCGACTATGCATGGTTTCGGAAGGGGCAGGACATGGCAGGGCAAATCACAATGCCGCTGTCAGGAGCGGCACATGGTGACATGGCCGATCCTTCGGACCTGGAAGACGGGAACGTTGCGGAGAACCTCGTACCTGGTGCGGTCCTGAAGGCCGTGTTAGGTAAGCCAAGGTGAGTGCGTCCGCAGTAGAGTTTGGTGTTGACGTCCATCCGCTCATCCTTGAGTGTGATGGGGATTCGGTCGAGTCGACTGCGCCGGAATGGCGCTGTACATATGGCCGTTTGGGGGAAGACAATGGCTTCTATTGGTTCGTGGAATCGGTGAGCACAAGATGTGCACAGGGGTATCTGAAAAGCCCCAATAGGGAACATTTGCGAGGCGATCTCGCATGGTCCTCGAGCAAATGGGAAGATCGGTCCGGTTACCGTAAGTGAGCTGGGGTACGCGCCCTTGATTGGGCAGTCACTCAGCTGTTGGCGTCTTGGTGGCTTTCATGATGCGGTGACGGTGATGCTGTTTCTATCTAGCAATGGTCGTCTGGATCGCCTGACTGTTTGACTGTCCGGAAGATGGGGAAATCACTGCTGGCATCTACTCAGTAAGAGACTCTGTCAGTAGAAAGACGTAGTATGAGTTCGGAAGCAATAGAGTCGTCAGTCTTGTGCTCAGTCTCATTGAGTCCTCTCGGATAAACAGCTTGAGCGTGAGTGCGTACAATAGATAGTGTTAACCTCCTCGTATGATAGCGGCACGATGGAACGAGACGGCCTCGTCCTGACAACGGCAGTGGCGTTGAAGAGTAGCATGGTGGCGACGAGAAACGGGGACCATGGACATGACCCAAAGCGCGTATCGGCGTTGACGACTCTGTTTACTAGTGAGTGCCGACGGTGTGTGGTGAGGCCTTGCTCGGGTACACGCACCACCATTCATGACGGCTCGTCTCTATTTCGGCCTTTAACGGCGGTCTATTAAGACATTGTATGGCAGATCGAGTGCCGCATGACAGTACCGGCCGCCCAGCCGCCCCAGCTCCCCAAGGCACAGGTCAAGGCACCCTAGCTAGCCTGCAGCTTGAGGCTTGCCTTGCCGTAGACGCGACTGAAGCAGCTGCCCGATGAGTTCCTGGCGGCATTGACGACGAGGCCCACATCATGTCCCATTGGTCGAAGGCGACGTAGTCGCCCAGACTTTTCGTCTATTCGACGTGTCGAGTATAGTTGAGTAAATATGATGTGCAATGTGTGAGAAGTAACGCAGATGGGTTGATCGCAGACTTTGTGAGTTCCACTGGCTTATATTGGGATCTCTGGACACGAAGTCGGCAAGTTTTGTGTGTTGACAGCGCCTAGAGAGCCAGCATCCAGCCTCAAGTGCTGACAACATTTAAACTGACATGAACGCTTCTCCAGCCACCCGCAGCCACTGGAAGCCACTGGAAGCCACTGCCACCAAACCAAAATCAAACGTCGACAGTCGCAACACCGGACCCGATCACCGATCACCGGGGCCCCCGCCTTCCACTTCCCCGACTTCCCCACGATGATATCCATGCACATGTACCAAGAAGTCACGGATGCTGCCACCGACAGAATCACACCCTGGCACGTTCATCATTGCTGCCACCGTTGAGAAGCTCTCACGATGACACGCTCCAGAACATCCTCAACCACTCGCTTACATCCCATACATGTCATACATCGCTGCAACCCTGTGTCAACCCCACAGGCCTCAAATGGACGGCAGCAGAGTCTCGGAGATGACAACCTTGAAACCGTTCAGGCACACCCTTCTTGGACCCCTAAAATAGTCGTGCGAGACAATGGGATACCGTCACCACCGTGGCAGTCTGGCACCCTTTCCCCGTACGATCATCCATCCACTTTGATGGGAGATGGGGGGAAGACAGATCAAGAACCATTGTGGGCCAGTGTAGTGCTGCCCGGCAGCAGCCGAGAGATTTGCATCCTCAAAAGCCTGCCACTGACGACAGACGACATGAGACGAAGACCACTAGTCTGAAAGTAGCTGTCTAGGCTCCTTCTATCCGTCCCCGTCCCCGTTGTAGTCCGTTGTGGCAACCGATGGGAGAAGATCCCTGGCTCGCAATTCTACAACGGTCAAGGCTACGGAACCCATACAGGAGGTCGCCAAAGAGCTAGCTAGGGTCGAGCAACGCGTGCAGCATTGCAGAGTTCTTTGCTTTGTTCCTAGCTTGATCGGGCAAAGCAGTCAAGATATTGACGATATCCCCTCAGCGACACTCTGGCCGGTGAGTCGGTGACAAACTCTGAATAGTTTTTATTCTTAGCTAATAAGCCCTTGACCAGCTTTCGCGACCTAGCAAGTTGATCTGTATGCCAAGGCTGACTGGGGTTGCATCAACTTGCCAGGGGTGGCAGGTCAGCCAGTCACGCTGAGGAGGGGCGCTTCTGCTCGACGCCCTCCACCCTCCCTTCTCGGCATTGCACCGTCATCTGTTCCGAACATGAGGTCAAGGTGAACCGTTCCTCGGGTCATGTTCCTCTGCTCCATCCACGTCCTGCAAGTGCAGACGCCATGCGTTAGACGAGGCTGCAAGCCACCAGCCCAAGCAGACCAAGTTCGCTGCGGCACGGCCGCATTGACTCCAACATACGTGCATGACCGGCCCTGTCACCAGGAGCCGAAATGTACTGATCTTGGTAAGGTTTACGTGTTATCGTACACACGCGACTTCTCATGCTGTCTGTTTCGCGCGAAGGTGAAAAAAAAAATTCCCGTACTCTCGGAAGTGGGTGGTGAATTGCCTGACTGTCTGAAGTACAGTTGGCCACGCTGACAAGAAGCCCACAGCACGACTCCGCCTTTCGCTCTGCTTCCTCGTCTGTCTACGAAGTACCCGATTTCTCCAATCTGCACGAGTCGGAGCTTGACAACCGAGTGCATGTATCTTCGTGTAACTCGTTGCCACCCTGCACCTTCTTTCTCGCGACCCAGTTGAACCCTTGTTTTCGTTGCTTGAGTGAAGAAGCGGGTCATATGACAGCAGGGGGCCCGAACAAGACATGTAGAGGAACCACCATAATCTTGACCTCTTGACCCCAAGTCGTCAGTCCATCTCACTTCACCTGTCCCGCCGTTGTATATTGCACTCGATATTGCCCTGATGAAAGGGAAGGCCTATTCTCCAATCGTATCACCACAGAGAAACAGGAACGTCTTCTTCTATATGTATGCCAAGGCCACTGTATTACCTGCACTCGTCGAGGAGGGAGAGCGATCCAGGCCTACGGCATTGTCCTGCTCAGAACGGACACTTTCTATCCTTTCTTGGGTGCACCGTCCTTCCGGTCGCTCTAGCGGCCGCTTGCTTTGAGTCTACCACTATTGCTTCAAACTTGGAAGACGCCAGTGGCAGGTAATACTGAGAGGTACCCCCGTGGAACGTGGCAGATCCAGTATGTTCATCTTCAACCTTTGTACCCCCCCTGTGCATGGCCCGTCCTCCATTCGCTGCTCCCTCGCCCTCCAACCCCGCGAACTGCTTTGCGTTCTACCCTGCTCTGCAGAGACCTGTGCCGTCTTTCTACAACTGCGTTGATCAATTTTCACTGTTTGGGGCTCCCTCGTGCTGTTCAACATATCATCATGCTCATGGTTCCAGCTCCCCACGGCAGGAGGCTTTCGGTCCGTCCAAGTACCGCTGTCTGGGGTGGCCACATGGCGCCAAGGCCAGACAGGTCATAGCTACCTTACTTACCTCTCCGTGGAGGAGCATATAGCTCCAGCCGTCTCGCATCGCCCCGGCGCTGTTGAGGCCTCTGCAATCTAGACGCATCTACGCTTCACCCAACTGCTTGCACTCGTTCGAAATCGTTCGTCATCAATGTCGTATTAAGGCTAGAGCGACCTGGTCGACTGCCATACCCTACACCTAACCAACACCGAGTGAAAGCCGCCACCGCGGACTACTCAAATATGCTCTCGAATCCTCTCCAACGGTTTTCACCGTACCACACGCTACCGTCTAACGCTCTCTTGTCCAACCCTCGTCCACAAGGAGGCCACCTCCACGGCACTGGCTTGGAAGCTTTTGGCCATGGCTCTCAATATGCTCTCCAGCATCTTCAGCAACACGTAGGGGTACATTCTCCTCATCTCGTACGCGCACCACACCCAAAACACCGGCAGCATCCTTATGGCGGTCCAACTACGAGATCCACAGCAGCGGCTGGGCCTATAAGAAGAAGGATAAGCAGGGCTTGCGACCAGTGTAACCAGCTGAGGACCAAGTGTGATGGACAACACCCATGTGCTCATTGTATAGGTAGGCAAGCTCTTCGAGCCCAGAGGGTAGCAAAAATCAGCTAATACGTCCAGAATTCGGACTAGGCTGCGAGTATATCCGCGAGAGAAAGAAGCGGGGAAAGGCCTCGCGTAAAGACCTTGCCCAACAAGCAGCCGCGCAAGCAGCAACGGCGGCGGGAGAAGGGGGATCGAAATCACCAGGTCAGCTCGATGACAATGCGTCATCTACAGATCAGCAAACAGACGATCCATCCTCCGCTAAATCGGACCAACATCACCACACAGCAGAAACAGCCTTGACGGATATGACAGAGGAGGCTATGGACCGCAGTGAAAGGACAGGGAGCCTCGACAGCTTGGCCGAGTTAAGCTCTCACCAAGCTCACATGCCAAGTCACCCGGGGGCCTTGGACAGGGACCATCTGGATAGCCCTACCTCATTAGATCTGAACGGGTATGGCAACGTCCAAAATCCATTCGACAGTCAAGGTATGGGCCATGTGATGGGCGGGGCCACGCACACGGCCTATGGTGCTGGTCCGGGCCTTTCAAGCTATCCCGATATTCCGTATGCCCTCCAGACTCACAGCCCTCCAGACTACTCTGCCAACGCATCCACGGCATTCGGTATGGGTGCCAGCCCGCTCAGTGCATACCCAATGGCTGGCGAGCCAACCTCTCCCGGTTGGATGTCCATGTCCTCACCGCCGCCACAATACCAATCTCACATCCCCCAAAACAACTACCATCAGCAACTACGATACCCTGTACTCAACCCTCTGATCCCTCACCTCGGAAACATCATTCCGGTATCACTTGCCTGTGACCTGATCGACTTATACTTTGCGAGCTCCTCCTCGGCACATGCTCACCCCATGTCACCCTATGTGCTTGGCTTCGTCTTTCGAAAGCGATCTTTCCTCCACCCCAGCAAGCCCAGGCAGTGCCAGCCAGCCTTGTTGGCTAGCATGCTTTGGGTAGCGGCACAGACTAGCGATGCTCCGTTCTTGACGAACATGCCCTCAGCAAGGGCCAAGATTTGCCAGAGGTTGCTCGAGCTGACTGTCAGCCTCTTGAAGCCGCTGATACACACCCCATCGGGTGAAGCATCCCCGGTATCCAGCCCAGTAATCGACGGCGTGGCCCTAGGGGGCCTGGGCGTGGCTCTGCCCGGCTCGATGAGTATGGAGAACTTGAGCGGAGAATCTGGAGCATTTGGAGCTGCGGGCACGCTGGACGATGTAGTAACCTATATCCATTTGGCTATAGTGGTCTCAGCGAGCGAGTACAAAGGCGCCAGTCTGCGGTGGTGGAACGCGGCGTGGTCGCTTGCCCGCGAGCTGAAGCTAGGCCGCGAACTCCCAGCCAGTGCGCCTCCAATGTCGCGGGGTGGTAATGGCAATGAAGTCGATGCCGATGGCGAGGCAGAAGACGAACTTGGCAGCAATGTGCACGCTGGAGTTATGGGTGAAGAAGAGCGCGAGGAGCGAAGACGTATCTGGTGGCTCACCTACATCGTGGACCGCCACTTGGCGTTATGCTACAACCGGCCCCTATTTCTGCTTGATATCGAGTGTGAGGGCCTCATGCAGCCAATGGACGACACGGAGTGGCAAAACGGCAACTTCAACTCGTATACGACAGATCCGGCCTTGTCGGAGCCATCTGACACGGACGACGGCAAGGTGCGTGGCCCACACTTCGAGTGCAATGGCCACAGCATCTTTGGCTACTTCCTGCCCCTGATGACCATCCTGGGAGAGATTGTGGACCTCCACCACGCGCGAAACCACCCACGATTCGGGGTCGGGTTCCGCGGGGCGAGGGAATGGGACGACCAGCAAGCCGAAATCGTGCGGCATCTCGAAGCCTACGAGCACAGCCTGAACAAGTTCGCGCAGCGCCATTTCAATGCCAGCTCGGAGGACAAGAACGAGCAGGCGGCGACGCTAGAGATGCCGACCGAGCTGGGCGAGTTCCACATGGGCGACTCGCCCTCGGTGCGGTCGGTGCACACCAACACGTCGCGCATGACCGAGTCGGACATCCAGACGCGCATCGTTCTGTCGTACGGCACGCACGTCATGCACGTGCTGCACATCCTGCTGACGGGCAAGTGGGACCCCATCAACCTGCTCGACGACGCAGACCTGTGGATCTCGTCGCAGGGGTTCATCACCGCCACGGGCCACGCCGTGTCCGCCGCCGAGGCCATCGGCAACATCCTCGAGTACGACCCGGGCCTCGAGTTCATGCCCTTCTTCTTCGGCATCTACCTCCTGCAGGGCTCCTTCCTGCTGCTGCTCATCGCCGACAAGCTCCAGCTCGAGGCCTCGGCGAGCGTCGTGCGCGCCTGCGAGACTATCATCCGGGCCCATGAGGCGTGTGTCGTCACGCTGAACACCGAGTATCAGGTTAGTTACTTTGCTTTGACCCTTTTCCATATACCCTTTTGGGGGTGCGGGAATCGTGGAGCTGACATTCGAACAGCGTAATTTCAGCAAGGTCATGCGCAGCGCTCTCGCCCAGGTCCGCGGCCGCGTGCCCGAGGACCTCGGCGAGCAGCACCAGCGCCGCCGCGAGCTGCTGGCGTTGTACCGATGGACTGGCGATGGCACTGGGCTCGCTCTATGATGAGGTAGGCCGTAGCTGGCTTCTCTGTCCTTTTGCTTTAGCTTCTATCTCTACTGGGTACATATAGGCTTAACGGCATCGGCGTTCTGGGTGTGTGTGTGGTTCCCAGGGCACCCCAAAAAGATCTCGAATGGATGGATGGATGGTTGGGTTTTGGTATCGGTCGGGATAGTTGGCGGTCGGACCTGGCCGGTGAAGGAAAATCAGTGTTGCCACATTATCACGGCACTAAGTAGCGGCCCCACAGCTCCAAGGGTCTAACCCCTACATATACCAGGTCTTATTACCTAGCTAGTTTTAAATTTCTTTATGTATATTAATAAAGTCATTTTTATAATTACTTACAGCTAAATTATAATAGTTTAATACATTATTTCGCTTTAACTTAATTTATATTAATTTAGAGGTTTTTTTAATCTCGATCCAACATCGTTTTACTTCCGATTTTGTTTCGATATCATTCTTTTAAGCGTTTTAATTCAGGTATTTTTTTTACTGGCTTTTCTTAGTTAATTTCGCGTTAATTTTAATCACTTAGACATTGTTATCATTTTGTTATATTTAATTATTAGGCTAACCTCAAAACCATCTCGGTTTTAAATGAAAACGACGCTTTTTTATCGTCGTTTACTTATATCTCGTTCTTTTTATACCGCTAACCCGACCTTTTTATTATTATCAAATATTACGTTGAGTAAGTTAATTTTTTTAACTTAAGCGTTAAGCTTAATAATAACGAAACTTTTATAAATTTATTTGGTTTAATTTTCGGCCTTCTAAATATTAAAATCCCCGATAGTTATTAAAAAAAATCAAGCTTTATACTTAGTTGAATAGAATGGTTATAATTTAATTTATTAAGGTTCAACCGAAGCCATTTCCAATATAAATATATTTTAAACTTATAACGACTTTATTGTAATTCAACTTACTTAAAGTTATACGAAACCTTATAAACTTTATTTTACACTTTAAAGTTTTTAAGCCGAAACAAGCTCGCTCAACTCTTTATTTATTAACTCTTTATAAGCTTTAAACTAAAACCTCTAAAATTTAAATCAATTAACTTTACGAATAAGTTCGTAATATTACCCTTTAACTTTAATTATTACCTTAATATGCAATAAATGAATAGTTTATTGATAACGAGGTTTTAACTTGTTAATTTTTACAAGTGATGGAACAGGCTTGAACGATCAGTCATAATACTCGAGTATTGGGTCAAGGTAATGATGCTACTGATGGTTGGATTGGGAGGTCTAGCTGGACTCGCAGGTCTGGCTAAGTGACCTCACAATCCGGTATCTGATCTCTTATCTAATCATACATGTGGGTTCGGTATGGATGGTTTGAATGTAGAATCGCATGGATCCAACAATAAGCGATTAAAAAGTATTAGTTTTAAATAATAATAAAATTAATTAATGTGTTTGTTATTTTATTAAGAAAACATCTAATAAAACTTTATTTTTTATCTTTATTGATTACATTTCTTATATATTCAAACATTTTTTCGAAACGGCTTTTCCCTAGGTTAAAATTAAAGTCGATTTAATAGTTAACATCTTTATTTAAAACCTTAATAAAACTATATTGGAAGCGGGGAAAATAGCTTAGAAAATAAAATAATTTTAACTATTTGATCGTATATTTAAATCCGACTTATATTGTTCACAATGTAATATTTTAAAGCTTATTAGATTGTAATTTTTTTAAAGTAGGTCGATTTTTCAGGGGAATTTTTTAGACTTTTAACGATATATTAATGCTTTTAAAGCTATAAACAACTGAAAAGTTAATAGTTTTAAAAATCAGGTTTATGAAGAGTTATAAAACGCTTTTATATCAATTTTTTATATTTTTAACGTGTAAATTTTACCAGTTGGGTTTATTTATATTGCGAATTTATTAATAATTTTAGTAATCAAGAATTTTATTATAAACGTTCAAAAGGTAATAACAGGCTTGTTTTTACTTCGTAAAAGAACACGAACGGCTTTGCTTATAACGCTTAATAAAGTAAATATAAAACTTTTAATAGAAATAATACCATTTAAATCTTTATTATCATTAATAACCAACCTTCCTGCCGTTATCTTGATTTTTATAATTATTTCGATAATTCAAGTTATTATATTATAAACTATGTCGTTAAAATAGCGTTTTAAAAGCGTTAATAAAACGAAGCCGATATATAAGTAAAAAGATAGAAGAAGTTTAATTTTTAAAAATCGTTATTTTCAAAAGCGTTCATTCAAATATTAGTCTAATGAAAGAAAGGAGCCGGATATATATATATTATAACTTTTTTACAACTTTTTTCAAAAAGGCCATACGGTTATATACCAGTTCATGTTAAATACTATTTATAATTTATTAAGTTTTATCGAATTTTTAACGTAATAGTCTAGCTTTGCTTTTAAACCGTTGTTGGATTTACGTACTTTTTACTTATCCGATAAAACTCTTAATAGTTATATTATTTAATAAGCCAAGTTACGACATACTATCGATAAAACATTAAAAAAATTACCGTATTGTTATTGCTTTAAACAAGTTTAACGTTAATTTAAAACTCTTTTAATTATAGCATTATAACCTTATTATCGAGTAAATTATTGATATTATATTGTTAAAAAACAAACGAATTGTGCTAATTATACTTTTAAATTATAACCGATGATTCTTTAAAACAATAGCTTATAACGTTTTGATTATAATTTATTTTAAAAAATAAAAGAGAAAAAATAACGTTAATAGTAGTTTATCTTTAAATCGGGAGCTATTTAATACCGACTTCTAATTAAGCCCGTTCTAGCCCGACCCGCTTTTAATAAGTAAAGAGTTGAAATTAAAGTATAAAAGTTACTAGCTTTTAGTTTTTCTTATCGGTAAGGAAAAAATAAAGAATTTCATATATCTTTAAGAATTTATAATTATAAATGATATTATAAAAATTACTGTTATTATATAAAAACTTCAAAACGAAAACAAAGTTTTACCAGATATTATGAATAATTAATTATCGACTAATTTATCATTATTACGCTGACAAAAATGTTTTATTAACTTTTTGTTACGGTATTAAATATAAGCCTTGTTAAGCCTCAGCTTCAACCTTTCTATAATTAAATTAATAAAACATTTTAATTAAAAAAGTTATTAATAACGATATTTAAGAATATTTTAATAAAAAGCCGATATTATTTATGAAATAAATTGTTATAAAGTTATTTATACAATACTATAACTTTATTGAGGCGTTCTTTTTTAAAACATTGATAAATTACTTTCGTATTAGCTATATAATTATAAAATTAACCTACTTCTAGGTTTTATATTACTTATTACGCAAACTTACTTTAATACTTTGAAAAAGCTTTTAACTATACGAATATATTTTGACGATTATTTTAATAAGACTTTTATTAAAACTATCTTTTTACTGCTATTTGTATCTTTTCGATTAAAAACTTAAGCGGCGGTACTTAAATTTATATTAAGTATTGCGGACTTAATAGCGTAACGGTTAAAAACTAGTACTTAATCTTTCTAATTTAAAACCTTTCGATGTTTTTACTAATGTAAATTTTCTTATTAAACTTGATATTATAACGGCGTTTAATCGTTTTGAAATCGTTTTGAAATCGTTTTGTAAAACGAATAAAAATAACCTTTATTTTTAAATCTGGTCTATTTAAATATTTGATGGTTAATTTTGACACAATTAAAGCGCTTAATATGTTTTAGTATTATATTCACGATATATGATTCAAAAAACTGACAATTAGGTAATAATATATCTCAACGATATCTTAATTTGAAACAGTAGTTAAGTAAAATACTGTTAATATGTTTATAAGAAATTTTTTACGTCCTATTATAGCCGGCTTTATTGTTAATATTAATGAGTGCGAATTTAAAGTTATATAAACTAGATATATTAGCTTTATTATTTTTAAAAATTTTTAATATAAGCCTTGAAACGGTTTTAAGTATCTATATGTAAAAACCTTTCGAGTCGTTTTATAATTCTTTAACGTTTTATAAGCTTTATAAATTTTTATCAGAAGTTTATTACAGGGGTTTTTTTAATTATTTAACTTTTAATTATTTTAATAAGTTAAAACTACTAGTTAAACTACTTAGATAAGGCTGATCTTACCTCGTTTAAATAACTTAAAAAAGTATTTATAAATATATTAGTTTTTACTTATTACGACCTTTAAAAAATATTAAATAAAGTAAACGGTTCCGGCTAAGAGTTAAAAGGACTCTTTTTAAAGTTGGGGAAAACCGGTTATACTACTTTATTACTTATTTTTCGGTAAAATACTTTCTTATTAAAAGTAGTTATAAGATTTATAATAAAGAGTTGTTTATTATTATTAAAGCTTTTAAAAATAACGTTTAAAGTTATTATAAAATATAAAAACTTTTCCTATTTTATTATTATAAAGTTTTCAAATTGATACTAAGCTTACTAGTCGGAATTTTTAACTAATTTCCATATTTTTAACTACGTACCGCCCAGGGTTTTTTATTTATTTTTTAAATATCTTATCCTGGCGCTTGACTAATAACCTGGTAAATAAAACGGGTATAACTAATAATAAAGTAACAGATCGGTTCCGAGGGTTATTTTTTATTACAAACTTTAAAGACGCGATTGATGCATTAGTTAACACCGTTTATGCTTTTTTGAAACTTATTGAACTTGATTTTACCGAATTTAATAAGAAAGTTAAACGATGATTTTTCGGTTAAATTAAGAGATAAATTCGCCTTATGAAAGTTAATTATATGTCGGTTTAAGGTTATATTTAAGTTAATAACTAGGTTTATTTTCTTCGATAAAATCGTACGGTTTTAAGTATTATTACGTATCTACAATTTTGGTTTAAGGAAATATTTGAAACGTTTTAAAACTTATAACCTATTTCATTATATATGTTTTTGTCAGATGTTGGATCCCAGATATGGTTCCCTTAGGTGTAGTACCCACTAGAGGGCTGTTAAGGGAACAGTGGATCCACCTTTGCATGGTGCAGTATGCTATTTAGCTGTAAATTAGCCCTGCCGAGCATACTTGAGAATGACAACAATATTTGCAGCGACCGCTCACACCCCCAAGGCTTGTGACCCTTCTAGAATCTCACAGTTTTTTACTTAATGTCATTTATAATATTGCGGCTTTTATTAAAAAGTACTAGTTTAGTTAATATATTAAGCGCGTTAAAAGGTCGTTTCCCGCCTTTTAAAACTTGTTTTAATACTTTTTTACTTATAAATAAATGTCTTGATTAATCATATCAGCTTTTTGACGGAATGTAATTATTTTAAAGTTATCATTAATTGTATTTATGATAGTAAGTAAATGTATAAGAATACATTTTTTACTTGTTTTAAATATTAAGGCGTTTATATTAATTATCGCTTTGATTTTATAAATATATCGCTTTTACGGCACCTTTTATAATGTTGTTTATAACCGTAAATCTTAATTTATTTAAGCTTTTTAAAAAGAACTTAATAAGTCTTTAAATATTTACTCAACTTTTCATAGCTTTCTACCTTTAAATAAGCGGTTGAATATAATTTATAAAGGTTAATATTAAGTAATACGTACAATCGTTTTATTCTTCTTTCAAGCCAATTAAGCCGGTATTTAATTTCAAACGAATTTGCTATAAAAAATAATATTTTTAAAATGATAAGACTCTTTTTTATTAACTATAAGTTTTACCTAATAATAAGTTTAAACTTAGGTTAACATTTGAACGAAGCCGATATTAAGTTATATCGGTAAGAGTTTCTTAATGTCTATATGATCGTAAAAAAAATCGAAGACGTATTCACCCGCGCGAGGGCTTTTATATTGAAAGCTAAGAACCGTTGTAAGGCTCATACGACCGTAAGGTAAAAAAAATTCATTGTTTAAAAAAAAAAGCTGGTTAAAGGTTTAACTAGAAATAAATCGGTTTATTTTTCGTAATAAAAACGTATTAATACGTTACTAATTTTTAATTACTTAATGATTTCTAAGTTATCAGATTTTTTTTTTAAAGTTTATAAAGTTAGAAACGTTTACTTTGAATAAGATGGTATTAATATATCATATTAAGATTGTATTAAAGGCGTTTTAATAACGAAAAACGTCTCGATTAATAACGTTATTAGAAAAAGTGGTTAACCAGATTTTACTTAACTTTTTTAAAAATAAGGAAAGCAACTTTTAATATCTTATTAAGTGGCTTTACCCTTACTAATCATTATAACAACCTTTAATAAACGTTAATAAATACGACGTTAAAATCGCAACGTTTTACTCGCGGCACTTGAAGAAATTCAAACTTTTCAAATGTAAATCACTTTGATATAAACAGTTATAAAAAAGGAAATAATAAAATAAAGAGTAAAAAGGGATTTTTTATTTAATTTTACTACCGGATGTTAGCTAAGTAGTGTTTCAGGGCAGGGTTGATGTCATGTATAGCAAGGTCTGTGGTATAAAAAGGCCACCGTTCATTTTTCGTTGCTTTTTTATGTCTTCCTGGACAGCCACTCCTCTCTCATAACACATATAATTGAGCGATCAGCTCAGACACACGTCGTATTATCTCTATGTGACACACACTTCAAGTTCACTGCGTGGCTTTGCCAATGGCTCTCCCTCCCCCTTCTTATATCCATTATACAAGCAGCACCATTGTGGGTGTTGTTACTGTCCCCGACTCAGTAGCTTTTATAAAAACCTTAAAAAGAGTTAAAAAAAATTCAATTTTTTTCCCATGAAACTTTAAATCTTTATTTAATAAGCCCATTTTAGAAGTAGAAATTTATTTTTAAAATTCCAATTTAAAATTATAAAACCGGTAGATTACTAAAAACATTAAACTTCTGACCTTGAAAAATATCTGGCGTTTTAATTAAGTCGTAATAGTATTAATTTGATATTATATTTAGATTTGTATTATAACCGTTGTTTAAGTTGTAATTACATCGGCGCGGGCCGGGTCTTTGATGCTTAAAATCGTTATAATAACTAATATAATGTAAGCTTAAAAATATTATTTAATAACGTTATAATTAGCATTATAAGGGTTATATAAGTAAAAGTGTAATATTTAGTAATTTTTTAAGCTTTAACCTATTTTAAAGTAGTATTTTCGACCAGGTATAAGTATTTGATAATAAATAACTAGTAATAAGTCGTAACCGTATTATTTAGTAAAGTTAATTTAGTTTATATATATATAGGTTTTGTTAATGTATGAAGCCCGATATAATGACGATATTATAATAGTTTAAATATGTATCGTGCGATATTTTTTTTTTTTCGAGATATTATAGTATACGTTTTTTTCGATATGTTTAAAAGTTAAAGCAAGCGTCATGGTGCCTAGCCACCTAGCCACCACCATTGGACCTGGTGCCCGTCACGTGCAAGTCACATGACCTGGTCAACATTGCTTCGTAGCCGAATTTCGGGGCGGTCGCTTAGATCTATCCTACCAGCCAATTTGGCTGCGGGTCAAGATCTTTTTTTCCTTCCTCACTAGATGATTTTCATACTTATACAGCAATTAGATTTATTGCGCTCCTACTTCGTAATACGGATCGTGACAGTAAGCGATAGAATTAAAATAATAAATTTAAAGCGAATAGTTTTATCATAATAAAAGTTCCCAGCGGTTTTATTTTAAAAGAAATTAATTAGTTATTTTAACTAAATCGGCTGTGTTATCCTTTATCAACGGAATTAACTTAGTTTTGATTTGTTACCGTTTCGTAACTTTTAAATTTAGAACAAATTATTACAGCGTAATCTTTTTGGTAATATATTTACTATATTAAATAAACGTTATATAAGTATATTTGTAAAGAATATTTAACGTTTTATTAACGAGGTTATTGTTTAATATATATATCGCAAGCTGATTAAAAGTAAGTTATATAAAAATGCCTGAGCAAGTAGTATATAAATAAACGGATACGATCAAAGTAAAAACGAGGCATTTTAAAAGTTATAAATGATTATTATTAATAAGTTAATATAGTATTAAAGGCGGAAATACGGTTTATAAGTAATATTTAGTAGAATTTAAGTTTGGGAACGAAAAGATAGAAATATAGGTATATTATATTTAAAGAACGGGATTAAAACGATTTACGCGATTTTAGTTTTAAGTATTAATAAATAAATAAAAAAGGCAGTAAGTCCTAGTAAACCAAAAGCAGACCTAATGATATCGTTTTAAATAACTGGATTTCTAGCTTTATAACAGCTTAATAACGGCCTCAAATTACCTACTTAAAATACCAGTTTTATTAATATAATTACAGTTAATTGGGGTTTTAAAAAGAGTTATTATTACGGCATTAAGTAGCAGCCTCATAGCTTTAAATGTTTAACCTTTATATATATCAAATTTTATTATTTACTTAGTTTGATACGGTGTTCTTAAGTTTATTAATAAAGTTATTTCTACAGTTATTTATAGCCGAATTATAATATATATAGTTTAGTATTTGTTTATTTTAACAGTCTTTTCCATTTAAACTTAGGGCTGGTAGTGTTTAATATAAATGGCCGTAGTAAATTGGTTTATGTTATTTATTAAGAACTTTTTTTATTGTTATTATTGCCTCGGTTATCGGACCTGATTTTTAGTTTATACTTTGGCTGTGTATATAAACTACTTATGCATTAAAAGACTGAAATGAGTATGAATAAGCCTTGAGATAATTGCTCGTATTATTTGGTCTTAAGCTTGGTGTTTATTGCCAGTATATATCGCATGGGATCAAGATTGATCCTCTCCCTTCTTTTAATGGTTCTCTTTAAAGGGTTTGTCGTGGGAGACATAAAGAGTATGAAGGTGTCAGAGTTCGACTGCTGGTGACTCCAGAATGACTATTGGTGTTGTACGTAAAGAAGAAGAAAAAAACCATGAAGCTAGCTAGAAGACATGGTCCGGTATATATAGGGGTCAGTCCTGTGAGGCTACCTAACGTCGTGACAGAACGTCCAGTCTGTAAAGTGTAAACTGACAACTGTGAGACCTTATAGGCCTAGTCGAGCCCTAGGAGCCTTGTATGGTGGTGGAGAGAAAGATAGATCAGCATACTCCCTGATCGTCGCTCGTCCACTTACCTCTATTATCGTTGACGTTGGTGATTAATGTAAAGTCTTCCAGACGAGACACAGTCAGGGCAAACCGTCTAATTCTTGTGACACTTCCTTCCTATCTATGTACCTGTCTGCCCACAATCTGTCACTCGTCTCGTGGTAATGGGCGATATACAGACGAACGAGTTGACGATGCTAGACACGTTGTAAGCATGCGCTTTCCTGAGGAACTCATCTGGAGGAATTGGCCAAGCGAGCGGGATGACACGAACGTTATAGAAACATAGGAGCAGGTACTAAATAATATCAAAGCTGAAAACCAGTAGCAAGCAGGGGCGCCAGGCCCGGGTTGATGACTTCGCAGTATCGATGGCATAACGTGCTACTCATATCATAGACCTGTACCAGGTGCTGCCGTTGCAGAAAACGAGAGAATTACTTTCATAAAGCTTTCGAACAGCTAGCGTCCTCTCTAAGAATATCGAGCTTCCCATATCAGTGAAAAATAATGAACCTCAACTCAGTCTAAGCCGCGCCGTGCACCCTTGCTGTCTTCGCAGGCTCAAGACAGCCAGTAGGTCGAATAGAAACACCAACACCATGACCAGTAAACACGATTAACGCCTCAACCCACCCCCAACGTATGACGACTTTGCCTTCTACATCGCGTGAAGATATACGCACACTCCTACACCCCAATCGGTCCTTCGCTCATCGGCTAGGTAGTTTTGGGCACCTGAGATGCTGGCGGGTTCGGCAACGGCGATCCCGGTCGCTTCGTACCGGTAGTAGGTCGCGGCGCCGTCAACATCGAGTGCCCCGAGGGCTTTACTGGGAGGTTACCCGGCCACCCAAGGGGCTGCAAAAAGGCCAATTCGTTGCAAATCGATTTCGTAATTTGGGACCTGGTGTGGCGTATGTGTTTGCCGGCGTGTTGCGTACCTCATTTATCAGAGCCGTCGCGGCGTTCATGCAGGCGTCGTAGCTAGTCTCGTAGAATGCGTCCTCGCTGTCCGCGTCGGCCATGAGCTGCTTCAGTGCGGGGAGAAAGCCGGTTTTGTAGGCTCTGTGGACAGGATCAAAGCCCGACGTCATGAATAGCCTCCATTGATTCGAAGTTGCGGCATCCTTATTGGGCACCGCCCAAGCACCACGAACCGCGGGCTGATTGAAGATGTGTTTTCTCACAGCTTCTAGTAATTTCGTTCGCCATTTGAAGTATTCGTTGATGAATTGGATGCTCCAATTAAAGACAGGCTGCAACCCAGTTCGATAACCTGAGTTCTGCTTGGCCATATCGGCTGGTCATTATGTTAGCAATCCAGGAACTTGGATCCGATAGTGGTGTTGATAAACTTACACAAGTGCTGGGCCTCCTCGGGTTCGAGCAGGTACAGCTTCTTGAAAAAAGTCCGGTCTGGATTTGAGAACCCTATGCCGCCCTGTTTGTTGAACTGGACCAGCCAGCAGTCGTCTTCGATTCTGCTCTCGTGCACCAGCGCGTTAGCGTCATTGCCTTTGTCATTGATGTCCTTTGGCCTCATGCTCGCATGCTCAAGGGGGTCGTCGCGCAGGCAATGGTTCAGAAACCGATACCGCACTTCAGCCCAGCACCGAGCCCACGTGAACAGGTGTGTGTAAGAGATTTCAGACAAGCCGGCGCTCCCCGCTCGCAAGTTACTGGTGAATAATTCGACGGGATTTTCGTCCAGGTCGTTTGGATCGGGGAACGCAGTCCGTGCCAGCTTGATCAACTGGCCCATTTCTTGCATGTGCTCTGCTGCATGGTTGTTGCCCCTCAGGTTCACAGAAGTGGCAAGGTCTACTTCCTGGTCGTACTTGTAGTCCCTCCCGATGATACCGGTGACATTGCTGGCTGAGGCTAGCAGACCCTCGCGGAGCGCATGGAGGTTGCGGGTGCGGTGAGCTGGGGGAAGATCATTGATGGCGCGGATCAGGCCGTCCCATACTACGCCCTCTGGGGAAGGTTTCAGGCCTTTGATGTAGAGGAGCAGGTTGAATTGAGTATTGTCAAAATTAGGCTCCGAGGCCGCATCGACAGGAAGGTTTTGCCAACGTGAGGCGTCTCGTTTGAGGTATCGGTATGACATTGTGTTTCAAGGACAAATGAGTATACTGTACGATTGGGATTTTCAATAGGGTATGCAAGTTGGTGAATTGCAGTTCACTAGGTCCTAGTAAAACGGCTCCTGGTAATTTCCCGAAGTCTTCATATGTTGCGAATGTAGACAAAGGTATTCATTACACCTCAGAATAGCGTGTCGACACCGGATCCGGACGGGAGTAGGATCCTTTCATCGTTATATTTGTTTCGCGGCTCGTGTTGTGATGTCCGCACCACAAAGACTGACAAAATGATGTTCGGCTGATTAGGCATGAATGGCATTGACTCGATCTTGACGCAGGCTTGACAGAACTCGCTGAGAAATTCTCAGCTGGTAGGTTGAAAACTCAATGAACCACATACAAACCGATACTACATCTACATGTAGTTTCCCGTAGCAGTGTTCTTGAGCACTGACCACGCGATCTGATGTCTGCTACTTAATTGGCATCAGCTTGCTCGAGAACGACCAGAGCATACCAAGAACCCAAGACCTCCGTACTTTCCAACTTGTAGTCGTTGCCCGACGTGCGGCTTAGAGCTCATCTGAGAGACGGTTTCAGGTCTTTGTGACCTGGCTCCATTGATTTAACGACGTCACTGAGCAATCGATGCCGTTATGGAGGGCTGCCAGTAGTGAGGATCCTGCGTAATGCGCTCTCACTTCTCGTCACGGCCTGCTTCCTTGTGATAAAGACAGCGCAACGACATGGCCAGCCACAGAAGGACTCGAAAGCTGACTATTCGGCAGACCAGAGCCTAGAGGCTTGACTTAACAGCTATACTTTTCATGCTCCTGCTATCAGTAAAGGCCCCTGAAAGGGTACGGTGTGACTGATAATAATCGCGCGACCATGACCTGAGCAGAAACATCCTGAAGTCTTGCTCGTCTTTCCGCGCTTCCAAACGAGATTCCCTAAAATCCTGGAATATATTCATTCCAATACACCGACGGCCCAAGACAACCACCAAGGAGTCAGGACTTTGCTCAGTGGACCTTCGCGTCAGAAGATCTGGCAGGCTACCTTTGCCCCAAGATACCCTACACATGCATCCCACCCAAAGCGTGCACGCGCGACCCCGACACCCTGCCGACGTACTGCTGCGACTTTGACGGAGATGCTGGAACGACACCCCGACGTACGCCACCAACAGCAGCACATTCAAGTGCAAGAACCAGGAGGTGACATGGTGTTGTGTGACCCTCAAGGCACGAACTGGGACAACCCTTACCGAGACGAGCCTGAGGGGTGACTAAGCGCAACGCGTATGGAGAAGTGCGGCCAGTCTCGGAGCAGCGCCTGCCTGAGTAATGCTGCGAACGGTGATTCGGGGCGATGAACGAGAGAGCTGAGACGACATGGAATGGGATGGTGCTCAGGTGAGGTTGTGATACGGTGTTCGAGACCTGTGTGAGGTGAGCACACATCTGTAGACGCAGTGAGGATGTGGACATTGAATGAGAATGGGGGGATGCATGAGTGGGTGCTCTAATAATATTCCTCCCGGGTAGCTCCGTCCCCCTCCAGTTCAACGTTACTTTTGCGGGCCGCGGGGTTGGTGGGGCACATGGTCGAGTCGAGAGACATCTGGGACTTTTATCCAACTGCACACAGGCTGAGAGGTAACTTTGTACAGCTGCTGCATTGCATCGTGCTCCTGTACCTAGGTACCTGACACAAACAAGAGGTAGAAGGACTACCGACACGATGACGACGGAAGAAAGCAAGAGACGCGCCGAGGCGCTGATCCCCAAATTCCAGTTCGAGCGCGTGTTGAATCAAGGTATAGGACGGCAATAGGAGCTTCATTGACGGCGGAGACGGAGCGGTGCTGACACGACCGCATAGACGAAGCAGGAAGACGCATCACGCTGTACGGCCAGGTCGATTTGCAGCCCGCGCTGCTGATATTGGCCCGCGCACCCTTTCCCGATGCCCACGAGTACCTGTCCGTCCTACCCGCCAACCTGCGCAGCATAACGAACCTCGGCAATAATGATATATACTCGTGGTTCTTGGGCTCTGGCGGTCCCATACTCGAGAGTGACGGAGAAGACAAATATGCAGATTTCAAGATCGACCTGATATGTCCCTGCACAGAGAAGCATATCAAGAAGCACAGTCGACAGGGCGTTCGTTTCGTGACCGAGACGCCCGAGACATACCGCGACAAAGTGCGGCCTTACATGCAGGTGAACCGGGAGGACGGCCGTCTGAACTGGGTCTACAACATCATCGAGGGAAGAAAGGAGGTCGAGGATGTGATATACAGGACTCCATTGGGAAGGGACGGCGATGAAGGATTCCTGTTGTTACCAAACCTTCACTGGGACCGGAAGACTTTGGAAGCCTTACATCTGCTGGGGGTGACAGAGCGGCGCGATCTCTGGAGTCTGCGTGACCTGAAGAAAAAGCATCTCCCCTGGCTAAGACATATGAAGGCCAAGTTGATCGATGCAACGGTCGAGACGTATCCGCAGACCGAGACGGACCAGCTGAAGCTCTTCTGCCACTATCAGCCAACGTACTACCACTTCCATATTCATGTCGTCCACGTCATGCTGGAAGCGACGTCGAGCCAGTCGATGGGTAGGGCAGTAGGGTTGGACAGTATAATCGAGCAGCTGGAGGCAATGGCAGGGGACGAGGAGACGGGCATGGACAGCATTTCGTTGAGCTATACGGTAGGCGAGGCATCAGACTTGTGGACGGATATATTTGAGCCTCTCAAGAAGCTCGGTAGAGCTCCTCTACCGCAATGACAAGGTCGTTAACCCCCGAGCCACTGGGGCAGTCTGTCCATTGCCCACCGTCGCGTATACAGTATATCTCCTCGTTTAATCGGACCGTGCAGCTCAAATTGACACCAAGCTATGATGGAAGTCAGCCGAGTTCCAGGGGTAGGTGCAGTGCATGAGGTCCTGGAGTTTTGTCACGACGTACATTAGCGGATCGCTGCACACTGCTTCGTAGCATACCCATCCCAAAGGCCCCGTCGTCCTTGGCGGCGCAGTCATTGAGTTTGTCGAAGTCTATCGCATGCTCCAGAGCGCAGTCCTCGACAAGCTCCCTTTGAGGAATCTGCTTGTAGTCTCTCGTCAAGCACATCGTGAAGCCGAGCCATATCTTCGGGTCTGGGTACAGCTGGTGCGCACACAGCTCGATGATGTTTCCCATGCACTCGTTGGGCCCATGCATACACTCGACGCCGTCATTCTCGGTCGGGGTCCCGATGTAGGATAGGGTAAAGTTGACTTTCTCGTATACGCGCATCATGGCTGGTAGAACTAGCTCCTTGAGGCAGTCTTTGGCATCGGGGCACTTGCTCATGATGTGTGCCTCCAGCGGGACGAGATTCTTGGTCGCCCCCGTCGTGGCGGATTCTTCGGCTCCCGGGGAGGGTTCGTCTGACGACGCGGCCGCCGTGGGCTTGGGCGTGACGAGTCGGCCTGCATAGGACGATATAGGTCGGAAGCTGTATAGTGCGTAGAGAACGATGGCGACAAGGGTTAGGATCAGGAGAGGTCGGTGCCGGCGGCGAGGACGGCTGCGCGGGCGCTTCTCCTCCATGACGGGGAGGCTGATCTTGGCTGCCATGGTTCGTTCTGTCGGCGAACGGGGAAGTGATTAATGAAGCCTCTAATTACGAATCCAAGTGTAAAATGCCAAGGTCCCCTGATACGAGCTCGGGCAACAATGAAGAAGCAGAAACAATGTCGAAGCAATTATTGACGATGACAGGGCAGGTGACAGCGACTTCCTTCCTTCCCTTCCAAGGTTGTGACGGCCAGTGCCCAGCCTGCCAGCTGACGGTCTGCGATAACGGATAGACCCGACTGGGATAACAATGTAGCCAATCAGATGACGAAAGCCAGTGAGCATGACCCCAATGTCGCCCCCGGGCCGGATCGACATGTTTCAATGTGGCTCCAGCTGACTCTGCCTTCCGCATTGAACATTGAATCGACCTGCCAGTCTGGCAGTCTGGCAGTCGCATCCGCTGAATGAACCGCCGGTAAGGTAGTTTCGGTGTGATGACTCAATTCGAGTACATGTACCTACTGATTCACATGATTCGCAGCTGTGTGAAACCGCGGGTGTTCTTGCCAGTCTGCAGGTGTTCAGCTCTTTTCTTTCCTCTTGGTGAAACTGCTGCAACTTGCAACTTGCAAACAGTGAGTAAGGTATCAGAACCCCGCTGCCCGCTGCCCGCCGTTCCAACACAGCGGCGCCGTCCATCATCCAGCCATCCGTCCACGGGTCCAACCCTTCTCCAACGCCGATATGCAACATTGAACCACCACGCCAGTCAAGTCAGTGCTACTCACAGGTCCAGTGATTAATTAATACCTGATTAATTGGTGTCTCGACCTGATTGTCTGTTCTTCCTGCCCTACAGGCTGGCACATTGGCCTTACTCCTTAGGTAGCTCTGGTTGAAAACACGAGCTGGACCCTTCCCTCTTCCCTGCCACTGCAACGTTTCCTGGAACCATACCTGGAACCATACCTGGAACCAAAAGTGACTCGGCAGAGCGACTTACCCCTTACATTTACATACATGTGACTCTTTCACTACAACAGTTCATCGTGTTACTCAAAGTCTGATTCTTATTGACTTGGTTCGCCGTCCACTGCCTCCAACTTCCAAGTCCTTCTTGCCCTTGTCTCCTGTCCGTGGTCGAGAGTCGACACCGCTTGCGTACAGACATCGCACATCGAGACGCCTGCCTCTAATTATCCGAGTCCACGACCTCGGGAGTGCCTGCATGAGGAGTATGCCCCACTACCACCTTGCGCCAGATATATATAGGGCTGACATGCGCTTTATCAGCCGAGGCTACGACTCAGCACTGAGGCGCCTTGTGTCGAGATCCAACATTGAACGGCGCCCATCATGAAGTCGGACATTGAGGTCTTCCTCGAACCCCTCTTGATTGACGTGGGCAAAGCTCATGCCTTGTCACACGAGCTACATCAGACCTTTGAACAACTATCCGCCGGCTCACTTGAGCAGTTCTTACCAACCCCTATCTCTGAGTCTATACTACGACCTGCCGCTGGACGCGAGAGAGGACGGTTAGTCAATCACTCAAGACTTTGTCTTCCTCAGGTGTCCCGCATTGAAACCGGAAAAGCTGACTGCCCGTAGACATCTTGCCATTGACATGTATGCATCGTGTCACGCAGCCTCAGCTCATATATCCCAAACTGACTTGTGGTAGCGGTGGCACGAACTTGAGAGCTGGGTTCGTCGAACTATTGGGCAGTGCGAATGGCACGGTCATTGGTGACGGGCTTGGAACAAATGGAAACACCGCTTCCTCCCAGGAGGGATCCAACCTTCGTCGGGTCCTTGGAAAATCATGGCCTATCGCCGAGCACCTCAAAAATGAAAATGCCGACTCGCTGTTTGCCTGGATCGGAAAGTGTATAGCCGAGGTTGTGAGGGAAGGCTGCGAGAACTTCCATCTACCTCGGAATGGCGAGCTACCTATGGGAGTCACCTTTAGTTTCCCCGTCGTTCAAAACACGTTATCAGATGCGACCATTATGGCCATGGGAAAGGGCTTCGCTATCTCGTCGAAACTGGACCTAGGAGCGCAGTTGGTCAGCGGCTATGAAACTGCGAGGGGCCCCGACCTCCCACGTATCAGGATCGCAGCAATCCTGAACGATGCTGTTGCCACATTGGTTTCCTTCATCTACCAATCGAAGGAAGATGCTACCCGCAAAGCGTCAATGGGTTTGATATGTGGCACGGGCAGCAACGCGACGATACCACTCAGAAGAAGCACACTGCATAAGGACAAGCTTCCTGGGAAGGTCAAAGTTCTAGCGGGGGACCCTACTGACGACATAAAAATCGCCGTCAACACGGAATGGTCTATCAACGGCTCAGCACCAGCATTGCATAAATTTGGCCTGGTCAGCAAGTGGGACACGCGTCTTGACTTTGAAGGTGAAATACCTGGGTTTCAACCGCTCGAATACATGACAGCAGGAAGATATTTAGGCGAACTGGGGCGACTCATGCTACTCGACTATCTCAAGACCCGTCTGGGCTTCTCAGAGGATATGTTGCCCTCCAGGTTACAAACCCGATTTGGTCTGACAACGACCTTCCTTAGCCACTTTCGACCTCTGCATCCAAAGACACTGTTACGGAAGCTGGAGGAAGAATTCTCAAATCAAACAGCGAAATCTACCTTCAAATGGACGGAAGAGAGTGCCACTACCTTATACCACATAGCTAAGGCCATCGAAGTACGAGCTGCCGGTATTGTTGCAGCCGCCATAATCGGACTGCTCGCCTGCGCCGGCGACATCCCACTCCGAGATCCCTTGGGCAACAAGACGAACGGAAAGAGGTCGACAAACGGAGGGGCTCCAAAGGTAGAGCTTATCGTGGGATATACCGGCGGATGCATTGTTCACTTCCAGGACTATCTGGTAGACTGCCAGAGCTTCCTCGATGGAATCATTGAGGCTGAATTCGGGAACGCCGCTCCGATCAGGGTCCTCCTAAGTCCCTGTCACGACGGCGGAATCACCGGCGCCGGCGTCTTGTGTGGCGCCTCGCAGGCGGCCTCAAAAGATGTCTGAACCTACTTGCGCAAGCATATATTCGCATACCCTCTCATCTCGAACTACACCTGTATCTATCTACATTGGCCGACTACAGGGAGGGACAAGCTAGAGGGACCACATCAGGCGGCTACCGCTACTCATATCGCTTTCGCAAGCGTAGACCCGAAGCGACTTGCAGGCGAGGGGACACACCGCAGTGAGACATTACATATAATATAGCGCTAGATCTGCCTACAATTGCACAGGTTTACGTGGACTAAGACTATCTGCACGGGTGCAGGCATGCCATTTAGACTTGCACATCACGTAGGTAGGGTGACTAAGTATCAAATTTAAGCTCTCAGTCATCGCACCATATGAACAAGTCCACAGAAGTGACACGATGCGCGATCACACGCATAAATATCTTTTTGGAAACGGTATACGTGCAAGATATCCTAACCCAACAAGTCGTCCCTCCTCCAGCAACTAACCTGGTCAAGGACTGACAAGGAAGTATAACATATATAACTGTAGACTTTTCTCGCGCTCCATTGCCTCGCTCTCCTAACGACTTACTTATCCAACTAGGAGTGGAAACCCAGCAAGCAGCTTCTACGCAAACAGCGCCGTATATCATGAGGGTGGGACTGGGCAGTTTATTCACCTGATTCAGCGGTTGGTTGCCCTCACCTCACCTACGCAGACCAGAACTCAGATCCTAGAAAACGTCGGTGTGCTTATGAGACTGACTGACTGCAACAGATCCGATTGACGGCATAAAGGGATGGCTGGCGCTTGTGTCCGATGGGCGACACGGAGATTATACGTGGGCTTTTACGAAGCTGCCAGGGCGGGAGGAGTGAGGTCAACATACTGGACTGTGACGGACTAGGTAAGCCGCAGCGATGGGGAGACATTCAGTTATCTTTGACTCGTCATTGTTAAACACTACTAGGTCGCGCCCCTTTACCTGGGTAATTCTTGCGTATGGGGACTAGGAGGAAGGTCGCTTTGAGCGAGGACCGATCAGGATTACCCCATCTGGAATTCATCAGCTGTGAAAGGTTGGTATGGCGCTTCCTTTGGTCAGGCAGGCTACCTGATGTAGGGTTATCGTTCAAAGTCTCGGTATCAGTATCGTCTTGTCTGCCCCATCAAGACATCCTCAAGTGTTATACAATCTCTTCCTACACCAAGCGTTTCAGTGGTAGCCATTAACACCATCGGCCAGCCCGTCAAGCTCCTCCTTCGTCTGCCGATACAGCTCTTGCGCTTCTCTTTCTCTGCGGCTGACATAGCCGACTTCTTCTCTGAGGGCCTCCAAACGACTCACGATAGCGATTTCTTCTGAGATGGCCAACGTCCTGAACGCACCAAGCGCGAAGTTGGCTTTCTCCAAAGCTTCGGAGGCCTCCCCCATTTTCGAACGAAGCGTCTTTGCGCGCTGTTGATATCCACCCAAGTGCAGACCCAGCTTCTTCGCCAACTTCTGGCACTGGTCTGCTGTTGCAATGGTCGATTCTTGAGCTGACTGCATGGTAGTTAGCAAAAATGATCCTCAGTGAGTCAAACATCCGGTGGGAACTCACGTCGAAGGCAGATTTCATAGCAGCCATCTGCTCTTCTTCCTCGTCCTCTTCGTAGCAGCCCAGTCCCAACAGCAGTGCATTGCTGTTCTCCCGATCCCAAGCAGCCTGGACTTCCTCTGATTTGGGCTTGCCCTTGACTTCCATGAGGATCTTCAGTCGGGCTTCAGCCAGGGAAGCATCGTCTATCTGCTGCAATTGCACCGGATTGCCCTTCGTCTTAGAACCAGACAAGGGATATTGTACCGAGTCGTTGGCGATAAGAAGAGCAGCTTCTTTGGCGACCATAGCTTCTATTGGGTCAGACACCGCAGACGCCTGCTGAACTAAAGTCTCGATGTCGACAGTGTCCGGCCGTGGCAAGTCTCTTTGCATAACCTGGGTCCGTCGCTTTCGTTCTATCTGCTCCTGAGCTTCTCGAATAGCTCGTGCTCGTTGATCTCGTACTTCCGCATCTTCTTCTAGGTCTTGAGTGGCGATAACTTCTTGCTGGTCTTCGGGAATCTCGAGTTCCCACTCGGTTTCTTTCGGTTTGGGGAGGGATGCTAGACTCTGCTTGAGTTGGTGCTTTATTGATAGCTCCCGAAGACGCATGTCGTTCGTAGCACCACCGACAAGAGCCATCTCGTTATCACCCGCATTCAGCGCGAAGCTATCTCGAGGTGTTCTCAGGGGTGTCTGGCCGACTCCTCTCCTAGGCGTAGCACCAACACCGCTCGAGGCATCCCGCAGGGGCGTGGCCAAGGGGTTAGGCGTTGCCATCACCTGCTGACGCGGCGTGGCACCTTCAAAGCCCGTGGAACCAGAGCCTTGTTCGAGGTCAGCATTCTCCCCACCGAGCAAGGCTGACTGGTTCTCCGTAAGAGCTCGGATGTTCTTGATCTCATTGGCGACTCGGTCCTCTTGCGCTGGGGCCATTGGGGTTCTGATGGGCGTTTGCGAGTTCAGTGTCGAGTATGTGTTGACTAGTCCTCTGGTCGCGTCGTTCTCGCTGGCCTGGGCAAGCAGGTTTGCGCGTTCGCCGACCATACCCATTTTGACAATATCCTCGAGCTCCCCGTCGCTAACCTGTGGTGATGGCAGGACAAGAGCACGCCTCTTGCTGCTCTGCTCTGCTTCGCGAATCTTCTGCATCTGCCCAGCCTTCAAGGCGGCTTGTGTAGCAGCCGAGGGGGCATCCTTGTCGTTCTTCCGCTTCTTCCTATCTGCTTCATCCTCATGCTCACCCTTGCGCTTGTTGGCAAGGTGTTGTTTTTGGGGATTGAAGTTGGCCCGCTGTCGTTCGTTCAGGGTTTGCTCGTCGACGGTATCGTAGAACCCTGGGGCCGGCGCCTTTTCGAAAGGAATGTCGGCATTGTAGTCCATCTGGCCCTGCTTGCGCGTGATGACCTTGATATTGATACCGGCAGTTTTGAGTTCACGCCTCTTCTGCAGCGCAGCGAGGCGGCGCGACTCCTCCTGTTGACGCTCGCGAGCCTTCCGTTTGGCCTTCTTTCCTTGTGTGTTGGCCAAACGGGCACGCGCCTCGCTCAGCATCTCCTTCTCGTCTTCATCGAGGTCGATGGTGTCGGGCTTCGCAGGTTTGCTCTCGGGATCTGGGTCAACTTCACCCGGGCGCAACCTCCGCACGTCGTCGGCAGTGGGTGCTTGCGTCTCGCCTCCTTCGGGACCAGTCAGGCCAAGGCCGGTGGACTCGCGCTGCTCGGCTTCGTCGAGGAGTTTCTGGTAGCGCTCGAGGCATTGGTTCGCAGTTCGGCCGACGATGGGGGCTATGGTTCGCCATTGTGTTGGCATCAACTTGGCCAGGTGAAGCAGCTTCTCGTCCTCTTCCTTGCTCCATTCGATCTTCTTGATGCTTGGGTCCAGCCACTCGTTCCATCTTGCCTTGCACTGTTTGGGGGTTTTCCGCGGCAGCAGAGACGAGACGCGTGCCCATTGATTTAGACCGTACTTGGAGACGGAAGCCTTGAGGATCTCATCCTCGATGTTGGTCCACACTCCTCCTTTGACGACGGGCATCGTGGCGAATATCACGTGGCCGTGTGATTGCCGATATTGGAGGAGAGGGACGTGAGGAATGGCAAGTTTGTGTCGTCGGGATCTGTGATGGTTCTACCAATGCTGACTGATCGTGGAAGAAATCGTAGACATATTGGAGTAGCTTGTCGCGCGCCAGGCTTGCAAGCTTGCAGGCCTCAATTGAAGGACCCACTTGGGGGGTATTGTGACTAAGCGGCAAAACCTTGGGTAAATACTGAATAGCCCGCCAAGCCTCAGGTTGCCCCACCAGTACCAAGCCTGCGTTTGCCTGCCAAACATGTATCACCAACCTGCCGTCAACGTGCAGTCACGGGCAATCTTCATCGCCGTCTATCACATGGCCCTCGCCTGGCATATTAAAGCAGGAGTCTTGCTATACCGAATTGTCTTGCTGTGGGCTCAAGTCAAAACAACGACCCCCTCCAGATGCGAGGCTTATCCCCCTCCAGGATGTCAATATGACCTCTCCTTTTCCTATCTCCCTCCGGTTGCGGCATTGGTCACCTTCAAGGACAGCGACTTTCTCAGTAGAGATGGCACAGCTGCCAACGCCAAAGATGACGCAACTACAAGGTGGTAATGCTTTTGTCGATGTTGCATTTAGGGCTTCCTAGGTTCTGCTCGTGGCTGAATCCAAACAAGAAGATGTTGCGCTTTTGTATGATGAAGTCCGATGCAATGCATGTGCTCCAAGTTTCTTTTTCCTTTTTCCTTTTTCCTTCTTCCTTTTTCCTTCTTCCTTTTTCCTTCTTCCTTTTTCCTTCTTCCTTTTTCCTTCTTCCTTTTTCCTTCTTCCTTTTTCCTTCTTCCTTTTTCCTTCTTCCTTTTTCCTTCTTCCTTTTTTCTTCTTCCTTTTTTCTTCTTCCTTTTTTCTTCTTCCTTTTTTCTTCTTCCTTTTTTCTTCTTCCTTTTTTCTTCTTCCTTTTTTCTTCTTCCTTTTTTCTTCTTCCTTTTTCCTTCTTCCTTTTTCCTTTTCCCCCTCTTGAAGATGGTCCCAAGTTTCGTCAGACAGCCTTTTATCTTTCGACAAAACATCACTCATCTCTCATCTCTCAAACCTATGCCATTGCCAACATCAACACGGATCATCAGGTGAAAACAATGGCGCCGATCCTACACGTAGATGGAGCCGAACCTGAATGGTTCAATCTCTGTCATCATCTCCAGTCACAGGATATCAACCCGCAAGCCTCATCCCCATTCTTCAACGGTCACGCACCTGCTGAGATTCGCAATTTCATATTCGAATTTGCCTTGACTGGGTCGCCCGATCCCAAGGCCCGAAGGTTCAAGATAGAGCCTGGTGGTGTCCGATTCGATCACGACCCGGCACCAACCCCGCAACTTCCGGTCGATCCTCCATCGGATTCGAAAACCACAAGGCGGCAACAGACCTTACGCCTATCTGGGCCGCTCGATTATCGTTACCGTCGCAGCCGCCGTAAGCTTCTTCATATGATCCGGTCGTCTTTTTCTCTGTATGGATACACTGAACCTTCGTAAGTCTTCGTACGCCCCCCATTACCAAGCGAAAGGTGCATCTATGAGAAATGGAATAAGGACCCTGGAATAAGCATCGAAGATAACTTTATTGCCATGAGCTTCTTATTCCTGGCTGCTTATTCCTGGCTGCTTATTCCTGGCTGCTTATTCCAGTATTCCCAAAACTCCACATGTGATCTGGAATTCTTCCAACGTGGCGCGTACGGAGACTTGTGAGGGCTGAGTGTAGCAAGTATCCATCCACGATAACCGCCACCTCCTTATCCCGTAGAACAATTACGAATACAGTGCTGATTCAATACTGCAGCCGAACGCTTTTCACGACGAGCAGAAAATGGGTTTGACTGGCTTCGACCTGACAACACTGACCGTATGCGAGTGGCCACTGCCTTACTGCTCACATGCCGTCGGGTATATCTTGAGACCCATTCACTGCCCCTTCAGCAGAAAGAGCACGTGTTCTACTGTGCTCACGGCCCAGACCATCTTGGACTACAACATCCAAGCAGTAATAGCATCGAGGCTTTCTTCCATCAACTGAACAAGCCTACAAGTGTACCCGGTCTCCTCCAGAAAGACCTTGTGCGCTCCATTCGACTGTTCACACAGCAGTCTTGGCTGGAGAATACGTTTTTGGGGCTCACCCAGGCACCAAACTGGTTCAACAGTGTTCACCATCTCCGCATCACGCTCCGTCGCGGCGATTGGTGGCACTGGCAAGCCGGTGAAACTCTCAGGATCAACCCTTTCCGGGGCAATTGCCACGCGCTCGAAGCGATTGATGATATGTACGAAGATATGGTGGTCGAAGGCAGCAACCCAGCGTTCGCTGATGATGTGTGGGGACAGGCGTTCGCCAACATGCCCCAGCTGCGGACTCTGACAATTGACTTTGAGACGTCGGAATTCAAGAAATCGGAATTGGAGACCATCGTCGACTGGGCTGCCAATTGGCGATTTCCGCTTTCGGGGGGTCGGCATCTCGCCACGGAAGAGGTTATGAAGATGAGCTGGCGCGGCACGCTGCACCACTGGCGTCCATTTTGCGAGGCGCCTGGACACTGGGAAATTAATCCAACTACCCCTTGCGCCGCCTGTGTGGAGAGGGGTAGGCTCGTTGCAAACGGATACGGACCGCGGCTGTACGTTTGGACTGTAATATGGAAGCCAGCCGACAACAAGTGAATGGAAATGATGTGGAACGGAAAGGGGCCTGACCTTCCCCAATCCTGTTGGGCTCTCGTTCGGTCGTTTCAAAAGACCACGAGAGCTATGACCAGTCATAATAAGTCAATGGAAGAGATATATACTCTAAGTACCTACTTACATTCGAGTATTTAACAACCTCATCCGGTCTCGGTACCTGTCACCGCCATGCCATGGACTTCCAGTCAGTCGTAGGTGAGCGATTGAACATCCCTATGGACGCATCCTGAGGACAGGGGAAAGGCTAAGAAATTGGAAGATGATATTAGCTATCTATAGCCACTACAAAGGCTATCATGGTTATGGGGCGGCTGGACTGGCACCCACATCTGCCAGTTTCGCGCTGCCATGACTACAGTAGGCTGAGTAGGGTCAGTGCTACAAATACGACTCTGCTCTGCCCACTGGTGGGCTGTAGCATAGCACCGACTGCCGGTCATATCTGGAGCATTGACGTCATTTGAACCTGCTGTCAAATGAAATGATGCACGAGTAGCCATCGAGACACTCACTCCAGCATGGGCTGACTGACTACCTAGGTACTTACCACCACCCACCACCAGTAGCAGCAACGACAGCCCCCGGACGCGGCGACTACATCAACGCCACATCCCGACAGCGCACCAACATCCGCCTCTCAACCTCAGCAGCCGCCATTTCTTTACCCGGAAATGTCCACCCGGCATTAGGGGTGCGGGACGTTGCATTCTCGCAGTAAACCATTGTTCAGGAGCCGACGAAGCCCAAGTGCGAACCTTGATAGGGTTGAAGGTGAGATGCATTTGAAGCTATATACCATGGCAATCCTGAGTATCTTCACATGTAGTTGCGGCCGACGATCAGTTGCCAGGGGATCTGAAGGTGTCGAGATAGCGCTCTCAGGAACACCCACATGACACCACCCCATCCGCCGACGAGAAGCAAGCAAGGCTCCCAAAGATGCGCATACCGAACTCGTATCCATTCCATTCGGGGTGATCTCGTTGAAACATTGGTTCGGCTTTGCTGCCAGCGGGATAGTGGATGGCACTCAACCGAGACGTGACGACAATGTAGTATAACTTTATACAGTACCCTGATACCAAGCCTACACTCGTAACCGCCGGTAACCGCAACTCCAAGAATACCGAGTCGGACCTGGCGTTACATTTATTCTTGTCTGTCTAGAGCCGATGTTGCCTTGGCTAATTCTTTTTCAGGACTTTGTTGGGTCAACGCGTTGGACTCTCGGCTCGGCCGTTCTCAGCCTCCCGGCCACAATCGGCGCCGATAGATGTCACGCGTCCCCGTACCTGCGGGCAGAAGAATACTGTGGTCATTCCCGGCTAATGGAAATGTGTCAATTGGACGCATATAGATATGAGACAGGCAGGCAGGGGGAGGAGCATGTCCGCGGGGAAGACCCTACTGGTCTACACACATCGCCAATGGCAATGGCTTCTGTGCTTCGTCTTGGTGAGGCTCCCCTGAAACTAACTCGCTCGATTCGCTGTGCCGGCCGGGCCGCCCGTCTCCACGGGGATAAACACAACCCCGGCCAGAGATTCCGCCCCAGTGATGCTACCCTAGGTGGATCAGTGATATCATTTCAGGAATCAGGAACTTCCTGGATGGACAGAACGGAGTCCAGCTTCATAATCAATCATCTTGATTTGGTGATTGCATACTCCATTATACCCACGTCCCCCAAATTCTTGAGAGCCCCAGATTGCTTGCCCCGGAGTATGGAGTAAGAGATGTACGCGTTGTGGAGGCTCCGATTACTCCGATCGAGAGGAGATATTTTAGGGCGCGTTCGGGCCAGGCTGGCCAGCCCGGCATAAGGGTGCCAAGGGTCTTCGACTTTGTTTTGCCTTTCTCGTTCCCTTTCATCCTCGACCGCTCACCCCCTTCGACCGCTCATCCTCTCAGACCTTCACAACCAACACAAACCCATCGTTCCGGCTGTCGACATCGTCGGTCATGGGTATTCTAAAAGTCGTCGAAGAGCGACCGACGCCCCCATCGGTCTACAACTGGCGCGTCTACGTGCTCGCCATCATAGCATCATGCGGGTCCTGCATGATCGGATACACGAGTGCCTTCATTGGCACAACTATCGGCCTTGAGTCTTTCCAGGATGAGTTCGGCCTCGCCACGAAGACCACGGCCGAGAAGAACGAAGTCAGCGAGAACATCGTGTCCATCTTTGTTGCTGGGGCTTTCTTTGGCGCCCTGGGCACGTACTGTATAAGTCACTTCATTGGACGCAAGGTCTGTCTGAGTATCGGTGCAACTGTGTTCTCCGTCGGAGCCGGTTTGACATGTGGCGCCAATGGGTCTCGCGGCTTGGGACTACTTTATGCTGGACGTGTTCTGACGGGCTTGGGCACTGGAGTTGCATCCGTGAGTTGCACGACCACAGCGCAAGAACTGCTTTACGCTAACGATGACGATTTGTAGAACATTATCCCCGTCTATATCTCAGAATTGGCACCCCCAGCTATTCGTGGTCGTCTTGTCGGGCTTTACGAACTTGGCTGGCAGATTGGTGGCCTGGTTGGTTTCTGGATCAACTACGGTATCGAAACAACCATGCCAGCAAGCCACGAGCAATGGGTTATCCCGTTTGCCGTTCAGCTGATCCCTTCCGGCCTTCTCCTGCTTGGCTCTTTATGGATTCGAGAGTCTCCGCGATGGCTCTTCCTCAAGGATCAACGCAGGAAGGCGATGGACAACCTGTGCTGGATTCGTCAACTGGAACCTTCCGATATGTACATCACCGAGGAGATTGCCGGAATTGACAAGATCTACGAGATGCAGAAGTCGACTGTCGGTTTCGGGTTCTGGCAGCCATTCAAGGCACTTGGTGCTCGCCCATATCTGCAATGGCGGCTGTTCCTCGGCTGCATGCTTTTCTTCTGGCAGAACGGTTCCGGAATCAACGCGATCAACTACTATTCTCCGACGATATTCAGGAGCCTTGGCATCGACGGCAACACGGTGAACCTGATGACCGGTATCTTCGGTGTCGTCAAGGCTGTCATGACTTTCATCTGGCTTCTGTTCTTGGTTGACCAGCTTGGAAGGCGAAAGCTTTTGCTTATCGGTGCGGTCACTGGGTCCGTTTGCATGTGGATCATCGGTGCCTATGTCTGCGTGGCCGAGCCTACGAAGAATCCTACCGACCACTTGACCAGTAGTGGTACCGCAGCCGTTTTCTTCTTCTATCTGTGGACAGCTGTTTACACTCCTACATGGAACGGTACCCCTTGGGTCATCAATTCCGTGAGTTTCCACTTCTTAACTCCAACAGCCATCGAGTTCGCAGCCTGGCCAAGTAAGTGACTGACCGTGTCTCCAGGAATTCTTCGATCCAAACTTCCGCTCTCTCGCTAGTGGGATCACCACTGCCAGCAACTGGCTGTTCAACTTCCTGGTTTCGCGTTTCACGGAGCAGATGTTCGCAAGCATGGGATACGGCGTATACTTCTTTTTCGCATCGCTTTCGTTCCTCGCCTTCTTCTTCGCCTTCTTCCTTATCCCGGAGACTAGCGGCGTCCCGCTCGAGCAGATCGACAGACTGTTTGAGATCAAGCCTGTCTGGCGCGCAAATAAGGCGCTGAAAGCACAACTCCAGGAGGAGGAGCAGCAGTTCCGTTCACGTGTCAAGAGTGATACCGTTCACCAAGAGAACTTGAAGGGATCTGAAATTGACTCGCCATTATGAGACCTGTTGCATGCATATAGATGATGACATAGAAGACAATATAGACTAGATCTAGATATAGATATAGAAGCGAAAAATAATATGACAGGGAGGTTTGTGCCCCTTCGAAAGACAACGTCTCCCTACTAGGGACTCTAATCAAAAGACTCAAGTTCAGATACTGAAACTGTCTGCCCCCCACATCTCCTCCCCTTCCCCATGCGACTGCACCTTGGCTTGTCCAGTGGGGACACCCAAGACATGACCCTCGTGGACCTACATGTATGGAAGTGAGATGTTCTTGGTACCACAGAATGTAGCACACCCCCATTGCAAGCCCCAGCGCCTTCGGGTCTCCCTCCTTCATGTTGTCGCGGAATCCAGATATATCGCCTTGACCCGCTACAAGATCACTTACTGCCAAGCTGAGTTATCCCCCTCTTCTTCACCAAGGCGGAGCGGCACGAGCGGCGCATGCTCCTACTCGCAACTAGCATCTGTAGCGAGGTACTACTCGACAGCTTGCCATCGATTGGAAGCTTGATCTGACTCACTCTGCTGACAGCTCCTTCTTGGTTGGCCCAGAACCGCCACTACAGTAGTGGCCAGTTCCCTCTGCACAAGATCGCATGACACGGCACGAACGCACCGTTTTCCAACCCGGCACACGGGCTCCAGCCTAGCTTTGACTTTGGCTTTGAAATATTAGTCGCAGAGGTAGACTAGTAGGCTCGGCCTTAGAGACTAACTACTGGTTGGTTATCTCCCTCTTTAGCCTTATCAAAACACGAATACCATTTTATTACTAGCGCCTTCGAGGACACACTTGCATTGTAAATACCCAGGTTATCGTTACAAGGGGCTTAACCCCTGGCAGTACCGCAATCCTGGGGGTGCTGCCCACGCGGAGTGGTGGCACACGCTCAAGAGGGCCCGATCGCACGGCTTGTTCGCCGCAAGGTTCGACTCTTGGGACATGGATGTCTCGATGCGCTTGCTTTTGGACTTGACTAGTGTGCGTGCCTGGGAGTGAGGTTGACTCCAGTGTTTCACGCCAGAGTTCACGACAATCCGGTGGACGGGAGGCACTAGCTGCCGGAAGCCCATGTCTTGTATTTTGCAAGCGAGTGGGAGGAAGGCACGCTCTTCTTTGCAGAAAGCCCCCTTTCCAATGCCCCCTAGAGACTTCATCGCCAAGGCAGGAGCTTCATAGCATAAGGTTGTGAGGGACGGTATAGATGCCTTGGGCCTGGTTCTAGGATTGATGCGGAGGGTGCACCTCCGAATACAGACGACCGGTCGCCGTGTGGCTCATTGTGTAACTGCTCATCTTCAGCAGCCTGAAGCAGCTTACATTATTCGTCCCAAGGTGCTTTTGGCCCGTTACGGATGAGCTTGAAGACTCTGGAGGCCGTCCACTCCACAAGGAAATCGGCGTCCCCCAGGGAGTCCATCATCAGCTGCTTATTAGGAGCACAACGCCATTTATCACATCAGTTGAAGTTAAGGTCAGGTCTGCAACTGCGGATGGTGATAATCAACCTATCACACTCAATACAATCCCGATAGCCAGGGATCCAGGCCGCGTCAGGGCGCACGAGTTTGGTTTCTTTCGTAGTATCTCTTCTCTTCCATCTCCTTATGCAACCTTATTTCCTCCCTTGTTTTGCCATTGAAGGGAGAAACGTTGTTCGCCCAGAATTTGGCGCCATCTCCCTATATCTCATGCATAAAAGCTTGCACCCACCTGGCCTCAGAATGGCGACCTTGTCGGTGTAATATTGTAGCAGCTCGGAAGCTGATGGCACGGAAGTATTTCGACTGTGCCACCTTGTCTTCCAGGAAACAAGTTCGAGCTGGATGATCAAAGTCATGTGCAATCATTGCGATAATTCGGTCTATGGTCGCATAAAAGCTGCCTCCGTGCCGTAATGCGCATTCAAGACCGCGCTCATAGCTTTGAGCAGTTGCTGAGGCACCACTCATGCGTATTCTCCTTAGTCGCATAGCTGATTACACCAATGGAACATATCTGAGGGGACTTGGCCCATGTGGTCCAATGGGTGCTTCGTGTTCATCTGAAAGATCGGAAAAGAAGTCGTAGGCGCCGTCGGCAAAGCCTTCTGGGTGCCACCGCACCTGTGCCTGTAATGTTGCTGCCAGAAAGTATCCTTTCCACTGCATAAGTTTTTAAACGATCCTGCGGAGTGGCATTGGACCTTTCATGTCTATTCGAAGCTTTCGAACGTTTGTCGGAACATGACGAATCAATGCTTCAATCACGTTTAAGTGACCGGCACCAACTAAGACGTCTGCAAGAAGTTCCATAAGAGTACTGTAAAGAAGTATCAGCGGGACGCCCATATGTATAAGCTAAGTCAAATAGGAGACGAACAGGTTTTCGGGATGATTGCCCTCGATCTGGTGCCAGACGATGGGTTTCCCCATCCAGTCGACGACGCGCCTTCCAACATTGTCAGCAGCGAGCACAGCTTTGGCGTCCGGCACGGAAAGTTGGCTGATTCCGTTGCAGTGAGGAGCTTGCTAGCCGGGTGGCGTTCAGGTTAGTTATGTTTTCCGAAGCATCCCTAACTATTGAACCTGCTGGCAGTGCCTGTGTTTCTTGACTTGACCAACTGCCTTCTTCAGAACAGCAACTTCCGCAGCCCCCGACAGACCCAGAGCACCACCATGGCCGTCCCTTCGACCTTCCACCAATTCCCTCACCTGCCCATGGAGCTTCGATGCATGGTTTGGGACATAGCATGCGATACCGGCCCAATGCGTCTACACTTGAAGCATCCCATTGGAATGTGGAATCACCTCATGAGCTTCCTGATTTCCGAAAAGTGGCACAAAACCATAAGCAACCATCAGCGCCAGCGTCTCGCGCTCCTACACACCAGGTCGGAGTCGCGCATAGTTGGCTTGAAACGCTATGATGTCATCCATGGACATGATTTTCCAATCTTCCTGTCGCGCGCTGAGTACAAGAACTGCAACATAGAAAACTGGCTTGGCCTCACGATGAAAATAAGAGAGAGCTTTGGGAGACAATTCGCGATCGATTGGAGCAGAGACATGGTGTATTTTGAAGATATGAAGGACTCACAAGAGGCAAAATTCCCATTCTCACCCCAGGCTCCCTGGAGCAAGATTGTCAAACTTGGTCTCAATCTCGACAACTTCTCTACTCGCCTATCCGCTGACCCTGCGAAAACAGAAAGCCAAATCTCCCGATGGCTCCAAGCCTTCCTTCCAATATTCGCCAACCTGCAAGAGCTCACGCTCACCATCACTGGCGTATTCAAAATGGCCCCCGACGAGCTGAAGGATTACGACTACATGACTCCTCTTCAAGCGCTACCACGGGACGGCTACTATTTTTCGCCCAACCCAAAGGAAACACTGGGCAAGTGAAATCGAGATGTCCTCTCCAACGGATCAGGTAATCCCAAGGCAGTGAGGGAGGAGGATTCGAATTGGTGGGAACCTGAGGTGAGAGACGCCTTGGACATAGTTGCCGGTTTCCGAGCTGTTCTCGAACAGCGTGGAAGCGAGATACAGGTCCGCGGGGTCTTGGGCACAACAGTCTTGCAAGAGGGTGATTGTTTCTCGGTGGGGACGCAGTAGTTGTCCAGTGCAGATTAATCCATGTGATGGTTCCTGGCAGTTGGAAGCTGAGTAGGAGGTTGACAGAGAACCCCGTCGGTCGGCACTATTCCTGACTAGATGAACTACAAGAGAGAAATCTGGACTGCTTTTGAAGAATGCATGGGAACCCTTCAGGATAGTTCATCAAAAAATCCAACAAACTTCTCTGCATCTTGTAACTCATGATCTGTAGTGCTTCGTGCATCAACCTTTTCCGCTAGCTTGGGCTTGGGGATGGCACCCCTTTCAGCAGCCTTGACGTCGGCTCACTGCCAGTCAGCAGGGTGTATGTGTCACGGCACTACCTAGGTAGATGACAGCCCCATAGCTCTAGGGGTCAACCCCTATAAATACTAGATCGCACCTAGCTAGCTTCGTGGTTTCTTTCCTTTAAGGTTGCGGCAGAGGCTGCATTGATTTCACATAATCGATACCATTTCATAATCTACTAGATCAAAACCACGAAGGCTATATTTAGCCAAATTCTCCTGCAGGGAACTATAGCCAAGATACCGAACCACGTCCATCCCATCTAAATCTCTAAACTTCACACAATATAAATTTATAGTTGCCTGACTTTCAAGAAATCACCCTCCTCGCTGGTGCACGCAGCGGATCACAACTCAACCATCCTCGTGCATGACACTCTCTGCGCTTGACGCATGAGATTCTCACGAGGTTTTCTTAAACACGTATTGTGCTACAACTGAGATACGCGGCATCTCCGTCCGGCACGCCGGCGAACATCTTAGCAAACACCCTATTGTGCCAGCCGGGGCGGCTTGCAGGTCTATCAAGCTCTGCGCAGCTCCATAAAGTTCAATCACCACCACCTAGCCTTTACCAGTGCTTCACCAACCCACTCGACCACCTTCTCGAACGGTAAACAAGTTTCGTGGACCCCAAGCTTCAACACCCAATCGACCACCTCTTCGAAAGTTGAACAATCCGTCGTGCAACCCAAGTTTCACCACCCCACACGATCACATCTTCGAAAGGTAAGCAAGCCATCGTACACCCCGGTTTTCCAAAATACTGACGAACTTCACAGATGGATCTCTACGCGCAGGAGAAGACGATGAATTACCGAGGCGTGACCAAGCACAGCGCCAGCGATGGTGAGGCGATCCCGGAGGATAAGAACACATCGCTCTACGTTACAGGTCTTCCGTACGACGTCACGTACAATAGCTTCTTCAAGGCTATTCGTAAGGCTGGCGGAATCCGACACTGCCACCTGAACCCACCGGCTGCTCTGAACCCCGTCATCAGCGCCGCGAAAGTGGTGTTCTTCACCCGCCAGGCGGCAGACAAGGTTTTCCAGGATGCCCAGGCTGGAAACTTCAAGGTCCAAGGCACGATCCCACGGGTTGTGTGGAACAGGATCCCAACAAGCGAGGAGCCAGCCGACGGCAGAAGCCGCGTGCTCCGTGTCCGAGGCAATTCGGCAATTCGGCAATCGTCGAACGCTACAACTTGGAGATGTTTTAGGCGTCCCAGGAAATATGGTGGGGCGTTGACCGCGTTTCGGATGTAGGCGAGGTCGCTGATGGCATCGCAGTTGTGTAGTACACCTTTGCGAGTCATCGCTGCCAGAGCTACTTCTCGCACGGGTCCGGCTGGAACGTGACCGTGAGCTCTTCGGGATGCTCTGGATTCACGGGGACTGCTTGAGTAGGGAGAGGGAAGTTGAATGAGCGAACACGGCGTTCTCTACAGGTTGTCCACAAGCTAGACCAACCGCACGCAGAGCATTGTGACCGCCGGAGCTACATTCATCATCAGCATTGCCATTCTTCCCTTCTCACACTCCACACTAGACTCTCACACCATCCTGGATTTTTGCAATGTTGCAAAGGAGATGATGATGGCATTCGGTCAGAGATCGTATTCGATGATTGCGGAAATGGCGAAATCGATGATCACGTCGACCGCGAATGGCTCAGCTTGGATTGCTGGAATGGTGTCTGCGATGATCGACATTATGCTGAAGAAGTTCGAGCCTGCTCTCCCGTCTCCGGGATTGATCATCGCGGCTGCAGGGGAGAGGAGAGAAGTGAGGAGACGTTCCTCGTTCACTTCCGATAGGGGAGCCATTCGATAGGCAGCCTACCAAGCCAGCCCAATGTCTCTCTCGATAAGGCAGGGAACGAAGAGTGCATTGACCACGCGATTTGAAGAGACCGTAAGGTGAATGGTAAGATACCACGGAGTATATTCAGAAGAAGGTAAATGTACAGTGAATCTAGATACAGGCTCCCCGTCTATTGAGCCAAGGGTCCGACCTTGCTCCACATCTCACTTCCACCACTCCGACACGCCTTGCATGGTTCGTCATCTATGGCCGGACGAATTCACGAGCGTGACGCTTGGTATTTAACAAGATAAAAAACAGCTATATGTATATCTTGATAAACCGACCACCGGCTGTGTTAATATTATGTTCTAATGAAACTCCTAAAAGCCTAACCAAAGACCCCCCGGTCCCTCAAGGAAGCTTCAGGGGTCAGAATCAGGGGGGATTAGTCCAGTGGGGCACTGCGAGCTTTCGCGTCTAGGCATGTCACTCCGATTGACGTCACACGTCAAGTACATAAACCACCCTCGCGGCAGCATTGGATCCCAACTCAACCTGGCAAAACTGAGACGCGCCTGAACAGGATCAGTCACTGAATTCCTGAGACGGTCTGCTGTCATCCAAGTCCTGGAGCTCATTGACGGCGACATTACCATGCCCCAGACACGCTCAGGCGCATCTTCTAGCGCGTCAGCGCCAGCTCCCGCTGACACAGCTGACGAACGCGCAAGCACGTCTGGCAAGAGCAGCGCAATAAAACCAAAACCCAAGAGGCCGTCTGACCACTCCGTCGAGCCACTTCAGAAGGGAAAAAGAGCCAAGACAACCAAGACGACCAAGGCCGCGGAACAAGCGGCCGCCGAAAGATGAAGATGAAGATGGTGACGATGACGCGGAGGGGCGAAAACTGCGCCTGACAACACCAGACCTCGAGTTCGACTACGACCGCAGCTAGCTGTGCGACCCGCGCCCTACACCAGGTCGCAAGGCTAGGCCGCGCTGGGATGACATGGAACTCTCGGAGGAGTTCAAGGCGCGCTTCCACATCCCCAAGCCCGAGAAGCCCAAGGGCCGCCTGAACGCGCTGCAGAAGGACAAGCTCTTCAAGCAGCAGACTGATATGGACCCGAGCCAGTCGTTCCACGACCTGCACGTCTGCCACAAGAAGGGCGCGCGAGGCTCGCCCATGTACGACTCGGCGGGCTTCCAGCTGGACTACAAGAAGGTCGACGACTGGTTTAAGCCCGGCGTGTCCAGCAAGTCGGCGGCGATAAACGGCATGGAGAGGCGGATTGAGAGGGGCAAGCGCGAGGAGAAGGAAATGTATGCCTCCTTCTTCATCGACTTCGTCGAGGGCGAGGGTCCCGACGGCACCGACATGTACGATGTTAAGTACTACGTCAAGGACCACGTCTCGAAGGACCTTGGGGTGCCGTGGCACGAGCCGAATGCGGAGGAGAAGAAGCGCATGTTGAAGATGATGGGAGGGGCGAGCTTGAGGAAAGATCTCTAGATGGGTCTAGGGTGTAGTGGCCACAGTCAGCATCAAGCATGCGCGCAATCGCACGACGCGCGTGGACATAATAGACCACCTCTAGCTGAACTCACCGATCCGGGACACTTGGTGTTACTTGACAATCCGTCGAAGATGATTCTCGAGCATACAGACTCCGAACAGCTTACGTAAGAGACATTGTGGCCTTGAAGCACTTATCCCAAGACGTCATCTCGTCGCTTCCGTCATGACACGAGGCAGCTCTTTCAATCCTTTCATGGCTGATGATGAGTCTGCCTTGGTCCGTTTCCCAACTTCCGGCAGGATTGTGCGGGCGGCGTACAGTGGAGCATGGCTGCAGGAAGCAGCGTGTATGTAAGCCGAGGTGGGAATATGAAGCTCATATTACGCGATAAGCTTCTCAGCTCTGGCTGACACCAGCGTCTCACTGTGCCTGTGTTCGTTTCAAGACACCCCCTTGCCATGCATCCCACCCTAATATGTAAGCCATGCTTACAATGAGCCACTGACGTTATGTTCGCCCTCCGCTTCTCAGATGTCGGTAAGATGCTTTCCCTATACGCTCCAGGCTGAAAGAGCAATGCAGACTGCTGACATTTCTTCAGCGGTTTAGGGATCTTGTCATCCACGATGACTGCGACTTGCAGAGCCCAGGTCTTGAGGACCTGAACAGGCAAGTCTAAATAAAGGTGATCATCATGGGTTTTGTCTGTCGGGCGCAGAAAGTCTTCTTGGAGGTGAGGATCATACGCCCTCATAATGATTGTGAGTATAAAGCTGGTGAAGGCGTATCTTAGATGTTCGTGGTTTATAGACATTACACATATTCATCCGCGATGATCATCAACTTCACCACATTGAGAAGACGCGTTGCCAGCATCACAAGACCTTTGAAACCCCAACATGTCAACAGCAGCCGTACTTCACCCCACCGAGAGCATCCCGGCTCAGCACCGGAACTCTGGGCAATGGACGACTACACGTATTCCACCATCCAACTCTACACTTCCTAATCGATCAGGTGTCTACCACGCCCGTCCGAAAGGATGGCAAACCGATCCAGAGAGGGAAGTCTGGACTCTTGCGGATCTTGAGTACACAATGCCGCAAAAACGTACCAGAGCTATTCCCTCGTCTACAGGTTGGACGAGCATGTCAACAGAGACCAAATCACGAAGCAGCTAAAAGAGAGTCTCGAATTGACACTAAGCCAAGCCCGCACCTTGACGGGGACCTTGAAGAAAAGGGATGGACGCGTGCAGATCGTCAAAACTAGAGACAGCGCCGCTCCATTCATCGTCAAGTACAGTGATGAACACAACATCAAGATATCGATCGACGACCAGGCCGCCGAGTTTCCTCCCGCACTCGTGCGCGAAGCTGCTTCGCTGGACGAGATGGGCGACTTGCACACCAACACCGTCACCAGCAGCTGTCCCGCCTCAGTATTCCAGACAACTTGGATCCCCGGAGGCATGATCCTGACGACGAGCTTCCACCACTACTGCATCGACGGCGGCGGCTTCCAAGCCTTCCTCAAGGAGTGGAGAGACAATGCCCTCTCGCTCGCCACCGGGTCGGAGCGGCCACACTGGACCCCACGAGCCTCAACCGAGGCCGCCTCAACGGCAAGCCCGTCCCCAAAGAACACCAGCTCGACGCCCCGCCTCCACCACCACCTATGGTCCTGCCGCTGGTGCGCCGGGGAGAACCCCTCCTCTCCGTCGTCGTCCAGCTCAGCCAAGCCAACGCCGACCGCCTCAAAGCCGCCGCGCAGCCTGCGACGGGCTTCGTGTCCACGTACGACGCCGTGACCGCACTGCTCTGGCGCGCCCACACGCGCGCCCGCCTCTCGATCTGCAACCCTGAGCCGGGCGAGTTCTCCCCGCACGGCACGGCCGTCGACCTGCGGAAGCGGTTCACGCCACCGCTCCCCGCGCAGCTGCAAGCCAACGCCACGACGGCCATCTTGACAGGCCGCCCAGTACAAGACGTAATCGCCTAAGGTGCCGACGCGCTCCCCAAGCTGGCAACGCTAATACGCAGATCGCACACGGGCGCGACAGAGCAAGCCGCCCTGGGAAAGGCCAACATGGTCGCAGCGCTGAAGGACAAGTCGCGGGCGACATGGGACCTGGACGAGGCTGTACCGCGCTTCAGCACGGCGATGAGCGACCGCCGGAACGCGGGCTGGTACGACATGGACTTTGGGTTCGGGCCGCCGGTCGCGCTGCGCAATGTCAATCAGCCCGTGGAGCGCACCATGATGCGCATGCTGCCCGCGCGGCCGGGCCGCGACGGCGTCGAGGTGCAGGTACCGGTTGAGGTGGCTTGCTTGGACAGCTTTGTGCGGGATGTTGAGTTGCTGCGGTATGCTGAGGTGGCTTGCACGTGAGAGTTGAGTTTTGAGCGTTTGATACCTTAAGTTAGCGATTTCCCCTCTTACAAATGACGAGTCTTATTCCCTTGGAAGACTGTTGTTTTTCTTGGTCTCTGTGAAACCAACATGCATACATAAGTCTCATGTATTAGTATCATAGGCACTCCATCACACGTTCGTCAGGGCTGACCGTGTCCTTATTTGTGCTAGGACGAGGTGGCAAATACTCCGAAAAGGTCATTCATCTAGTACATGCTTCAGGTGAGTATGGAATACCAGAGGAAGAGGTCATCACTACGGAGAACGCGTTGTGATGATGGTGGCTTATAGGAGAGCAAGCGAATCGTAGAAGCTTGGCACGCAGGTTAGGGAACCTTTTATCGACAGTTTGACTAGGACAATGGAAATGTAAGGAATAAGTAGATTAGATCTCGTACGGTGAATACGTTCATCAGATTTGGCGTAAGAAGTAGGGACGGTGTTGTCAAGAAGTAACGACATGGAGCTGGTGGAGATATGGGCAAAGACACCCCTGTACTTAAGTGGATTGTTAGCCCCCCCCACGTAATAACGCGCTGCACGCGTCCCGCGCCGCGTCTACCGTTTACACCCATTTACACCAGAGTTCCCTCCACCTGCTTGTAGACTTGTAGTCCACTTCCAGAACCTTACCCGGACACAATATCCTCTCGCGTTTTTGGTTCTTGGAGTTTTCAGGTCCATGTTACCCAATTGAGTCTTCGAGAATGCCGTCGCTTTCGTCTCCCATTAATTACCCTGCCAGCTCTTCTCCCCCAGCAGCAGCCAAACGTCCAAAGCCGCATCCCGAACCGCGTGCCCGACCACGACCACGACCAATAGCCGGCTTTCTCATTGATGATGACTCTGACGACGAGAATGCGCCCTCAGCGCCCGCTGCCAAGAGGCGGATGTTGAGCAGTCCCAACGACCAAGTTGCCGCCGACCACACCGAACCGTCCTCTCCCCCACCCGAGCTTGCTGATGGCGCTTCGAAAGCTGTTGGTTCGACACCGTTGGAGACTGTCACGCTGCCACAAGGCGACGCAACTCGGAATTCAAACCCTGTACTGAACGCCCTATTCACCTCGAGCAATCCGGATTCGGTTTTCCAGCGATTCACCCCTCGCCAGCCTCCAAGCGAGTTCAAGATAACGACATGTTCGGGCAAAACAGTAAACATCAAGAAGCGGACGGAGAACAAGGATGTATCCTTCGAGCGCATGGTCGCGTCGAGATCAAAGAAAAAGAAGGGCCGAGCGGACCGCAGCTACTACGGTATTGATATCCACGAACTTGTCGAAACCGCTACCAAGGAGCTCGCCAACCAGCCTACAAGGTCCACACCCGTGCCAGACGAACCGATGCCATCTGTCGAACCATGCACAGCCAAGAAACCCAAGAAATCCCTACTCTGGACTGAGAAGTACCGCGCAAGGAACTTCATGGACTTGGTTGGAGATGACCTCACGAATAGACAAGTGCTACGATGGCTTAAGAAATGGGACCCATTAGTCTTCCCAGGAGCTGCCAAATCTAGGTCTTCTATAAGAAGGCCAGCAGCGCAACCGACGGAGGAGGAGAAGCCACACCGGAAGATTTTGATGCTCACGGGCCCTCCTGGACTTGGAAAGACCACACTTGCCCACGTCTGTGCCAGACAAGCGGGCTACGAAGTCATGGAGATCAACGCCAGCGACGACCGCAGCCGGGATGTTGTCAAGAACAGGATTCGCACCAGCTTAGGGACAGAGAACGTGAAAACCGTTCAGCAGTCGAAGCCTGAGGCTGGCAAGCAGCAGAAGGTTGTCCGCCCCGTATGCCTTGTGGTTGATGAAGTTGATGGTGTGGTGACCGGTTCTGGAGGCTCTGGAGAGGGTGGGTTCATCAAAGCACTGATGGACCTGATCACGGTTGGGGAGAAGAACGCTTCTGGCCAAGCAACGACTACACAAAATTCGGGCCGAAAGAAGAAGAAGGGCGACGATTTCCGCCAGATGCGACCGCTCATCCTCATCTGCAATGATGTGTATCATCCCTCGCTAAGGCCACTGCGTCAATCAAGCTTGGCTGAGATTATACATGTTGGCAAGCCCACAGTTGATGCAGTGGTTACGCGTCTCAAGTCGGTGTTCGAGAAGGAAGGAATTCCATGCGAGAAAGATGCCGCCCGGAAGCTTTGTGAAGCTGCATGGGGGATCAGCAGTGGCATTGAAGCGAAAAGGGGAGCTGAGAGCACCGCAGAGGGAGATCTAAGAGGTGTTATGGTCGTTGGAGAATGGGTTGCTGGCCGCCTCAAGTCTGCACCTCTGAAGGGACCTATCTCCCTCACACGGCAATGGGTTGAGCATAATGTCCTACGAGAACTATCACACGGCGGAGGTGGTGCAAGAGGCGTAGGAAGAGGCAACGTGAAGGATATTGTGACACGCCTTTTCCAAATCGGTGCCGGGTTCCCCAAGGGCAATATTCTCATCACTGCCCCATTATCCAAGCACATGGACGAGCAACCTCAAGCACAACTCGGATTTGCTGAGCAGCAGAAGAAGTATGGCATGGAACGCTTGCGAGAAATGGTCGAGACGAGCGGCGATGTTGATCGGGTCATCACAGATGTGTTCGCCGAGTATCCCAACCACGAGTTTAACGACGACTCGTTTCTCTCGAAACCCGACGCAGCGTACGAGTGGATGCATTTCCACGATACTTGCTCCTCGAGGATTTTCAAGAGCCAGGAATGGGAGTTGGGCCCTTACCTTTCCCAGCCCGTCCTGGCTTGCCATCACTTGTTCGCATCCCCTATTCGGCGCGCGAATATGGGCTATGACAGGAAATGGGGCGATCACGAAGACGAAGCACCACCACTCCCGTTCTCTGGACCGAGAGCAGACTTCACAGCGCGCGAGGCAGAGAAAGAGAATCGAGCGATGCTTCAGGCAATCCAAGCGCAGCTCCCACCAACGCTGATGCGAGCCTTCCGTAGCGCTGAAGACGTCTCCACCGAATTCCTTCCCTACCTCATGCGCTTGGTATCGCCTGAGGTCAAACCTGTTGTTGTTGGAGGGAGTGGAGACATCAAAGGGACGGCTAGCGTAAGGAAGGATACTGAAAAGACAATGGTAAAGCGCGCGGCGGATGTCCTTGCTGAGGTCGGCATCGAGCTACAGCGAGGCAAGATTGAGAGCGAGTCGATGTTCAGCCGGGGGCCGCAATGGGTGTATCGCATGGAACCGTGAGTAACCCAACCCCTAACCAAGCGCTGTACGCAAACTAACAAGTTTGCAGTGATCTCGACATCCTCGCTACCTTTGAAACATCAGCAGCCGTCCTCCACGGCACCCAGGCGCCGACTCGCTATGCAGTGCGCCAGGTCCTTGACCAGGAGCTGCAGAAGAACAAGATACTGCGCGACACCTCGGCTCGACAGGCGCGCTTCAAAGCGGGCAACCCGCACTCCACCGACGACTACATCTTCAGCGACAAAGAGAACGCCAAGGCCACGAAGGAGACGGCGCTGCCGGCCATTCCCGTCAAGAAGGACTTCTTCGGGCGCGTCATCAAAGTAGATGTGCGACCGCTCCAGGAGACGGACGGCAACAGCGCTGGCAAGCGGAGAGCAGCCGACGAGCCCCTGGGCAAGGGGGAGACCAAGGTCTGGGTGACGTACCACGAGGGCATGAATAATGCCGTTAGGAAACCCATCACGTTGCATGAGCTGCTCAAGGGATTGTAGATTTAATACTTGTTGTTTTCTTCTTGCCTTGGCTTGTTTGGATCGTTCAAATCCTGGAACTTGGGCTGGAGTAGCAGTGTGCATACTGAGGGCGTCCAGGAGATGTAGCATTTCTCCGCGGGAGTTTGTAATCTAGCGCTTATGATGAACATTCCGTTGAACCTGTCCCATGCTTTGACTTGCTCCTTGTCTCTTTCACGCCACACGCTACAGTCATCTCGTTACGTACTCTTCCATCTCCATCCCCTGCAACACGCTCCTAAACAAGTCCGCCTCGGCCTCCATCTCCTCGACGGACCTCGCCATGCGCGCCTGGTCTTCAATGTGCGGGAACGCGCCGCCTGGCCGCGGCCGCTGTTTCATCGTCTCCTGTGTCCGATCCCATAACGCCCCGCCCACGTTCCCCTCCTCCGCCGCCATCAGCTCGTAGATCTCGTCGCCCGGCCCGCTGTCGTCCTTGGACGTGGCGCCGCGGATCCGCGGGATCACGTGCACGTGGACGTGCGGCACCGTCTGGCCGGCCTCGCTGCCGTCCTGGATGGCTATGTTGAAGGAGCCGGCTTCGGGCGGGGCTGCTGTTGTCCTCTTGCTGTCACTCGCCACATCACTGTTCTCGTTGGTGTTGGCGATGGCGTTTTTACTTGACCCTTGTTGCTGGGGGATAGCAGTAGCAGTGGCCGTGTCAGAAGAACCGTTGATGGCGCGCACCTGTGTTGCTGTGAAGTAATGCCGCGCCAGCATGTGCTGCACGCGCTGCACCGCGCCGAACAGGTCCGTCAGCTCGGGCGGCGAGAGGTCCGTCAGCCGCCTGTGCGGCCGCTGCGGGCACACCAGCACATGGCCTGGCAGCAGCGGCTTCAGGTTCACGAGGGCGAAGGAGTGCGTGGTTGTGAGGAAGACCTGGGATGTTTTAGTTATATAGGCTTGATTGTGTGCTGTGTTGGTGGTTCTGTTGATGATGGTGGACGGATTGATGGGTTGATGGGATGGGACTCACCTGAGAAGTCACCTCGAATGGGCCGAAGTGGAGGGGCCCGGTCGGTCGGGTGCTCATCTTGCGTTTGTAGGCTTTTGTGAAGGGGTTCAGTGCTATCGCGCCGCCTTTCCGTATCATATTTTCCGAGATCTGTCACAGCTCATTGTGTGGCGTGGTGGTCTAGCTTTGCGTGCGTCGCGGCATTGGAGTGCAATCCACATGCCAATCCCCTGTCCCTGTCATGACGTCGCCGGTCGCTAATATCCCCAGCAATACGTTCCTAGCACCTTTTGTCAACCTAGACGCCGACGTCTTTGCCCTACTACACACACCAATCCCTTGCCCATCGTGTGATAAAAGCTGTCTCATTTAGCGACTTATGATGGATTGATATTTCCCCAATGCCGGCGTCAGGACATTTCGACCAGGGAATGACATTGGGCTCTCTTGACCCTTTGACCTTGTATTCGTCGCGTTCGTTCGCGTGTTCCGCGTCGTGGTGCCACCCTTTTCGCTTATTATTTCGAGTCTACTTAGCCATATCTTCCCCTCTTCTTGATATACAGTGAGATGTTCTCCCGTCGATTTACCGACGGATCTTGTTAAACCTTGGCGCGGTCATGTTGCTTGGCAGTGAGTGTCATGCACTGGGACTATCTTGAACGATTATACTTTGAGATCATGCATGCCATTAGTAGGTAGACAGCTAGGATGAGAATAGTTAGTGCGGCGGCCCCGGATCGACTATAAGTTACTGACTGCCAAGAGACACAGGATCAATGGATCCTGACTCGGTTCCTGTTGTGTCAAAAGTTATGTCAGTCAGCAAGGTTCAAATCCTGGCAAGCTCCACGTTGCCATCCTTTGCCACAAGATGACAGCTATCGTTGCCACCGTTTGAGCCAGGCATTTATAAACATTGTTGCGGCCCACAGCGAACATTCTATCTTTACTTCTCGCCCAACGCGTCACAGAGGCAATATTGAACCAAATACACCTTTTCAGCCCGTTCCCCATCTTGACTGTCTAGAAAGAGTCACCATGCGAACCACGTCCATCTTCGTCTTCCTCGGCGCGCTTGTAGCTATGTCGGCTGGCCTTGAGATTAACAGCGATTACGAAGGAAATATCCCTCTACCGGAGTTGATCCGGGAGCTCGAGCTCGAATGGGGTTCGAATGACATGGCCAACCCATACCCTTGAGCCTCAAATCGGCTGCATGATGGCGTTGTCGGGACCAAGCAGCAGGAATCCAGGATCTCCCAAAGTCACGCATAGGAAATCCGGAGAACAGTGGAAGCGAAGCGCCACTCAGTCGCTAGTAACATCTTGAAACGATATCGAATGGTCGTGGGGCGCGCTGATGCAGACGACATCTCATGCAGCGCTGACGGTGATTGCGACGGCTCAAAGGGAATATGTGTGGACGACAACAACCATCAATCTGTCGGTATGGGAGTACCCATGTCCTTAGTGTCCAATGGGGTAGTTTGGTATATGAGGAACAAAGGCTAGGTGTTGGAACGACTTTCGGATTGGACTAGGCGGGGAATAGGGTGGTGTGGCGAGTGCGCAGCTCGGGAAAGGGGGTTGCTCGCTCTGATTTCTGCAGCATCGGGTCGTACTTAGACTACAGTCGGACAGGCGAGCATGTATTGGGTAGCGATGTCAACTATTGAGTGACCAGAGTCAAGGCTTCCAATTGTGTTTCATTCGCAAATTGATCGTAAATTGATCGCAAGATGAGGGGAGATGATTCCTGAGAGCGAGCATCGTATGACTACCAAGTTGACAAGCCTATGTGTGGTTTTGCGTGTGTCCACCGACGATATCCATCCCTCAAACCCCAACCCATTGACTCCCCTTCTCCCTTTTTGCAATGTGACAGAACCGTTCCCATCCGCTTCATCTGTTGCGGTGGCGGCAGCTCTTTCAGCACTTCCAGTTTATATAAAGCTTTGTGAAGGACATAGATCGCCTCGGCATACATGGCTGTTCTGGCAATGGATCGGTACTGTCGTCGGCGATGAACAAAGCCCAGGCTCTGCATTGTCAACACATCGCCGACTGTTCAATGGACACCGGCGCCCCCGGGCTCGGCTGCATTGTCAACATTGCCGACTGTTCAAGCCACGCCGACGCCCCCGGACTCGGCAGCACAACGGAGCACACACATTGATACTTTCTGTTGTATGGTGGCATTGTTCCACGACTTCCAAATGAACACGGCCTTGCTTATGCCGAGTCAAAGGAAGATTGACTGTCGGCAAGCTATATAAACACTGAATACGCGTGCTCTCAGTAGCTTCACTTCCCTCATCACATTCATACACTTCACAAGTCACTGTGCTTTCTCTCCCGAAGGCACTGCTGTCTTCATTACCAACTTTGATCTCAGATTCCAACTGTCAACTAACAACAGCCAAACCATTCCCGAGACCACCCTTCTACCATCTCACCTGCTCATTCCTAAACTCACGATGTCTGGTCTCCCGATGGATGAAGCCGCCCTTGGTCCCGTTCAGCAAAAATGGGTTTACACAGCCAAGACGAACAAGGTAAATCCAGGGAATCTGACATGTACTCCTACGAGTATGCTCTGGCTCGAGCCCTTGGAGCAAGTGCAGTACCATCAGTCGGAGTGGGTGGGAGAGCAGGGTGTCCAGCAGTCTGTAAACTTCAGACACTCCTTCCTCCCCGACGCGGTCCGCAAACTGATCAACGTGATACCCAGCGCCACATACGGGATGTGGAATGAAATCGATGGCGAAGAGGTGTTCAAGGATGCGTTGGAAAATGCGGTTGATCGCGGCGAGTTCTTCACCAACATACGCGCGGCTAAGTACAGCCTCTGGGCCATCAACACTGGCAACCACTGGAAAGTCATCTACCTCCGCCTCGCGCCTTCTCAGCCGTCTGGTGAGTACGACACCCTTGTCGACCTCGCCATAGTCGACCCGCAGAAGTCTAAAGAGCTTACTGCCTTCGTGCGAGAGCGTTTGTTCATCATCTTGGACACTGGCGGCATCGACATCTCAGCCGCAACGCAGCAAAAGATACGGGTCCCCCGGCAAAGAGACAGCTTCTCGTGCGGACTGCGGACTGCGGGCCACGGCGTTTATATGGGAGATGTTCCGTCGCATCCAGGAGCTTGAGTTGGGCAACGAGGATGTGGACTTGTTGGGGCCAATGAGCTCCTATTTCAACCCCGACTATGTCCGGCTGGACATGGTGGGTTGCATTGCCGCGGAAGGCTTGCGCGACCAGGGTTACCGAGCTCGCATCGCTGTCGAGATGTTTGACACGGTACAGATGGAGGGTGAAGGTCCCGAGCTTCGCTCTGAAGGTCTCGGGCCAGCGCCGTCGAAAGCATTCAGTATGACAGAAGTAACTCCTTGCGGTGCGGTACCTAGCCTGTTCTCCCAAGTTGTAAGCGTAATCGGACAATGTTGTCGGCGCTCTAACCATTAATAATCCATTAATAATCACTCCTTTATCCATTCATTGTCTCATTCGTAGAGACCTCTTACCGCGATTTTTCAAATTAGGGTGAAAACTGTTCCATTAGTTCTGTTGCTAAAATCCTTTAATGACCCCATCAATCTTGACCGTTGACCTGTACATAGCCTGTGTTTGTGGCATGGTGTCAACATAACATACCTACATTAAACACTCTGCTACGCGGAATGACGGGCCGAGGATGGCGAATGGAGCACCGAGCGCCACGAGAATCTGGATGCAATGCTTGGGTATCGTACGACCTAGTATAGGGCGAGTCCTGTCCGTGTTCAGCTTGTGACGGAGATAATGGAGATGGCGCGGACGGATGATGCATAGGAGTCCCGGGATCGTAAGTGGTCGACATACCACGGGGCAAGATCCCAGCCCGATCGATTTTCCCATGTGTCCCCGCCCCAGTCAGTGCCCCTCTCGTGATGTTGCCGATAGTTCGCCTGTATGGTGAAGTTGGATTAGATCGCAAGGCCGAACTATTTGACTCTATGGAGCTCGGGGAGTGATATAGCCGTCAAGCTTACTTCGAGAGAAATGCCCTTCGCCTTTCTTATCAACGCTCTATATATTATTAGGTGTAATCGCACACTATATAAGTGAAGCATGGAAAAACGGAACGGAAATAAGCCTAGACAAAAAAAATCAAAGGAGGAAATATCCTAGACTTCAACGGCCGACCTCTGAGAAGTGTGATTGCAACAAGAAGAACTGAGTTCCTAGAGAAGGGTGTTTGTCGGTCAAGTGAGCTGTCGTGTAGCGGGGGTTTGAATCCCTCAGGCTGTCCCGCAGCAACTATAATGGGTGTACTACATGCACGATTGATGGAAAATTTGCTCTTGTTTTAACATATATTAGGTACCCTTTGGTGCCCATTGGAAACCAGCCCCGCCCCACGATGGCAGCAGCACCCAATTCCCCGCCTGTGATGTCGGCATTGGGCCAAGATCTTTTCACTGGAGGACGAAATATTTCATGAATACACGTCCACTGCAAGCTCACGAGATGACAATTTAGCAGGCCTGGTTTCTTGACATTGTGAATCCTATGCTAACCACAGTCCTGACAGATATTTGTCAATCTGGATCCATCCGTTGACATGCATACTACCCGCATCCAGCATCTTGAACTCTCCGTCGATGGTAGTTGTCACAGTCCGACTGCTGGTGGCTCCAGATCATGACTTTTGTCGTTTGTACGTGAAGAAGGACAGAAACTATGAAGACAATATGAGCATCGTGTCCATGGGGGCACGAGATCCCTCGCACTTTTCGTCGACGGCAGGGATGGAATGACTACCTACTTCCATAAGAGATTGGGGTGAGGATCATTTCGGCTTGTCACCTCCGTTGTTCGAATCAGTGCCCTTTTTGAGCTCGGGCTCAGGTACCTTGCGACGCAACGGCGGCGACTCCGGTGACTGCGGATAGGTGTAGCAATCGTCATAGCTGGTGAAGACCCAGTCGTCCCTTGACGGCGGAGACGGTGATCTCGTGGCTGCTGAGACAGATGCCTGGGTCTGCGGAGTGGAACGGGTGGGCGTGTTCTCAAACGAGGGCTCGGGACAGACACCACCGCCGTGTAAGATCTTGTCAGGTAGAATCTCTCGTGGGTTAACCCACTGACCCGACTTATTTTTGACCAGGAAAGGGAGAACCTTGTACTTCTTGGCAGGAGGCCGTGTGGGTGTGTCATCGTTGGGAGACATTTGCCATCCTCTTTGGCGTCCCGTGGTAAGGGCAGACGGCGTTGCAGTCGCTCCTGCCTCCTTCATAGGTGTACGAAAAGTGTTCTTCCTCTGTGGAAGGGAAAGGCTCTTGGAAGCCGGCCGCTGATGGTTTCGAGGGGTGGTTGGCAAGGTGGACGAAGGGCTGGTGGAAGGGTTGGTAGGCTGCGTCGTGGAGGCCGTCTTGTCTTTATCTACCTCGAACTTCACAGTCTTCTGAGGAGTCGTAATGGCTCTACGACGAGTTAAGCTGGCTTTCTGAGGAGCCGCAACAGCTTTTTGAGCAGTCGCAACGGCTTTCTGACCAGTCGGAACGGCTTTCTGAGGAGTTGATGTGGCGTTGGTGCCTTTGTTGGATTTGACAGTCCGTCGTCCATCGCTTGGGCCAAGTTCCTGGTCAAGATAGGTCCTGCATGGATGGATTAGCCCATGAAAGAAATGCCATAACCAATAGTCTGGCCATCATTTCGATCTGGGAAATCAAGGAACAATGAACAGCTTCAAGCGATGATGCCTTCACCTGCTACTTACTCGTACTCAGCTACAGAGCGAGCAGGATGTCCATGCCTTTGGAGACACTCGCTGATCTTTTCCAAACGCAGCGCCCTGATATCAACATTGTTGACTGTGATCACTGTAGAGTTGTTAGCAGGTATGTTTCAATTTGGATCGATGCACGCTCACGAGATAGCAGTAGGTCGCGCTCCTCCTTAAAGGTGAAATTGGGGCCCGCCATGGTGGTGTTGGTTACAATTGCGACCACCGCCGAGCAATCCAACGGTAGTACTCGGTACAGCTCATTCGAATGAAAGATCTGACATTTTGGTGTTGGCAATTAGGCGGATGCTCCAAGCAGGTGGTTGCTCAGGTGCAGATGTTTTTTTGTAGTTGCGGAGCGCCGTGGGTTGCTGGTGACCCTCAGACTGGCAGCAAGGCAAGTGCCAGGCACCCGGCTCACAACAGCCTCAGCAGGACATCAGCGATTGCTGCACCGGCTCGTTACCTTAGTAACACTGCAATTGACGATCCCTTTGTCAGTGGACATCATGTAGACTTGGTTGGGAGGGGATGCCTGAGGTCTCGACCCAAATAGGGGTAGTGGTGTTCTACAAGTCACGAGCCATATGAGCTGTGTCATTGAGACGAGAGGTATATGCACCAGAAATGAGGTCCTGTGCACCTTACATTGTACGTGATTATTCAGAGACGTGCGGCGAGTGCAACTCCAAACAATGAACGTGGAGCCTGTTGGCAGGAACATGTGCACCTTCAAGGGTGTGCCTCGCATCTTGGCCCAGCCTTGGTCCTCTGAGACTGCCAACGCCCTTTCCACATGTCGATCACTGCACCTATTTCAAAGAAAACAAGTATACTGACATGAATCTCTTCAGCTGGACACATCATCACATTAAGTTGTAATCTATAGAGATTGCAAATCCTCCCTCAGCTCTTTACTCGACAGTGTACCTGACCTTTGTACTCGACAGTGTGCAATTTCGGCAGTCCGCGCATGGGTAACCGTTTACGGGACCAAAACTTTTCATCGATCTTAAAAGTCCCATCCTCCTCGACCACGAAGAGCAAGTCTCCACCCAAGGAAATGCGCCCTAGGTAAGCGGACCAAAACTTTTTATCAGTTATTGTAGGTCCCCTGCTCCTCGGCCTCGTGGAACAAGTCTTTACCCAAGGAAAATGCGCCCCAATTTCATGAGACAATACGTCGACAGAGACGCGGAGAGGCGTATTGTCTCAAGCTTCGGTAACCGGAATAAGCCCAGAAAGTCGAATATGCACTCTTGGGACCCCGGTACGTAATCTACCTCCAGGTGTTGGATTGTCGATCGATCGAAGGTGCCCATGGTGTAGACAACGATAGTCCTGACCGTGCGGGCTGTCAGACGATCCATATAGAAACGGCAGTGCAATTTGGCAAGCCCTTGAGCAGAATTGCAAACAAGCGCTGTTGCTTCTTTGGCTAGTCGCTTGCATGAGAACAGTAGAGCTGGTGGTCCAACGTCATACTCTTCCATTAACTTTCTGCTGTCTGAGCAGGGAGCAGTGGCCGGTACGCTCGTATGGACTGCAATAGCCAGGGTCAGTTATGCAGTTCTGCAAGAGACATACGATATGTCTGGAAATGGAAGCGAAGTCAAGGCATACGAGCATCGTCGTCATGTAGTTGCCTATCTGCGGATTTGACGAAGGTGGGACTGGAGCAAGACAAGAAGAATGGAATAACAACCAGGATGGGGTTTGCTCACAGATATGATTCCACGCGCAATACTTGTATATCATGCAGCGCACTTCAGCGGGGAATATGTTGAAGAAGGGAGAGGCTTCTTGATGATCCGAGACAGCTTCAGCAATGGAGAGAATCTTCCACACCCAGACAGGCTCTCTTCTGATGGACGGCTCGACCCTGCCCCAGCCGGAATATGTTGCAGTGGACATTTTTGTCCTTCTGTCAGATCACACCTCTATTCTTCAGATATTGGCACGTCTGATTTCCACCTCGAAGTGTAGCAAGACTGTAGAACGACTCCCAGTCAGTCTTAACTCATACGACGTGATGGCTAGCGACACGAATATGTGTGAACCGACGGAGACTTCAAAGGGATCACTGTACCTAGCTTTTCGTGGCCCTTATGAGAGTAGTTTCAGGCGGACAGTAGGTATCAGACTGGAATGACCAGGCGGAGCGAGACTCGGGCGAGAACACGCTGTGGGTGTCAAGATGGACGTAGAGATGAAGACCAGAGAAGGCTGATAAAAGGCGTCCGGCGAGAAAAGATTATGGGAGTCCGGCACATGACAAGGACACCTGTTCAACAAATCTGGAGGTGGCGCCATGGCGTCGAGTTTGGGAAGAGAATTTTAGTCCAATTCAGCGCATGGTTCAGACTACATTTATGCCACTTCCTCGGTGAAGCTACTTACGTACCTAGGTAGCTTAGGTACGTTCCTTCACACTGTCATATGTAGACCAAGTCAAGCCGCTTGCTGAAATAGGAGGTAAATAAGGGGGGAGCGCCACCTGCGCGACGTCTGTTCCAGCTGCATGGTCCCAACCCAGCAAATTGACCAATGGTATCAATCCTGGAATATACTCAGGCTCTGCGGCAACCTTGAGCAGATTAACGATTCTTTTTGGTGGCTTATGGCTGAACCTATTAACCTTCGCCCTCAACCTTAACGCCACTGGTCGTTATGAAAGTATATATATGCACTTAAGCAGCTTGTGAAGCATTAGTGTGCAAAGCTGCGATAAGATAAAGCTACCCCGCATCCCCGCATGTTGCACGTTGTGGTCTACGCCATCGTTTAGGTTTCGCATCTAGGTGACAGCTGGAGCTTACCGTAACAGGCCACAGAACAATGACATAAGTCCCAGAGCCCATACCTACTTCTGGTTTGCCCTTCCTTACTTCACTTCATCTACATCGAGCCTCATCAACCAACAACAGAACCGCGCTCTAATACAGATCCTAGCTTTCTCGACAACCACGGCTACAACTAAGCACAGCACCCACACTACGGCCATGGCGACGAATCCGCTAAGCTCTTCGGCTGTGCTACAGTCGATGGCAGACGCCTTGTCCACGCATCCACCAGGCGACGCCACCTCAGATCTAAGCAGTTCACATGAAGCTCTGGCTCTATTCACACATGCCTGCATGATATCACTTGGCTTCCGTCTCTTGGGCTTTGACGAAGACAAACCAGATGGTCCGTAGCCACCCAAGTATATTTCTTCCTGTGTATTGCTAACGTCTACCGTGTAGAAGCAGGATGCCACGCATCAGCTCCTCGTTTGCCATCCAACTGGAATGCTTCCTTCAACACTTATGCGTTCGTGTACGCTCACCAGCAATCCGCCCTTCGGTTCGTCATCAAGATCGACCGCATGGGAGGCAAGGCCGAGATCCGCGGACTGGCTGTCAAGGATGAGCGTATTGCTCGTGCCGAAGTAGTCATCAAGGACTATGTCTCTAACGCAGCTCTCCCTATCCGGATAACTATGAGAGGAGGAACGGAAGACCGATCCGACCTGCCGCAGAAGTTCCAAAATGTCTTCATCTCCCAGAGTCGCGTCGCTGATCTCGTTAGCCTGATCAAGGTCAACATCATTCAGAAACTGATGCCCGCACTGCAAAAGGAAGGATACGAGGAGTCTGCCGATGACAGAGCAGCTCGCGAAGATGCCAACGAAGCAGGTCGCAGACCACCGAGACAGCCAGTCATGCCAGACCTTCTTCCCCGGCCTGCACAACCGTCGCCCTTCCACGATCCCCTAAACCCACCACCTCGAAACCCCGTTCCGGCCGGTGACTTCCCACCGCCGGGCTTCGAAGACCCTTATGATATTCACCGTCCGCTACGAGGCTATCCAAGGGGTGGTCTCTCGTCCTTTGGGAATATCGGAGCGGACGATCTGAACCCGCCTGGACTGGGACAACATGACCCTCTACGTCCCTCGTTCGGCCCTTACGGAGGAGGGCTGCCAAGGCCAGGCGGGGGCCAAGGAATGCACCCTACTTTTGACGACCCCCTTTTCGGTGGGCAAGGCGGACAAGGAGGTGAATACGACCCACAGGCACCACCGGGTGCTCGATGGGATCCCATAGGACCGGGTGGCATGCCTAGACTAGGTGGCCAGAGACCTGGCGGTGGAGGTGGCGCTGGTGGTGGTGGCTTTGGGGGATTTGGCGGTTTCGGTGGTGGTGACATCATCTGAAGGTCGGTCAGGTCTACACATGTTGCTCCTGGTGTAAGCTATCAGCATGATTCGTTGGGAGGAGACAGAAGATGTCTTCATCTGCCGTATTTGAAGGAAACGACTCACGACGCAATTATAGCACTCTTGTAAAATAACAAAAGTAACAATAATGAATGTATGCTCCCACGCGAAGACTTGTACTGCCAATGACCGGATGATGATTGATACACTGAGCCTCCAAAAGTTTCCGCACACCCGTCGTCTAGCAAACAAGAAGTGTATTCTTTATAAATGGAATCAGCACTTTGGAATAAGCATTCAAGATGGCTTTTAAAACCGAAGCTGCTTATTCCACAGTGCTTATCCTATTAAAATGAATATAGCATTGATACCCAAAAATGAATAGAGACGTGCCGGACGAAGACTTATGGGGGGTGATTGTACCTGCATATCAGCCACGAGAACACCAACACTATATTTATTATCGTAGGATACATCAGAGGAGACACAGATTATGCGACTCGGTGCGTCAGTTATTCGATGACAAGGTTGATGACGGCTCTTCCTTGGCTTTACCCTCCTCAACCCAGCATTCAAAGAACAAGGGGCCGGCTTCGACGGCACGAAGGGGTGTCGTCTTGGCTCCCCCAACGTCCTCGCCAGCAGTTTCCCTCTCGCTGGACTTGGTCTGAAGATTCGGCTGTGTCGGAACCCAAGGTTGCGGGTGCTATTGCGTATCAGCACCTACGAATCGTGATGATGGGCATCTGAGGATGTAGTGGGATATACTCACCCCTATAGGAGCCTCCGCCTGGTCCCGCAACTCGACCGCGACGGTGAAGGTGCAGCCCGCGGGCAACGGACCCATCTTCTCGCCCGCGTAGGCCAGCCGGCGGATGGCGGCGCGCAGCTGCTCGTCGACGTCCGTCCAGTTCACCTTGCCTTCGGCAGCATTTGCATTTGCCGCTGCCGCATCAAAGCCGCTCTCGGCCCCATCGACGCCCCTTTCACCGCCGTCCTCGTCCCTGTCTCTCTCCTTCCACTTCCCCTTGCCCAGCAGGAACCCCCTCCACGCCGGGAAGCCGCCGACGTCGAACATCCAGCGCTCCATGACGCGGGCGCGGTCGTCGTAGATCACGACGGCGACGCGCTCGACGGCGCCCTGGACTATCTGGGCCCGCACGGCGTCGACGGCGTCGCGGATCCAGGCGCACACTTTCGGGTGCCGCGACTGGTGTACTGGTAGATTGTAGGCCCGGCTGGTCAGGAAGGTGGCCGCCGGGTATAGTGAGCGGTAGTATAGGATGTTGTGGATGCACACGGTTAGGAAGTACGTGAAGGAGGTTAGGAGGTGTGTGGCTTGGGATAGGGGGACGGATGGACCTGCGGGCTGCACGGGTTGGGTTTGGTCTGGGGTTGGGGCCATGTTTGCTTGATTCGTTTTGGAGTTATGGTGTTGCTTGCTGTGTGTCGTTTGGAAATTGGTTACCACCTATGTGGAGGAGGTATGAAATCTTGATGGTCAGCGGAGTAACGGTCTTGGTGTTGAGCTCATCGAGCTAACCTTAGGCTGCTGATGCATGGGCTCTGTATGCGAAGCTGATGAGCGAGACGCGTTGAGGGGCATTGGCTCGGGAGCTAGAACCGCGTAGAGAGGCGCCGGCCGGGACGCATATACGCCTGTTCACATGATGCAGGTACCCGTTATAGTGGTTGGATGGCCTATGCCGTTCCAATTGTGAAGCCGCCATAAATCAACTACGGATCATGACATAAACGATGAACTTACTTGAAACTACGTCACGCTTCTGACTGTCACGAGAGCAATGAAGTGAGTCCTAGGTAGATTCACGGTGCTTCCTCCGTAAATGTTGGTTGGGTGCTTCCATTTAGATCGACGCGCCCGCACCACCAGTTGACGCGTGGGCCTCGGGTACCGGTATGCAACAATTAGTTAGTCTGACCGCCTGCACCCCTGCGTCTTGGCATCCCGTCCTGCATGCTCCCTACCCGCTTGCCCGCCTACCACCTGCAGACACAAACATCTGAAAACCTACGACTGTCGAGGCAACCAAGAACCACAGAACCACCACCACAACAACCGATTCCCCTCCTCGAGTCACCTCGTCTACCTAAAAACACACCGACTGCCCAGCGCATTGACTCGACTGTATTCGACGGGATCGCGCACAACTTCCTCGAGGTTCCAACTCCCATCATGGAGGACCAACTCGTCCAGGTCCTGGCCAACACGCAGCTGCCCGACGCGGGCCCCAGGAAGCAGGCCGAGCTCGACCTCAAGCACGCCCAGTCCAATCCCGCATACCCCATCTCCCTCGCCAACATTGGCCTGCACACGTCCATCGCGGTCGAGATCCGCCAGGCTGCCCTGTCCTCCTTGCGACTGTTCGTCGAGAAGAACTGGAGCGGGGACAGCGATGATGGCCCCACCATCCCCATCGCCGACAGCGTGAAGGACCAGATCCGGCCTATGGTGCTGGACCTCGCCCTCAATGCTGGCGATGATAGGAAGATCAAGACTGCTGCGAGGTAAGACGTCCCGCTGCGACCAGTGAACACCATATTGGCTGTCACTAACTGCAACATAGTTATGCTGTAGGCAAGATCGCGAACGTCGACTTCCCCGAACTTTGGCCCACCCTTCTCCCTACATTGCTGGAAGTTATTGGCAACGGCAGTGATGAACAGCTCCACGGTGCTCTCAAGGTACTGAGTGACCTTGTCGAGGAGAGCCTAAGCGACGACCAGTTCTTCTCCATGGCGCGAGATATCGTCAAGGCCGTTTACGACGTCGCCATCAACGACAACCGGAAGCCCATCCTGCGCGCTCTCGCTGTCGCCGTCTTCCGCGGGTGTTTCGACCTCATGGACACTGTCAAGGACGACCACCCTACCGAAGTCGTGCAATTTGCCGAGGAGGCCTTGAAGGGCTGGTTCCCCTTCTTCCACCAGACAACGAAACTTCAATTGCCCGAACGCGATCCCCAGTCTTCGTCGCAGCCGGAAAGCTGGAACGGAGTAGTGGCCCTCAAGTTGCAAGTCGTGAAGTGTCTTCTCAAGCTGAAGTCTGTGTTCCCGAACCTGCTGCTACCTCAGACACCTCACTTCTTCCAGTCATACTACGAAGAACTATCACTCCTTGAAACGTCGTATGAGCAGATGTACCTAGAGAACGATGCGCAAGGCCGACTTGAAGATTCCGACGGCCTTCCCTACACCCTCGACTTCCTTGTCTTGGAGGAGCTCGACTTTCTGAATGGATGTATGAAAGCTCCCCCTGTCCGGAAAGAGCTCGAGGCACAGCTGGCCGCCCATGGCGTTGCGCATGAGACACCATGGGTACTGGACGTCATGAAGCTTGCTACCGGTTACGCCCGCATAACTCGAGAGGAAGAGGAGCTTTGGGATATCGATGTGTCGCTCTACCTGGCGGAGGAGCAGTCCGTCAGCGCCAACTATACCCCTCGAACCGCATGTGGAGACCTGTTGATCAAGTTGGGTGAATGGTTGAAACGGAAGGCGCTCGACGGCCTCTATGCCCATACCAAAACTCTTTTCACCGAAAACGCGCACTGGAGAAGGCAAGAGGCGTCTCTTTTTCTGCTTAATATGCTGGTGAGCGACTTTCTTGATTGTGACGAGCCTGTGCCAGCGGAACTAGGGCAGGCCTACTTGGACCTGGTCAACTATGCCATTAATCGTCCTGACGAGCCCCTATTGCGGGGTCGGGGTTATCTGGTCGCTGGCATACTGGCCCAATGCAACGAAACCGCCGCCAGCCTCATGGAACGAACTATCGACGCCATCACCGCAGAGGAGTCGGAGCTTGTCCAGGTTGCCTGCATCAAGGCGGTCGAGGGCTTCATCACTAGCCAGAGCGATCAAATTGCTGGCAACGTCCAAATCCAAGCCAAGGTAGTCGGCGCCATAAACCAATGGATCTCGGCCAAGGATATGACCGACCTTGAGGAAGCCGACGACTTGCTGGTCACCCTGGCTGAGACCCTCCGAGCTGCTATCAATATCGACAAAGCAGTCAGTGTCTCGCCCGATGTCCCGGCTCTGGACCTTCTCTTCCTCATTGCCAAGCATGGCTCAACCAATTATCAGGTATGTTTCGCCCCGGCCTACATTCTATTCATAACTGGCCTCCTCGGACTCATATTCCACCAACTCAAATGCTAACGAGTTTGGCGTTAGGTCACTATGCTTATCTGCGAGGCTTTCGAGGACATTGTGCAAACCATGTCTGACCCTGCTTCCTACCACGCTCTTTGCCAGAAGGTTCTGCCTTCGCTGACGGGCGCATTCAGCGTGGCCGATGTCACTTCTGATAACCCGCTCGTCACTGTAAGTCCTCTTCCCTACCCTGTTCGGGAACAGCGACTGACCAAAATGAACAGTTTGCCACCGAACTGATGGCTTCTCTCACGCAATACGGCTCTGAACCACTGCCCCCTGGATTCGTCGCAGCTACATTACCGAAACTTACCCGCCTGCTGATGGAAAGCAATGAGGGCGAGATCCTGCGACCTGGCGCCGAGTCCGTCAAGTACCTACTGGCTCATGACCACGAACAGATGTTCAACTATCACGACGAGAGCAATAGATCTGGATTAGAGGTCTGCCTTCATATCATTGACCGATTGCTTGGCACCTCAATCGAGGATAACGCTGCCTCGGAAGTCGGTGGTCTTGCAGCTGAACTCGTCGAGAAAGCAGGACATGGAAGACTTGGCCCATTCTTGCCTCAACTTCTGCAGGCCGTCGCCAACCGACTGGCAACTGCTGAAGCTGCACCTTTCATCCAATCTCTTATCTTGGTCTTTGCGAGACTCTCTCTTGTCGGTGCTCACGATGTTGTCGAGTTTCTGAGCACTATCCAAATCAACGGACAAAGTGGCCTGCAAGTTGTTTTGAGCAAATGGTTGGAGAACTCGGTCAACTTTGCCGGTTATGATGAGATCAGACAGAAGTAAGTCCCACTTCCACCAGTGTGAATGCTGTTCCCGGGATAAGCATCGTCATCTTCATTAGCTTGGAGGCTCCTGAACACGTCGTTGCTTGTCCTAGGCAGGACAATTACCACTGAAACAAGCAACGAACTTGTACTCACTGACTGGCGAACAATAGCGTCATCGCCCTATCTAAGATTTATAGTCTGAATGATCCTCGCGTGGCTCAGACGATGGTCAAAGGCGATATGATAATGCCCGCCAGTGATAGGATTATGACCCGTTCACGTACGAAACAGAGTAACTCTCCAGTGCCCCATTCCCTCCCCGATCATTGCTGATACTTTTTAGATCCAGACCAGTTCACTGTCATCCCCGCGCCTCTCAAGATATTAAAGGTCTTGATCGAGGAGTTTTTGTCGGCTTCTGGTCTGACCGGTGCCGCCAATGCCGCTGCCGCTGTCGCTGCTGAGTTTGCGGACGATGACGGTGACGACGGTTGGGAAGATGATGACCGAGACATTATCGACCTCAATCTTGGACATACGAAGAATGACCTTATGGGCTTTCTCGAAGCCAGCAATATGCGGAATCGTGATGATGAGACTCAGCAATACCTCACAGACTTCTTTGTCGGAGCAGCACGAGACAACGTCGCGGGTTTCAGCGAGTGGTACAACAGTCTGACAGACGAGGAGAAGGGCAAGCTCAGTGAGATGGCAAAACTCCAGCAGTTATAGGACGACGAAAATAGTGGCTCAGATACACCGACGCCCCAGGCCCCGGCGCAGCCACTAATACCACAGTTGGCAATAACACCACCGTCACCGAACGTCGGCAGCGGCAGCGGCAACAACCGGATGGATTGAATTCCACTCAGGTCCGACGCAGGCTTTATACCTGGTATAACGAGGGATGGACTCGATGGAGAACTCGGTAGCAGTATCAACGCGGTACGCAAGTATATTGGAGGGTTCCCAGCGCGTGCTTGGGAAGGATACTGCCACGCAATGGAATGACAGGGGTAAGGCATTACTACAATGCTTTTTTCGGGGGCCTTTTGAATTTTTGTTGTTCCCCAGCAGTAGATAGTGCCTTGGCACATGACCCGGGTCATACACAGGATTACATAGAACTAAAAGCAGGACCGATACCAAACAAGCTGAGCTCTTGGCTTACATGGCGACTGGTTGAAAGTGAAGCCTGCACGAGAGCTACTCGACCATATCTAGTGTCGACTTCAGACTGGGCAACCAGACCCTTGATTCGGCGGGCGTCGTAAGCAACCGACGGGCAGTGGCTTGCCTCCGATCGTGCCCAGTGAGCGAGAAGGTACCGTCCCGACTCCTAGCTCAGCCGCGTGTGACTTGAACATGTTTTGAAAGTACCGTCTCTGCAGCTAGCAAGTCAACGTGTGGGGGTGGTTCTGTGGTGTATGTGCATTGTTGGGACGAGACGACTACTTGCGCCGCATTATGGCATCTCAGGGTAAGAGAAGGAAACTGGTCTTCTGTGTACTTAGGTAGGGAGAGCACCGAGGGCTCTCTGCGCCACATTCTATCGATAGTCTGATCGTCTCAAGTACTTGGCTACGAAGTGTGATACGCTGTGGTCGTGAATCTATTCAGCGGCTGGGTCGGAGTTGGACATTGTTTGCCTCACTGATTAGTTTTGATATATTGGTACACATGTCAGGGGTGCTTGACATGCCAGCTTGGTCCAGTCGCAATCAGCAAGCTACATGCGATGTATATACCTTGAAATGCGCCAACGGGTTCAATTTGACCTCCTTGACCAGAGTTTCTCCTGTGGCTGGCCTCCCCTTCTGTGGCCAGCAGCGTAAGTCCATTACCTCTTGCCGATGCAGCTGTTTCGACATCCGTGGACGATAATAGCTCTGAGTCCTCATTCTTCCGATTGCGCTTCTCCTGTCCCGCCCTTGCTTTCCATTCTTCGCTTCTGCTTGGACGCAAGTTGATGATTGCCTTCTCTCGCAAGTATGGGGTTTGCTAGGGTTTGTGCCACCGATGCATCAGCTTGGGTATATCAATCATGAGGCGAGACTGGAGGACTGGAGGACTGGATACCTATCTCGAATATAGCAAACCGAGCACGTGAAGGGGCCTTACATGAGCAGTCCAGAAGGCTCTGCCGTAATCTTGAGTAACGCGAGGAACTCCTCCTTATCAGATCATATCGAGTATCAGCTGGATATCCACTCAGATGAAATAGGGGTGGACGACCATAATCGCCTACGGCCCTGACCTTAGCTGTGTATGTAGCCAACCCAAAGCCCAAGCCACCCTGAGTCGTCTCCATACATTACTTGCTACACTCAGCCCATAGAAATCTCGAGATACTGGAGTAAGCATATAGGAATTAGCAGCTTTGGTCTGATACTTTACTCCTAATGCTTATTCTATGGTGCCTATTTCGATTTCAATTTCGATAAATTTATCGTGGTTTGCTGGACGGGTGGTGTGCGGAGACTTATGAGGGTTCAGTGTACCTCTCGTTCCTGGCCAGCATCCACCAGACCACTCGTCCCAGAAGCTTACTCTCACCATAGTTCAGTCATTGACAAGCACCGTACCTACAGGAGAACGCAGAGGACGCACCTTGACTACCAAGTTTACTGGCCGCCACCCAGCATCAGCATACGTCTCTGGTACTTCGTCGACCACTACTCTTATCTGCTCGACTCGCTTTATCTTCACCTCTTCAATCTTCCATCCATCAACTGTTATCTCAGGGCCTTCGTCAGCCGCTTCTATCTGCTCGGCTGGGTTTACCTTCACCACTACCGCCTTTCCTTACCAACTACGAACAAGCACAGACCATCACATTATCACTACCTTCCTTTACTCAGCCAACCTAAACAAACACAGGCCTTGTCCAGCCGATGGACGCCCAGTTCATCGAGAATCAGGCTATCATCAAGGCAAAGCTGGCTATCTGGCCTCCCACGAAGTGGCCGGTCACGGAGGCTGATCTCGTGCCCGCAAGACGTCCCATGAATTTCAGTCTCGTCTTTGATGAATCCCCGCCCTCCACCACGGATTCCGAGTCCCGCTGGGGTGGAGATCATGCGAGTGATAGAGAACCTTCTGAGTACTACGATGAGGCCAACGGAGCTCCTGGCTGGCCTTCGCCTACGATCCACGACTATGACCGCGACGAGGAAGCACGATCGGATGAGGTTCCCGGTGGTTGGCCTGCACACCCTGACGACTACGCGCGCGATGATGGAGGAAAGTGGCGAACTGAAGTTGATGAATCGCTTATCTACAGAGACTCGGGCGCCCAGCATAACGACCCGACAGACGATAAGGAAGGACGATCTTCCGACGATGCGAACCTTCAGGGAGCACGATCCCACCATGGTGAAGACAGTTGGGGAGGAACGCCAATGCCCATGCAGCGTTCCAGAGCGACACGGGCATCTCGGCCTTCTAACCTCGCGAACGATGAGGGAGCCCGAACCACTCACGGTCATGTGAACGATTGGTGGGTCCCCCAGCCTACAATTCATACCTGGGGTGAACCCGCCGAAACCGCGGACGATGATGAAGCACGATCTGCCGACTACGAGGATGACTGGGAGCACAGGCTGACAATGGCGTGGCTAAGCGCTGGGTTCCATCGCCTGAGTTTGCGTACGAGGAAGCCGGATATGCCGACTCCGACAATCACTGGGGAACACAGCCTGCCAATCGCTCGGACGATTTCTGGATTCAACCAGCTAAGTCTACGAAGGAGAAGGAAGCACGATCTGCTTTCTATGAGGACGGCCGAGGAGGACAGCCTGCCAGCTATGAGAGTGCAGCCGGTGATGGTGAATGGTGAAAAGAGCCTGAAGGGGGAGCTCTGGACAGCGATGGGAAGACATTAGGGGTATTAGCTGCCGACCCAGCACGATATTGCGATTGACTTAACAAAAACTCTCGGGGAAGGAGTGGCGGATTGCTAGCGTAGATTTCACTTTAGCCCCTATTCTCGCAGACGGTGACATGGCATTTTCCTCGCGAATACATTTCTTAGTAAACAATGTCTTCCTGCGTGTTGTCTGATGAACCGAAAGCCTCACCTAGAGGGTACAGTCACCCCCCATAAGTCTCCGTTCGGCACGCCTCTGTTGACCTTTTGACATTGATGCTATATTTGTATAAATGGGATAAACACCCTAGAATAAGCATATCTGATCTAATTACCCATGTTTGATGCTTATTCCAGAGTACGTATTCAATTTTTAGTTAATACACTTTTCATTTGCGGGACGAGGGGCATACGGAGACCTTTAGAGGTTCAGTGTAGCACAGGCACGAGAGGGGAAAACAGGTTTAAGCAAGAGGAAAGGTGCTTGCGACGCTCTTGATTCATACTAGAGACCAATCATCTAGCTCTGATGCGATCCTTGCAATATCAGTGACCTCTGAAGGCTAACTGCAGTACCTGGTCATTGCCTACCAAAATCCCCAGTAGAAACCCTGCTGTCTGTCCTGACCTGACCTGGCCTGTCTGAATCTGATCAGTCAGAGCATGCTTGTTCCTATGTTTGCCCCTTCTGCTAATCGGCCAGATCCCCATTGCACAGCGCGTCCCTGCCCTCAAATGACGTTGACACTCGCCCAACCACGTCCAGCATCGCGTAGCTTCGAATCGCGTAGCTTCATCTTCGTGGCGCAGATGCGGTACTCGCCCGCGGCCTCTCTAACCCGAATCGACAGCATTCCATCCTCGCCGATCCACCACTTGGCCTGGGTGATATCGTCGCACTTTTCGCCCTTCGAAAACAGGGTTCCTTCATCGTCTCGAAGATCCAGATATTCGTGATAGTTCATAATGCAAACGTCCATGACACTGTCAAACACTTAGTATCAAAGAGCCAAAAAATGGAACATTCTAGAAGTCAACAGTTGCTGTTCTCAAGCAACATGTTTTAATACGTACCGGAGGTTGGCGGCGGTGCCAGTCGTGAAGGCGCCCATGAGGTGGACTTCGGGGTCCTTGATTCTGTTCATGATGGTAGACCACAAAGATGTGCTTCTTGGGGTTGGTACCTCCCGCTTCGTCTGTGCCTTCTCCCTGGCTGTGATAGCACGAGTTGGCGGTATTAAACTCGCGGAGCATGTCATTGGGGTACATCAGTCGCAGCTGCGCGGTTGTCTTGAGGTCAGCGACCCCATCAATCCAAGCCGAATTAACTTGACTTAAGGCTTAACTTGATTTAACTTGGTTAATTCGAGGTTATTTTCAGAATTGAAAGTTAAGTTGACCTTATATCGACTTGATATTAATCAAGTTAAGTTCTAAAAGCCCTAGATACCTTTATAAGGACTTAGTTTATATAATATTAAGGCTTTAAAAATATAGGTTTTCAAACTTTTTATTTCAAGTTATAATCGCGTCTGTATATTTATCGAATTATTATTTGATTTATTTTAAATTTAAGAAGTTAATAAACGGACCGATAAAATCTCGAAATGACTAAGTTAATTAGCTTGTTATTTAACTTGTTCGCTAGTAAATTTCTACTTTAATTTCGTAAGTATTCGAATAGTTATTTCGGGGTTTCTTTTTTTTTACTTGATTTGCTTTTTAATAGTATTATTTACGTATCATTAACTTAAAAATCCTATTTACCGATTTTTTTTCTTTTTTATAGCGTTAAAACGCGCGTTGATACATTTTAACGAGTTACGATATTATAATAAATTATAAAGTAAGCTTTTTACAATTTAAAAATATAACCTTGTAACAGCTTCTCTAACTGTTATTAAATAATACTAAATATATCCTTATCACATAGTTAAAAATATTACATTTAATATTTTATTTTTTAATTAATACTTCTGTTGGATCCATGTGATTCCACAGTCAAACTATCCATACAGAACCCACATGTATGATTAGATAAGAGATTAGATACCGGGTTGCGAGGTCACTTAGCCAGACCTTTAGGTCCAGCTTGACCTCCTAATCCAACCCATCAGCAACATCATGACCTTGACACAATACTCGAGTATTATGATTGATCGTTCAAGCCTGTTCCAACAGTTTTATATACTTAATGGTATTAATAATATGCTTCGTTTTTTATCAAAAATCTTTTTATTAATTTATATGTTATTAGTTAACGATAAAGCGTTTCGATTAATGTTATAATATTTCGATTTTAACCTTGTCAATAATACCGCCTACGTTATTTAAAGAATATTATTAATATTATCGTTATAACCTTTATTTACGAGCACGTAAAAGTAAGCGATATATATTATAAAAAGATTTGGTTATTTTAACTGTTAAAAAAAGCACGAAATAATAGTAACTATTTATTAAAGCCTTTAATACCGAAATAGATTTCATAAAACTGTTATATTTATTGATACATAACGTTAAGTTTTTACCTTTAAAATCGATGAAATAGGTAACAAAAATAATGGAAGAGATTTTAAAGATATATTACTGTTAATTTATAAGCAGCCTTTTATATAAGATATTAATTAAAGCGCGTTAACAAGTTATAATAAAAGGATAGTTAATATCATGGTCTGGTACAGGTAGCCCATGTGGTAAGTCTTGGAGCCCGGACATGAGTATATATACCACCATTAAATGTCAAGCTGCCACGCTTGATATTCGACATCCTTTTCAGAAGAACAGCCGTGGCATAGTGGTTATAGTGAGCGTTCCGTCACAGGTAAGGTTTATAACCATATACGGTAAAATTCGGGGTTAAAAAATGCTTTTAACTTGTTAATATTCAAGCATATTACTAACTATTTTTATAAGTTTGCGCGGCGAAATAATAATAGTTGTTGGAACAGGCTTGACGGATCAATCATAATACTCGAGTATTGGGTCAAGGTCATGATGTTGCTGATAGGTTGGATTAGGAGGTCAAGCTGGACCTAAAGGTCTGGCTAAGTGACCTCGCAACCCGGTATCTAATCTTTTATCTAATCATACATGTGGGTTTGATATGGATGGTTGAAATGTGAAATCGCATCGATCCAACAATAATAATATATAAATAAGAATATATCTTAATTTTAACGTTGAAAATTAAGCGTATATTTATAAATTAAAGGATATTTTATTAAGGTAAAGCTATTAAATATAATGGCTCTAATAAAAAAAGTAACGGATTATTTTCGTAACCGTTTAATAAGGTTTAATCTCGTTAAAAAATTGGGTTCTTATACAAGTTATATTATATTATATTATATATAGTAGCTAATAACCTTGTAAAAGAGTAATTTAAATAATGCTTTTCTTATAATGTTGCTGTTAAGCTAATAAACGTGGTTTAAATATAACCTTTATACTTTTAACTAATAGATTTAAAGTGGAAAAAAGCTGATAATACGAGGCTTAAAAGCATAGGTTCATTTAAACATGTATAAGTAACAAAGAGGTTTTAATAAAAGTAAAGTAAACTTGAAAAGGCTTTGAAAAAGGCTTTGAAAAAGGCTTTAAATAGTTATAAGATAGTTTTAAACGTGCGTACGTAAAGTTATAAATATATTGTAAATCGTTCGATAAATACAACTTATTAAGCAGTTATTATACTTTATTTAAGAAAGCATTTAAAGGCATTTAAAAGAAAGATTTATTTTTAGTAAAAAAGGTAAAAAAGTAAATATATGTTTATTAAAGAGGTATATATGCTTATTTAAAGAATAACAACGTATATAACAAGATTATTACAGCGCTATTTTAATCTTTATCGCTTTAAAAAAAGGCTTTTATTGGTATTATATTTAATAAATACGGCTATTTTTTAAAGATAATGAAGCCGAAAATAAAAGCAACAACTTAAAAAATATCTAGTTATATAAAAAACTAGCTATAAGCTTAAAAATAAAGTTCCTATATAATAAAAAGATTATTAAAAATAATACTCTCGCTTAAGTTAAATAGCGCTTAATATCTTTGTTATCCTAGTCATATTAATAGAATATAATCACGTATTTAATTAATATCAGCTAACAATTACTTACTAACGTTATAATATTTAAGTTAATACGTTAAAAGCGACATAATACCTTAAATATTAATTTAATAACGACGTAAAAAAGTTATAATAATTGAACATTATAATAAGCGTGCTTAATATTAAACGTATAAAAGATTATACTAATTTCGATTAAAACTGACTTGATTAAACTTATAATAATAATTAAAAGCAAATAATAATAACACTTTCTTTAACCGCTTTTTTAATCGTGTAATTTTATTATGTTATATATGATAATGAATATATATTGCTTTCATTCGTAACTAGTCTTATCTAGTTTGAAAAGAATTAATTCGGTTAAATTTATAATAAAAATCGAAAGTGAATAACGTTAACATTTTTATTTGATAACCGCTTTTTTAATCGGACGATTTTACCGCTTTGAATATATAAAGCGTGCCCTTTCACTATACTTAAACCTGTTAATTAAAGCTATAACAAACGAATTCTTTGTTATATACATTAAAAATTAAAGTTTTTGAAAAAAAGTAATAAAAATACGCGTTATTTATAGTAATAAAAGTACGTAACCTTACTACCCTGCTATTTATTCCTACCTTTATTTATATGTGTTTAAGTATTTTCCTTTATCACAGAGATTTTTTTTTCATAATTTTTATTCGAAGAAAATCCCGTTATTTCGTCTTTCTACAACTAATTAAAATGAACAACTTTATAAATACTTACGTTCAAAATTAAGGTTATTTCTATATAGTTATAAAACTATATATTGCTTATGATTTGCTTTAAAGACGAACGTTTTTTTAATAATCATGAAGCGAGCAAGTAAGGGGGTCGAATATGTTGTTGTGCGTGGGTTGGTTGTCTAGCTAGCTAGGTGAGGGCTGCCACTATATATGGTAGCAGTCCCTCCTTATCTTATCTATCTAGCCGCCACCTGATTGGCTAGGGCACACACTTACAGTGGGTCTCCCTGGTGACGTGTGTCAAATCAGCTTAAAAAAGCTAATTCGCTCGAATTTATTAAAAAAACCAACGAACATATGAATAACACTATTTTATCGCGATATATATATAAAGCGTGTCTTTCTATTAATTACGTGCCTTTGTTCCTTTCTTTTTTACTTATTTCCGGCTACTTATTTTTTTCTGACTATATAAATACTCTTAAGACTATATATACGGAATTTTTTTTTATAATAGCGAAGTTATTTAATAATTTAAATGTTGATTTTTTGTAAGTTAAGCGTTTAATTTTAATTTAAACTAACGTTAAACGTTTAACTTGAAAAGAAAGATTAAATCTATATTTAAATTTTAATTACGCTATTAATTTTTTATTTTTAGAAAAATATTCATTACTAAATAATATTATATAAAGCTAGCTATAGCTTTTGAAATGTTTAAAGGTATAAATTTCGTTATAAGCAATTTTTAATGATTTTTAAACAGCACGAATCCTTTAAAAGGAAATGCTGTTAAAAAGTAAAAGCCTCGTTTAACTGTATAAATTATTTCGGATAAAACAGTTACTTATAAACAATAGTATACAAGGTTAACTACGGCGTTTTTAAACCCTTAAAAGCATAAATATTATTACTAGTATTGATTTTAAATATAATATAAATAATAACAAGTACGTAATGTCTTTATTCAACCTTGCCTTGCTTCTTATCGGAAAAAATCTACCCGATTTAATACCTTTATACTCAAGTCAAGTTTTAAATAGCCTTATCAAATTAACAAGGTACGTTAAGCTTGCTTGACTTAAGCTTGACAAGTTTTTCGGATTGGTCGAGTTGATTGGATTGATGGGGTCGCTGCTTGAGGTTGATTCCGAAGGCGCTGATCAAGGGGCTGGCTCCGAGGGCGATGATACCGAGGGCGCTGGTTCCGGCCTCCGCGCCCGCGGATGATATGATGATCTGCATTTCTGGGAAGAGGGCTTGCGGTTGGATGAGAGAGCCGAATGGGAATGAGGGGAGCATCAGGTTCGCTGATGCGAGGGGTGGATGGATGATGGAGGGTGGATGGTGGATGATGGGAGGCCTAGTGTGGCAGTTGACATGACGATGTAAGGCCCCATGCGATCTGAGTGACTGAGAAGATGCCCACCGCGCCGACAAGGTGGGGGATACCTAATTGGTCTAGCAACCAGTGGACCGAAGTTTCAACCGCATGGCTTTCATAAATTAGGTGCACAACTTGGTGAGTAACCGGGCCGATAATCACATCACTTCATAAAGGACTGGCAAAGAAACTGAAGGGTCTTGTTAGGGATTGGAAGTCTTATGGGTATGAGGCCTGGATTATTCATAAGTTGAACGCATGGCATAGAGTCGGGTATCTTGACATGCCAAACTCGTCAGAAACATTGCGGATATTAATCAGGATATATTGACTGATTCGCATGCTGCGAGTGCGCTACCGGCAACCACCATCTTTATGCTAGGAGCATCTCGCATGAGAAGATGCCAGATTATTAGAGATACGCAGGGAAACTCAGACCAGCAAAGCAATTCCGTTCACTCCCTTCTCTTCCACCATATATCCCATGCCCACGAAGCCAAATCCTGCTTCGTTCCTGATACAGGGCACCCCTAGCGGTGGGCAGGCACCGCAACGTCCAAGCCACCATGGAAGCCCGAGAACTTGACGTCAACTTTGGTGGCGAAGAACTTGTGGCACATGTAAGGAAAGTAGTAGTAAATGTGCAGAAGGTCATCAGCGACCATGTTCCACTCCTTCTGCGTCCTGTCTTGGGCATCACCTATGTAGTTCCACATCGCATCCGCCATCATGTAGTGGTCCGAGGAATACTCCATCACTCGGATGTTGGCTGCGTATTTGCTCTGGTAGCATCCCACAACCTCGCTGCTGGTGACGTCTTCAAAAGCGAAGTCATTCTCGTCCTTGTCCGCTTGGTTGAAAGCGTGATGCATGACGAGGTAGACGGCTTGGGGTTGATGCGGACTGGAGGACGTGTCGAGGGGCGCCACATTCAGGCCGACGTAGTTTTCCCAGTCGCTATCGTTCTTCTCCTCGACTGCCTTGCTCAAGGACTCAGGGAAGCCTTCCAGATAAAGCTGTTGCACAAGCTCCACCTCATTCGTCAGCATCGTCTCAAGCTTCGTTCTAGCAGCAGGGACGACATGCGTCTCCTCTAGGTGCTTGACGCCGGAGGGGTTCTGGTGGTAAAGTGTGGACCAGGAAATGTCGGGACCCCCGCCTTGGGCAATGTCCATTGTGCCGGGCTGTTTGCCGGTGAGACCGGAGTCTTTCGTGTCTTGCTCAGAGTCGCGTGTCTCCTTCGTGCGGAGTGCCAGGTCCTCGATTTCGAGGCTCGTCGCTTCATTCTTCAGCTTCAGCTCCTCGTTTTCGAGTCTGAGCTTTCGTTCGCCTGTTTATTTCGCTCGTTGTTGAGTGTCATGATCTTGAGTTCGAGTTCCAGTCTCTTGTGGCGGAGAGAGACCTTCTCGTTTTCAAGCATCAGCTTCTCGATCGATAGCTTAGCATTGCCATTCATGGCTCTCAGCTCTTCTCTATCCATGTTTCTCTGCTGGAGGATAAGGACTCTCTCTTCGGCGTGTAGCTGTTTGCTGTAGTTTGCCAGCTTGACTTCCTCGTCGATGAACTCCTTCATCTTGTTGTTAAGTTCCTTTTCTCCGATCGCAAGCGCCAGGAGGTCGGTGTCCAGCTGCTTCTCCTTCATGCGCTGCATGCGCTTAATCTCGCCAGTCGAGCAGTCGATGGTTTGGTCAGTGCTCTCCGTGTTGTTGGCGTCGGGGGCCTGATCCATCTCGTCGGACATGTCCTCCGTCTTGTGGCGCTCCTTCATCTCGAGCTCTCTCTCCATCCTGGCGGTGCTGACAAGTAGGGAAGGCATGCTAGCAGGGTAGTTGCAGCTTGTGATTGTAAGTTGACGTGGCTTGATACTGGCAAAGGGGGTACGAACGTGGTTGGGGAGCTGCGTAGGTCGACTGATTGTGCTAGTAGCTCATGGTTGAGTAGGCTGAAGCTGATGTGACGAAGTGGTTTTGGAGAAAGATGGAGGATGGAGGTTTTACAAGGAGAGAGAAGGGAAGATGGAGGTTGGCAGTGAAGCTCGGGTCGTGGGTCCCCCTATTATATTGAAAAGGAACAAGCACAGACCGGCTCGAGGACCCGCGTCAACCATTCATCCCATAATGGGATGGGTCAAAGCTGCTGATATCATGCCCAAGCTTGTGCTGATGTCTTTCAACAATGGCCAAAGGCACGTCTAGAACGGCGAACCATTGACCTCGAGGTGAAGCCTTGTGAATGTGACGGTGGATACCGCCATCGCCGAGACGTCGTACGGCTAGCTACATGGGTTGCTTTATTGGTAATAATGTAAAGTATATAAGAAGTACGCACGCGTGTTAATCAATACTATGGCAGGACAGGTTCAGGAGTGTGAATAGACGTGTAGAGGAGCAGTGCGGAAGACATTGAGTATAAGATTCCAGCAATGTTCATCTCAGCATCGCCTCAGTTACCGAGTACACTGAGCCCCCATATGTCTCCGTACACCACCCATCCAGCAAACGTTTAAACGGTGCATTCATGGATTCGGAATAAGCACCATGAATAAGCATTAAAAGTGGCGTATCAAATCAAAGCTGCTTGTTGCTGTCTGCTTATTACAGTATTCCCAGATTTCCATTTGTGTGTGATCTGGAATTCTCCATAATGGTACGTACGGAGACTCATGAGGGCTGAGTGTAACTATAATGATCCCCATCAGAAGTCATTAGGAGTGCAGATATACGGAATAAGATATATGGCCAAGGGTGAAACCAGGACGAGACCGGGAAAAGCAAGGAGCCGAGCACCCCGATCCAGCGTCCATTCCTAAAACTATCTGTGAGTTTCTCGAAGAGGGATGTACAGGATCGCCATCTTGAGTCACCTGAGGGCAGGGAAGGGCTGATGAATCTGTGTGGCTCGTACCGTAGTAACAGACATGTGCGGCTGGTGACCGTGGCTTCTCGCTTTATAGGATATAATAACGTAGCTTTCTCATGGTACCTTGTCCTCATCCCCGTCCTCCACAGCGACAGTGCTCTCCTCAACAAGAAGCAGACCCCCTGAGCTACAAATCATCTCCATCCACAATAACCTTAACCATGGCGTCCACAGGCCCAGGCAGATGTGTCACACGCAGAGCTCGGAATCAAAGTCGTTTGGAACATGACGTGACTTCCGCTTCTGGAGAGGCAAACGCATCAGATTTCTGGATACGGCATAGAGACAGGACATGCGGCAAATATGAAGCGGCAAACATGAAGCCTCTCATTACACCATCAGGTGGACCGGAGTGGGGGAAGCATCAACGATGAGATGAAGACGACTGTGTCCCCTTCAACAGACTCAAACTGCCCCAGTGCTGCTAAGATCCTCATCTGTGTGGAGTATCTACCCATCGGACACGGAAGAATGACTCGAGTAGTGAGTAGCTCAAGAGGTACGCTGGTATGTTTGCTTTCACAATAGCACCAGTAAGTCCCCCTAATTTCGAAGCAAACTCAAACGAGACAGACCGACTCCCATGGATGGTACCCACCCAAAAGAGCAGTCCGACAGTACATATCGAGGTACAAGTTGGACCTTGTTGGGTACAAAATTGAGGCAAACTTCTGGAGAAACTTTGCTGCAAGTATAAAACCCAACACCGCATCGCTTTCAAACAGCTTCTCTCATGATACTGCAAACAATCAGTCAACCATCATCCCTCACCAGTCAACCACCATCCCTCACCATTCGCAACAGCCAAACATCAAACCCCCACAAACACCAACATGAAGCTCTCAACCTCCATCACCGCGGTCGTCGCCCTCGCCACATCGCTGGCCACCGCGCTGCCCTCCCCTGGAGCAGAGCGCCGCTCGATAGGTTCCTGCTGGACTGGGCAGATCCACAGCCCCTGCAACAACCACACCGAAGGTTGCACGCCCGATGGTATCAAGGTGAGCATCGACTCCAAGCACCTCCTCCTCATTTGATGTGATTCGTGAATTACATGACTTCGGTTTATTTTGTATCGGGCGCGTACTAACTCATCTTGGCCCAGGTCGAATGCCGGGCCGGCGAGCAGATGGTCTATGCCAGCATGTGCGGACTCGACCCGAACGATATCCAGGCGAGCGACACGGCTGGATGCAAGTACTACAGCGACTGGCCTACTGACTGTTTGATTCGCTGTCCTTCCTGAGTCTGGCGTCGGTCTGCTGTGCTGCGCTCTTCTTTGGTTCGACACACCCTCTTCGGCTTGCGATAACAACCCTACTACCTGTCACCATCTGCGTTTAACGAAATGGACCATCTGATCAGGAAGGAGCGGGAGACCCGAAGGCCGCGGCTGGGACATGATGGTGCTGCAATAGGTGACGATGTATTCATAGCCTCATCTTCTACCCCAGCCCATGCCCTATCATGCACAGCTCCCATAACTCAACACCCTTCGCCCGAGCAAGGCACACCTAACCACGGTACTGGCTCCACATGTTCAACATTCTGGTCTTCTGGCCAGCACTGCAGGTCCCAAGTCAGCGCACGGTTCCCAACCTAGCGACAAAGACTGAAGGGGGATAGGGAATTACTCACGTGAACTCCTCGTAGCAGACATCAGTCGAGTAATCCATATAGTTATGGATCGGGTCCACGCCAGCCACATTGGGGCACGAGTCCCGCGTAGTCGGGCACCCACTAGTAGCCGACAGCTGCTGTGGCGTATCCGCGACTGAGTCACCGGACCCGGAGCAGCTGCTTCCCTGGAACGTGTGGAACAGGCCGAACCAGTGGCCGACCTCGTGGACGACGGTGCCGCCGAGGTTGTAGCCCGTCTCGGAGCCGCCGGGCACCGTCGACGACAGGATGGAGCAGCCGTCCTGGTAGTAGGCGTTGGAGCCCGACGACACCGCGGCCGGGAAGTAGCAGTAGCCCAGGTTGCCGCCGAGCGACTTGAGGAAGTACAGGTTCAGGGCGCTGTAGTCGCCCTTGCGGAGCGTCTTCTTCATGGCTATTTCGGCGCCGTCGGACGCCCAGGCCGAGTTGACGGTGCGGTCGGTGCCGGCTAGGTTGAAGTGGATGCCGTTGGGGGAGTAGGCGGCTTTTTACGCGTATTAGTATGAACGCATGCCGGTCTATTATTATAGGGAAGAAGCAAAGACATGGGGCGAAAGGTAGGGAGGTGAAAAGGGGAGGGGGAACAGGTTGGGGATAGAAACCCACAGTTCATGAAACTCAACTGCCGCGTCAGCGAGCTATCAGCAACGTAGCCGTCCGCGACCGCGGTGCTGGATGCCACGACGTGGAAGTACACGTCGACCTCGACGGTGGCGAGGGCGTTGAACGACGTGTTGCCGGCGGCCTCCTGCACGGCCATCTGCTCGGCCGCGGCGAGGAGCTCGGGCGTGGGCTCGGCGCCGCAGCCGAACTTACCGCGGCTGGGTGCCGCGAGCGCGCTGGTGGCGGACAGGGCTGCGAGGGCCAGTACCTTGGAGGAGACCATGGTGGCAGTGGCTGGTACTTGGAAAGGAGGTGGGCGTGGGATGGTGAGGTGCAGGCTGGGAGATGTCGGGATGGGATGGGATCGACGACGACTTTATACGAGCTGCTCGACGTTCTCTTGAGCTTCCAGAACCCCTTCCTTCTCTTCGACTCCCCGCCATCCCGACGGCATATCATCTACCATCCATTCCCCAACCCTAACGTCGCTGTCCAGAGCGATAAGTTAGAGCCAAGCCCACCTCCAGACTCATGGCCTTCCCCGTTCAGACATATACCGCCGCCATGCTGCTCCATTCCCCAAACCACAGCTCTCGAGATGGATAGAGGCAATGCCAAGCGCAAGGTGATACCTCCCTTCTTCGGCCGGTATCCGCATCGCCAGCACGGAGCTCTATCCCCAGCGCTACAAAGGCTCTCACCAACTCATAGCCGTGTGGAGCCGACCGCCCGCCATCCGTCCACCGCTGATGTTTCTCTCGATATCCTCATATCATACTCCAACGCCCATTTCGGACGCGAAACGGAAGGTCGTTGTATACTCCGGGGCACGTTAGGCCCGCCAGGGTGAGCGGCGCCCCTTGGCAGGCAGCTGCCGGCAACAGACTAGCCGCGGCGCTCTGTGAGCATGATAAGCCAACCTCAGGTCTCGTCGCCGAGATGTCGATTTGAATGCAATAAAAATTCTGGGTGCAGGGCGTAGCATAGATGGACGCCCGTCAGCTGGGTCTTGAGGGCGCCGATGCGACGCTGTCCGGCTCCGATGCCGAGGGAGGGGATCCATGGGGATCTGGGCCCAGCCCCATGGAGTTCCAAGGTTGGTGTTGTTGGAGCAGCAGGTGTTGACCCCATCTATAAATTATGGTTACCGGTAACTTGAATCTCGCGGGATTGCCAAGCAGACCTGCTCATTTGGGCCCAGAGCGCATGAGGCCCAGATGCATCATGCGCCGCAATGCAACGACAGCCGATGCGTGGGACTTCTAGACTATCCGCGTCACTTCCAGATTAAGCGAGTCGGTTGGTTTCGGCCTGTTCCGATGGCCGTTTGGGGTGTTGACGACGGGCTGCTATGACAAAGGACGCGTCGATGAAAAGGTCGAGCTCGCCAGCGTCCTCGACCGATGACCCATGGAGCAGCGGAGAGGAAATCGAAGGTACCTAAGACAAGCAGTTGTGAGAATCAGACCAGACAGGCAGGTTGAATCAAAATCATTCATTCGATTCATGTAGCCATGTAGCCATTGTACACATGCAACCATTCTACACATGCCCGGGCACTCTAAAGCCCACAGAGGGCCAACCACTCCGAGCCGTAGGCAGCCAGCCTATCCCTACAAATACAGACAGTGCCCATTCCAACAGCGACGAACTCTTGATACAACGACGCCCGCCTTGTTACAATCCTCATGATTTTCGTGACCACGTTCCAAAGCAACCAAAACGCCCGCCGCCCCAGCGCCTCGACCGCCCGACCGACGTCCCTCTAGGCGTCGTTGTTGTTCCCCTTGACCAGTGCCCGGAGACTGATCATCTCGCGACGAAGGCGCGCGTTCTCCTTCTTGACCCGCGCCGTCTCTTCGCTGCAGTCCTTCATCTTGCTTATCAGCTCTTCCTTGTCTTCGCGCCCCTTTCCTTTGAGCGCCTTGACAATCTTGCCCAACTCGCTGTTGAACTTCTCGTACAGCAGCTCGTTTTCTGCCTGGCCTTCCTTATAGAGCTGATCGATAGCCTTGACCTTCGCCTCCGCTGCCTTTAGCGACGTGTCCATGTCCTTCTGCAGTTGTCCTTGACGGTCAGAGAGATTTGCGATGAGCTTTGGAACACGATCCTCGAGCGCTTGGATACTCGATGACAGCTTTCTGATATCGACCGTCGCGGTACGAGGAAGGGTCGAGTTCACCTTTGCCATATCGGCTGTTATCTTTGACAGTTCCGACTGCAGGTTGGCATCCACATCCTCCACCGCTTTCTTCTCCACTTGAAGCCGCTCGCGAAGTTTCTGCGGAGATTGTAATCGTAGCTTCCCAGGTGCCTTCGTGGGGCTGGTCGCTGGCCGGGAAGTCGACTCCGCTGGTTCTATCACGGTATCACGCGTGGTTTTGAGCGTTGGAATACTCGAAGTGGACATCATTTTGTGATGTCCCTTCCTACGAGGAACACTCGACGGAGACGCAGTCTGAAGAACACTCGGCGGAGACGCAGTCTGAAATGGATCCGTGAAAAGAATCTCATTTTGCCGCGATGCGCGAAAGAAAGAGTTGCTCGACGGATTTTGCGACTTTGGACTGACTGGGATTCTGGATGGTGACGGAATTCGTGGGCTCGAATTGAATTTCTCTGAAGTCTCCTTCACGTGAGAAAGAGGTTGTAGAGTTTCGTCTTCAAGGCTAGTGGCGGCCATCAGACTCTTGAGGTCAGACAACGAGCTTCGACGTTTCCTTCTCGCATCTTTCGAGATGGACTCCTCAGTATCAGGTTCCCCGATTGTTTCAAGCTTCTGCGAACTGGTAGGTCGGGAAAAAGTGTCGTCAAAAGCACCAGCGACCGGCGGCCTGTCTCGTGAGCCAGGTCGCCTTAGCTTGTTTGGTCCGGACTGGAAGATGTCGACAGATCTCGTCCTGTTGACCGTAGCCCTCGACAAGCTTGAAGGCTCGCCTGTCGCAGGATTTCTGCTGTTGTGTTTGCTGAGACTGCGCCAGACTGATGACCGAGGATCGGCATCGTTCTTGCTGTTTTGTCGCATCAAGAAGTTATCGAAACCAAGCTTTCTCCTCAGAGAAGATGTATTGGACGTCAGCGACCCAGTCTGCGACTTTCCACCACGGGTTGTCGAGTTCATTGAGTCATAGATGGACCCGCCCTGAACCAAGCTCGCAGCAAAACTGCCAGGCGCATCATCGAATATTCGATCACAGTCTTCAACCAGTTTGTCGAGCAAGTTAATATACTCATGGGCTGTCCCGTCGTCGACCAGAAGTCGAGCAAATGCAAGCGTCAATGCGCCTCTATCGCTGTCATTCCCACAACCATCAAGCAGGTCGGCCAGAAGCTTGATGAGAGCAGTGAATGCCCTTCGATTCTGAGGTGCCATGTCTGCAAACAGAAAGTGGACAAAATCAGCGAAGTCTCCAGGTACCCTTTTCGATGCCCGCTCCTGCAACGCGTCCAGGGCCTTGGTCGTCATGATTGGTCCCATCTTATCCCTCCACCCGATAAGAACGAACTTCTCGAAAGCCTCGAAGATGACGTCGGCGTTCAGGTCAGACGAGAAATCGAAATCATACGGGCTTTCGATGAGCTTGTTGTAAAGATCATTCACTGCTAGTTCGTCCACTCCTGATCTGTTGAGTAGCGTTCTTCCTATGAAGCTTCCCTTGCGTGCTTGGAGACTAGCCATGTAGCCCGTAAAAGTCTGCTCGAGTCGAACTAGTGGTCCTTCTACTCGGTCGTCATCGGGACCCATCCGAATGCCATCTCTGCTCTTGGCCGAGCCGTACAAGGAGCTTGCGTCTCGACTGCTATTTGCGCGGCTGACCTGCCCGGGATACAGGGTTGGAGTCTCCAAAGCCGGTGTTCGCTGATGCTTGGGCGAACTGACTGTGTCTGAAGAGCTAGCGCCACCGAGAAAGCTGGATAGATATTTGACAGGAGACGTTCCTAAAAAGGACCTCGCCCTTTCGGCCCGGTTGTTGTTGTGGTGGCCGTTGTTATTGTTATTGTTGGAAATGCTCAATCCTCGCAATACCTTCGTGTGAAACGAGACAACGGCGGGAGTTAGGCTTGGGTTCGTGACGTTGAATTGCGTACTGAGAAATTGTATGACTGCGACAGCGGTCAGCAACACGAATAAAGCATAGCGGCCGCAAGGGACTTACTCCTTCTGGCGAGCGTTGGCAAGAAATCTTCCAGAGCAATCTCGTCGGTCGCCTTCTTGCCAAGTAGTCCTACCGTGATGACTATCACTTTATTCCAGTCTCCTGACTTTACATCGGAACAGATTTCCACGCCGTAATGGCCAACTGGGGAGCCCTTAGTGCCTTTGTCGTGGTCAACGACGATACGAATAGGAGCCGGCTCTCTCCGGCCTTCTACCAGCTGGTCGAGGCCCTCCTGGAAAACGGCGGCGTACAGGCCCAACCCTGTATCAGGCATTTTCACCGAACGAAGGGTCCAGCCCGGATCCTCGCGCTCTTTCTCGGGGAATCTGCCTTCCACTCTGGCTCGCACAACATCTTCACTCCACTTCGCAGCCCTTCCTTCGTACGATTCTTGTAGCACGAAGCATCGCGAAGTAATTGCAGTGTTGGTCACGTATTCTCCAGCATGTGCACCCTTCATCTCATTTGAAGAGGTCATCCAGATGATGCGTCCGTCGGAAGACTCGGTGAAACGAACGTCGGCGAGAGCGTGCCAGCCGGCAAAGCCCAGTTCGTACGATCCCGGTCCACCAGCAGCATTTGTCATTGAAGCCAAAAGACCAGCTGGCGATGGCTTGTCGATTTCTCGAAGCAGGTCGCGTGCTGTCATATTGGCATGGTAAACCTTCTTCAGAACCACAACACAGTCTGCAAACAACAGAAACATCCCGGCACGTTCACTCGAGTATGTTTCTAATAACCCAGCAGTTTGATATGGCGCAGGTACCTCGGAGAAATCAGCCGCGACGATTAGACGGCCTTGTGGTTCGAGATCATTAGGCCAACTCTCAATCATATTCCGCAGGCGCGTGCTGACATGTGGCTTGTCCGCCATCGGATCGTCCATCGAACATATGTTGGCGATGATATCCCGGGCCTTCAACATAGGTTGGAGAGCCGGATGGGTGATGGGGAGACAGCCGACAATCTGATCAATGACCAAGCTATACCGGGGCAGTCGTTGGACGGGCTCGATCACGGTGGAGCGAAGATGCTGCTCTCCAGTGAGCGCAACTCGTTGGGAGAAGCTCGAGTGCTGGTTGACGAAGGACGTGATGAGCTGGGGGAAGTTTTGGCTGGACCGGATGTAGTCCTGGTAGCAGTCGGTGAACTTGGGAAACCATTCCAGCATGATCTTTGCCATGGCCAGAGCTCCGCTTGCATCTTTCGTCTTGCCTATTAGGCTACCAGAAACGCCCACTCTCGAGGACGTGGTACCGGACTCGACATCCTTCAACGCATCCTCTTCGGTATCATCCATGACTTTCCGTAATTCCCGCATGAAAGCTGTATTGATTTGCAGAATCTGCTCGGAAGACTTGGGAAACAACTTCTCAACATCGTCTGCCGAAGGGCTGAAACTGCCGGGCTGCCGGTCCTTCGCTTTCTGTCTGTACTCGTCTGCAACGTGTGTGACCAGCTCGTTCACCTTCAAAACATAGCGCTCCTCTGTATCGACCAATTCCGCCATCTTTCTCCGTAGCTCGATCTTCTGATCCTTGGAGAAGGACTTCGTTCTGTTCAGCGCACTAGGCTTGGACGGTGCGCGCCGTAATCTCGAGGTGGGCAAGAAGATGGGTTCACCAAATAACTTGATCAAAGGAGTATACATCCCATATTGTCGTAACGTAGGGTCCAGTATGTCATCTTCGTCCTCGGGCACTTCTTCGAAATCGGCAGGTTGCAGTGGAATGACGGCGCCAGGAGGCAAGACCAGATCGATGTCAACATTGCTTATATGTTGCGTCTGTAGTGCAGTCTGAAGCTTCTGGACCACCTCGGCTGTGTTCTCGGCCTTGACCAGGGACTTTGCGATATCGGCCGCATGTTGTTCGCCGAAGAGGGTCGGTGACGAACCGGGTCGACGGCCTCTCGTCGGATATTGCTGTCTGATATAGTTCTTCGCAGAATCCGGCAGCTCGTGGAAGTATTTGAACAAGCCGAAAGCCAGCGCTCGGTAGATCTCGTCGCCTTGAAACTCGCGCGGCAAGTGGTTGACGACATTGTAGAAGGGGGAATTAGGCGATATGGTAAGGCGCGGGAACGATTGAAAGCCTGCTGGGCTGTATATATGGACCTGTACTCTTGAACTGTTGAAGTTGTGGTTGGCGGTGGTCGAAGGGCCGTGGAATATCAAGACTGGAAGATGGCCCAGCAGGGGGTCGGTAGCTTGGTAAAGAATGACATTGTCTGGCGACAAGGCCAGCTCCTCGGTGACGCGAACCATGGTCGCTCTAATGGGCCGTTCGCATCGCAGATCGGACGGGGAAACGAGTGTGGTGGTGATGCGCAGAGAACACGCGGGCGACCTGGGAAGGACACACGGGTGTTCGACCTCGTCTGCTCGAAGTGGTATTTGGTATCGCACTGGAAGCGCTGCTGTCGCACCAACCTTTCAGGCCTGCGATCCAATACACGGTAAACAAATCTGATAGGCGATGCAGCTTGTGCGCGTTGAGGGCGGGATGGCTGCAGCTAAAGCTGGTTTGTTTACTTTCAAGTTTCAGCGCCCAATGGCTTGCTTGACAACGAGCCGGTACGCCTCGCCAAAGTGACTTCCAGCGCTGAAAATGTAAACCAGGAAATTGAATGCACGAAAAGAAGAGGCGATACAACTCCAAGAGGAATGCAAGGTACAATTAATTGCGTCAACTATTAGTGAAGCCGACTGGGGGCGATGCCGGGATAGAAACCTGGACGAGAGGCCCGATGCGACTGGGGCTGGCAAGTAGTCGAATGAATAATTTGCACATAATCTGTACTAGCACAGGAGGGATCGCGTGCCTACGCGGGCTGTTTCCCTCTTGCAGGGACGTTGCTAGTCCACGTGATTATGCAAATTATAGTCGCGTTTGATTATTAGTACAGTACCGTAGCCACTGAAATAATAAGGTTAGCACCAACCCCCACCGTAACCATTGCCCCCGCAGAAAGAGAGCACCGGAGCACATGCATTGAACCCCTCATCTCCCATTATTCCCCAATGTCCCATTCTCTGTCGCATCGAGAGCTATCCCCCAATCACCGGCAGCTCGCACCCGCACACGAGCCAGCTCTCTGTCAGTGTGTCAGCCCGTAGTCCGTCTCGCCAACAAACGGATGAAAAGGGAATGTCGACACAGCGAGATACCGGCATCCCATTCACCCATGCTCCTGATGGGGTCGGGTACAAGCTGATGGAGCTGCCGCCAGAGCTGCTCGAGGCCCTAGAGTCGGACAACCCTCCTGTGTCAGTCAAACAAACCTCTGATCCATTGCCGACCACGCAAACTGTAATACTTCTCGAGTTACCGTCTGACATCACTTCGTGTCCAGCTTGACCCTGGAGTCATCAGAAAACTCGGCCGTCCTAAAGAGTGGTACCCAATCGTGGGGCCTCCGTCAGAAAAACACATCGAACGCCCTCATTTTGCTCAGACCTTCCGAGAGTACACAACCATCGTGGCAGATACCCGAGACGGCCCTCAAGGCTGTTGCGACGGTCCATGACACGATCGAACTTGTTTCCGAACCTTCGGGCAAGGCAGCACCAGTCGCGCGTGGCAGATGGCACGAGAAGTTTGCTCGAGGAAGATGAGGCTGGCAGGACTTTGGACGGTTCTACCATCCTCACGACTCGACTCAGCATCGGCTACCAAGCTTGGACAACCAGGTGCAAGCAGGAGGAGCTATAGATGCTTCTTGTTTCCATGGTGCCCCCAGGCCGGGACTAGGTCGCGCGCGAGACCGGTTCGATATGGCAGCAGCGAGACACGATCAGGTCATCCTAGCATCTCTAAGACGGAGTACGCATAGAGCTTCGCATCTTGATGTGGACCCTGGCGCCCAGGCCGCTGCATGCTGGGTGAACCGACGGGCACTTATGCGGTCCAGGAAAAGTCCGCCCAGGTCTCGCGATGTGTACAACAAGGCTGGCGTTTGGGAGCTGTTGATGATGTTTGGTACACTACTGAAAACCAGGATAAGGTAACCGGCGTGGACTAGCAGTTGCATAATGCAAAGCATCCCGGGAGGTCGACTCTAATTGATCTATGTATTGCAGGACCCATCTCGTCCCACAGTGGGCAGCTCATTGAGACGGACTGCCAGCCCTTTTCTTTCCTCGACATACCAGACGCCCCAAACCTTAGTTGACGGTTCGTAGTAGCCACCTACACTTCAAGGTACACTGAACTGCCAGAAGTCTCCGTACACCCCCATTTCAGCAAGCGACGGGTATATCTACCATAAATGGTATAAGCACTCTGGAACAAGCACTCGAGATGACTTTTTAGATCAAAGCTGCTTATTCCACTGTGTTTATTCCATTAATGTGAATGGCGTCCATAAGCAAGACTTGATAGAGGCCTCCCGGACGGAGACTCATGGAGGGTGAATGTACCCATAGGTAGCCTATAACCAATGTCCAACAGCTGCCATGTTCCGACGTATGTTTCTTTGTTCCCCGCGGTGTAGAATTTTCAACGTAGCAGTTTGAGAGCCACATGCCAAAGGGCGCAGTCAAGATCAATTGAAGGGTTGCAAGTATAAAACGGAATTTGTGCTCACTCGGAGAGTAATGAACACAGTCTCTACGCGCTTATATAAACGCCATGTTGGGGATCGGGTCAGCTACGGGCTGCACCATAACTATAGCCAAGGCTGACCTTAAGTAATCTGCCCTCAAGCTGCTACATTGGGTTTACCGAATCTAGGTACCTACCTCTTTCTCCTTACATAAGGTATCTCTCGAATCATCTGACCATCTGACCTCCATTCCACCTTGCCTTGTCTTGTTATTTTCTGTCGCCATTGAAATTTTACAGCCGCAGGGAGACCCACTCAACATTGAAGTTACAGTATTCGGACACCGCCGCCCTTACCCGAGGCCGAATCCAACATCAACATCAACCACCGGCTCCCCTCACCAAGCAGCAGGCAGCACTCACCACTCACCACTCACGCCGATCTGCCCAAACGACCCTGCCACCCCCATTCTGTCCGATGATCGTCCCAGCGAACGGGCCTCAAGTTCGTCCCCGCATGTGACCATGATCATACGCCAGGATCCGTCACAGCGCCGCCGCCTGCCTCGTACGTGTGTCTCTGTCTGTTGCTTTCGTCTAGCCTGAAGCTCAGTTATGGGCGGTCTGGTCCTCCGAGCGTGGTATCGCTATCGCCGGTGTCATCGTTGTCACGGCTGTCTTTGTTCTTGCCGCTACCCGTCACCACAATCGCTGCTGTCATCTTTGGCGATGGTGATTGCCACCTTTTTGATGAATGGTGATCGTCCACAAGGTTGGCCATCTGAGCCGCATCCCAGGTCACGATGCGTCTTGTTATCGGATGCATTCGTGTTGTTTATCCCTTCTTCAAGACCTTCTTTCCCAATCACTTCTTGGTGACTTTCTGGCAGTCATTTGATGCGCTGGACCAGTCAGTCAACGTGTGACTGGCGTTCGCAGTCTTCCCAACTCTTCGATGACGGCAGTCTTGATATCTGATCCGGCCTGATTTGTGGGCGAGCAGCATTCTGGCATTCTGGCATCCTGGCTGCCCAGGTACCAACACTTTCCCCAGACAGTTTGTATTGTCAGTTCAAACGGAACTCCTCTTTCTTTCTGGCCTTCTGTGCCCACCCTCCAGAAACGCCCCGTCTCAGGCCCGCTCCAGGTCTCCCTGATAACCAGCCCTCTGAATTGGAAGCTCGAAATGCCGAGGCCTCATCAACACTGAATCATTGTTAGACCAGCAGCCGCAATTGAAACTGCGATTTCAGTCGCGATCCCAGTGTGGACCGCACTTTCCTCTTTCCTGCAGGGCTCACAGACTACCAGACTACCAGACTACCTACCCACTGCCATGGAAACAGCATTCCTCCACCAACTAACTGCCTTTCCTTCTACATAGTACTTTCCCTCATTTGCTGGCCTCAGCCTGCAGGTGCTTTTGTTCTGGGCCACCTTTCTTCAAAGCTCCGAGGCTAACTCGCCTGAGGCAGACGTTCGCCGAGGAGGCTGCCACAGGAACGCCAGCGCCAAGGCATCTACCAAAATATTTAACCAAGTTCCAACTCGCCCAGTTGTTGCCAATGCCCCAGTTTCTGCGCAACCTCCTCACTCTGGGACAGCATCTCCAATGAACTACGAGTCCTACTACTCTGACTCGAGCTTTGGATCTGACTCTTCCGTGGTTGAAGAACACTACCAAAGCATTGAGATGGATGCGATGGATGACGCCCAAGTCATCCCACCTGAGGCTGGTGCCGACCAGAACCCCTCCGAAGATGACAAGATTGCCTGCAAAGACCATGTTCTCGTGGTCTTCTCGGATATTTGCCCCGACTATCTAGAGAAAACCGCTTCTACACACAAGTACCAGCCCAACGCCGTCATCTCTGCGATCCTGGATCAGCAAGAGAAAGGCGAGGAATATCCTCGCAGCCAGAAACGCAACCGACTTATTCGGAAACGTGCTGACCTCAGCGAGGACAGCGACGACGAGAACGACCCACAAGTCGCACGCGCCATCAGAGCCAAGATTTCAACTCAAGAACATGCAGACAAGCTACGCTCAGCGCAATACTTTGACCTTGCGAGAACCTTGTTAGCACAAGACTTTCCAAACGTGCCTCTGCACACGATACGCAACTATCTGCTCCGGGACAATAAGCGGTCACTGTTCGAGGCATATACGGCCATGGACGACGCGAGACGCGACTGGGACGATGCGAACCCACCTTGGAAGACAAAGAAATCTTCTTCCAAATTTAATCCCGACTATACCGATGATGGACTGGCTAGCCTCGACATGTCCGGCTACACTCCAGAAAAACAGGCAGCGTTCACCGAGCTGCGCGCAGCGAGAGAACTGCGATCCGTCAAGGAAACTAAGCTAGCTGACGAGCGCAAAGAGAAGTCAAACACTGTCATGGCACGGAGGAACGGCCTGACGACCGAATGTGGCATCTGCTTCGAAGAATGCCCCCTCAATCGGATGGTGCAATGCGACGGTGAAACCATCCACTTCTTCTGTCGTGACTGTCTAAGATCCCAGGCAGAGACGCAGATTGGCATGTCCAAGTACGAGTTGACGTGCATGTCGATGGATGGCTGCACTGCCGGCTTTTCTCATGCACAACGAGCCCAGTTTCTCGACAAGAAATTGACCACGGCCTTGGATCGGATTGAGCAGGAGGCAGTGCTACGGATGGCAGGTATTGAAAATCTCGAGACCTGCCCTTTCTGCCCCTACGCTGCTGAGTACCCGCCCGTTGAGGTCGACAAGGAGTTCCGCTGCGACAGCCCAAAGTGTCAACTGGTCAGCTGTCGTATGTGCCGCAAGGAAACCCACATCCCGAAGACATGTGCCGAAGCAGCGGCAGAGGCTGGTCTCGATGCTCGGCACGTGCTTGAAGAAGCCATGTCCGAGGCCTTAATCCGTAGATGCAATAAGTGTCAGTGAACCTGGTCCGAACAAGTCTAGGGTGGTCGCACTAACTCTTGGTTTCCAGGCAGCAATCCATTCGTCAAAATGGACGGCTGCAATAAGATTCAGTGCACCAAGTGCGGCACCATCCATTGCGACGTCTGTCGGAAGACCGTCAAGGACTACTCTCACTTTAACGATCCTGGTCGTGGGGGCCAACAGGGACAGTGCGCTCTCTTCGACAAGGCCGAGGAGCGTCACCAGAACGAAGTACGCCAGGCGGAGGAGGAGACACGGAAGAAGGTGGTGGAGGAAAACCCACAAGTGGTAAGAGCATTGTCGACGCTGTCCCGGCCTTGATGCTACCTTAGAGTACCTATTCTAGGGACCAGTATATACTTGCCAACCACTTCTAACAGTAGTTCAGGCAAAAGAGACTTTACAAATCCATGTTTCCGAAAAAGTCCAACAGGACGAGACGATTCGCAGGGAGAAGGAGAGGGATGCTCGCAACCCACATTATCGGCGATTTGGCATGCCAGCAGCAGTACCGAACGGGCGTGTCGCTGCCCATGCTGTATATGGAGCACCTCTCGACTTCGAGCTTGACCTCGAAATAGCGAACAGTGAGTCCATATATACTGAACCCTCATAAGTCTCCGTACACCCCTCGTTCACCAAGCGAAAGGTGCAATTATGATAATTGGAATAAGCATTCTGGAATAAGCATCTAATATAGCGAATTGGATTAGATCTGTTTATCCCAGGGTGCTTATTCCAGTATGTTGGTTTTTTACGGAGACTTATGGGGGGCTCAGTGTACGTGAAGCATCTCATGAGAATACTTGCTGACGAGACGCAGTGCATCGACATGAAGACCAACCGGGCATGCAAGAACTCTTCAGACGTGAACGGAACGCACTCGAAGGACTTGAACGCTTGATGCGCGAGGGACAAAGGGGTGTGCCTGGTTCTCCTGACCCTGATCATCATTTCCCGTGGTTCGAACAGTTCATTGACTACCCAGGCCTGCACCAAGCGGATCAGTTGTTTCTCCCTCCTCCGCAGGCGAACCAGGCGAACCATCCTAATCCAGAGGCCCAACCAAAGCCTCAGTTGGAAGCTGCACTTGATAGACTCCTCTTGGGAGGCCAGGCTAAGAACCTTCAAGGACAGCAACAAGCGGCTGCAGCAAAAGCTCAGGCAATTCAACTGCGGGAGCAACAACATCAGCAGGAATATCACCGTCGTCGGAGATTGCATCAACTCGCCTTAGCAGGAGACCAGGCAAGCAAACTGCTGGGGCAGCAACAGCAACAGCAGCTGCGGGATCAGCGTCTTCGAGCAGAGAAGCAACTCGCCCTGGCAGACCAGGCAAGTTTAATTCAGGAACTTCGGGAACAAGGACGGCGTCATCGAGAAAAGCAACTCGCTCCAGAGATGCTTCGAATCGACAACCCCCAAGGACCGAAACGCCACAGTACCCCTTGGGAGCGACTTCAGAGTATTCCTGTCCATGTTACCAAACGACATCGTTCGGCCGCTCAAGCCCAACAACCAAGGCCTGAGTCAAGCTTTCACCTTGCAGTACCGGGAAGCGCTAATGGCGAGGAGGCTCGGCTTGACAGAAGGAGTTCCTTGATTCGGCTTTCAAGACGACCTGCTCCAGTCGCCCGAGGCGTCCAACTCGATGCTAGAGACATCCCGGCTGAGAGGGTGAGTGCTGCGATTTTGACCCCGAATGGATTTTCCCCAGCTGTCCAAGGTCCGCATGCTCGAAATCATCACCCGCCCGCCACGAAACAAGCTTTGCTCAATATGCGAAACCGACAGCGGCATGGACATTAAGTACCACTTCGACTGGTAGCAAGCAATGATCTGGGGCTTCACGGCGGTAACACAATGCTTACCAACGGAAATAAACAGGAGTCGTCACGCACGAGACCGAGCGCTCAACTGGAGAACTGCACAGCTGACGATAAGCTGGCGACGACCGGCAGGAGGGAAAGCAAATCGATCAACCAGCTTGCGCTACTTTTCTTCTTCGTCTTCTTCATCTTTTTCGTTTTCTTCTTGCTGGCCTTTTGAAATCATAGCCAGTCTCGCGAGAGTGGTCAATGGTGGCGTGGCGTTGGAGACTCAATGGGGTCGATATACCTCTGGGTTCCTTCGTTTCTGGGCTTCTGACTTTTCACCGCATGATCTAGAGATCAGGGTCCGGATGCGTTTATGTTATGAAGTAATGACGAGAGTGTGTAGCTTTATTTCAATAACATAAAACTCGTCAGTTCCTCTCTTTGCCGTGAAACGTAAATCATCGCTTTGACTTCTGGCGTGCTACACTGAACCCTCATAAGTCTCCGTACACGACCCTCCCAGCAAACAACGGTATATTCATCAAATCTGAATAAGCAGTTGGATCTTTATTGGCCATGCTTGACGCTTGCTCCAGGGTCGTTATTCCACAGATAACAAATACCCCCAAATGTTCAAGATGCTGAGAACGGCCCGGGGGGTGGACGGGGACTTATTAGGCTTCAGTGTACTGAATTCGTAACTACACTCTCTCACTCTTTCCGCTCCCGAGCAAAGTCTCTAGAGTGTGCCTCTCGCTTTTTTACATTCAATCTCACCCTCTGCCATCGAGCTGATAACATAAGCCCAATTCGTTGAGGTGTTTCCACCCAAACTCCAAAGTCAGCTAGCCACCCCTCTCTAGGAGCCACGTATTTGCTCCTCACATCTGTCATCTTCGTCTTATTCTGTTCAACCAGCCAAGTGACTACTCAACACCAGCAATACTTCTCGCTAGCGACCCACTCGACCTCGCCCGACGAGGTCGCCTCGGGCCCGCCGTACCACATGAGGCTCGGCACGCTCGCCGTGTCGCGGTCGACCCAGCGGTGCGCGAGGCCGCTGCGCTCGATCAACTGGCGCACGGCGGGCGTCGGGTTCCACACGTCGATCTTGCCGCAGTCCCAGCGCCGGGCCTCGTGGCGGGCTTTCTGGAGGACGGACTCGAAGGCGGAGAGGAGGGCTGGGTTCGGGTCTTGGTCGGTGGTGGTGGTGGTGGTGGAGATTGGGGAGGAGGCAGGAGACTCGATGACGAGACGCAGGATATACAGCGTGTTCTTATCCCGGGTCTCAGCGGGGGTCTTGGAGTGGTAGTTGCGCGTCCAGATGGCCCAGACGCGACCGCCCTCCTCCCCGTCACCGCTAATAACCGCCACCGCGCCCCGGACGTCCGACGGCCCGCGGTCCGGGTACACGAGCGCGGCGATGAAGTCGTCGCGGAACAGGTGCCAGCGCAGCGCGTCGTGGTCGGGGGCAAACGCCATGGCGGTGCGCCCAGTGGCATGGGCCGTGTCGACGAGCTGCCGCCGGATGACGCGCTCGTCGTCGGCGCAGAGAGTGGGAAGGGTGTCGTAGGTGATGGGCGTGGTGACTTGGGTGGTGCCCTCTTCTTCTTCCCCCACCGTCGAAGCAGAAAACTCGGCGTGCACGCTCGGGAATGCCGCCCAGCCCTTCTTGGCGTAGAATTGCTTGCCGATGTCTGACCAGAGCGCCGAGCAGATCGCCTCTTCTTCTTGTCCTTCTGCTCCTTTTCCATCTGGTTGTGCTTTCTGCTCTCCAGTGCTACTACCGTTGGGGTCCTGCAGCCGTGCTTGATGCCGCGGCCAGGTCCTCAGCGCTGGCCCCAGCTCGCTCAGCATGCGCCCTGCGTATTGCCGTCCCCGGCGCTCGGGGTACGTGTACACGCTCGCGACGCCGTAGCCAACGCCCTCCCGAACGTCGCCGTCCCTAACTTCTTCTCCACCGCTGCTACCTGCTGCTGGGACGTACAACACCCGTTTGCGGAGGGACTCGCAGCTGGCGAGGACGGGGCGGGATTCCGCCGCCTCCTTCTCTTCCGTCTCCGTGGTGGTGGTGAGGATCCAGTGCGCCATACCGCCGCGCGCCGCCAGCGGGATCGTCGCCAGGTACGGCTCGCGATCGTGGTACTCCTGCAGGGTGAGTGCGCCGCCCCATTCGCCGTGGTTCAGAGTCCAGATCTGCCGCTTCTCGGCCTCGGTGGGCTGCGTGAGGACCAGGGAGGGGTCCGTGGCGGGGGGGAGGGGGTTGAGGTCCTCTTGGGGTTCTTTTGCTCGGGAACCCATTGTGGTGATTGTTCTGTTGTTTGGGCCTTTGGACTTAAGTGAGGTGGTTAGAGCTTCTCAAAGGTTGGTCGAGGTTGGGTGCGTTGTGTATCTGGAATATATCTTAGCCGAGGTTGTAAACAATGATGCTGTAGGTAGACGAGAGGCGATCTGGTAGGTGGGATGAGATGGGGCGAGGCGATGCGAGCTAGTCTCTGGAGCTACGACGATGCTATGGTGTGTCTCAGATAAGCAGTTGCAGACCAAACAGCAGGTCCATCCCGAGACGAAGAATTCAGGTAATACAAAAGACAACGGGGGAGATGTAGAAGAAATCATGCGGCAGATGGCTGCATCGTGGAGATGTCATGTGGCCCTGGAGGCACGGCTTGACGTATGAGCCGAGCTGTGCTTATGTACGTGATACGTAAAAGGTTTAAGGGTACACCGGGGGAATCCGAGGGACGGACAGAGTAGGTACGAATGGAAGCCCTGGAAATCTGAAGCCGTATTGAGCTCAACAGGGGTCCTTGCCTTAGACATGCATGTTCATCACATCCCCCCTATGTCCTAAGGTAGGTTGAACCTCACTCGAGACACACCTCGCTCAGCCATCTCGCATTGATGTCATGCCCAGGTGCTGGGAGATCAGACTACTTGGTGTGCCGTAGTCAAGCAGTGCTGTTGATCATTGGCAGTTCGGTGCCAGATCAAAAGGTTGGGCATGGATGAAGGAAACCGATCACCATATCTTACAAGAAAAAAAGAGCCGTCTTTCAGGGTGTCACCAACAAGATGAAGTCGTCGTAAGGCGGGACAAGCCGGTTGCTACCTTAGGTTGTTACATGGGGGTGGAGTATCGCAGAGTGTATGTATGTGGGCCGGCAGATGCCGACGCAAACCGCCGATACTAGCTGCGATGGCTGGACGGGCTGGACGGCAGAGTCACCAACATCTCTCTGCATCCCTACACCCCGAGTTGGTCCAGACAGATGACGGAAATGGCCGACCTTCTTGATGGGGTTCCACAGTGAGCTTCATCACCGGCTCTTCATGCTCTATAGGATTACAGACAGTTGGTGTCTTCCATCAGGTGTAGGCCTCCTCTCTATCAGTGGCCGTGACCGTCGTCCGGCTCTCCTCTCTCCTCCGGATCTAGTTTGATCAGGGTATCGATCCGCATGATACTGATACACGCCTCTACCGCACTCTTGAGCTGCCGGACCTTGCTCATGCTCGGCTCCAGCACACCCGCCTTGATCTCGTCCACCACCTTGCCCTTCATCAGGTCCAAGCCGTAATTCTTGTAGCCCTTCTTGCGTGCCGTCATCTTCTCGTCATCGTTGCCCTCGCCGTCTTGTGTCCGTTGAGACAACGCATGTCGCGACCGCAGCTGTGCCACCAGCTCACTCGCGTCCTTTGCCCCATTTACCGCAAGCGTTTTGGGGATGACGAGCAAAGACTGTGCGAATTCTCCGATGGCAAGCTGTTCTCTCGAACCGACTGTGCCGGCAAACTCCTCCAGGTAGATATGCAGAGCTGTTTCCACTGCACCGCCGCCGGGTACGATGCTGCCACTCTCTAGTGTTCGCTTGACGGCACAGAGCGAGTCGTGTACAGACCGCTCCATCTCGTCCAGCGAAAAGTCGTTCGGTCCGCGAAGGAGGATAGAAGCAGACGAGTGCGTCTTGGTGCCCTTGACCATGATGCATTCGTCATCCGAGATACGCTCCTGGACAACCTCCTCTGCGTGACCCAAATATAATGGCTCGAACCGTTCGTCACCGTTCAAGTCGGATAGTGTGCTGAGCAGAGTTGCGCCGGTTGCCCTAGCGATCCGTCTCAGGTCCTCCTTCTTGCATCGCCGAACAGCCATAGCGCCACGCTCGATGAACATCTTCAAGCACATGTCATCGATACCCTTCGTGGTCAGGACGACATTTGCGCCGGCCTTGAGGATCATCTCGACTCTCTCCATAACCATTCCAGATTCTCTTTGACGGATCTGCTCCAGCTGTTTGGGATCGTCCACTGTGATTTGTACACCGAGCTTCATCCGTTCTTTCTGCAGGTTCATGTCCAATACCGCAATTTTCGCATCTTGTATCCGGGTGGTCATCGCCTGGGAAGCAACGGTGCAGTTCAAAGCGTAGCCCTTGACCAGCACCGACTCCAAAACGCCCTTGCCGTGTGCCTTCAGAATGTTGACTGCCTTTACCGGGTATTTGGTCTCGTTGCGGTTGTTCGTCGTCTTCACTGCCTGCATTGCGTCCACCACCATGTTCGCAAAGAAGTCTGAGTCTGAACCGATGATCTTGCTGGACATGGACGTCTTCGCAATGTTGATGAGAGATTCGCGTCCCAGATTCTCCACCTTGGTGCTGACGTTCTCGTTCATGTACTTGACGGCCTCTCTCAGAGCAAGTCGGTACCCGGTGATGATTGTAGTCGGGTGTATTTTGTTCCTCATCAACTCATTCGCTCGTCGCAGGAGTTCTGCCGCGATTAGAACCACCGACGTTGTGCCATCACCCACTTCCTTGTCTTGTTGCTGCGCGAGGTCGACCAGAATCTTGCCAGCAGGGTGCTCGACGTCTAATAAGCTGAGGATAGTCGCACCGTCATTCGTAACTGTGACATCCTGAGGACAAGTCAGTACAGAGCGCCCAACCTGGGAGGCACCGGTCTACCTACTCCTATGTCGTCCACCATCATCTTGTCGAGACCGCTCGGGCCGAAGGAGCTCTTGACGACATTCGCGATGGCTTGTGTAGCAGAAACTGAACCGGGCATCAGCGGATTGTCAGGCGGTCTGCAGCGCACAGCTACTTACCGTTCTGGTCTCTGATATCGGCGCCAGAGATCTTCTGGCCGCCCAGGAACAGAGTCCCGTTGCCGGACTGCTCGAACATAGAAGCCATAGTGCAGCGTGCAGGGTTCTCGGGGTATTTCGGTATTTCTTCAGCTTCGGGCACCGGGTGTATGGTCTCACAGGAGGCGGGTCGCGAATTGTAGCGATCAGGCTGCCTCGACGCTGTTTTGTTGACTGATCAAGCTTGCAGCTTTTCGGGCCTGCACTTTTTTGCGGAAGCACTGGTTAATCCCCGCCGTGGACCTCTGTGCTTACCTAAGCGGGGTCTCCCAAGTGTTGATGCACGGACCACCTGTCCAGGTCATTTGCCCAGCTTGTTTACCTGCCCGGGTAATCTAGGTACCTAGGTACACTCCCAGACTGGGTTGCTCGACGACTCCCAACGCCACCATATCCGGTGCTCGGCTATAGAAATTCACATGTCTCTGGAACTCAATTAGAGGGCCACAATCGCGTACCATTACGCTTTGCCCCGTAGTTTGTTTTGATCCGGCCATCAATATATTATATAAGTGCTTCCGATCGGATTCCTCGTCCAGCGCGACTTTGACTACGACCTTCCTCCGCAAGGCTGCCTTGTCGTCTAATTCGTCATACAGACGGGCACTCCCGTAAGCTCCTTCTCCGATCAATTTGGCGTGCTTGAACTTGTGCTTCGTTGTGAAATTTTTGTTTATCTCATCAGCGACTTTGGCAGGATCGTCATCATTCATGACGGCGGCGGGGGTAAGAATTTGGAGATGGGTATGAGCACATTGTCACAATAGTGGTTGGAGTGGGATGTGTTACACTGAGCCCTCATAAGTCTCCGCACGCCACCCGTCTATCAACCAGCGGTAAATTATTAAATCGGAATAAGCACCATAAAATAAGCATTAACAATGACGTATTAAATCAGAGCTGATTATTCCTATATGCTTATTCTAGTATTTCGAATTTCCATAGGTGACCTAAAGTCTTGTTAACATAACGCGTACGGAGACTTATGAGGGCTGAGTGTAGCTTTTCCAGCGAGATCTGCTCATGTCGAAGCTTTCAACAAAGGGCGTATCTGTTTTCAACGAGCGTTTCTAGAAGCTTTATGCTCTTTGTAGTCCGCAGCATTGTCACTCGTGCAACAGCGTTCCTATTGATCGTATAAACTCGATGAAGAGCATGGATACTAGAATTGCCATGGAGCTCTTTGAGAGTTTGAAATACGGTCCAGAAACAGCATGCTTCGGTCATGACTGTGCGAAGATTTCCGCCAGTAAAATCCTTGAGGTATCATCACAAACTCAGAAGGGCCGTCGTGGAATCAAGAGACGAGACGAGATAGAGAATTTCCCAACAGCAAGCTCGCTCCGTATCACTCGTGCAACCCAATAAACCGTTCACAATAGCAACCGGGCGTCGCCGTTCCTCTGGGGGGCAAAGCAAAGCAAGCAAATCTATGCAATCTAAGACTCTATCATCCAAAGCGTCGCCACTGCGTCTCCGCCGATCCTGACTCGGGCGCCGGCGGACCCGGCAAAATCTCTCGCAGCATGTCGTCGATACCCTTCCCGCTCTCCTTAGCGTGCTCCCACTGCTTCGGATACCCCAGGCTACACTCCTCGAACCGGACGCCGTCCTTCCAGTCGGTCCGCCGCACGTGCAGATGGCCCGACACGACGACCTTGGCGCGGAACCGCGTGTGCCAGTCCTCGGTCATCTTGGTGCCGCACCAGAGGCTGAACCGTGGTACGCGCGGGATGAAAACCAGGTCCTCGCGCAGCGGCCAGTGGTTCGCGATGATAAGCGGCAGTCCGCCCACCCGCGCGGCCTCCTCGAGCTTCCGTTCCGTCTTGCCGACGAGGGCGCGGCACCAATCGTCGCGCGAGGCGTGCGGGTCCGGGTGCAGGATGAACTCGTCCGTGGCCACCGTGTCGGCCTCCTCGGCCCACTTGAGTGCGCCCTCGCGCGAGACGTGAGCCGGACGGAAGCTGTAGTCGTAAAGCGTGAATATCGGCGCGATGAGCGCGGGTCCGCCCTCGCCCTCCCAGCGGTAGAAGTCGTCCTCGGGGGTCCGGACACCGTGTTTGCGCGCGATATCGACGCACTCGGCGTACTTGTCCTCGCCTTTCAGCTCGGTCTTGGTCGTCAGGGTGTACAGCTCGTGGTTCCCCGGACACCAGAAGACCTCGTCGAAGTTGGCCTTGGCTGCGGTGAAGGCTAGCTCGAGGTGCTCGGCCGTCTCGCCCACATCGCCACACAGGATCAGGCCGTCGCCCGGGTGCGGCGTCAGCTCCTGTAGGGCCTTTTTGTTGAGCTCGTAGCCGAGGTGCAGGTCCCCGATGGCGTAGAGCTTCATAACGAGACTGCTGTGGTCGACTGGAGTTGGTGATGGATTGACTTCCTTGAGGTGTTTTGCGTTTTGGGTTTGAAGCCTGAGGACCACCGCAGCCGAATTGTGGGTCTGCTGACCGAATGCGGGGCCGGATTGCCGGGCGTATTTTAAGTGTAAGCAGGACTGCAGAGGTAGACAGAGTCACGGCTGGCTGACAGAGGAATGTGTATACCAAGTGTTGGCATTTTTGCTACCGGAAAGCGCATCTTGGAAGGTTGATACTCATAGGAAGAATGACCATCGAGTCTCAGCGGCCAACCCTCATGATGCGAGTAGGTATATGGTACTGTTCGTTGCTCGTGTGAAGGGCAGCATACAGGTAGACATGTGCTCAACCGCGTGGTTGGACGCCGCATGAGTTAGTTGGAGGCTGTGAAGGAAATGGGCACAGGATCCTACAGTCAACGTAGAATTTAATAGAGTGAAGTTGAGTCTACTTATGCACGGGCAAACTCTTCGAATTGCTTGCTGGGTGACAATGCGTTGGGCATATTCTGGCACAATTATAACTCTAACCAGATCTACCAATCTTTCTTAATACACCAGAGTCACGGGCTCCCTTGTGTCGTGATAAACTCCACCCGTGGAAAAAACAAAACATTGACCAAGCGCGCCGCCGCGCGACCATACAGTCAACCGTGTCCTACTCAGTCCAAGCCATAGTTTTCGCGTCGTAGCGTTGAGTGCAGCGTCAGTCCCTGATTCTTGAGTTTGTCGGTCGAACCATAACCAAGAGTGGCGTCGCTTCAGGGAACTGGAGGCTTCGTCGCAGGGCTTGCTCGTAGAAGGCGCCTACCCCGGGGCAGTTCGGTATCCGGTCCGATTGCGTCCAGCTGGCGTTCCATCTTGGCTGTAAGAAATTCGAGGTCCATCGAGGCGAATAACTTGATAGCAAACAGCGCATCGTCGGGATTGTTCGCTGGGTCCGGAAACAAGCCAGGCAGCTGCTGTTTTTGGAACTTGCTCTCCAAGGCCTGAGTACCCAGAGCTTCATAGAGCTGCCGGAACAGAAACTCAAGGAAGTACACTCAGCCCTCATAAGTCTCCGTACGCCCCATGTTGGAAGAATTCCAGATCACACGTGAAGATTTAGAAATACTTGAATAAGCAGATAGGCATAAGCAGCTCATGGCTATAAAGTCATATTTGATGCTTATTCTAGCGTGTTTATGCCATTTTTAATAAACGCACTTTTTGCTTGGTAGAAGAGGAGTATACGGAGACTTCTAAGGTTTTAGTGTACCGCAAAATCATGGTATCCATATAGACTGACGATGAGCAGCTGATTGACTTTGGGGTTTCGGCCGACTTCCCCCCTGACGACCAATAAGGCATAGCTGGGCCATCCTGAAGCACGCCTTGCTGACTGCTGGATTCCAGATTCGGTCAAGACGTCGGTATCCTAGATAACATAGACCAGATAGGACGGGTACGCAAGCTAAGTGTTTTGGCCAGAAATTCTTTCACTCACGACAGATCGGATAATGTTATGGCTCACGATAGGGTACCAAGGCTACGAAATCGGCGAATACGAAGTCCGGAATGACCTCACAGCATATATATCTCCGCCGCGCAACATCGAAAGCCGGGCGCACTACGACCTGATAGACGGCAGCGTCTCGGACGGCCTCCCCTTCTTGATACGCAGATGTCGGGCGACGGACCGGCGCAGCGCCCGAGCTTGAACGAGATCCCGGCCCGATTTCGAGACTGACGAAGCCCTTGATTGGATCCATTCAGACATATATTCTGGATGGTGCTACGAAATAACGACCTAGACACCAGGTTTCGTTCGACGATAGAACGGCACGGGCGAACCAAGAGCACCGCTGTTTTACACGGTAAAAGTAACAAACAGAGCCCAGATGTGCGTCTGAGTCAACTTCACTATGGAATAGGCAGACGTGCGGATACGTCCGGTGGATTCTAAGATGCTGCAGCCGTATCCCTCACCCGGAAACCGTGTGGTGCTGCGCCAAGCATGAGACCCGAGCACCCGAGAAGGAGAACACCGCCCGATAACACCATCGCCGATTGCAAAGGCACTGGCATCTCAGCAGAAACAGGTACTGGCATTAGATAGCGTTGCCGTGGCCACTGCTCTGTTTACAGGTACGATGGCCCGGTCCTGGGAAGTTGAAATGCTCTGCGACAGAAGACTTTTACCATGGTCGCAACCAAAGAGAAAGGACGAATTTGGCTGGTTTACAGCCTACCAGACTATATATTCTACCTTTAGGCGTCTTCTATTGAGGCTCTCAAAAGTAAAGTCATCGGGGGCAGCCTGGAAGCCGTCGCCTTTGATGGGATATGAGGAATTGTGCTGGTTTAGCCACTCAACGATGAAGTCCGAATTTCCCGCAGAATGAGCTGGGTATAACACGAAACCGCAAGATATAGAGCTCGCGGTCGCGAGGGCTACACAGGTTCTAGCTCATAGATAAATAAAAAGGTATGAAAGCTCGAAGATATGATCGCATGTTTGCTTACGACAAGATGGATTTCCCAACAATCTCCTTGTCTCTTGACCGCCACATTGAGCTTACACGCTCGTGAAGCCCTTCTGCGCACAGATGCTCAGTGGTCCCGCGGAAGACCGGATAGAAAAAAAAAATAACGCCTGAAGGTGGAATCGAACCACCCACATCCTTTTACAGGGTCTCCCTGCAGGAATCATAACCACTAGACCACACGGGCTTCCTATACAGCGCAACCATATTACGGCATTAATAAGGAGCCAGGTTGCAAGCTGCCGCCTTGCGCAATTGCTTAGACTACACAGTTCTACTCTTATCCTTGCCATTCGGCTTCGATGATCCAGCGGGCGTCGCCGGCAAGCTGGCGGGCCCCCAAATAGCGAAAGCGAGAATCTGCCTGACGGAACAGTTTGGGCCACTCGTGCATCTCGCGCTCCTGTGAGTTCAAGAGCTGCAGCATGGCTATATCCAGGTTGCTGGTGATCTTAAGTCAGTACAGACCGCTCCGTCCCACACTTCCGGCGGCGGGCGGTTCTGGTCCCAACGAGAAAGAAGGGGCTTGACTTACATGGCTTTTCGGGCCTCTGTCGTGTTCAGGTTCTCGAGACCTGGCCTGATGCGTTCGTGGATTATAATTCTGGCACCCGGTCGCAGAGCAGGTATGAGGTTCTGCAGAATCTTGACGCAGTGCTTGTCGCCCCAGTTGTGGAAGATGGATCGGAAATAGTACACATCTGCGCTGAGTGTCTGCTCGGTGAAGAAGTCACTGCAGCATCGTCAGTGGCCGACTTGCCAGCTGCACATTGCTTACAAGAATGACTCACTGGGCCATGAAGGTGATCCGATCGCGAAGTCCAACGGGCAGCCGCAGAGCTCCTTCCGCCACTGTGTCTGGGAGATCCTGTACGAGACATTTCATGTTCGGGAATCGTTCAGCGACGCTGATAGGAACACTGCCGTGCGAGCCTCCGACGTCTACCATTGTTGTCTTGTCCGCCCAGGAATAGTCATCGAGAAGCCCATGGCGCGCCTCGTCAGGCTTCGAGAAGTACAGGCCGAACCTGTCACCACGTTCAGGCTCTTCAACAAATATATCGAACATGCTTTTGTGGCTGTTGTTGGCCAGAGAGAATCCCTGACAGTTTATTTGGCGCCGTATCACTGATAACTGGATAGAATGACTCACAGTTTCATTGTTCTCTTCCGAGTTGGGCCATTTCTCCAAGGCATCAGCCGTCTATATACTCACATTATTAGTATTGCGGCCCTAAGTTCCGAAGTCGACCTTACCTTGACTGCTGCCGGCCAGAATTCGTCCATCTCTACGATGAGAGAGTTCCACATCAGTTCGTCACGGGCCAAAATTACCGTCAGCGCCGAGTGCGTGATGACACCAGGTGTGTTCTCCTGGAAGAAGTGATGATTGATGATGGCGTGCCTGACAATGCGTCGAACGTTCATCACGCTCAGACCCGAGAACTCGGACATGGCCTCGAAAGAAGTAGACTGTCCCACAGGGAAAGACCTATCAAGCTTTAAGCGGATGATAGCTTTCACACTGACCCACGCGGTATACTACCACTATTTATCAGCCGAGAGCTGCCACGAAACAACGATTGGTTGGACGAACCTTGAATCTTACGAGCTCCTTGGGACCAGTCATCAGCGCCTCCAGCTCCGAGCATACCTCGATTACCGAGAGTCTTGCCGCCTTGATTTCCGTGGCCTCGTCCGGAATTGGTATGGACTGGAGGGCGTCCGCGTCCAGCGACGGGGTGGGCGACTTGTTGCTGGTGAGAAAGTCATTGACTATTGCTGTTTTGCTCGCGATGAGCATGGAGAGCTCCATGATCTTGTTTGCTGAAGCCATGTTGTCAAAGTTCAGTTCCAGCGGATCTGCTCGCTGAAAGGCTCCAGAAGCGTTCCTCGGGTGACGTGGAGAAAGGGACTGTAACACTGTCCCATTTTGTTGGCTATTTATGCATCAAATTGGTGTCAGCCTGCAAGGGGGTGGGCAGCTCTGCTTACTTTATTATCGCATAACTAACTGTGCAATTGCGTGAGACAGAACGATTATGACAAGCGAAGAGCTGGTCAACCCGGCGTTGTAACCGGAATGACACGTTCACTAAGCGACACCTATTCAAGTTGAGTCGAGCGGCGAGGGCGGGGACAAGGTATCTATCCAGACTGGCAATGGGATTATCAAATCTCGAACCTCGTCGTCACTACCTCCGATCTTGGTGGGCTGCGTACTAAATGATGGGTACTAGGGCTTTATGCTAGAAACGGCTAGTTTCTGGTGAGACACTGTCAGAGTAGGCAGTTACACTGTCAGATTAGACATTCCGTAGAAAGCAGGTCAAAGTGGGTTAGGCCTTGGGACCCCCTTTTAGCCTAAATCCATGTCAGTAATGGTGTGGCTCCTCAACCCATTTCCCAGCCACAATGACGGATGGGTCACGGACCAGGGTACAAGGTACCTTGGAGCCCAACTGGTACCCGTTTGTACCAGATTCGTACCCAACTGGGATGATAGCTACTTCTGGGATGGGGACACCACCCATCCCTTCTTTCAATCAAGCAACTTCCAGAATACAGACCAATAACCACCATTCGTGACCCTGGTCCTTATTCTGGATACCGCTACCACAAGGCACAATGGCCTGTCTATTCGAGCCCCTATTGTGATTGCATTTCGAGGGTGCATAATCATATCATCTCATGCAAGCATTTGATTCTTGCGTAATCTTTCCACGTACGAAGGATTGAAGGATCCCCGTTGCCAATTGAAAAGAGTCTCCAGCCCCAACTTCAGGTCTGGTTAGATTCCCTGATTCCTCACTAACCGCCCAGTTCCATTCCGGCCTTTCAAGACGCGAAACACCGCCTTGTCTAATCTAAAATGCAGTTTCCATTGCTCATCGCTGCCCTTGTCGGTGACGCGGTCGCAATTCACGCCGTTGCGGTCACCTCGCAGGACCCATACGCCTGCAACGCTGTGAGCGGCGTCGACATCGCGTGGGCCGAGGACGAGAATAGCATTCACGCCGATTTTCCCGACATCAGCCTCACCGTTTACCCTCCGGCCCACGGCAACGAGAACGGCCAGTCGACGGTGGGTTGCGGCGCGGCCGTGGAATTCGCGGACTGGTCTAGCGGACAACGGTTTGCCGTCTCCAACGTCACCATCCGCGCCAGCAACCTCAACTTGCCCGGGGACAACGACCTCTATACCATCAAAGCCAGCGTCGACTTCCAAGTCGTGGACCTGCTGAACTACTACCCCATTCAGTACCCTCTGCAGTTGAACTACGCCTCGTCCTCTCTTGTGAGTTCTCTATGACCTGGGCTTTGAGCATCTCGTCTTGTCCAGTTTCGCCCAGCTGCACCAATGGCAGACATGATTGGCTAACGGGAATACCCCCAGCTCGACATTGATGTGGACTCTGGCATCGGCAACGGCAGCTTTGTCGGCCCGTACGAACAGTATGTGGAAAACGCCAAGACGGTGGTAAGTCACTTCCCGAGAAAGACACCCTCCCTGTCCGTCTTCGATTTTTTATCTCGCATGCTATAGTGGTCCCCATGCTTCAACGGATACTTGTCCAATACTACCACGATGGTCTTCGCGCTGTCTGCTGAAACTGTAAAGGGAGGCACCAGCGATGGTAAGTAACCTCCCCTCAACAGCAGCACTATCTACTTTTTTGAGTTTCATTGCAGTATCAAGGCTTACTCAATCGCTTCTACTCCGTTTACCCTCTTCTTCCCCTTCCCGCGTCGTCTGGCTCGGCCAGAGCCATATTCTAAGCGAAGGCATGATTACTAACTGTTCCCTTCGCAGCTGGCTGGTCTATGGATCTCGGTATTGTCTGGGAGGACTGCTACTACCCCGACCAGGGCGTCTGGGGCCAGACGGTTCTGACGAACTGGGAGAGCTGCTCCTTCTCAGACAACGGCACCAAGAGAGAGCGGTGCTAGATGGTAATGGTACTGCACGGACACACGAAGATATCTATCATCAGCCATGCAGACCTACCGTGAGGATACACAGCTGGCCCCCCTGCTCGTACCCAACTGACACCGGGTCTGTTTTCTAAGCGACAGCGAGGATAAAAGCACGGTGGAGGTTGAGTGACGATGCTCATGCATATAGTGTCCACGGAAGACGCCTCCTACATCAGTCTAATACAGTCAGACGCCCTCTGATGGGAAAATATGTGCAGCACACCTAGGCTTAAACTATTGTGCCACTACGTACACCACGGCTTCGCAGGACTTCCACTCCATGTGCTGGTATAGTTGTGAGCAGAATCAACCCCTTCGTTGTCCTAATATACACTTTACAAGTCTCATCAGACGAGATCGCGTGTTCTGGTCGCAGATTTCTGAAACGACCTTGTTGAAGGTCGTAGTTGCGGCATCGTGGATCCGCTCCACCAGATTCTGTGTGATGGGTTCCCAGGGCTTGCATTGCCTGCTGAACATATCACCAACAACCATGGGATTGAAGGTGCCAGGGAGTTCGCGGCCTCGACACTCAACCATGAGGTCACTCACGATTTCTAGGTAATCGACTCGCATGATGTATTTCGAAGAAATCTCTCTGACCGGGTCTTCGTCTTCCTCGACGATCTCCAGTGAGTGACCGTCCTCACGCATCTTGTCGGCGTATTCACTGAGAATCCATTGAACGTGGGCACGTAACCGCCTGTCGAACGCATCTGCTTGTCCAGGGTAAGACTCGTAGAATTTGTCAGCGTATACGCCATCAATGCCAGCTCGGATCAGCTTCGACAGCTGACTGCTAATCCGCTGTAGATAGGTGTGCTTCTCTCGCTTGGTACTGCGTGCCCTTCCAAGCCGTGTCAGCTTTCTTCTGCAGTCCTTGATGCCAGACTGGACATCGGACTTGGTCACGGGCTGGTTCGCGAACGGGTTGTCGGCTGTGACGACGGCGAGGATGATGCTACGACGTTGCCGCATGTAACCGACGACCAATTCTTGGACCAATGTCGCATCGTCGTCCGACTGGTTCTTGTCAGATGCACCGAACAGACCCGGCAGGTCGACGAGGGTGATGTTAGGTGCTGTTGGCGACGTGCTCTCGATGCGCAGCACATCGGTGCTGAATATCTTGGAGCCTTCTCTTCCCGAAAGACTCATAGCTTCTTTTGCCGACTCTATGATTTTCGCAAAGTCATTCTGATCGCTGGTCTCTGCCGAGAAGGCTGCTAGGCGAATCCTCTCCTCCCCGGTTCTGCCGGCGGCTGGCTGGATCTGCACCTTGATCTCAGGCTTGTCGGTCTCGCCACGCCTCAGAATCAACTCGGTTGCGAATCGCGTACAGAGACCCTCGGCAGTCGGGAAGGCGATGCCAGACAGCGATTCGAGCGTGGAGCTCTTGCCTGACGATTGGCTGCCACAGACGATGATCTGGGGGAGGTCGACATAGTGACTGACACCGCTGTTTCTTAGGGTGTCAACGATGTCGAGAAGGTCTCGATGATTGCTGGACTGGATCAAGCCCGATGTCTTGTGGGAGATATTCTCGGCGAGGTCCATCGCCATCTTGGAGTGGTTGCTCGATTGCTTGCGAGCCATTGGTTCAGCGAGACGGGGCAGCGGTTGAGAGGCTGAAGACCTCTTATATGTTTCTGTCAGAAGCAATTCTTGTCTCTACACTGGGAGACAAGGGCCGAGTGGTTGTCTAGAGAACATCATGTTGCAGAGTGGAAGTAAGGGCGAAGATGGAAGACGACGCGGATGAGACGCGACTGAAGTGGGTCACAAAGCCCTGAAGCTGCGCTGTGTGGGTCTAGTCTCGTGACAGAGAGAAAGAGGCGCAAGAAACATGACAGATCACGTGGGAATGAACCCTTACAGAGAGTGTGAAATTTCAAAGCGATCGCAAAGGGAGTGAAAGAGCACAAGTCAAAAGTTCATTGATGCTATTCACTTCATTGCCGAGTTCCGGCATGGTACATGCCCCTTTTCATGTCTTCTCCACTCTGTGTGACCGACATGAAGACAAGCCGCTGCTGTGAAACCAGAACGAGCTTCGAAGAAGCTTGTGGTGTACTCTATCCCATTCCGTCACAGAAAGGCAAGAGAGAAAGAGAATAAGAAAGAGGGAATGAGAGTTGTTAGAAGTGGTAGGTGGTGAGCTGTACCCATTGTTTCCCAGTCATACTGACACGAATGAACCAAGGCTGTTTGATGAGGGTCGGCTTCATCGAAGGGCATGGTGGCGTTGAGGTTGAGGGAGAAGATTAATAGGGTTCATTCATGAGCCACAGGGAGAAAAAACTCGTTAATTTGCTAAAGGCTGCGGCACAGCCTGAATACCTACATTTGAAGGTGGCTATCATCTCTCCATCTGTTGGGTTCGAAACATAAAGTCGTCAGAGTCGAGGCATGAAAATACACACACCTCGAAAACGTTCATAATTTTGGGAAAACATATGTACAAGTAAATATCCTACACGGGGCTTGGCGAACTCACCTCCGGGACGGGTGTCATGCGCTGCACAGGACGCTGCCGACGCCCCTTGACCGTGACCTCCCGGGCCTTCCGAGCCGGGACCGATTTTATCGTCACTGCCTGCGCTAGATGAGTTTGGACCTGTTGCTCGCGCGCCTCCCATTGGTCCTCGACTTTGCCAGCAAAAGTCTCGTCCTCGATAGGGGAGTCATCGTAGGGATCCATCTCGTCTTCGGCCACGTTGGTATCAAGGGGCGGTAACCTTCGGTCTTCTTTCTGTTTCTCGCCATCCGCATCCCCTTGCGAGAAGCTTCTCCTGTCGTCGGGACGTTCCGTTATGTCGACTGATTGTTCATCTCGCCAGACGGCTGCTTCTATTGACGTTCCGGAATCCGGGATAACCAGCCAGGTGATAGGAGTGGAAGGCGCCGGAGGTATGCGGGCTGCCACGGCATCCCTTATCATGGACCCAAAGTCTCGAAGCTGCAGCGAAGGTAGCTGTGGGGTAGTGGTATTGTTCCAGTTTAAAGACTTACTAAAGTTATACACCACTGTTCCCGGCACTCCGTACCGAACGGCGATCTCGGCTTGATTCTTGACCCGGTGTAACTTTTCGACCGTCTTTGGACACGGTTCTCGTAGGATGAGTTGCACTTCGCGATTCCCTCGCGTCTTTGGTCCACGGCGCACCTGGCTTGCCGCGTGACTTTGCTGGTCGATCAGTTGGGTGAGGGCATCTGACGTACCGTTGAGCCATGCGAGCGTTTCTTCCTTGCCCCTGCTCTGGGGTGTGAAGCTGGTGGTCGCAGTAGCTATCTTTCCATGGGGCTTCGAGTGACCTGTCCTGGTTTCATTTTCCTTCAATTTCTCAAAGCTTCCATTGAGAGGCGCGCTGATATGGAGCTCCGTATTCTTGACCGTGCTGTTCTGTTTCGATCTAAACCATCCATTGATGGCTTCCATTTTTCGTCGAGTGTCCGTTTTCAATTATCATAGGTACTTTGCTCACAATATCCCAGGTTCAGGGGTAGCGAGGGCATGGTTTTATCAGCAGCGCAAACACCCTCGAACAAGCGACCGGCAATTTTCCTTATGCGCGAGAATAATAGGCGTGCAATAAAGATACGGAACATGGCTGACCATGCCATTGTGTGCTCTTTGTTCGACGGCCTTCGCTAAGGCTTCCCTGCCGACTGTCCGCTCTTGGTCGGCTAGCTCGTAGGATGGAACTCCATAGGAACAGGTTCTACGATGTCCCATCAGAGACAGAGTCACTCCAATCCTACCTGGCCTGGTGGGTCAGTTTGCTTTTATCTTGTGGGGATTATGGAATGAACCATGCTGTCGATGATTCACTGCTTCCTGCAGAATATTGTGACGAGCCGTCTAACCTATAAGGCTAAAGGGTTCTATAGGGTTTATGTTCTGAGGTAAGTCAACACAAAAGACGATAGAGGCTTCTGTCAACTAGAAGACACTCAGATACTGGGGCTTGGTCTGAACTGGGTTCACTGAATAGTCGAGTCGTCAGGAGATTTCTCCCACCTTAGGGTTGGCTAAGATGCTTAGATTGATCACTGAGGTAGAGACTGTCTATCTGTCTAGCTAGGAAATGTCCATCCTTATATATCCAATCTCTCCCTCACTGATGGGGTGCATATGTTGGATAACCTTGCTATCCAAGCTATCCTGGATATGTTGGATAACCTCGCTATCCAAGCTATCCATCACGTGATGTCTTGATCACGTGACCTAGACGTTTCCTTAGCCCGTGCGTTCTCACGGGTTCTTTCAGTTACTGTCCATCTTGTTGGGCCTGCCAGCGGGCCTCATTCCCTGTACGCCTCGTTGGTTCGTAACAAATATATCAGAGACGACGAGAAGCTGGTACGGAATCCAGGAGATTTCTAGAGAGAAGATAGATTCCTATCAACCGAGTCCAGGCACAGGCCGACATACTGTTATGGGCTTTCGTCCCCTTACCAGGCCAGCGTACCGTAGTCGGCTGGTAGGAAACCCTGATCAAAGCCATGTCGCCTCACAACGCAGACTTCGCTCTGGAGGTATTCAAATGGCTCCCATCCAGACTGCCTTTGAATCGGGTCATGCCTTAAGAGTAAGCCATCTAGACTAGGAAGGACTCCTGAGAGTGGCATTGTCAAGTGAAAAGCCCCACCAACAGAAAGCCGGCTTCGAGATCTAGTTTTAACCGAGTCTTTGGGGGTCCTCAGGTGTCACAATTGTTCCTGCAAGGTCATGTAGAACAAAGAGACTTCCAACAAAGACTCTTTTTCTCGAAAATGGCTCAAAGTGAATGATTTAAGTCAAACGTGCTGCTGCACTCATGACACGAAAGAACACTCAGCCATGCATACTTCGATTCAGACCTCTCATTTATACTAATCACACTTTATATTCAGACTGAAACCTTTCCCAGTGCAGTCTTACATTTCATATCATTCATCCCTTCTTTCTACACTGTTCGGGAACAGACACACACATACACTATCCATTCGACTGTCTGGCACAGAAAATACCAACATTCATATTCGATTCGAGACCATTCAAGGAAATCCAGAAACCAGAAAGTACTTTAGAAAGTAAACGAACCTACATAAAAGACATCAAAATGTGCTGCGGCTCTTCAGATGACTACGAGCAACCACAGCAATACCACAGCCAACGCCCTCAGCAGCAACGGCAACCGCAGCGCCAGCCACAACGCCAGCCCCAGCGACGTATGGATCCCGCAGTTGAGGAGATGATGAAGCGCAAGGCGCAGGCGGAAGCGTCAAAGGCCGCAAGGGCTTACGGCTGGCCCCAGGACAGACCCAACATCGACCCCGTGCAGGCACGCAAGTGGAATGCCAGCGACCGCGACAGCTGGGTTGAGCCCAGTGCCGTCGGAAATCTCGTCGCCATGCCCGGCGCAGAGTTCGGCGCAGAGTTCGGCGCCGTCTACAACCCTGCGCGAGCGCGCCAGCCCCAGCGACCCCAACGCAGCCAACCCGGTCGACCTGCCCGGCCGAGCCCGCCGGTTACCCGTCAGGTCCAGCCGCAGTACTTCCAGCATCGCGACACCGCAAGCCGCCCTACGCAGTATGCGCCGCGGCCCGTCAACCAGCAGCCGGCGCGTGTCGCTCCCATGAGCACCAGACCAGCACAGCCGCAGATGCAGACAGCGCAACATGCCCCGCGCATGGTGCAGAGACAGGGCACGATGCACTCGATGCGCGGCGTGGTCGAGGAGGCCGAGCCCCAATGGGCGCACGTCCACCAGCACAACGCAGGGCTGGTGCGGAGGGACAGCAACGGCATCTCCGAGTGCAGCGACGACGACAAACCGGCTGCATGGCGCAGTCACTGCGTGTCGCCCACCGTGCCGTCGCCGCAGAAAACCCTGTATGGTCAGGTCGGCATGGGACGTCCACAGAACGGTCACGCTTTCTGAGCGGGCGCTTGAGCCAGGAAATGTCAGTTCCGATCCGGATCGCGACTCCCTCAGGGAGTACCGGCTGAGTCTGCGCCTGCCTCAAGGAGTACCGGCAGAGTGTAGGTAACTCTGTCCGACGATCCCCGCAAGCCGAGCCGTCACGGGACGGATCCGCAGACTCCACTTGACTCCGGGCGCTCACCGGATTGAGGTGAAATGCATCTCTTCAGCATCATTGCCCGAGTCAATTATTAAGACAGGCATGCAAGCAAAACCTAGGTCCGTCCGCAGGCGCTGAGATAGGAAGAACAAAAAATAAAGGCGGAGGGAGGGTGCGAAGACAGAGTGAAAAGGGTCACGGTAGACCGGAGCGACTCAGCGACCGGTTCGGTTGTTCGACGATTGTAGCAACATTAGACGTTATGAATGCATCATGACTCAACGATGAAATCCTTTGTGTGCCAGTGTGTGTTCCCAAGTCCGGTGTACGAGTTCTGCCCGCCGAGGGTTTCCTGCCAGGTTCAGTGTGACCCCTTTTGGAGCCCATACCCATCGATTATCTGAGCAATCCAATGAGAGGGGTCGAGTATCTAATATCGAGTCTCTGCTCTTAAGCCTTGTGTCTTGAGAGGCCGAATGTCATCTGGCTATGCCTGGCTGAAGGAGTAATTCACATTGTCTGATTCCCCGGGCCCTTGCGCTTGGGATGGACAAAGAGACGATGACGAGTCTGCGAGTGTGGATAAGCTGACCCCACGCGCCCGGCTTCAAGGTTGTTTGCTTGGTGCGGAGGGCTCCGTGTGGCTGATGCCATGCTCCACCCTGGTCGGCGCACACTCTATTCGAGACAAGCTATATGAACCCCAAAATTTGCGCATTATTTTATCCCTTGATCGTCTAGTTGGTTTATGGCGTCAGACTGTAATTGCTGTTGTAATCTGAATGTCGCCGGTTCGATTCCGGCTCGAGGGAGATAATATTTTTAAGATTTTACATTTTTGTCACCGCAACAGAAGTTTTCATGATCACCCACACTTGGTGGTCAACCCCTTTGTTTTGACTGCTCTGTGCTTATTGCCTCTGCTCCGTATTTCTTATCGTGCGCTGGCCTATTCGGTGTTTAACCAGTGGATAAGCAAACTCCGAGAAGCCCCAGACCAGATCGGAATAATCAAGAAAAGGGGTGTTCAACCTCGATATTCTCTGCGGACAGACAACCAACCCTTCATCTTTTTTAGGTGAGAGTAAGTGCGCACAGCCTTTGAAGTCCTCACCTTGAAGCATTCTGAAGCACTTACCCGGAATCACAATGGCAATTTGAGCTCACCAGATTCTGCGCGGAAACGATGATGATTGGAATACCTGCCATACCTGCATGTGCCGTCTAGGGACCAGCAGCTGCCACTCTTCACGTCATTGAGGACTCACAGCACCGGGAACACGTCCTGCTTATTCAATGATGCTTACCCTTGTTCACTCCGAATAGAGTCGGTTTCGTGTCAGTATGGAACATAATCATGGCCACCATCCCCTGAGCTCCTGCGCTTGGCTGTTTTACGCGTCTATTGATGAAAGAGCAAAACTCTTTGATCATGCCTTGAATCTTCGTATGGGCACTTCATTCAAACAGGAGAAGCCGGCACGGGGTTCATATGATGAGAGATCAGGAAGAGTCGCAGGCAAATCCACATGCTTTCCAAAGAATGAGCACACTCCTTGAATCTTGACCTCCTTGAATCTTCGCCTTGCCATGTAGACAGACGCTCTTTTCTAAAGTCAAACCCTCGCAATGGCATCGTACGGCAGTCTGATCATGGAAACACCCACCATACGCCTATTTGCGCGATCGATGACGGGCACCGCATCCGATGGTACATTGCCGATCACCTATGGCAAGGATATTCTAGTACCATTGGACCATACATCATAAGCACACAAGTAGAGGACGTTCTACTAGAAGCACATACGAGCATCAACGACACGCTCCAGTCTAAGCCTTTGCATTCACTTGAAGTGTGACCCTGCCACATCGAGGGGTCAAGTGGACAGGAAGACTTCGAACCAAATATCAGGTGCCATTGAGGAGTAACGTCGCATTATAGCTGCGATGACATGACCATAAGAGTCACGGCGGTTCGCGTTCTCTTGATGCTGACAACATTCCAACCCCGCTCGCAAACGCTCAGACACTCGCTACGATTTCCCAAGCCCCCCAAGCTGGAACAGTAACCAAAGGGCTTGCTGCCTTGCCAAACCGGGGCTCAAAGCATCTCGCAACCCATTCACCCTCAGACAGGCACAGGCCTGCCGAAAGAGGAGGTCCAGCATGAGGAGAGCAGTCTTACACCTCTACCCACCAAAGAGCATGCTGCATCGCCACTCTTCCATTCCATGTTTCCCCTTTGTGGGATCACCAATATGCACGAAGCATCGGTCCAGGATACCACATACCGCAGTCTCGTCAAGCGATGAAGAACGATAATCTTATAGTCACCTGGACTAAGTACCCATCCCGGGGTAGGTAGCTGGGGAAAAACACCACATATCGTGTTTTGTTCCAGCACAATCCGTTTTTCCAACGGCTTGCCCTCTGATGTCAGTATTGCTGCATTGATAAGAGATCAAGCGACTTCAGAGCACCTGTACCCCCTTGCTTTAGCTCTACTGAGACACTGAGCATTCGAATCAGTCCCGGTCATGGCAGTGCTTGCATCTGAGGATACAGTCGCGGACTGAAATAGGGGGCTCTGACCACGTGGAGCCGCAGACATTTGCACCTCGACTTCACGGCCTATATACATCCAGTGACGTTCCCTGGCCTCTCGACGCAATACGGCGCTCTTCGTTCTACGAAGGACAGTAGGTCCTGTCTTGAGTGCTCCTTGTGATGGCCTTCACCAAGGTCACTTGACCCAAACTCTGCTCTGGAATGAGAAAGATCACGGGCGCTGAACTCATGGTCTTGTGCAATATGCTTCCTGAAGCAGGCTAGAGCCTTGAGAGTGGCTCTTCTTCATCTCTTCGCCAAGCAAGGTCATCAGCTTGATGTTTGCTTCGGCTGCTGGATATTTTTGGCAGGTCATGGTGGTCAAGAAGTAAGTCCGGTTGGGTACATCCTTCAAAATCTCAGCTTTCGCTGCGGTTCCTACCGTAAATCTTGCGTTCTTGTTTGTGGCCGTATACGAGCAGCGCGCTGGGGCCCACGCAATTGTGCCCGAGCTGCTGGTTGCTTCATTGCGGCCATTTCGGGTCGCAGCCGTGAAGACTTCATACAAGAGTCAACACGGCGCGCGCCCGCCGCTTATCGAGCGAGTTTTACTACGGTCCCTTCTCCTCACTCGTTCTCACGGCTCCATTCGATTAGTCATATATGTTGTTGCAGATATTAAATAGCCCGGCCTATCCAAGTTCTACCTTTGTACTGTAGTGGCGTACGCGCTACCTTCCTTATGCCGTTGCACCGTCGGCGTCCTGTGAAACCCAAACCCATCCATGCCAAGCTAATTCCGCACCCTTTGTACGAAGGTCTCTTCCCCGAGTGATTGCAGACTGTCTAGAGTCGGAACTGTTGTCGCGACTTTGTCTCTATACCATCCCCCCCATAGAAGTCGGACATCCCCACTAGTCGGACAGCCAAATAGTGGGGTCACCACCAAAACACCCCCTTATTCACCCACCCGCGAATGAAGCTATTCAGATCAGAGAATTATGGAAATATTATCATTCAAAATCGGAGAAGCTTTTTACTCGTATAATCATGCAGGAGCCCGAATGGCTCACCCCGAACGGGTGTGCCTAGGTTCCTGTATAGCCTCCAAAACCTCCTCTTCAGCCGAGTCTTTGTCTTTGTCTTCTTTATCCTCTTAGTCAATAATCACAATTTCTGCTTTACCCGCAATGGCACCAGGGGTGATGGTACGACCCGTACTTAGTATCTCCGTGACTGTTCTGAATTTCCTGTTGGGATTTGGGATCTTCTTCCGCTTCTTTGGCCGTAGCCGCTCCAGTTCAGCCTCCAGGGCCTTGATCTTTCAGTCTTTGATAACCACCTTGGTCTCCTTAGCCTTGAACGCGTTTGTTATCTTCTTGTACTTCAGTCTGGTGCCTGGAGATCTTTTTTTGCCGAAATACATGATCTGGCGGCTCGTAGTAGGCGTCTGCTGCTCCTCTGGTTCAGAGCTTTCAGGGAATTCAACTCAGAGAGGAACTTCTGGTAGTAGACTTTCAGGGCGTTATAGGGCCCGTTATCCAGGGGTTGCATGCCGTGACTAGTATTTTCAGGGAAAAAACAGAGCAATATGTTGTTAAGAAAACATATAGTTATGAATTCGTTTTATTACACGCGTTAGACCATATTAAATCAGGAAAAATTAAAGGAAGTCCATTTAAAATAAGGAAAAATCGTATACATATGGAGGTGTGGCTCTTGTGGCCATCCAGTATCAAGAGGATAGCCTCAGACTGGTCTCCTCCTCGTTCTTCGTCTGCCTGTGGGAGGAAAACATCCTCTAGCCATTGGCAGGCTATAGCATTCGAAGTCCAGCCGTTCTCTGAGCATATATAGTGCCAATTTGTGGTCTTTCAGAACTCCTTGATGAACCACTGCACTTGGAGGTCCTTCCCCTTGAAGACAATACCTGGTTTGAGGATTTTTTCAGTGACTGAGATGGTCTCAATGAAGGAGGTCTAGCTACGGCCCTGAGGGCTCTTTAAAAAGGCTTTCTTAGCAACAAAACTACCCAGAATTAAGGAATCGATGCCTGTGAATCTAGTTAGATTTTTTCGGGAATTAAAAGGGGCAAATATAGCTACCAAAACCCGCCATGATGCCGCCCTTATCGATATTATAGGTGTTCTTTGGCTTCACCCAGCCGTAATCTTCGAGAATTTCAAAGAACCAGTTAACTGACTTGGGCGTGAACCCCTTAAAGCGTGCTATTTTTATCCTTTTGCCGACTTTCGTCTTGATCTCGGGGTTGCGGCGCTTAAAGGCTACCATGAAAGTGTCTCCTAGGGGGCCCTCATCTCCCTTCTTCTTCAATAGCTTCTTGACAATCTCACGAACCAGGGAGTGCAAAAGGGCTAGACCGAGCTTTTCCTGGAGTAAATTCACTTGACTATAGTCTTCTCCTGGGCAGGGGAGAGTCTCTGTTGTTGTATGTGGGCTTCGGCTTTGGTAGGCTTCTCGTTGAGTCGATCAGACAGTGTTTGGGGCGGAATACCGTGTTTTTGAGCGTTTTTTTGCAAAGATAGTCCCTTGTCTGTGATATCTAAGATGGCATTCGCCATCTGATCCTCCGTATACGAATAGGGAGGCATTTTGGGCGACTATACGGTGCTGCATTGCACACAGAACAAGACTGCAAGAGAGCCTCGCGGGGCCGAAAATCTCTATTCGGGGTAGCAAAGGCGGGGTAATAGCTCCCCAATCACGTAGGCCAGGAGGGGTAAATTCAGCATTGGAGAAAACCTTAAGATCAGGGCTATCTAGAACACTAAATACATTATGAATAGCTTCAGTATCGGGCTGAATGCGTATAAGTGAACATATGGGAGTTTTGGTGGTGATGGTGGGGTTTGGCTGTCCGACTAGTAGGGGTGTCCGACTTCAATGGGGGGGATGGTAGTAGATTCTTAGCTTCGTGGCTCGTCCCTGCCCGCACTCTTTGCTCTTTGGTGTGGGCGTAGCCCGATCCCGGAGTCCGCGTCATCATTCCCGTCCCTACTGCGTTTTCTAACGACATGTGCCTCTGTTCCGATGCGTGGTGCTTGCACCTGGGGGTGGAGCAGGTGCGCGAAAGAGGGAAGGCTGGGCTGGGCCGGCCGGCTATGGTCTTGGTCTGGCTCAACTATAGACGGGGGCATCCATGAGCGGCTCGGTGTCTCCCACCTGGTATAAGCCCGTAACGTTCCGTGGTAACAAAGGTGATCAACTCACATCGGATGGTCGCGTGTATTGGCCTTTACCATCTGCGTACCGGTTTGGATTTTCATCTCGGCTAGCCCCGAGGGTCGGGACTGGCAGGATGTCCCCAGGATTCAACAATGGTCTCATAGTAGAGGTATCATCTCGCACAAGAGTTGACCTGGAATCGGACCACGCCAACAAGGTAGTTGCCCAGTCTGGTCGGTCTTGTGGGGCAGGCCATGCCATATTCCGTGATGATTGCTTCCGACCAGCATTTGTGTTGGCCTGTATGTCTCTCTGTGCTTCATGTGTATTGGTGTCCCCTTGTGCGCTCGCCGTCGACCGTTGAGGTGTTTCAAACACGCCATAAGCGTAACTAGCGACAGGTATGTTTAATAACATAGACCCATCTATACTATCGATCTTGGTGGTATCGGTAGTAATTCTCCCTTCCCGCTTAGACACTGCTGAAGAGACCCTCTGATGGACCTGGGCCCTCTGATGGGCCTCGGTCTCTAGATGCCTTTTGTACAGGGCATATGCCCCGAATCGCTGGGGATTTCAGGTTAGACTGTCTGGTCCGATATATCCCGTACAATTACTCACTTTGTCACAAATACTGCATTGTATGTGGTCATCGTGATAGTGGCGTTGTAGGTCGGGATACTAGTACCGTCAGCCATGTAGCATTCGCTACAGCGAGTCCTGCGAAGGTGAATGGTATTGATCATGGTTTCCTCTTTAGCTAGATTGACTATTGGTACGTTAAATGTGTGGCGAGTGTCCTCCACCTGGGACGCAGTCCAGGGCTAACGACGGCACCCCCGCCCCCCGGACCCCCCTTCGGTGATTCGAATGTGGTATTGCTACCAGGTGTGCTTCCATCTCCTCCCAGTCTGTGCTTCAAACAGAAGCTCCAAACGCTCAAGGGTACCCGTCCGCCTTGGTGGACGTGACGTGTCGCTGAATGCTGCGTTGCGATTGGTTCAAGTGGCTGGAAAGGGGGTGGTTGGTGACGCGGATAGAGCTTTTGTTTGACTCCCCGTTTGCCACCCCTTAACGTGGGCGCGATAATGGGTCCAGACATGAAGGTTATGTGTGATGCGCGTGGTCGCCTTCAGATGTGTGTCTATCACCTTAATTGTGATTGTGTGGACTTCTTGGGTGTGCAGTTCCCGTTTGGCACTCCTCCTCCGTAGGGTCTTGTGGTTTCGTGGTTTCCTGATGTAGGTGATGATCGCCACGACCTTCGACGAGCACCTCCCGTGACCTACAGGCGCCCGAGGCCCACCAGCGGGACAGCAGCCGCAAGATGCTGATCGCCAACGACGCCACCGTGCCGCCCCCGGGTGCCTACATTACCGGCAAACGCGACCTTTAGCTGGACTGAGTACGCGCTGCAGACGCGGGTCGTGTACGTGCCGGGCGACATCATCTGCAGTTTCGCTTACGAGCTCAGTGCGTCCGGCGCGCGGAAGGCGCTGCAGTATCCCCTTGACCTCGGCATGTGCCCATCTTCCCGAGCCTGCTCTACCACTCCCGCGCTGCCAATCTCGCTACCCGTTTGCATCTTCAAATCATGTATCCCACCTAGATTTAACGTGTGCTTTTCGCGTTTTTTACACGCGTATATACAAACGGGAGGTATCTTTTGCTGGCTGCGCGGCGGCGTGGTACATGATGCGAGTTTAATTGATTTTTATATGTACATCACGGCCTAATAGTCGCTCCGGTATTGGCTGACGGAATCAGGCATGGCCTGCCTTCTGATTCGCTCAAGAGAAGGCTCGGGAAGATGGGCACATTCCGAGGTCAAGGGGATATGGGCTCAGAGGGCCAGCATAAGGCGTTTGATAACCATCTGAGCGACCTGTATCGCCTGCGCGTGAACGGGATGCGGTGCGTGAGTGTTGTGCCGAGTCTGTTCGTGCATCATCGGCCGCAGGGGCGGGTCAGTGGGGAATCTGATACTTGCAGAATCTGGTCAGGGGCTGCGAGCCGGAAAGGCAGCGGGAGGACTAGATCAGATTTACATCTTCCCCGTTCAGTAATTGCTCGATGAGATGCCCCCAACAATGAAAACGCTCCATCCGCCTTCCCCCTACGTGGTAGACTCCCTGCAAGGTAGAGTGAATTAAGTGAGCCAAACTTCAACATGAGTACACTGCCCTTGTGGTCATTGCCAGAGCGAACAGCATGATCTCCCTGGCCATAGTAACGCTCTCGGCACTTCCAAGTTCAATAAATCCTTCGGTCCATAGTACCGACCAACCGACCTTGCAACCGACCTCGTCTTTCTCCTTTCCCTGAAAGCCCGATACACAAGCAGGACATTCTGAGAGAGTGAAGGCGGACGCGGCCCTTCGCGCTACCGACAGTGGTTTCATAATGCTGAGGGGCAGAAAGAGGCGAGAGTGGTGGGGGTGATTGGGAACGTGATCTCGATGAATCTGGTAGGGTCTCCGGCCCTCTGAAGTAGAGACATACCTTTTCTCCCCCATCTGCTCTGACTTCCCGCGGGCGGCTCTTCCTAGGACGTAAAAATTGCATTACGTGCGAGTGCGGTACTCGCCGGTGTGGTGACTGTGCCTGTACCGCCTTGATAGGCGCCTCCGGGCGATACCCTTCTCCGCTGGCACCGGTCCTTAGACTCGAGGAGAGACTGCCGGGCCGCCTGAGCTCAGTGAGCTGTGTGTAGTGCCGGAGACATCATCAGTGGCGCATGGGACTCTGAACCGCAGTCAGAAGGACCCATGCGGCTATATTCCGCCCTCAAAGTTCTCCGTGCGCGTCATGTTGGTAAGATTTTGTTGGTAAGATTTCAAATCACCCGAGGAAATTTAAAACCTAGAATAAGCATAGAGGACTAAGCAGCTCTGGTCCGATACGCAATTTTTTGCGCTTATTCCATTGTGCTTATTCCGATGCGATTAATATACCGTTGTTTGCTGGACGGGTGGTTACGGAGACTTATGAGGGTCCAGTGTATCTAACGAGCAGGATGTGAGCATGAGTACCTTATGGTTGGGTACGTACCGCATTGATCAAAATCTACCTGTGCAGTGTGCAGTGCATCGAGAATGTCCAGCCCTTGCCTCTGCCGTACAATCAGAGCAGATCTCTTCCCCGGAGATCGGGGCCTATTTGCTGAACCTGAACCGCCACAACCATCAAGGATCGAGACTGTTATCTCTCCGTGCGTGAGGAAGTGACACTGTTTCACTGCGGGTAGATGTAGGATCGAGGTCGACGCTGATGGAAGAAACGAACCATGACGGCAGGTCATAATGATTGTAGTAGGGATGGGTCGAGGGCCGACAAAGCCCACACTGAAGACGAGCTGATGACTTGACATGATCAAGGTGGCGGAGGATGCTCAGCTACCAACTTAACATTGGAGTACTGGCTGACATTCGACGACGTCCGCCTTTTTACTCATGCATTTCTCGAATGCGAGGAAGGCACCGACATGAAACTATATACGCAAATATCACAACCAAGCCTGTGATGCCCACTTCTCTCCATCGCCACACGTGTCTGACACCCTTCACTATTATCTAGAAATCAGGAAATCTTAGACTAAAAAAATAGGGACTCTCGGGATCGAACCGAGGACCTTCATGTATTGTCATCGCTCTCACCGCAAGCCTGGTGGCACGGCGGTGAAAACGGCGGTAGACAGATGATGCGCTACCAACTGCGCCAAGTCCCCTGTGAATATTAAGGGACGGCTCCTTGTAATTATATATTCAGTTCCCACTCGTTCATCGCTCTTGCCACTGGAAGCACGGGATGCTCAACCGCCTGCTAAGCATTGTCTCGTTGCCTGAAGGTTGCATGTCTGGTGTAAGGAAGTAAGAAAGTCATACATAGTACCTATAGGTAGGTGCGCATACCCCCGACTTCCTTGTTTCTTACCGACATGGCATACCACTAAGTTAAATCAAGAAGGCAGCGAGACTAAGTAATTCTCCCCATCGCTACCTAGGTACGGTGCCTCCACTCCAGTACAGAAATACAAAAAGAAAACTAGAAGAAGAATAAATAGGGACTCTTGGAATCGAACCAAGGACCTTCGCTTTTTGTTTAGATCCCTGGCTGCCAGCGCCGGCGGACACCCAGAACATGTGTAAACATGCGATGCGCTACCGACTGCGCCATGTCCCCTGTGATGGTTAGAAACAGCTCCCGATAACGGAAATGTACCTATTACCCACTCGTCCATCGCTCCTGCCACCTTGAGCACAGGATGGGCCGGTAGGGGTGCTCTAGTTCCATTGTTGGACGGTCTCAATTATGGCGTCCTCGGAGCTTGCGCCCAGGTCCATGATGCTTCCTCGTTTAAAGAGTTGAATCGTCACCAGTGGCTGGCTTTCGAGCCTTGAAGGGCTCGTTGGCGGAGGCAGGCGTCGAGCATCAGAGCTGAGAGGCGCTCTCAGGGGCCTTGGCTACACCTTCCATCGGAGCTTGTCGAGCCGAGGACTTCGCCAATTTCCCTCGCAATGGTTTAGAAACGCGATTTATTGTTGGTAGCTGTCCCTTAAGGTAGCGCAGATGAGCATATGAAGCGAAGGAAGCATACACTTCTCTTGGGTGGTCTCGCATGGGCAGGAACGAGCTTGCTGCGATGCGCTCTCGCGGTTTGACACTTGAGCATGTTCTCGTAAGTGCAGTGGCAGCCAATTGCTACAGGCCAACCTTTGCTTGCAGCGACGGTACGCTTAAGGAGCTGGAGGGTGTAGGGCACTCTTTGCTTCACGCAGAGTGACGGCCTGGACCGTGATATCTTGATGATAGAGCTCTCACAAACCAAATACGTATCCTATCATGACTCTCATGGCCATGTCAGGTGGGTGATCTATTCATGCTATCGCTTAATCTTCTGGGTTGGGGTTCATGAAGTCCAGTGGCTGCTGGGCCCCCGATGGGGGTGTCACTTACCTTGCGGCAGAATGGGGGACGTGAGATACCTCGCGCGAAGGCGATATGTGTAGAAGCACGGCAGTGCTATATATTTGACAGATACCCAGCCCCGTGATGCTCCTGGCTGTACGTGACGATAGCGACGTTTATTGTGCGCGGATGAATAGATGTTCCTGGTGGTATTCCCATAAGGACGCCGGCGAGGTTTCGCTGCAGGACCTCCGAGCTCTTGCGAGAGAGTGATACGTATACTCAGTACGCTTCAGCCCCCTGCCCTCTTCGGTCTCCTAGTCTCGTTTTGATATGATATGGCATAGGTAATGGTGCGCACTTGCGCAACTTCGACTACGCAGTCGAACAAGCCTTCATAGATATGACGGGGCGAAACCTTGACCAGTAGGTACACGATGAGGTCAATCCTGTGATGATAGCGGACAGTCGGCTCACAGCAGCAGGACCCCATAAGCAGCACCGAGAAGCCCCCCGCATGCCACGGCCGTGCCTTGGCCCTGGATGCATATGAACAACGGTATTTCTAGACATTAGATGATCATGTCATTACTGTGCGACATGATGCTGGCATAGTGCCACTGCTGGCAAAGAACACCTGAGGGATAGGTTGACGAACGTGTATTGAGCACCCATTCAAGCGGCTCTTCTAGATATCGCAACCAAATCTTGTCAGGCGAAGGATCATCAGGCTGATTTGCATCAATCGGTGGGCGAAGGCCTCGAGCAGATTATGTCCTGCGGGGAAGACGGGACCGTGATCGGGAATGAGATTCGCCAAACTGTCCAGACCCAGGTTTGGATATTTCCTAACGAATCGATCAGCTCCGGACTCCATGTCTTGGGGGCCAGCTCGTCCGGTTTGTAAGCCGCACGTCTCGGCCGATGCCCTTCTATGAACAATGAGGTTAGTTTATCGGGAAACGATAGTAAATTTATGGTCCAGCATTGACACCGCATGCAATCTAGGACATTAAGTTCTGAATACTGAATTGTTCTGTGAAATCCCCTTTTCAAGAGAACAATAATGTGCCACAGCCGAAATACCGGTGTGTCCATAGAGGTGGGCGGTTGCGGTATCTAGTATGATGTCTCAGCAATGCTTCTAGCAAAGGTTCTGTTGGATTCATGTCACAACGAATAGTAGTAATATAGAGATGTGTCAATTCAAGAACGCGGTTGTGTCGGAAATATCAAGGTGAAGAACAAAAGGGGGCTGAAGAAGCCAGGCAAGACTTGACCGGCCGACCAACTGCGATCATGTGACTCTGAATCACCGGGCAATCCGTTTAGCCACTCCATTCAGCCACAAGGCACGCGCGCATTGAATTGTTTCTAGATCGAATGGCTGGATTGAATATGGGAAAGCAGAAAAGCCAGGAGTAGGACAAAAAGGGTGAATCTCCCTCAGACCGGAATCGAACCCTTGACAAGGTTAGCATTACATAGTATATTGGAGGAGAAGGGTGACTAACGGTGACATTCAGATCACAACAGCAATTACAGTCTGACGCCATAAACCAACTAGACGACCGAGGGATGATTTTTCGACTTTTTCTTGGAGAATATATTGGACAATTCTGTGTGTGGGGGGAATGCTCGGCACAGTCGGGCAAAGTGGATACTCACGGAATTACCGCGGGCCCCTCTTTCGGGGATAGCCTGCTGCTCTGGCCCTACACAGCATGTGCCCAAACCTACGAGACAGCTGCACTCGACCTCGGTATGGGACGCAGAGTGCAACGACCTCATGAGTAAATCACATCTGGGGGAAGGAAACCTGCAGCTGCCTGCTAGCTACCGTCCCTACGTCTCAGCTCTATCCCCTGTGTTTGTTCAATTGCGCACGCTCTTCTCAGCTCGCCGACCGAGACGCCTTGCAACCGAAGAGCCCATTTTGTTCCATAAACAGGCTTCCTCCTCCGCCACCACGGAGCACTCCGCATTCCAGAGCCCGACACTCCGGGTTAATAATAGCGTCCGTTCGCCCGCCGCCCTGAAACAGCCGATTATCTCTCGCAAGAAATTGCTCCGATCCGCTAATAGGAACGAGCTGCTATAGCTCCGATCCGCGTGCGTGGATCGTAGCCGTATGACACGCACCGAGATCATACGCAACAAAAATGAGGCGACATCTCTTGGTATATCCTAACGTCATGTGGCGCTCCTGCAGCCCAGACGCTCCCGAAGCCCAGACTCCTCGATGACTTCTTCTTGGCATGACCTAGATTCACAGCAGCTGTCGCAGCGCACTACGTCTGCCTCCATCGAGGTTTCCAAGCGTCATTGGATGCAGTCCAGGCACCGATGTGACGGCAGTTGAAGGAGTGAGATCCAAAGGCTCCTAGATTCGGCATTTTCCAATTGGTCGAAGCTATCGTCATCCGATCCAGACGGATTTAGCTCGGAGTAATTACATCTGTCTCCAGGGGGACCCTGAGTCCTGACTCTCCACTTCTGACGTCTTTTGTTCCTTGGTAATCCTCGTTACGAGAACCTCGTAACAGCGGTGGACCACCAGAGCTACTGTAAGAACAAACTCGTAACGCTTTCGGAGACTGCTAATAATAACGGTCCACTACAGTTTGTGACGGATTGCTCGGCGCAGCGAATGCCGAGGTCCTCCACAATCAGCGCCGGAAATATGTGTTTTGTTCCTGAACGTCGATCGAGTTCGTAGGGCTGACGACCCCTGGACACATCTATCTTCAACGAGACTTCAGATGCCGGATTGTTGATTTGGATGTGTGAGAGATTGATGCAGGAGAACAACTCAGTCAGAGGTACCACGTTGGGAACCAGAGCGAGAGCAAGAGCACAGAATAGGAGCTGCGGGAATGGGCCGCAGTGGATGGCAACCACTGACTAGCTGCGGCCGACAAAGTAGTCTGAAGTCCGTGAGGCGTCTAAGATCTCATCGATGCTCATTGCGGATACTATCGTCGACCTAAGCACCAGCTAACGAGACAGAGCCGTTCACTCAAGCAAGCACTGCCGCGCGTTCGAGGTTTGGTAGAAGGCTAGATGAGCACACAATCATCATCTCACGGTACCTTCAGGCGCAGGACCTGTTGGTAGAACGAATACCGCGTGGATGGCTTGAAACTGCCTCGTGAGTGGCTTTGAAGTTCACGATGTCCTTCTCGAGCGGCAGTCGCGGATATCTGTAGACCTGCCTTGAAGAAATTTCATCGGATGAAATTGCTGACCCATCAAATAGACACCTGTTTCAGATAGAAACATGATCGAATCTTCTCACGGTACGCGACGATCGGGGATTAACCCAGCGATTCATACAAACACGAGGTAAACACGTTACCTACTAGGGGTCCAACGGGTTCATCCCTGCATCCGAGCTGGAGCCGCAAGGCTTAGACGCTTATTTCCTGGAACCAAAAGAAGAGATTTTGTAATACTGTGGGGTATATGCCGCTGTCTAGACGAATAAGTTGAGAGCCGTCGACTTCGAATACTCGACTCGATCAGTGACCCTTGGTTGTACGGCGGGTTTTCTGTAGTCATAGCGGGAATTGCCTCTCCATCATGAAGATTCAATGACACATGGCTCGAGAAGCTGGGTCCGGTAGAGCTGGCTACCGGTAAACATGGCGATGCTCGAAGCTCGTGTAGCGAGCTCGGGCTGGGCGAGAAGCATCATGCTGTGCCTGTTCAGCTGCAGCGAGCAACCGGTTTCTTGGCTTCGCCTTCGACTTTCTTTTTACAGTCCTCCTAATCACTTTACCCATAGTCATTCCTTTCAGTCCCCCGTTATAATTCGTTTCACAGTAATGAACCTTCTCATATAGTACCCCTACGAGATATAATAACAGCATGGGCCTACAACGGTCCGGATCGGTCAAGGTAGCGGATGTCCGCATACCTCAACGCCTGCTCTCGACGACACGGAAAAACGGAGACTGGAATCCTCACCACCAAGGACAGCAGCTTCTGGAACAGCACGGTCCCGTTCAGGATGTGATCCGGCGACGCCAGAGATCTTCGAGTGCGGTCTCGACGATATGTCAGGAGCCAACAGAAACCGTTGGAAGACCCCGAAAGACCAGCGATCCCATCACGCTGAGGGAGGCCGCCTCCGTCCGATCATCCAGTCTAAATTTGCTGGATGATCTTACCAGGTCCACACACGAGAAGAATGAGCCGTTTCCGCCCCTGGGAAACCCGTTCGCGGACTATCATGCTCACGCACACACAAGGACGGAAAACCCGTTCGCGGACTATAATCACGCACACACCGACTCTTTCCAGAGTTCCTGGGATGGATCCGACAGCGGGTCAGACATTCGGACTTGGGGGGGCCAAGGACAAATTCCGCAACGCTCTGGGACCTTGCGAAGTGTTGTTCAGACCGCACGGAACGTCGCCCAAAGGGTACGGAAGAATAGCATCTTTGAGGTGTACGAGAAAGCTCAGAAGAGAGGCAAAGAGCTGGAGCGGAAGCGCTGGGTCCAGATCTTGTTCGAGTACTGCTTCTACACGCTCCTGTTGGCCTTCATCTACCTAGTCCTCGTAGGCTTGCCCTTGTGGAAAGGGGCTGTCTACTGGATGTACTGGGTCGTGTCGACCAAGTTCGTGATTGCTGGGGGTTGGTCAATTTTCATGGGGTTGTCGGCCTTGTGAGTTCCCACGTCTCCTCTCCATCAACCCTTCGAGCTAATCATGGCGTAGTTATGCCTTTGGTCCCCTCTTCATATTCTTCGAGAAGGAGCCTCCTATGGTCGAGCGACCTGCCGACTTTGACCGCAATGTCATCCCGGGAGTGACAAACACGGCGCTGCTGATCCCTTGCTACAAGTCGGGCAACATCGTCGGTGCGACATTAGAAGCCGCCCTGAAGGTCTTTCCGCCGTCCCACATCTTCGTCATTGCCAACGGCAACTCGAAGACGCCCCTGGACAACACGGAGGAGGTCTGCCGGCCCTACGGCGTCAACCACATCTGGTCCCCGGTCGGCTCCAAGATCGTCGCCCAGTTTGTGGGCTGCTACGCCGCCAAGGGCTTCCGCAACGTGCTGCTCATCGACGACGACTGCGCGCTGCCGCCCAACTTCCCCGTCGTCAGCGAGCGGCTCAGCGGCAAGGTCCAGAGCATCGGCTACACCATCAAGAGCGTCGGGCCCAACTCGTCAAAGGGCTCGTGGTGCCAGCAGGCCCAGGACCTCGAGTACAAGATCTCGGGCCTGCAGCGCGCGCTGGCTGGCAAAATGGGCTCGGCGACGTTTCCCCACGGGGCCATCTCGCTCTGGAACCGCAAGTTTCTGATCCAGACGTTCCATGACCACCCGGGCTTCTCGGTCAGTGAGGATTGGTTCTTTGGGCACAGCTGTCGCCGCCTCGGGGGGCGCATCAAGATGTGCACGTCGGTGTTCGTCGAGACGGAGACGCCCGATGCCATCTTCTTCAGTAATGGTGACAGCCGTGGTGGGTTCGGCGAGATGACGGTCTTCAAGCAGCGTTTCCTGCGGTGGAACTTCTTTTTCGTCAATGGAATGTGGTTGGTGCTCCTGAATCCTCAAGTCGTAGACAGCCCACTAACGAGACGCAGGTACAATCTGGGTTATATTCTCGGCAGCTGGAAACTGGGATGGTGGGAGATCGGCGCAAAGATCTTCGTTTTCCAAGAGGTAACCTCCGTGGGACGTCCATCAGACTTCCATCAGATGGTCCGCGGGAACGACGTGTGCTAACTGGTGGCGCCAGGTTTATGAGACCCTTCTCTACCTCTTCACACCATTCATTCTACCCATTTCCTTCGTCGTCGAGGCGTCCTTCTGTGGCTACCTATTACTGGGAACCATACTCATGTATCTGATTAATGTCGTAATCTTCAACGAGGTGCATCTCCGGTTGAGAAAGGAGAGGATCAGCTGGACGGTGCTTCTGGTGTACTATGTAAGCCGGTCTGGTACCACTCATTCCATTTCCATCCTAACACGTGTGCAGATGCCCTACAAGCTCATCCTGACCCTCGTCAACGTCGGGAGCTGCTACTGGTCCCTGTACAAATACGCGCAGTATTTCGCCAAACGCCACCCAAAGGTCATCGAGGACGAAAAGGCCGTCGAGGTCGTCATGCGACTGGAGGAGGAAGTCCAGGTGCCAGGTATGGGCGAGAAACATGGCGCTGGACACGACGACGATGAAGAGGGCGGTCGCCGCATGTTCGTCACGGCTTTGTCATCGCGGAATCCTGGCTTAGACCAGCAGCGAACGAACATCCTGCCCACGATGGTAGAAACCTCGGCGCCGACTACACCCCACAGGCTGAGCTACATCTCAGGCGCCGATGACTTCATCGCACCCAGCCCGATCCAACCCCTGCCGGCTGTCATGGCGCAGCAGAAAGTCCAAGCGACGGACTTTGGTGGTTTTGATTTTGGGACGACTGAACCGCTACGTTCAGGCCACGGAGGGCTTTTCCATTCGGCTTCGAGGAAGACGAGGAGGAGGAGGACCAGCATGGCCGAAAGCTTGGTCTAGAGTGGCCGACAAATGCGAAACTTTTCGCGCATCTCGAACATCTATTTCATATGTCACACATTATTAGACTTAGCGTACAGCACGGGGGCATCTGCTTTTTGTTGTATATTAGGGTATTTAGGCTTGGCTCTTCCCTTGCGGGAGCTTAGGTAATCGTAAAAGTAAATCATATTCTGGCATCTCGACACGTTGACAAGGGATTGAACTGACTGAGTGCGGAGATCGAACGAGATAGGGCTGATAGGGTGGCACATCCAATGGCTGAGTCCTGAATCACATCCGCGGACCCGGCCGGGACCTGGTGCCGAATAAGAAAGAATGAAGAACGGTCCTTGAAGACGATTGCGCACATGCGTGCGTGTCTGGCAATCGAAGGGTCCGACATGACCAATCGCGGTCGTTGTCTTGTTGATTTGAGAGCATCTGAGCGGTGACGAAGCGCGGGGAATCTCCTGCAGCAAACCAAAGACAACGGCTCAGACTACTCCTTCCGAGTGAGTCAGTGAGTCACACGTTGTCGTCTACGATTGGTCGATTCTGTCCGCATTCCATGTCCTTGCGTCGCATCTGCAACCACCGCGCCAGCTGACCAAGATCTTCACTGTTGGTGTCTGCGGTCTGCCTTAAATGTGGAGATGGATAGGTGGGGTTGGGGTTCGCGGAGTACAGTCATACGGAATTATGCAAGGTCGACGAGTTGATCTTCCCCACTTGCCACACACCAGTCATTGTCGTCGAGACTTTCCACTTCACACATACCTCATCTTCAGTGGGATTACTTGCCACTGAATTTGGGAAGACTCCTCGGAAGGAGCGAATTATGATACGATGTTAGGGAGTCAGCCCGAGTGGGCCGTGGTTTTCGGGATGACCTTCACCTGAGGGATGCACTTGGACAATTGGTGGGGTGATACCCCGTACCTACGGTGAGGAGAAGGAATTGACCGGACCGCCACCGAATTGATATGCGACGTGACAGGGCTGCATTCCACTGTCAGTCTTTTTGGATCGACGTGACTGAACAGCCCTGACACTCGCGGTATGCACTCCCGTAGACCATCTTGAGGAGGGCGACAGAGCGGGGATTTCCCCGGGAATGCACATCACCAACGGCTCTAGAAGTCTAGCTGTTAGGCCAGTGCGGCTATGGTGATGTGGCATGGGGGGAACATGCATGCCTCTATCTGGAAAGTCGCTGCAGGTCGGCGTGGCTCAACCAAAACATAGCCGCTCTCATGCCAATAGGTTGCGGCTGAGGTTGCCAACAAGAGGAGAGCCATCGTAGTCTTCTCTAATACAAATATACTGCCACAATCCGAACTGACTAATTAAATACTTTGATTTTGCCCTGCCTAACTCGATGTTTTCCGTTATAGTTTAAATACATTTAAAGACACTGGATCGTAACTTAAAAAAACGGTTATATAGTAAATGTTTGATATAGCTATATTAATTATTAATTATTTTACTTATTATATAGTCTAAGAAGTTAGTTTAAAATATATAAATAAAACTTATATATATATTATAATTATCGTCTTTATAATATAGTTATTGCGGTTAGCTTTAACTGAATTCTTTTAATAGTTTTTTTAAGATTTATTTAAATATAATTAATTTTTAATTACTTTTAAGGTTTATTTAAACTTGTTATATCAATAATGTTAACAAATATTCCTTTTTAAACCCAATTAAAGCCGGCAAGGTTAATAAGTAATCCTTTTATTTCCATTTTTTTTCATATAAATATATCGCTATATATATGAGTTTATCAGATGTTGGATCCCAGATATGGTGCCCTTAGGTGCAGTACCCACTAGAGGGCTGTCAAAGGAACAGTGGATTTACCCTGGCATGGTGCAGTATGGTATTTAGCTGTAGATTAGCCCTGCCGAGCATACTTGAGAATAACAACAACATTTGCAGCGACCGCTCACACCCCCAAGGCTTGTGATCCTTCTAGAATCTCACAATTATATTAATTTACGCAAATATTTTAAATAAAATGTAAATGAGTATATTTAATATAAATTAGTTAAAAATATAAGTCCGAGCTTAAAATAGGTTTATAAGTATGATAATAAAGAAAAAAGGTTTGAAAAGGTACGTTATTGTTGGAACAGGCTTGAACGATCAATCATAATACTCGAGTATTGGGTCAAGGTCATGATGTTGCTGATGGTTGGATTGGGAAGTCTAGCTGGACCTGCAGGTCTGGCTAAGTGACCTCATAATCCGGTATCTAATCTTTTATCTAATCATACATGTGGGTTCTGCATGGATGGTTTGACTGTGGAATCACATGGATCTAACAGTTATTTTAATTTTAATCCAAATATAACGAAAAAAACACAGTAAATAAGCGTCAAAACTTACCTATATAAATAACGGTTTAATAAATATACGCACTTTAATCAATTATAATTATATTTTGAATGAGTATTTTTATTTTACTACGGTTATAAAACTAATTAATTATGTTTATGTTGGATCTATGCGATTTCAGCCTGCAAACCGTTTATACCAAGACCCATATATATGATTAGATAAGTGATTAAATACCGGATTGCGAGGTCACTTAGCCAGACCTTCGGGTCTAGCTAGACCTCCTAATCCAACCATTAGCAACATCATGACCTTGACCCAATACTCGAGTATTATGATTGATCGTTCAAGCCTGTTCCCACAGTTTAACTACTTATAATTACTTATAAACCTATTCATTTTACTTTAATAACGGGTTTTTTAAAAACACCGGCCTTTATTTTTAAGCGGAATATTAATTTATATAAAAAACCAGACTTTAAGTAATAAACCCACTGATTTTTAAGTCTTGCTTAAGTGACTATGTTTTAATTAGATGCATTGGACTCAACTCTCTGCGCAGTGCGAAATACTACGCGGAGCGAGTTGTGTTGAATACTGTCAGATGCAAGCGAGTTCAGATTATTCAGGTTGACCAGTGTCTTCTGTTGTTGTTCTTGTTCTGCTCTTCTTCTTCAGCGTACAGAGATTGATCATCTGTCTTCTTGTTGGGTCAGATGCCCTGTGCGTCTCTGCCCCACTGGAGATCTTCCGGTGTCTATTTCCGGCTCCCATTCAACAAGTTGCAAAGCAGCTTGTGCACAAGTGAGAACAAATCAGGTTATAACCATTTGGAAGTCTTACGAGAACAGGAGCTTGCATGGGTCACTCGGCAGACACACTATTATCAGAGTCCAGACTGGCAAACAGATTGGAATCCCTCTTCCTCCAACCCCAATCCAGTCGCCAAAGGGGATCTAAGACTGGGAGCTCGGACATGATGTGGATATGGATATGCACTTATTAATAAGCCGGCCAAGCCTCCCGATCTTTAGCACGAGAGCAGCCCCCCGGGCGTGTGTCGATCCCTCATTTCTGGCCTAATACTCTATTAATCGATAACCTTGCCAACGACCTGCCCTTTCTTTCTTCTTCAGTGCTTCTGCTCTGCGGCATCTGGAAGTCTGGAAGTTGGGAAGTCTATCTGTCTGCAGACTGCAGGTGGTTTCAGGACAATATCGACGAAGGCTTGGCAGAAGAGCGCAGTCGTGTGTAGGACTTCAGCTCCACCTGGCAGCTGTTGGTGGTGATGGTGGACGGCTCACAGTGGGGAGCAGTACCGCGCCGCAATCGTTAAGGTAATAGACGAACTGCATTGGATGGCTGCCACTGAGAGGAATTGGTACGGCGGCGCAGCTGGTGCAGGTGGTGAAAGGTAGCGGCCATTACCAGCCGAGGTATCGATCGCGCCGGCGCCCCTAGCGATTCTACTTTTAGCACCAACAGTTCCAACTTCGATCCGTCTGGGGCTACTGGCTGACTCGGCCCACTAACAGCCACCTGACAGGGGCCCGCCAAGGCTGTCCTAAGCTGTCCCCATCGCGAACGGCTGCTGCCTAAATCCTATGCGCTCGGCCAATTTCAGCGTCGACCGTCCGTCTGCCGCCCTCGATCCCACGCCCTCGCCCTCGTCGTCTCTCCCTCTCCCACCCCCGACAGCATCCGACAACTTCCCTTCAAAACGCGCATCCTCACACCTCTGCATTTTAGGCTGCCATATTCTGTCCTTGTCGCTTCCTGTCCGAATTACGTATTGTCTGTTCGAGCCAGTCTTGGCCGAGAGAACGCGCTTCTTTACCGAGCGAGCGGGCTGGATTTGTATCTATTCCCACGATCCACCTCGTCCTCCTAGCCTTCCACCACCAGTACCACCAACCGTCACCTCTTTGATTACGTATTGACCTCCTCGAGAACTGGCCACTGACCTGTGCTATCTTGGGCATGGTTTCTTGTTGAGGTCTGCTATATCTGTCCCTGTCTGCTCACCTGGACTGGAAAGGGACGAGATCGATTGGTCTCTTGAGAAACGGCATCATCCCGCCGAGGCCGAGTCATCACCATCGATCCGTTCCATCCCGTCATACCGTCATCCTCTAGTTACCAGTTGATCTGCTAAGTAAGAACCCAATTCTTAGTTCTTGAGTCGATTTCTGGCTTTGGTGTTGTCAATTACATATTTCTTCTTTCGCCCTGTCTTACCTGCAACTTCTCGATTGGTCATCGTCTTCTTGACTTTGTGATAACTCGATCGATTTCCCAGCCCACCCCCTGATTCGGTGTCCCAAGGACTTTGTGACTCACAAGGCCTGCCCAGCCCTGTGGTGCATAACTTTGCTAACCGTCTGCTCTCCTGACACAGTTTCAACAACATTATCCATCACCTATCACACACGTTTCGTACAGTTATCTAAAGCCCATCTGTACTCAAGCACACCGAGCCGCCATCATGTCCTTCTCCAACCCCCGGAGGACCGCGGTGACTCGCCCAGGCTCTGATGCCACCAATGGCCTGAAGCCTAAGACCAACTTGGCTCTCAGGAAAGGAGCTACCTTTCACTCTCCCATGACTCCTCCATCCAGTCCGCCCTCGACGTCTACCTTCAGGGTCCCTTTACTACCTCGCCGGTCTCAGACGAATCTGGATGATGTCGTCGACGCCCATGTTCGACGTGCCGCTTTGACCATTGGCAACATCGACGACACGCTCACATCAACTGTCACATCAACTGACGCTGAGCCCTCGACATCTCGTCGCTCGTTCCGGGACGACAGTCTACCCATCCCCAGGGGTGTCTTGAACCATACCGTCATCACGGACACCATGTCTCAGGAGCTTTCTCCCACGGAGCCGGAACGCCGGATGTTGCGCCCTCGCCAACCCCGTTCATCTCGTATTCGCGAATCGGACAGCGGGCTTGGAACTTCGATTGCGTCCACCGCCCAGAAGCGAAAGGAAACAACTGCCCCAGGTGGCGCGACCACCCTCACGAGGTCCGCCAATGCTTCCAAGACCGATAGCATTCCACGTCTCGGCTCCCGTGCTGTGAACCGTATCCACGAGCATACCTTGAAACCACTGCTGGCAAAGACTTCTCTAAAGGAGTTCCTTCCCATTGTCCTTGACTGCCCCAGAAGGATTCAGGAGAATCAGATCGTTTGTCTTAGGGACCTCGAGAAGACGCTGATATTTATGGCACCTGTGAGTCAAGTATTGAAAGACCCTAGCGTTTGGGGAGTTACTTATCGGTCGTTGTGCTTGAAGGAGAGGGCCAAATCTGCCAAACTATACCTCGACTTCTGCCTCACGTCGATCCGATGCATCCAAGCGACCGTCGAATATCTGAGCGACCGAGAACAAACGCGACCTCACGATCGACCGTACAGCAACGGCTACTTTATTGACCTCGTCGAACAGATCCGCCAACACGCCCAACAGCTGCAAGAGGCCCGCGAAAGACAGGCTTCAGGTGAAGAGCTTGACGAGATGGATGTCGATCCGTACGCTGACCCATACTGCTTGTATCTGTACACTACTAATGAAGTGCACAGTACCGACGAGGTCAAACTCATGGGGGGACTTACGGCGAATGGCCGCCCCGCAGAGCTTGTCCGCGTCAAGAAGAATGGCAAAGCCATCTCCATCGCCACCGGTCAGGTTGTGGAGAACATCGACGAGGAAACGAAAGGTCCGATTCGGTTCAAGCGGTCAATGAGTCAACAAGCAGAGGATGAGGAAGAGATCATGCGCTCCATGGCCCGGCGAAAGAAGAACGCGTCGCCTGAAGAATTGGCCCCAAAGAAGTGCACGCATCCTGGCTGCACCAAAGAGTTCAAACGGCCGTGCGACTTGACCAAACATGAGAAGACCCATTCCCGTCCCTGGAAGTGCCCTCACCCTACATGCAAGTTCCACGAGTACGGCTGGCCAACAGAGAAAGAGATGGGCCGACACGTCAATGACAAACACTTGACCACCCCGGCGATGTATGAGTGCGAATTCAAGCCCTGCCCATACAAGTCGAAGCGGGAGTCCAACTGCAAGCAACACATGGAAAAAGCCCATGGCTGGGTCTACAACCGGACCAAAGCTCCCAAGAAGGGAAGCAAGGCTGGTAGCTCAGCTCATCCGACACCGATTGTCAACAACCTTCCCACTCCCAGCAGTGACTACACTGACCCGGTCATGACGCCTCCTGAGGATTCTCTCTATGCCCCTTACACCGACCCGCATCTCTTCCCCGCGTACCCGTCATCTGAGGAGTTCAACACTGGCTTGTTCGAGCAGCAGCCCTTTGATGGGGACATTCAACTAGAATTTCAACTAGCGGGCAGTGGCAGGGGCGGCAGTGGTACTCCATCCACCGATGGCGGCCACTTCACCACCTACCCAGACCTCAGCCCTGAATTTACCGGCCAGTTCGAGGATATCTACGGAGCTCACGTCCAAGTGCCGACGCCTGCGCACTCTGTCTACAATAAGGCTACGTTACAGATTTACCCCAACTTCGCCACTGACATGTGCCCACCAGTAGAGGCGCCACATATCTCACCCGGTGGCCATGGCAACACCATGTTGTATACGCCAGACTCCATGGTAGATGTGGATGAGGGCTTCGATGATTACACACACACCAGCAGCGGCCAACATAACGGTGACTTCTTGCTCTTCCCACCAAATGATATGGGCAAACCCGCTCATTACGATCCTACCCTCTTTGGCAACGTCGCGCCCAGCCTCGCTGCCGGCTACACTCAACCATCGTCCCAAGACTTCAACATGGAGTACAATCCACCCCCAATGGATTGGGCTAGTGAGTATCCCAATCACAGCCAGGGATATGCGCACCATCCATAAGTGATGTGGCGTGACTTGGGAAGGGAAGGGGAGGAATCGTGTCTAGTCAGCAGGCTTCGGCACATGGATAGCTACGTGCTATACTTACGACGTTATGATGATGAGAGTCGGTAGAAGACCGAAGTTGGGACTGAACTATCTCAGAGTGTTTCCGATCATGCAGAGGCCTCTGGAGGTTTAGGTGCAATAGATGGCGTTCTCTATTTGTCAAAGTCTGTTGGCTCCAGCTTATTTTTGGTTTCCTTTATGACCTCACCCTGGGCCGATGGACAAGGATATCACTTAATGGTCTGAGGATTGAGGGATGCGCGTACTTGGCTATCTTATTTGAGAAACTACACTGCGCAGTCAGAACGGAGACTCCTCTCCCGAAACAAAGAAACAAGTTCACTGTAACTCGGAGCCGTCCCATTAATGCTGATTGGTCCTTGGTGCTCGCATCACCGTTCATCTGGTAATCTGATTTGCAGATTGGCCCGGTGGGCACAGAGTCCAGACCGAATTGGGGCTCTCCTTTGGACGGGACTCAGAGGCTTCACTAAAGCTCGCAACAATAGCCTTCCGTATAGACCTATTAGCGGTAAGTGATATCAGCTGGTAGCCGGTGCTCGGGGCCGATAAGGTCGGTAAGGCGTGCGAGCGACGGTCGGTACTAGCCACAATCCTCAAGCCACAGTGGCTCAAAGTGCAAAACTAAGCCTATCTGGTAACAAAAGTTCGGGTAAAACTGAAACCCAGAACAAACACCTTTCCTATACGGAAGGCAGTGGGTGCTTTTAGGGCAGCTGGGACACAGCTGGCGCCAGTCCGGCAACTCAATCGAAAACTGCTTAAATCTCGGATCCCGCAACTTTCTTCCCAGCAGCAACATCCTTCAATGTTTTCTGCAGCGCACACCACACCAACGACACGGTGAAGCAGTCACTCTCGCCACAACCACGCAGACGCATCGCGACTCTCCTCCTCGGCCTCTCCAATACTGATCCGCAGATTCCACCACCTCGCACTCCTCATCATGCAGTAGAAGTAAGTTCCTCCCTCTATTTCTGCGCAAAACGCACGAACGCGCAAGAGTTTTTTGCTCTTCCAACCTCGCGGGGCCCTCCCACACTTTTTACAATGATGACTCGACACGCAAGTGTCCAACCTACACATACTCAATATAGGAAGAGCCGTATGAGACCGTCCTCGGGGTTTCCGGGCAACTTTTCCCGCGGGGTTTGGCTTTCGGGCCTCTTTCGCGGCGAAAGCTTGCTCTGTGCCTCCTCGGCTGGACCTCCGTTCTTAAAAACCGCCCCGGCCTGGTCCCCGGTCCCAGTGGGCGCCGCGTGTGCATCGTCATGTGCCTGCCGCGGTGTTCGGGGCTGGGGACTGGGTTGGGACGGTGCGGGGGGCTGGTGGGGATGTGTTGTGCTTATAACAAATCTGGTTTCTGATGTTTTATTTTTATTACTTGGGGTGTTTACTGGGAATGTTTGAGATCGAGCTTGGGGCTTTTGCTGACTATTGTGCTCTCATCGTCTAGGTTCCTTGCACTCGTGCTGGGTGTTCTACGGGTTGGGCTTGGGGAGTGGGCCTCTGCGTTGCTGTGGTCTGGTCTGGTCTGCTTAGTCTGGTGGGAGTAGATGGCGTGCCATCCTGTTTGCTTGATGGTATTGATATTCGTAGATAGATACTCAGGTAGTCAATGCCAAATATATCTGGCATAAAAGGCCCCTCTACCATGCATGTCCCTGAAGGTGATTCTGAGCTTCCAGCTTCAAAGTCACTGACTATCGGTACCCTGTGCCCTCATAAGTATCCGTACACCACCCGTCCAGCGGTGCATTTATTGATTCGGAATAAGCACCATGGAATAAGCATTGGAAGTAGCGTATCAAACCAAAGCTGCTTATTCCTGTCTGCTTATTACAGTATTCCCAAATTCTTCATTTGATGAGTGATCTGGAATCCTCCCAACATGGTGCGTACGGAGACTTATGAGGGCTGAGTGTATATCAACGCCTTAATTCCACTGTGGCTGGGATCTAGTTGCATTCTCGTTGAAGATGGAAGCTTAGGTATGTATTGGTACATATTATATTCATGGCGTACCCCAAGGAATACGCTTGCGTCATTACAACTAAATAGATGCCGATGTCTCCGGGACGCCTACGAGTATTATAAACAGTGAACCGTACGACGGCAAACAGCCCAAGACCCCATTTCCACGTATCATCATATCATTCTCTGGTATCTTTGAGCCTGCCGGTGGCCATGTCGTTCTGGGAATCCTTTACCATGAATCTGCATATCGTAAGCACGGGCTCCCCGTAGTCAACGGCAAAGATATAGTAATGACTTACCTGTACCACAGTATTATAGGTCCAATAGTACCCAGATGCCACAGGCTGTGCGCGTCCAGAGCTCCCCACAACGGCGGAAAGTCCATCAACTCCAAGCTCATGGCCAAGCCAAGCCACACCACGATGACACCCGGCCAGACAGCCCAGATCTTGTGCGTCTCTCTCCACCTCTTGACGCAGAAGCAGCTCCACAGCGTATTCTGCAGCAGACCAACGACCACGTTGGCGCCCATGTTGTACGTGTAGTTCCATTTCCACAGCTTAAGATAGGCGACGTGACAGACGTACAGGGCGCAGCAGAAGGCGGTCCAGAGGCGGAGGACGCTGCGGCGGCACGGCGTGGGACGGTCGAGGCGGTAGACGCGCACAGCGCAGTAGAACATGCCGTAGAGGACGCCGGCGCCGGCGGCGAAGTAGTCGAGCTGCTCGGTGGCCTTGAAGTCGCGCGTGTGGAAGACGGCGCTGGCGACCCAGGTGGCGATGCCGAAGTAGGCGAAGAGCTCGTAGTAGCGGCGCAGCGGGTAGCTACCGGGGATCTGCTGGCGAACCTTGGCGAGCCCGTTCTGGTGCGCCACCATGTTGCCCAGGCTGAAGAGCACCGAGAAGGGCTCCTGCATCCCCAGCACCCGCACGAACGGCCACTTGCCGTGGAACTGCGTGATCGGTTTGTTGTTCGCTACGCGGCGCGCCGTCACGATGTGCTGGCACGTGTAGTCGCATTCTTGCGGGCAGGTCCATAGGAGGAGGCGGTGGTGGAGGGCTGGAGGCGCGAGGGCGGGCTGTTAGCTGGCTGGCGGGTTGTGTGGAAAGGGATGAGGGATGGCTTCGGGGTACAGTTCGGCGGCTTACGGATGTGGGTTGGGTTGTTCTTCGGATTGCAGTTCTCACGGGTGCAGACCTGTCCGTAACAGTTTTGTCAGCGTCTCCCTGCTAGAGTGGTGCAACTGAACCAAGTTTGACCTCGGCCTCCGGTATCACGAACCTGAACACATTCTCGGAACTCCGGCAGCCTGTCGCCGACGGAGGCTTCCGCAGTCCTGAGCAGCAGGCATAGGCAGAAGGCTAGCAGCAACAGCGGCCGCATGCTGGTGAGAAGCCGCCCGAGCATCTTGTCGTGATCTGCATCTGGCGACTGGCGACGACCAGGGAGTAACGGGAAGGAAGAAAAGTTGTCACGATTTCGCGGCGACGGGCTGTACCTACTGCCCGCGACTGCCGTGGGCACACCAGCATCTGCACCTGCACCTGCTGCCCGCGCAAATCGCAAGGTTCCAATTCGGTCAGCACCGGAAAGCCAGGCCCCACCGCATAATTACTAATTCGGACCTTGCTGGCGGGAGCTTCTGATTGGGCTGCGCAGATGGGAAACCACCGAGCCTCCGACCGGCGAGGACCCAACGTTTTAGGGCATCTCCTTCAGCACATCATAATTTGTCGGACATGATAAGGTAGACCGGGCGCAATGCCCATCACGACGTGTAACTTGTCGCAAAGGTTTGTTGATGATCGCAGTCCAGGTAAGAGCATGTCGAATATGTGGAATCCATCACACATAAATCGGGACGTAATCGAGGCTCCTCCAGGCTGCACTGGCATCAAGCGGAATGAAACATTGGTGGTCATCAAATAGGGCCTAGCCGTCAGCTCACGTCAAAAGTGCCAGGTATTGGCCGCGCGGTGTTGCCGGTCGCTGCCGGTCACTTTGAGCTGGCAAAAGTGGCAGTCACGGGGACTTCTACCGGGACGTCACCTTCGTGCCTGCCAAAGCACCTTTTCAATCAGCCGCCCCGTAAACCTCGCCCGTGCCCGTGCCCGCGTCCGCGCCGGCGCAGAAGAAACGTAGGAAATAGAACGACAAATCGTGGTGAGGACTTTGCCACTGCGATCAAGGGGAATGAACATTGGCGGTCATCAAACTGGGCCTAGCCATCAGCTAACATCAAATACATCCCTTAATTCGGACAACTCCAACCAAATCGCTGGTATGTCGGCAAACATTCTTGCAGGATAGAAAACCGTCGGAATCAAAAGATAAATTCAGCAAAAGTAAACCCAACGCGGGGCTCGAACCCGCAGCCTTCAGATAACAGTCTAGATAAGACGTAGAAGTCTGACGTTCTACCATTGAACTAGCCGGGCTATAGCTGGAATCATCCGAAGCGTTCCCCGAATTGTTGAGAATTTCGGTTCTTACTAGGTCTCATACAGTCACTTCTAGACCCACACACTGGAACTGAGTAACCTTGCAAGCTACGTGGCAAAACTTCGTTCACTACAAACAACAGTCCACGCTTCCTCCCCCCTACCAAACACCCAGCTAGCTTCATATCATCTATTTGATTACGATAATGCGAGACCGAATACTTGTAGCGGCGCCTGGGCAAGGGAGTACGGTAAGGAGACGTTGCTGTGTCCGGCTTCACCAGTTCTACACAGGCCTGTTTGTTGGTCCTAGTTGCCCGCGCCAGTTTTTCAACAACCACATACCTACTCGGTAGGTATTCTCAGCTTTACAAACGAGACTCTTCGTCTCTCTCCCTGTTGACGCTGGCGGTACGTCGGTACCGGTTACAAGTCCATAGAATCACCGTTGAACGAGCTCATACGAGGGAAAGGGGTCTTCAATGATTCACAGGGGGGATGTGCGGTTGGTTACAGAATAGCGGCTGCTCGAATCACTCCATCTTACGTCGTCGTCGGCGGTACAGTTCTCCATTGGCGCGTTCGAGCAATGCATGGATAGGTCGATGGCCTTGTATAGTGTCCTCGTATTGCCACATAGTCTACAAAGCTACTTGAGTAGGTACACTGAACCTCCAGAAGTCTCCGTACACCCCTCGTTCACCAAGCGAAAGGTGTATATATAAAATAAGCAGTCTGGAATAAGCATCAAACAGGGCTAATTATATTAGATCTGCTTATTCAGGGTGCTGATTCCATTAATACGAATGTCGCATTGATATTCAAAAGTTGACAGGAGCATGACGGACGGAGACTTATGAGGGGTGAGTGTAGCTATACACGCGCGCTTCCTCAATTCAATACGAGCTCGTCCACCGCCGCAATACAGGGGCTGGGCACGGCACCACCGGCAGCGTCTCGTTGAGACTGATCTCCTTACCCGTGCTCATCTTCACGAAGTGCTGTCTGATGAGCTCTATGCGGCTGGTGGTGTAGGCTGTGTTATTCGGATTGTTGTACTGCAGGGTGAAGCCATCGCTGTGGTTCACGAACGTCTGCGATGCATCATGTCAGAACCCATCACTGACAACGCCAGGGGACGGAGGGACTGGGTAAAGTACTTACACTGCAGCCCGGTGCATTATGGCCGAACAGACTCCAGAACGCATCTCCGCCCACGGCGGGACTCTCCTCGATGATCTGGTAGAACGACTGGAGAGTGTCGCCGCCGGATTGGCCCACCCAGTCGTATTCGCCCGCAAAGTAGACCTTGTCGGCGCTCTGGACGGCCTGGATATCGGACTGCAGCTTGGTTGTGTCAACGGGGTAGAAGTGGTCTGAGTACACATCTACCTCTTCGATAGCGAGGTGTGTCTCGTTTATGCCGTAGGTGCCGTCGAAGACGAGCTTGTCGGGGGCGAGCCCTTTGACGAACTGCGCGATTTCCTGGACCCAGGCTGCTGGGCAGTCCTCGTCGCCCCAAACGGGCCCGTTAAGCTCATTGCCTGTTTCGTAGGCGAATATGGTTGCGTCTTCGGCGTAGGTCAGGTTGTTGTACTGATTCCTGTGTGTCACTAGAGTCTCGATGTAGTCCTTGAAGGAGGCAACTATCGTGGCATTGGTGTAGAACTGCTGGATCTCAGGATTGGTGCTGTCATCTCCCGTCAAGTTGAACCCAGCCCATCGCAAGAAGTTGTATTTACCACCGTGGTAATAGTCCTACAGACGGGTGAGCCAATGTCTTCCATGGAGGGCTTTTCAAGGCACTCACGTAGTTGTCGACGAGTGGCATCAATAGCCGTACTCCATAGCGGCCGGCCTGGTAGACAGCCCAGTCGATGGTGTCGAAGGCTTGTTCGTTCACAACACCGAGATCCGGCCAGACACTCAGCGGGTTGCCCGTGCTAACGCCCAACGTATGCGCGCGAGCCATAGTACCGCCGAGAGCTTTCACCGTGGCCATTGCTTCGGTGATTCGTTCTTTCGTCGGGTAACTGGCATTATTCGCTGGATCAAAGGGTGCACCAGCTGGAGGGATGACGTTCTCATCCAGACCGAGCCAGTAGATGTTGGGCCCGACTGCCTTCCAGGGTGCTCCGTCGACTGACAAGCTCGACCCATTTCGCGTGACCGGTGATAGGAGGGCGCGGCTGGCATGGTAAGGCGAGGCGAGCGCGCCGGCTGCCGCCAGAAGGAAGAGGTCCAACTTCATGGCTGGGGATATCTGTTGTTGGACGGTGAAGGACACTGCCTGGATCAATGACGGCAAGGAGGGACAGTTCGCCGTTCGAACGCAGATGCGACCCTAGAGCTTTAATATTATTTTCTTTCGCTGTGTAACCTTGCCGTTGGCCATGCGAGATGCTCAACTAACAGCATTGCCATTGCGTAATAGCCATGATTATGAAATCTCCGACATAGACCTCCAGGCCTCACCCTGCGGGGAAGGCTCTACATCATTGGTCTCGGTACATATGTAAAGAAGGAGATATGTGCTGGTTGCGAACCCGGGAGAACGGAAGTGAGGCTCGTCGCTGCATTCTGCGAGGTGCCACGGAGGGGAGTCCTCCGCACCCAGTTATCCGCCCGATTGGGGTAGATCTTGCAGATTGCAAGACGTCAGAACCAAGAATTAAACCAGACATTCTGGTAGAGAAATTGGGAACCCGGCATGCTGGATAGGCAACGGGTTTCTTTCTCAATGCGCTTGGTTAAACACGTCAAAGAGGCAGAATGCGACGTTTTCTTGTTTCTCGCCAGAGTTGCTGCGATCATCGGGCGTCTCGTCTCTTTCGCGCAGCAGCCGACGTTGCTCGACAAGTCCTTCAAAGGTCCTAACCTCGAAAACTTCATGAGCACTTCTCATGAGAGAGCATAACACCATCAAAGCGTTCTCAAACAGTCTTGCAATAAAAGATATTTCCTCTTCTCTGCATTCGGTCAAATTTCCATCGGCGTAATCCCATACCGTCTTCGCCGCACGCACGCGATGATTGCGCTGCCCATGAGGAGGTGCATACTTCTTTGACACCAGTCGCCAATTCGAAAACTCCTTCGAATTCTCTGACAACATATGCTAAGTATAGCGCGAAGGATCAGGTGGAAGCGACACCTCCTGATTCTAGGACTCCTGCGACGACGAGGATTCGCCAGATCATCCAACGTAACTCGATGCCGGTCCAGGTTATGGGCGTCCCTCAGCCCAAGCAAACATGGCGATCGAATTTACCTGGCCCTCGTCATGTATCGCTTATCGGATTTTAGGTTCATTGCGTGAGCCCCTCTTCTGCACCTTGAGATAAATACATGGTGGGAACGCACTGCAGTCACGTGAGAAGAAATATTCGTCGCATGTTTTCGACGGTGGGATGATGTGGTGGGAGATTCCTGAAGGTCATCCGCCTGTCTTGAATCTTCGGACCATTCCATTAGTAAACGTGGGGGGATCGCGCTAATTTTAGTGCATCGCAGCGGCCTCAGCTGTTGTTAAGGCTGACCAATCACGGCGCAGCAGATGCTCTGGATTATCGATAAGTGCCATCGGAATCCGCCTCCCCACAGCCATCATCCCATCAACCCTGCAGGCTGGCAGGCAACCGACAGTCGCCATGCGTCACCCACCCATCAGCCCATCTACAACTTTTCCCACGTCACCAGATGAATACTGAACATCCGCTCGACGACAAGTGGTCGTAACTGGTACGGTAGTAAGATAGGACAAGCGAATCTCAGACGATCGAGGTGTCGGTCACTCCTACCTATCGAAGTCACCTTCTACAGACTTTGGTCGACATGTCCCACAATCGTGACGGGCACGGCGACGATGCTCCATCTGGTCCTCATCCCGACCAGCTTGCCTGTCTACCCGACGATATTCTTCTACACATATTCGAGATAGTCGGCAGAGTCTCCAAGAGTGATCTCTGCCATGTGTCTCGGTTGAACAAGCGATTCCACGTACTGGCCGACTCTCTGTTGTACAAGACCGTCCATTTCGACACCCCAGAGCATCATCTCACCTTCAGCCAGTCTCTTGCCCGCCGCCCACGGCGCGGGTCTCTCATTGTCGGCGTAAGGCTGGAGTATCCAGAATCCGAGCTATCGCACCTCCGTCTAGATGCCCCGGTCCACGGGTCCCACTACGCTCCCTCACTTTTCGACGGACTGTCCCGCGCTATCTCGACCATGTCGAATCTGGAGATGCTCGACATCTCGGTGCCGGACACTCTACTTCATGGTATCGGTACTTTGTTCAACGGTCCGTTCGACTTGGCCTACCTGAAGACGTGCACACTGTTCTACCAGTGCCCGGACGATCAATACTGGGATCTGCAGGAAAATATCCACATATTCGCGCACCCGACGCTCGAGACGCTGATCATCAAGAGGGCTAAATTGGACCATCGGGGCTTCGATTTTATCGAACAGCCTCACCAGACAGCACTCAAGAAGCTGCACCTTATCGAGTGCGATATCAATGATGACGCGCTCTCTGACATTCTCGAGTTCCCCGAAGCCCTCAAGGAGTTCGTCATGACCCAGGTACCAGAACCGGTGCCGGAGCTGGTAGACAGCTCTGACAACATCGCCGACTACATATGCGCACTGAGTTCGGCGAGTCATTCATTGCAGTCAATCCTCATCGACTTTCCATCCCTGAGCGGCTTCAAGGCCTTGCGCATGAGAGACTTCGTCGCACTCAAGACTCTACGCGTCAATTGGGACTACCAGCTCTTTGGAAAGTCGTCCAAGAAGCCACGCATGCACTCGGTCGGTCTGCCGCCTGAGCTCGAGACTCTGGAGTTCTTCAATGAGCTGGGAACAGATGAGGGGGTGACGGACTTGCTGCTGTACGCCATTCAGAACAAGGGAGTCACAGCCAGGAACCTGAAAACGATGATCGTGGTCGAGGGGGACGAACCCTCGTTGTCCTGGGAGCTGAAGGAGGCCTGCAAGTCGCAGGAGCTAGAGTTACGCATCATTGGACAACTTGACGAGGAATAGACGGTATGACTGGACCGAAGCTTGGACTTGGGATACACGTCAGACGATACATTGTACACAAATGATAGATTTAGAGCCATAAACCAACCAAAAGTCTTATACATGTTTTGTAGCTTTAGACAGATACCAAACAATTGCAATATACCTGCGTAGAGTGCACCTTCCAGCGCGCCTCCTCGGCCTTGGCCTTCCGATCCTTCTCAGCCTTGGCCTCGAGGTATCCGTCGCGGTATCGCAGCGGGCGCGGCGGGCCGAGGTCGTGTACCTGCGTGCAGGGTACCACAATGAGCTGGTAGGTGTAGCCACGTCTCCGCTGGGCATCGGGTTCTTCGGCGGCCTCTTGTAGGCGGTCGACCGTGCTCATCGCAGTGCTCATCCGGGATTTCGGGACGTACACCAGCCCGCAGACCTTTCTTCTTCTTCTCACCCCGGAATCTGGCTGTGACCTCTTCATCTGCGTGGTTGGTGAGATCAGCCAGCGCAAGGGTCGCTTTGGAGGTCTCTGGTCAGCTCAATCCAATGCTTGGGAATAGGGCTGTAAGCATACCTTGGTAGAAAAGGAGACGTTTCAAGATCCAGGCGTTGCAGGGACGGGAGATGTGCGCTTCCTCCATATTGTCCGAAATCTCTGCAGGGCTAGGGGCAACCTATGCCGGTAGCTTGTGTAAAGATCCGGCATTGGTAGATCATTGGTTAGATCATTGGTTAGATCATTGGTTAGATCCTTGTTCCTGACCGTCTTGCGCCGCTTCCCTCCCTGGGGTTGAGCCTTGGGAGCAGCCCTCTTCGCAAGACTCTTCTTGACCGGACCCTTTGAGGCAGTGGGAGACTGGACCTCAACTTCACCGCCGCGAGTAATGTCAGGGAAGGCTTGCGTCGCCTTATAGTCAGGCTTGTGGCGGTGTGGCTCCTCAAACGTGGTCCCGCGCTGACTGGCACTCTCTGATCGTGCATGAAGTCGAGGTGAAGTAAACGACTGGCGGGTGATGAAGATGAAGATTCTGCATGGTTAGGATCCGGTCCTATATAGCATGAGGCAGTCGCCAGAGCAGAACTAGTGAACACACAGTGTAGCCAGCCATCAATTGAGTACTAGGGCAAGATTATATATAAATAAATAGGAGCCCATCAAAAGATGGGGTACGCAGCTGGATCTGTACAATGAGTCGGTAAGATGTTCCGCGACTTGGCTGCTGCCTTCCCCCCATTTATATGTGGTCAAGAAACTGAAACGCGGATATGTCAGATGAATCAACTGATCTTTGGACATGTTTGATAAACGTAAAACGGCAGGAATCAGTGATGACGCTGCTGCTAGTGATCATTGCAAGCAACACACTCCGCGGTACTATGCTGATGCTGTGCGTCAACAACATGGGCATGAAGCTGTTATGTTGGTGTCAGTCACACTTTGCCAGTCATATGGGAAACCATAGAGGTGATAGTAGCATCGGGCCAGCTACTCATGTCCCCTCAGCTAGGGGTGGAACAACAACTGGCAAAGGTCTGGTGCACCTGGCCACTGCTTGCGATCTTCTGCGTTCTTGACTTACATCCCGCATACTAACCAGAGCCCGCTCGCTGGCTTCAACGCAATTCCGGATTTATCCAGGAATTATCTCACCTGATCCAAAATGGAGTGGTACTTTGGCAGTCGGAACTTGCGTCTACCTAGGTAGTCACAGATCCCAGCCTTCGCAGCCAAAGCTGAAGATGGCCTGTCCACTCAGGTCACGACTCGGACACCACGCTCTGCCCTCAAGTGCACGCAGCTATCAGATTTATCCAATCACCCTTAGATTTCCGTCAACGGGCCCGAGAAGCGCGTTTATTGTCGCATACACATCCTTCACGGTTTTAGATTCAGCCACCATCACCCTCCCGCGAATAGAAAAGGAGAGCCCACAGCCAGAAACTCTGTGACTCACCCGCCAGTGACCCGTTTCCATGAGCCAGGTGCTAGACCAAGTGACATATATAGAGCAACAGTAGGCAAATTTCCTAGCGGAGTAGAGAATAACCTGCCGTATGCCACTTGTGGTATCACGGAGCTCCCATGGGAGACACCTCGGCTTTAAACCTTGATTTTTTTAATTTCGAGCCAAGGGGTGCTGGACGTTCACTGTTCGAACCCGACTGTCGATGTCGTGACCCAGCACTTTTGCTCTTCAGCGCAACACTCAAACATTCGCTTGGGAGCAGTACCAGGTGGCTTTGGGTATGGTGCTTATTCCGGACGTGTCCTCTAACTACATGCTTTGATGAATAATTCCCAGTGTGAGGGCTCGCCACCCCAGACTTCTAAGTTAAAGGCCCAGTGTATCTGTCAGTATTAGCACCTACCTCCAGGATCAGTACCTAAGTTATTCAACAGTCTCACAAGCGCTCGGCCGGCCAAGCTCGGTAACAATATGCACCATGGGCTGCCAGCGGGACCTCCCTTCAGCAGGACCATCATAGCCCTCCGAGATGAAAATCACACGCTTCACGTACGCACTTCCTCCAGTCTTCCGACTATAGTTATAGTGCCTCAGCAAGCTCACCTGCCCGCGCGTAAAGGGGTTAGACAACATTAGCAACTCGAAATCCAAATCCCTAGCTTGAGGCGTAACCTCCACACGGCTGCCCCGGGAAAGCCAGTCCATCCCAGCATGTGTGAATATGTACTCGATGACATTTCGCGTTTTTTGATGAGTCACATGCTTCACACCCAGGAACCGCAGGGTCTGGAGGTCGAGGTGGTTTCCGGCTGCTACTGCTGCGCGATAGTTGTCAGCGGTCATGTCACGGTACAGCATTTCCGTAAAACGCGGCGCCCCGGGCTGGTCGCCGTCGGTGAGCGCGACGCAGATGGTCACGTAGGCCCCCTCCGAGAGCGAGACGGCGTAGCTGTTTAGTAGACGTTCCTGGTGGTGGTTGTCTGGTGGTGGTGCGTTGATGGTGTTGCATTGCCAGTTGTGTGGCTTGGGACCTAGGAGGTATGGTTCGATGAACTCGAGGTCGATGCTGGGGTCGGAGTGTGGCCGGCGAAGGAGGCGGTGGTCCTCGATAGTCTCGCGCTCGGGCGTGCTGGGGGTGTCGAGGGTCATTTCTGCTGTGTTGGGAAATAGGGGTCCGTTGGTGTTAGGCGGATGGGTTACTTACCGTACCTAGCTATGTGGTTTGGGGTGGATTGCTGCTACCTCTCATATACAACAACCTATTTTGGAAGGAGAGCGATTTGAATCCGGTTCCTTCCCAGACGTGGTCATCTTCCTAAGTGAGTACCTACCTATATATGACTGACACGTGTAATACTCAACTTGAGACATGATATTGAGCAAATCCTTCCGGGATCCCGGTACACGATCAGCCTCCGACGCCTCTGGCTGGTTCCACAATACTATTGTGTCAAATGAGAAAGACGCAGTCTCGAATAGTCAAGCCGCCTGATGCTTTGTCTCGTCCACAGTCCAAACACGTCTTTGTCCACGTCTATAGCGCTCTTCCAGTGCTGGGGTATGAGAGCACATAACTAGTAGCATCAGTTGGGCCACGGTCCGATTCAGTGATGTAAAAATAATGAGTAACTGGATCAATAGCACCTCATGGAACAGTCAAAAAGAATGCTAAACACCTTCAAAACTGTCTATTCCAAGGTGCTTATTATAGATCCTTCGTTTGTGCTTTAATGAGTGCCTTGAGATACTGTACCCACAACGGCTTTTGAGGGGTGATTGTATATGAGCAGAAGCAGGAGTGGCGGTTGGTGATGCACGCCATCAACTCTGGCGCATGTCAACAAGCCATGTCCCCATGGGTCACCGTCTTGCGAAATGAAGGTCTTGCAGCGGTCTCGGCTGGAAGATGCAGAGGTATGGTAACACGTTCAAGGCTCTCCAAAATTTCGCACGCGACAATGGGGCGCGGGATTGGGGGAACAACTGAGTTCTATCATAGACGGCTACTTAGACATGTGCGGCATCATTGATGGTAGCGATGAACAGCAAAATGTATCGTACAATCTTCTGAGAGCTGCCCTATGACCCGAGCCAGACCCAGTCGGGGCTGAAGCGCGTCAATAAAACCAGAATGTTTAAGGGTGTCCGACCACCTACTTAGAAATACGGGACCGGCGAAATTTTCGGGAACAAGGTAGCGCAAGGTAGAGTGTAAGAGCTCTTGGTCGCAATGCTAGACATCGCCCCAGACCTCTGCAATCTTGTGACTGAGGGTCTTCGCGATCTTTCTCCTTCCAACCAGGTTGCCCATCTGCCCAAAGACCAGCTCTCGTTTCTTCTTCTTGCCGTCTTCCCCGGCGCCGCAGTTCTCATAAGCCTTCACGAAGTCGTGCGGCGTCTTCCATCTCTTCTGCATCTCCAGTGCCTTCTCCCCAGTGACCTGTTTAGTGCACATGAGCATCTTCAGGTACAGGTCGCGCAGCGTAATCGAGTCTGATTTCGAAGCCATCGATGCAAAGGCAGGGTAGCTGATATAGTGGCCAGCGACGGGGTCCTTTTCGCGGAGATGATCAAGCAGCGGGAGGTAGTTTTGAGCAGTGAGCACCTGTGTTGGGATGACGAACAGCGACTTGCTTTCGTACTGTTTCTTCAGAAGCATAGTCATCCGTGTGAGATATCGAATCGTGTCGTCCATCTTTTGCGTCTTCTTCAGGAAGTAGCCATTGACTACTTGGGTTGACGCCATGGCGGAGTCGACAGCTTCTTCCCATTTCTGAAAGTGCGTCGCATCCATGCACATTTCCTCGACAATGTACACGACGTTCTTAACGCCCGACCGCTTCAGTCGAAATTTCTGCTCGTGGAAACGGCCGTCCTTGATACTGAAAATCAAGTCGTCTAGTCTTTTTCTCTCGACGATCCAGTCCAGCACGATCTCGTCTCCTTCAGAGCCAAGGCGGGGGAGAAAGTTGGGATCGTGACATTTTGCGACCCACAGCGCGTCTCCTAGTTCAAGTGATCGCATGATTGGCTCGACCCCTTTCTTGCTGAGCTCTTGTTGCATATAATCTCTGTCGGTCTTCGCTCGGATCTCACGGACATCCAACACCAAGTGAACGGTGAATGACCCTGGCGCCAATCGGATCGGTCCAAAATTAGGCAACGCTGCGCTAGCCGATGTGCCATCTCCATCTGCAACCACATTCGCGTAGCTCGACTGTTGTTGGGGTTGACTCTCCACCTCCACTGAGGGCGATCGCACGGCCGGACGAGCCAGTACCTCCTCAACTGCTTGGGGTATAAGTTCCGGTCTTTGTGGCGGAGCCGGTCTCGACGGCCCAGCATCGGTGGTCTGCTGGATACGTTTCGCCACTTCCCACCCCTCATCTGATAGAGCGTATCTTCTCAGGGGCCGGCCCTTTTCGTAGACGAAATCTTTATCGAGCAGAGTCTTCATGGAGTTCCAGGCGGTGTAGAATTTGGTCGGGTCACTCGGGGCCATGAACGACGAGTCGCAATGCGGTTGTGCGGCTTCGATTAGCTGGGCCTTTGTCATACCGACCGCGGCATCCTCATCGAGCGTAGCCAGAGCAAGCACCAGAGCGTAGGCACCCGACCGCAGTGTAGGCACATATGGTTTCGCTTTCCTCGGCTTCTTTGCTGGTCTTGCCTGAAGATCGTCGTCCTCGTCGTTCAGACCGGCCAATGCGTCATTCCGAGATTGCTTGGGCCTCTTAGGCATGGGCAAGCTATTCTCCTCGCAATGCTGCTTCAGCTTCTCGGTCAGACGATCGCATATTTTGGGGCCGAAGCCCTTCAACTGCTGCAGTTGAGAAGGGTGCTGGAATTTGATAGGGCAGGCTTTGAGAGCTTTGTAGGCGTTGTTGTACGTTGTCACGCCTTTCGAGTTGCGCTCGCGGGCTACGTCGACCCATTCTTTCACCCAGCCGAGAAGTAGAGGATTCGCGCAAGGGTCTTGAGAGGACATTGTGCCTTGCTACGAGCAAAAAGCAAGCAAATATGTCGTAGGTGCAAGTACTTCGTAAGCAGAGCAGCGATGTGGAAAGGGGCCTGTTGTGGTCGGATAAGTTACATGCACTACAAAGACGCGATCAGTGCACGCGTAAGAGGCAGCCAGGTGCCTTTGTCCAATGTTTCACGGCAACGCCAGATCATGTGACTTCCAATGTGCAGCCAATTCCCCTCAGCGGCATAATCCCTGCAGGCTATGGCATAGCCCTGTCCCAAGCATGCAGGCAGGGTAACAATAGCGGGAGCAACGCGGGGTCCTCGTCAGGCAGGTGTGCTTCAGCTAGACTGGTAGGTACCTGCCGGCGGGGCTGACGATGAGGGGCTGTGCCTCCCATCTGTGAGTCCTGATGAGAGGTGAGCCTGCCGGGCAACGCTTTGTTCTACCTAGTTATTGTTTCAGTCCCACTCCACTCCCACCCACTTCCAAGTTCAACTAGCAGATCACAGAGGGTAGCCGAGTCTCGAGGTGCATCAACAACAAATATAACCACCAATTTTTGGAATTTGCTGACATCCTATCTCTTTACCTTACTTCTAATCAGCGAGTCAACCTGCCTACCTTCCGATTCGAGCGATCCGATTTCGAGATGGATCGAGAAACCATCATCGAGGCTTCAAAGAAGCACGATGTTGTCGCCGGCAAGAAGTTCACCTACGGCACCGCAGGCTTCCGCATGAACGCAGACCTTCTCGACGGCGTTACCTTCAGAGTTGGCCTGCTGTCTGCCCTGCGCAGTCGCAAGTTCAATGGCAAGGCTATAGGCGTCATGATCACCGCTAGCCACAACCCTCCCGTCGACAATGGTGTCAAGATCGTCGATCCCTACGGTGACATGCTCGAACAGGACTGGGAGGCCCACGCTACGAGTCTGGTCAACGCTCCCAGTCATGAAGACCTTGCCGACAACTTCTTCAAGCTTGCCGGCAACTTGAAGATCGACCTTGCCACTCCTGGAAAGGTCATTGCTGGCCGAGACACACGCCCGTCCGGCATAACTCTTGTCACCGCCCTGGCTGACTCCCTCGCCGCTACCAAGACGGAATTCGTCGACTTCAAGATCCTGACAACTCCCCAGCTTCATTATATGATTCGCTGCAACAATACCGCAGGTACCCCGGCCTCATACGGCGAGGGCAGCGAGGTTGGATACTACAATAAGCTTGTAGAGGCCTTCTACCGTGCCCTGCATGGCAGATTCCAGTGCGGTGGAAAGCTCCATGTTGACTGTGCCAACGGCGTTGGTGGCCCCAAGCTGAAAGAGCTGCTCAAGATTCACGATGCTACAAACATGGAGTCTGGATTGGTAGTCGAGGTCCACAACGATGACGTCCTGCGACCAGAGGTGCTGAACCTGGACTGCGGTGCCGACTTCGTCAAGACCAGACAACGAGCACCGCCCAGTCCCAAGCCTGCATCGGGAGAGCGTTACTGCTCTCTGGATGGAGACGCAGACCGCCTAATCTACTACTGGACTGACATCAGTACGAATGGATTCTTCATGTTCGACGGTGATCGCATCGCAAGCCTCGCTGCTTCATTCATCGCAGAGCTGTGCAAAACCGCAGGTATTGACGACATTCTCCGCATTGGTGTTGTTCAGACTGCCTACGCAAACGGAGCTAGCACAAAATACATCGAGAAGCACTTGAAGCTGCCTACCATCTGTACACCGACTGGCGTCAAGCACCTTCACCACGCCGCCACCAGGTTCGATATCGGTGTCTACTTCGAGGCTAACGGCCACGGCACAGTCTTATTCTCACTAGATGCCATGCGGTGCTTCAAGACGAGGGAGCCGCAGTCACCAGCGCAAAAGGAAGCCCAGGAAACATTGAGCGCTTTGGGCGACTTGATCAACCAGACGGTCGGAGACGCCGTCTCGGATATGCTGATGGTTGAGGTCATCCTAGCCCACAAGAAGTGGACTCTGAAGGACTGGGCTGTGACATACGAAGATCTTCCCAACCGACTCGTTCGCGTTGAGGTCGGCAACAAGGACCTATTCGAGACCACGGATGCTGAGAGAAAGCTCAGCAAGCCTGCTGGAATCCAAGAGGAGATTGACAGGGAGGTCAAGAAGTACAACAATGCGCGGTCATTCGCACGAGCGAGCGGCACAGAGAATGCGTGCCGTGTTTACGCAGAGGCGGCCACGAGGTCTGAGGCGGACGAGCTCGCCAACAAGGTAGCTCAGATTGTCCAGAAGTTTGGCAGCTAGAGCAGGCCTCCCATGAAGGATTATACGGGCAACTGGCTTGAAGCACCCGACTACATGATGCCAGAAGAGAAAGAACCAAAGGAACCGGAACGCAAGATAGCAACGTGGGTACCGTGACTGGAGCGTGGAAATGGATTACACAACTGCTTACTCCCACAAGCTTCGTCTTGGGGATGACAATACAAATACAGGCTTCTAGATTTTAAGCAAGCGCCAGGATTGGGTGGCATAAGGCGTGTGAGAGGGGCGTCAAAAAGTCGGTTATAAGAGTGTTTCTTTACTTACCATCAACCGTTCCGTCCAAGCAGACGAATAAAACTTACAGACTCCTTTATCTGATACTTGTTGTTATATACCATGAGCCAGTGAACTGTTCGTAAGGCATCATGCGAGTAATAGCACAACGAGCTCAGGCGATGATTTTGCAAGCTGAGGAAGAAGTTGTTCCCAGGGCGGTGCAAGCGTGTAATATGGAGGCGCTGTAAGGTCTTACAGTGTCGGTTATGAGGTTGGCCCTCGGTGCAGGTACTATTACAGATCGATGTGTAAGTTGAGTGACTGCGACGAGGTACCAAACATAGCGCAAGCAGGAAAGCCAACCTGAAGTTGTCGAAGCTCTCTGTCGATCGAACCGCCACCCTCGCTGAGACCTCGATGACAGCAGCTGCGATATCATAGGGTTGGTCGTCGTATTTGAAGTTTCTTGAAAGGACACCCGGTCTTCTGACCACCAGGCCTTGGCTATTGCGTCGGCGTGCCCCCATTATGGTAACTCTCGTGGCCCTCGGAGGGGGTGTCCTGGACCATCCCCTGAGTAGAGCTAGTCAATGCACAGCACCCTTCCGCCTTCATCACAGAGCAAGGCTTGATCATGCACACCTGTTTACTATGTATGAGAGTGATTGTCAAAGAAGTAACCCAGACCGATCCATTCCGGGGCCACCCGGACGTATCCTCTCGTTTGCTGATTACCTACATGTAGTTTGAAGGTTATAAGAGACGTGATGCAGGAGGGAGTGCCTGTGATGCGAAGAAGCTTGAATCATGGAGCAACTCCGTGGGCACATGTTGAATACCTCTTACGACGAACTTGCGGTAAAGGGGCTACTGATCGGGAATATGAGAATACAGGGATGACTATTGAGATGGTGATACCAAAGCCATCATTCATCAAGGACTACCCGACGCATTTGGATTCCCCGAATCTCTGATCATGGCGCAGTTAAGGCACACGTCATCAATGACCAGGGGTTTGTACGCTGGATGTATCGACCTACGTGGTGAGGAACATGGAAGGTATGACAAAGTCTCAAGGCGATGTGAAGCCCGAAACCTGGGCTCGACCGAGAATACTGGAGGTATATCCATCCCCATGGCCATTGAATTGGTACTTAGCAGATGCCCGCGCCCGCGTCATATCCTCACCATCCCCTCCCATTCCCACCACACCCACGACATTCCCTTACGGAGCGGGAGCACGCCCGCCCATGCCCTGCGCGACCATACTCTGGACCATCTTCTCAATGACAGGCTTAACCATCATTTCGCCCTGCGCGCCCAAGTAGCCCGCCATGCTCTTCTCAGCATACTTAGCCAAAACATCAACCTCGACATTGACGGTATCGCCCTCCTTCTTGCGCGCCAGCACGACCTTCTCCTGCGTGTAGCTAACGAGCATGACCTCCCACCAGCCCGCCAAGTCGTCGACCTTGGTGACCGTCAGGCTCGTGCCGTCGAGCGCCACGTAGCCCTTGTAGACGACGTAGCGCAGCACCTGGAGGTCGCGCGGCGCGAACCGGAACGTCAGCGCGTTGCCGTCGGACGTTACGCAGGTGATGGAGGCGACGGTGTCCACGTGGCCCTGCACGAAGTGGCCGCCCATGCGCGAGTCGGCGCGCATCGCGCGCTCGAGGTTCACGCGCGAGTCACGGGTCAGGGACCCCAGGTTCGTGAGGCGCAGCGTCTCGGGCGCGATGCCTACCTTGAAGCTCGGCGGGCCGCCGTCGGTCTTGATGGCTGTGGCGGTCAGACACACCCCGTTGATGGAGATGCTGTCGCCGAGCGCCGCGTCGGCGAGGAGCGTCGATGTGGAGGGGAGCGCGATGGTCAGAGAGGTGCCGCCCGTCTCGTCTTGCGAGTCTAGCTCGGCGACGACTGGATGGTACTACAAGTCAGCCCGCTGTTCGCTTCTCGTGGGCGCTTCCCACTGGGAGGGCAGTTACTTACCCCCTATCTCCTCGACGAGTCCGGTAAACATATTTGCGAGAAAGAGACGCGGCTGGTGACGGGAAACTGTCGTTTGGCGGCTGGACTGGGATTGGGGAGTTGCTTTCTGCTAGAATGACGTCTAACCCGTGGGCTCAAGGGAGGTGACCCACCGCGAGCCGGTGTTTACTTTGCGAAGCTCCCCACTATCACATGTTGCCGGCTGTGTTAGTGCACGCAGGTGCAGCGATGTCGGCTCAACCCGGGGGTCGGACCCCTATCATCCTAAATGCTAGAACAATACCCCCAATGTCGCTAATGTAACCGTATAGTTATGCTGCATCACGCACGCGTACAACAGTTCTACAGCACGTACCCCTGATAGGAGATGAAATTCGTCCCCAGAAAAATATGCGCTATCTCTGACATATGCGCTATCTGGGTAGGTAAGTGGTCTTGTGGATCCAGTGCATGGACCCATATGGAGTATTCTGGTAACCCCACCAGATATGTTGGAGGTTACCTGATGAAGGCTGCCTGGCAACCCTTTGTTGCCCCAGGTACCTCACCACTGTAATTTAGGTATTTAGATACATCTCGGATGGAATCCTTTCCATCCGACCTGTTAATCAAGCACCACCCAGACAACTGATAGATTACAACAAGACTTGTGATTTATCAGCATCTGGGAAAGCTACCAAAAGGCACAGTCTGTGCCTCAGCCTGGCTGAAGGGTTGGTCCAGGACCTACCAGGCCTTGGCAGCTGCTGGCTACCGAAACGGGTAATATATGGGGGAAGATATGCGCTATAAGGGTCCGAAACGGTCCGTGCAGCCCTGGTTGGTGAATGACAACGTATGCGATATCTGATTTATCTGGTATCTGGTGATTTTGTGGCTCCTCAACCCATTTTCCAGCCACAATGACGGATGGGTCACGGACCAGGGTACAAGGTACCTTGGAGCCCAACTGGTACCCGTTTGTACCAGATTCGTACCCAACTGGGATGATAGCTACTTCTGGGATGGGGACACCACCCATCCCTTCTTTCAATCAAGCAACTTCCAAAATACAGACCAATAACCACCATTCGTGACCCTGGTCCTTATTCTGGATACCGCTACCACAAGGCACAATTTCCCATACAAAAATTTCCCGTAGCCAGAAAAATATGCGCTATCTCAGATATATGCGGAATATGGTATATCTGTAGGAACAGGCTTGAACGATCAATCATAATACTCGAGTATTGGGTCAAGGTCATGATGTTGCTGATGGTTGGATTGGGAAGTCTAGCTGGACCTGCAGGTCTGGCTAAGTGACCTCACAATCCGGTATCTAATCTCTTATCTAATCATACATGTGGGTTCTGTATGGATGGTTTGACTGTGGAACCACATGGATCCAACAATATCTCCTATCAGGGGTAGAAGCTGCAGCATTCCGTACCTACCTTACTGTAGTGGTCTTACAACTTGGTGCTCCATGTATAAAAGCTATAGGACGAAATCTCTCGACCACTTCAAGCCACCTCTACCTACCCGGGCCCTATGTTTCAAGTACACCGACATATCCAAAACGACGTAGACCTTGTGCGGTAGTATGAATAGAAAAAACCTGACCTATTTATCGGGTTAGATCTAGGGGTGTCCATGTTAGAGGAGACTACCAAACCCAAAAACAGCACACGAGAGCTTCGTCAGGCTGGGGTGGCATAGCATTCGTGACAACCGCAGCGATAAAGCTAAGCGCTGTTGGTAGGAGTGTTTAGCAGTCGAATGCCTGTAGAGATCATCCTCCCGAGGTCATGAGAGCATACCAGCCTGCTCAGGGGTACGAACGAGGCAGGCCGAGGAGCAGGCGAATCATGTCTAAGAATGTTGACCATGTTCTTGCAAGAAACTGTTGGGTTCGTCCTCCCCCACGTAGTTGACAGCGAAGGCTGGACGAAAGGTCCCCATCAACATGGCCTGGGTAACCTCTGGGGCACGAGCAGGCGAACATAATCTGGAAATGACGACCCAGGCCACGTTTAACGGCTAGTGATGCAGGGGCTTATATCATTCATCGGGGCTCCGTAGCTGACGGACTCATGATGGATGCCCGCTGCTCTGGATATGTGAGTTCTTAGACCTTACCCGGCATCTCGATGTCGTTCTACTTCTGTCACTGGCAGTCATACCACTCCGGAAAGTTGAGACATGCTCAGCTACGTTCGACCCAAAGTGAAAATCTGCTTCTGAAGATTGATGCCCAGTCACATAGAGACAGTACCAAACAGCAAAAACAAGTCTTCATTTTTGCTCATGTCAATTAGCATTGACTGACCCATCAACCTCTAGTATGGTATTTCGAGGGACGTGTAGGAGTTACAGTTTGTCGTAATCTTGTCAGTCATCAATCCAGACCTTTCCGTAGATCTGTCCCAGAAAAAAATCCCCATGACGTATAGGGCATCCTTCCCAGATCAGCAAGTAGCATTCCGCGTCTAAAACGCCGTACCACCACTGAGCCGCTATGCAACCATGAAGTGTAGCTATCCGTAAGCATAGCACATGCATATGAATAGCCTACTTCTCCAAAAGGAGAGTCAACTAGCACCAACCAGACGACCTCACGTACACGCTAGGCAGCCATAGACGGCACCCATATGTGAGCGCGCTCCCCGACTAGCACATCTTGAACTCGCAGGCACCCTCAACACGGCGAGTGGCATCTTGCGTGTCAAGCTTGTAATCGATCTTGATGTCAAGGTCCCGTCGATTCTTGTCGTTGGGGCGTACCAGCAAATTGCAGCTGACCTCCTCTCCTTGCTGAACCGTCAGAACGTCCTTGAAGTAGAAGACTGTCTGTTTCCAGTGCGTGTACTTGGTGTGCGGGCCCGTGGAGAAGCGAATCGGCTTGTGGCATGCAGTGAAGTCAATATCGAACCAGGCCACGAGAGCATGTACGAAGTCGTCGCGGCGGCATGACAGCTTGAAGGGGACCTCAAAAGCCAGGTCGGCTGTCGTACATTTGTACAGATCCAGCGTGAGCACGGCAGTCGGGTCAGTCACAGCCGCCTTGACTTCGACGTTATCCACGAGCGGCTCGGAGAGGGCGGTCTCTTTCAGGGGCGTATAGTCGAATCCGTAGACACTGTCCCAGACTACGATGCGTTAGCGGGCTTCAGAATTTCATCCGATCATGATGATTCTTGGGTCTTACATCCGATCTTCTCGTCCTTGTACTCGCCATCCTCGATACCACACATGAATATTGTGGCCTTGTCGGGGAAGATCAAGCCATCCTTGGCCAAATACCGGTCGCGAGCGTAGAGAACGGTGTCCAACATGCTCTCGTACAGTAGGAAGTAGCCCATCCACTCGGAGATGATGATGTCGACTTTCGGAAAGGGTATCTCGATCTCCTCCATCTTGCCCTGTATCAGGGTGATCTTGTCTGCCATGCCGTTGACCGCGACAATCTCCTTGGCCTTGAAGATGATAGTTGACATATCAACACCAATGACATGCTTGGCTCCCGCGCGGACGGCGAACCTAGATTAGACACACGGATATTAGATACACGGTCGGAGGAATATGGGGCGCATAAGGGGGGTATTGGCTGATGTACACACATTGATAGGATGGCGGTACCGCAGCCGACGTCGAGAACGACCTTGTCCTTAAACAGGTGCTTGTTCTGCACGATGGCGTTCATGTATGATCTGGTGCGGACCTCATCTTTCTGTACATGGGCAAGAACCATGTTGTTAGCTCATCATTGTCTGTAGGTGAGCTGTCACATTGGATCACGGTTACATACCAACATCTCCTCATGGATACCTGAATCATTGTGGACTCAGTCAGTAAAGCCCAAAGCGCGACGCGTCACGCTGAAAAGATGCATCCGTACCATGATGGTTGTAGCTATGGTGAAAATGATGTTAGTTGGTGTCCGAATGGCGATATCCCGATTTGGGTGTTCGTAGATAGCGGCAGAGACGTACCTGTTGAAGTAGTGCTGCTCCGAATGGGCCATGCCCTTGAGCTGCTGTTCCGCAGCATCGAGTTCCATACTGGCTGATGACTGAGAAGGGAAGGCAGAGGTCGGTCAAAAGGTGAGAGTGAATGAATGAATTGCCTGTTCCTGCTGCGAGTCGCGACGAGTCGACAAGATTTATTTTTTCAGTCCGGTTTCTGTCACAGTAAATTTCCAGGGTCAAGGCAGAAAACGCCTGCCCGCTGCCCCGCTACCACTTGTCAGGTTCACCGCCCGCAACCAAGGTACTAGCCCGCCCCTCCATCGGAGCTCGGTCAAACAAAGCTCCGTCTCAGCTCCTGGAGGGCAGCCCTGGAGCCTCCCACCTCGATAAGAGCTCTTCCGGTCTGTCCCCCTTTTCCAGTGTCTTCATGAGAGCTTAACATGCAACGCTCGCGTTGACGTACGATCTCTCAGGAGCAAAGCCAATTAGAGGGAGATCTGCTCCAAGAGAGATATCGCCGTAGCCTTGGATCCAGATGGTGACTTGGTAGCGGTCAGCAGTTTGTACCAATAGAAGCTGCCATTGAGTTTCTTCGCTGGTCTCAACTGTTGTGAAACCTTCCGGAGGTCACATCAGACGTTTTCATTTGGGCAATTCCAAGTCACTTGTCCGAGGCGACAAAGCTTTTTTACTTTGTTTATGCATGAAGATGCCGAGCTATCATGGGAGTCTAATAACTTATTCGTCATTGACCAAGTACTGATGTCGACTACTTCAGCATTTATTCTTGGCTCAAATTCCTCGCCAGCTTTCTCAAGATCAAGGATCAATATACATCTGCTCAAAGCCCACAACGTCCCATTCTCCCGTCCCCGTATCCAGCGTGACATTCGTAGGCCTCGTCTCGCCGCCCCTGAGACATCCAGCCTCGACGCTGCCGCCCGCAACCGGGCGCGCGAGCCTGTTCTCCCCGCTGACGACCGTGAAGTTGGCCAGCGGCAGGTCCCACGGATTCCGCGAGGCCACGCTCGGCGAGCCGTAGAACCGCGCCTCGACGCGCTCGGGCGCCACCGACAGCAGGATGTAGCCGCGATAGTAGCCGTCTTGCCATTGCAGCTATAACAACGATCACGGGTCAGTAAATACCCTCTTTGCAGGTTCCTGGCAGTAAGTTGAGCAAAGGCCAAAAGCAGAACAGAGTGGTTAACAAATTGCAGTGCTTCTTTCGGGAGGAAACCAGCTTATAGTTAGGGGTTACGGATGCCTCTCGATACTGACCTCGGTGTTGTTGCCGACGCGGTACTCGGCCTCGGCGCGCGCCTCGAGGATGGGCGCATCAACGCCGCCTGAGCTGACGGCCGTGCCCGCGAACTCGACGCCGATGGAGCCCGCGCCCGTCTCCGGGTCGTAGGCCTTCTCGTCGAGCCAGACCAGGTCCGATACCTGTTTTTCGTGTCAGCCAGGGGACGGCAGCAGACGTTTCAAAGCTTGCTAGAAGGAAGAAACGAACCCAGTTCTGGTGGCTGTCGCCGGCGAGGAAGACGTTGTTGCCGATGTCGTTGTCGTAGAGGTGCTTCAGCGTGCGGTTGCGGTTCGCGACGTAGCCCTGGCATCACACGTTGTTGAGCATCGACGACACGGCATGCATTCCTCATAAAGACACAGGGAGAGGCAGCGGGACGGATCGCCTTACACTCCAGTTATCACCGCCCAACCCATACGACTCGATGATGCGCGAGAAGATGATCTGGTTGCCGATGATGCGCCACGCGGCACCGCGGCTAGACGAGTTCGACAACTGGTTGTAGAACCAGTTCTCCTGGCGCGATCCCATGAGCGTGCGCGACGCGTCGTTGCGGATCAGGTCGATGTAATCGTCGTTCCAGTCTTGACACGGTCAGCATATTCGAGAGTGAGGAAGAGGTGAGATGAACAGATGGAAGAAAGAGGTGAAAGGAGAAGACGAGAAGCCGAGACGAGAGGACGAGATGAGAAGAGGGGGAAGAGAGTGTTCATGAACACCCACCCAGCGAAGTAATGCTGCGATCATAATTGCGCGTGTCCAGGACGATAAGGTCCAGCAGGTTGCCCATCTGGAACGTCCGCCAGACGCGCAGGTTGTCTTCGAGATCGACTTGGCTTTCGCGACCTGACCATCAGCAAAACTCAAAAACACTCACGCCGTAGCCCGGTTCCAGGGCTGGATGACGTACCGGATAGGCATCCACTCGAAGTACGCCCTCACGGCATTCATCTTGCGCTGGTCGACACTGACGCCATGCCCATCCTTGAGGAATGAGTCCTCGGTGTTGTTCAGGCCGCTGGAACCGTCGCGGTAGCCGTTGTTGGAGACCTCTGTGTACGCCTCGTCAGCACACTGTTACGATACGAAACCGGTCGTCTTCCAACTTCAATCTCTTACCGTGATCATCCCACGTTGCGATCCAGGCGAATTGCTGAGAAGCCAGCTGCAGATCGGGATCTGTACGATACTAACCGGTAGACATGGAGTTAGCACTACCTACCTTCCTAGGTGAGTATCCAGGCCGGCTCGAAAGGGGGGGCCTCACCTGTCCGTGGCGAGTCCGGTAGTCATACAGACTAAACAGCAACCTCGGGGGGTCGTGAGCCCGCTCGCCCTGCGCAGCCGACTCATAGATGTAGTCTCCCAGATGGACCTAGGCAATCCCGTCAACAGCAAGCCCCCTCACCAAAACCAAAACCAAAACCCATGGAACATTTCTTACAACGAAATCATGCTCGTCCTTCCGCGCAGCATTCCCATAAGCGTTGAAATACCCATTCGCTTCAGACTATGTATCAGCTCAACCATACATACACAAGGGTTTCCTGAGTAGGGACTTGAACTTGGACTTGGAACTTGGACCCACGATAGTTGCTGCAAGAAAAGACGGCAAACTTCAGCTCCGCAACGTCGACGTCCGCCGGAGGCGCCGTCTTGGTGCGTCCGAGCGGGCTGGTCTTGTTCGAGTCGCAGATGGTGAACTGGTAGTTGTACGTCGTGAACGGCTGCAAGCCGGCCGCCTCGACCTATGTCGTATACCGTACGCGTCAGCCAGAACCCAGCCCAGCCCAGCCCAGCCCAACCCAGCCCAGCCCAGCCCACCACACATGCAAGTCCCAAAGAGAGAATTAATAAGTAGAAATACCTTGACGGTGTAATCAATATCACTAGTCGTATAAGCCGTACCCCCAGCCACCACATCCCGCGTCCCATTCCCGGCGATGCTAGGAAACACCGCCCACTCAACACAGATCGGGCTCGGATCAGCCTTGATATAAGTCTCCGTGTCGTGATTATACAACGCCACGGGCCCCTCGACAGTCACGTTGCTCGCGTCGGACGCCAGCGAGGGCGCGACCCGCGTCCAGAGGATCACGCTGTCGGAGTAGGGGTCGCCTGACGCCACGCCGTGCGTGAAGTCCAGCTCCTCGGCCATGTAGGCGACGGCGCCGCGCTTGAGGCTGCTCCGCCGGGCGACGCGTGGGACGTCGATGCCGAGGCTCGCGTGGCGCCGCGAGGGACTGGCGTAGTTGATATTGCCGTCGAAGGTCGCGGTCACCGAGGCTGCCAGCGATAGGCTGCCCGCAATACTGGCCGTTGCGAGATACAACATCATGTAGGAACTCAAATTTCAGCACTATTCAGAAAGCCTGACCCTGTGTGATACTGGCAAGAAGGTTGGCTACCTACTTAAACTACACTATCCTTATATACCCTCTCATCCATACCGGTAGGCATGAAGTCATGCGGGGTTTGAGCCAGCTGAAGGATGTATCAATTCTAGCCTGCTTCTCTCCGCCACCAAATGGCAGCATACAGCCAAGCCAAATGCTTGTTCGACAACCAATCCGAAAGCTCCAATGAGGCATCGTGGCCGTCAGCGCGCATGGTGGCACTGCGTTGAGGTTGAGGGGTGCTGAACGAAAACCGAAAACGTGAGATATGTCGGATTCGTGATTGGCCGAGAAGAAGGTGCAGATGGCGACATGAATCTATACAGCTCGGTGTATGCCGGATCTCGGATTCGGGATGTCATGCAAGTATGATCCAGTTGGGACGTCTTGGCCTCTTGGCCCATGCCGGTGGGACCATGAAGAGACGACTCCAGCCCACTGACGTGGTTGTTATCATGAGACTGGCTGGCGGCAACAAAACAGGGCGCAGTCATATGGAGCAAAGATGTCGTGGCGGTATAGTTACACCTATCGGTTGTCCCTGAAATGGCCACTCCCACCATCAACTCAACACCACCGCTCGTGAGGCTCTCTCCAGTGAACACCCAGCAACTCAAAGATCTTCCGCTCGTCCCGACCTTCCGACACGCCCAGCCCCGACAACACCCTCTGGTTCAGCCTCAAGCCCTTCTTGCGCGCAAGCAGTCGCAAGCTCCGGTTGAAGAGGTCGTTGCCTGTGAAGTAGATCAGGGCAGCACCCATCTCAGTCTCCGGCACCAGCAGCAGGTCGATGCGTCTCCAGACCGGCCGGTAGTCCTCCTTGGCGCCGGGAAAGGCGCTATCGGGCAGGACGCAGCAGCCGTGCCATTTGCTGCTGCCGATGCTCGACCCGTCCCTGTGAGCCGCGAGCGCTACCGTCAAGAAGCCCTCACCTGTCAACGTATCAACAAGTCGATTCAGAAATGGCACCAAGTCCTGTGTGGTTGACGTTCCTGGTTTCGTTATGATCATATCAATGTCGCCCGAGTCATCTGCTCCCCGGCGATAGCTGCCCCCAATGATGAGCTCAACCTTGGGATCGATGATCTTGGCGGTTTTCTTGACACAGCTTCCCAGCGCCTCGACCTCGGCCCGCGGAATGCGGGTCAGCAGGTCGTCGTAGTGCTCGATCCCCTGCGTGTACATTAACATCCTGTCTTTAAACCCGTATGGCAAGTTTCTAGATGGAGAAGGAAAGGGAACAACAAAACTTGTTCCCGAAACCAAGCCTTAGGGTCTTGTAATGGGATGTTTTTATACGTACGACTCTCTGGTTCGCGGAAAGCTCAGCTTTGGCCTTCAAGTCGTCCAGCGTCCGAAACCCTTTGGCAATCCACTGGTAGGCCCGAGACTGGCCAACGTCATAGATGTTCAAGAACACAGAAAGCACTTCCCTATCAGGGTTGCTGAGCGCTTCCTCAAGATGCCGTAGGGTACCAGTTTGGACGATTTCGTGGATCTTGTCCGCTATGTCATCGCCGATATTGGGCAACAGCCGAGCTTTCGCTGCCGTAGTTACCTTCGTAGGCTGCTGGCGAAGGGTGGCAATTGCTTTCCTGAGCGAGTGAGCCCTCCATTTGCCATCGCTTTGAAGCTCTCGCTCAGCCTTCCAGGCTTCGAGTAGCTCCATAGTCTTGGCATTCGGATTCTCCTTCTTCGAGTTCACCGTCCCTCCTTTCATGCATTTGAACTTCTCCTGCCATCCGGGATTCTTTTGGTCAGATCTGAAACCTTTCCGGCTGACCTTTTTCTTCCGTGGCTGTTCGTCTTCAGTGTTGCCAACATCAGACACATCCTCGTAGTCATCTCCGCTCGCCACTGAGGCATCATCCTCAAGTTCGTTATAAAGTGCGGGATTGACTCGAATTTCACCAATGCATTGAGAAAGAGCGTCATCGTGTGTGGTGGCTTGGGAAGTGCGTTGCTGGCTGGCCGACTGAGATGGTGGTTTCTTCGGATCACCTCCAAGAGTTTCCATCGGCGGATCGACCTCTTCTGGATGAGAAGATCGGACGATATCTTCGCTCCTTTGAGAAGTATCTGTGCTCCGAGGTGTGTCTGGCGCAGGCAGGTCCTTCCGTCTTGATTTGACCTGTAGGGAGAGATTAGAATCGTGTGAGGCAGGATGTGTAACATCCGGCTCTTTCGACTTCTGAGGAATACCAGGAACTCCGAATAGGCCTTGCTCTATGCTGAGCTTGGGGCTGAAGACTTCACGTCGGGTTACGCACTCAAGAGGGTATCGTGCGTTTACGAGAGTTTTCTGTGACGACATGGGGTCGCTGTCCAAGATGGGTTTGATGTCTGAATACGTCAAGTTCTCGTCCACGACGATGAGTGTGGCATCGGCTAGGTTCTGCGTCCACGTCGCGCCGTATTCGAGGGCCTTGGCGATTCTCAGTCTGCGTGCAGGATTGACGTCGTCGTTGGGAATGTAGTAGAATCGTAAGTCCTTGAAGATCTGCTGTGGTTCCGGGACTTTCTTCACAGGCTTCGACCGCTTCCGCTTGGCGAGGATGGCAGAGGGGGATGGAACGGCCTGTGATGTGGTGGCGGATCTGAACAGGCTTGATGGCGGGTGTGTGGTGCGTCGTAAAGGGTTTGTGGTCTCAGGTATAACAGAATCCATGGCGTCCTGAAGAAATCCCATGGACGATTCCCTATTATCATTTGGGGTGGTGGTTAAGATGTATTCTCCCCCGTTCCCCTCTGACACCAGGTTCGTGGTGAGTCGTGAGGGCTCTGTGTAATGAATCTCGTTTGGAGTGCTAAATAGGATGGTTTCACCATTCCCATTTGTCACCGTGTTGGGGTCCGATGCGGTTCTTCGTAGAACATCAGGATAATATTGACGGTTGAGTGAAGCAACATTAATGAGCGAAGCGATACGTGAGGTGATGGGATGAAAAGACTGGCTTTTCAGTCTCTTCTCCTGCTCTTCGGCACCCAGATCATCATTCTCGTCGCCATTCTGAGTGGCCTCGATCCGCTTAAAGAAAGCGATCTTGTCCGCGAGGGAGGGATCCATTAGCGGCGATGGAGCGCAGGAGTGGCGGTCGGATTATGCGGCGTTTTGACAGAAGCGGTGCGTTCGCATCTGAGAAATGTATTGAAGATGCAAAAGTAAGGTACCTAGTTTTGTTCAGAGATCAGGGTGTTCGCGTTTCGTTTGGTGGAGTGCATGAGGTCTGGGTTGCTCTTGCCTCTCCGGGTCTCTTAGGCAACAATAACAATAGACCCAGCGCAGTTGACAGCAGCTGGCGCAGCTGGCAGCTTGGAATACTCGAGAGCAACCATCAAGACAAACTACCTATCATATTGTCAAAATGCGTGCTCAGCGCTTATTGTGAGCTATTATGAGCCGTACATTGGTCATCATGTGGGATTACCTGACAGCTGTCAGAGGTCACTTCCCTGGTCGTTTAAGTAGGAAGGTACCCCCTTCAACTACCCTTCTTGCTCTTCCTATACAGAGCATTCTGAAATCTGACACATACGCCCTACACCCCTCGAATTTATCAATGGTGCCAGTAAGGTCCATATGCTCCGCAACTATAGTTTCTGGGTGGTCGGTCGTAAAGCAGTTTGTCTTGATCTGATCTTCAAACCAGGACCGTGGTATCCAAGTGATAACACAAGGTAAGGACAAATAAAAGGTAGCTTGTCAGGGTATCATACAGTGAACGACCAGTGTATACCAGTCCATCTCTTTCGCGCCTTCCGATTTTCCCCAATCTCATGAGTATCCGGCTCCCAACGCATTCCGTCCAGTATCCCAGTACCCTATTACTATCGAAGGATACTGGGATTCGCCAGTCCCTTCTCCCATTATGTGTGATATACCGCAACGAAAGATCACCGAGCATGGGCATGCTGTGACGATTGTCCAGCGTATGCCCGCGCGTCCATCAAAGGTATGCTGTGCTTTTCCCGGGGGTCAAACGACATGTGGCCCGATCGATCCGCCGAGTACCGACTCCCAGCATCATTCTCGACATCGTTCAGCACCTCCCTCGTAAGCTCAACATAATCATACGCGAACTCGCCGATCTCCGCATCGTCGATACCCAAGATTTCGGCGTCCTCGCTGGCGCGGATCTTCAGACCGGGTATCAGATTCAGCACGAAGAGGATCAGGCAGGTGCCCCCGAACGAGTAGACCCCGCCGCAGATCGAGTCCGCCAGCTGGTACGCCAGCTGGATCCAGTGCTGGTTCAGCCAGCCTCCCTTGATGACCGTGACGCCGTCGAGGTGCGCGATGTAGTCGGCGGCGAAGAAGGCGGTGCAGATGTTACCAACGAGTCCACCTACGGCGTGGACGGCAAAGATATCCAAAGCGTCGTCGATCCGAAGGATGAACTTGAGCTTGGTCGCATAGTTGGCGAACCCGGCTCCGAGGACTCCGTATGGCACTGCAGCCCATGCTGGGACATAACCTAAAACAGGTTAATCGCAACGTTCTTCTTAGCAATAAGGGATAAAGCTCACCTGAGCCTGGGGTGATAGCCACGAGGCCAGCAACGACACCAGAGCAGAACCCGACCGTCGACCATTTCCGTTCCAGTCGGTAGTCAAGAACGCACCAGGTGATGCCACCCACACAGGCCGCAAGGTTGGTCACAACTGCGGCCATGACCGCCCTCAGGTTTGCGGAGAGCGCACTACCAGCGTTGAACCCGAACCAGCCAACCCACAGGAAGACTGTTCCAATGACGATGTGAGTGACGTTATGGGGTCTGTAGTTGAGCTCGTGAGTGCCATGACCTCGTCGTCTTCCGAGCATCATCGAATCTGTCAAGACCCAGGTCAGCAGATGGTCCTATGCAGTAAGCAGGGCGCCTCCAAGGCAGCCCTTGGCACTTCAACACCTCGAGAGAGCCAGCAGTGACAAAACATCAAAAGAGCGAATCTGGGAAGTCAGGGCTAGAGGTTGACCTACATGCAAGTGCCGCTGTGCCCGATGAAATATGGACCGGTGTTCCACCAGCGAAGTCAAGACCACCCATCTTATTCGACCATCCCGCGGGGTTCCACGTCCAGCAAGCTATGGGATCATAGATGATGGTCGACCAGATGAACATGAATATGACACACGGCAACATGCGCCCCCTCTCGGCCACAGCACCCGTCGCAAGAGCGACCGTGATGGCCGAGAACATGCCCTGGTAGACGGCGAAGAGGAGGTCAGGGACGCGCGCGGATCCCACGGATGGTTGGGCCAGCACGTCCTTGAATCCGAAGTTGGACAAGTCGCCGATGTACGAGCTCGCGAAGTGCGAAAAGGTGAGCGAGTAGCCCCAGAAGAACCACTGGAAGGTGGTGACGGCCGTTGCCATGACGGACAGCCATATCAGCGACAGGGCCGACTTTCGCCGCGCAAGGCCGGAGTAGAAGAAGCTGGGGGATGGATGGTGAGCCAATCGTCGCACAACAGATATCGGACGGTATTTGGTGCAGTGCTTACCCGACCCCAGGAATCATGAGCAGCACCAAAGCCGTAGACGTTATCATCCAGGCGATATCACCACTCTGGCGACATACTGTCAGACCCAGGCTTCTTCCGTCGCTCGGTTTACGGAAGAGAGAAACGGCGACTCACCTCGTACCATATGTTCAGGTCCTCGGTGAGCGAATCACCGCCGGTAGCGATGGTCCCATTGTATGGGTACTTGCCGATGTAGGGCAGAGCGTCGAGGTCGACGCCTTCGAGGACGGCCATGTTGGCAACAACGCGACTAGCCCAGCGAAGGGCTCTTCTCTAATAGCGACCGCTGGGTGAGAGGATCGAGGACACCGTCGTCCGGGTGTCTGTCTACCATTAAGTTGCGTAATAGCAACCTGAGTAGGGCCGTCGAGAGTAAAGTTGGGGTCGACGGGAGGATGAGGTGTCGAGATGGGGGTCAGATGATTCAAGTATGGGTCGGAACACATGCGCGTAATAGGTGGTTATTAATAATAGATTAATGCGAGGGTTGGTCTCCTGTCGGATGGGCAGGGGATGGGATGCTGGGATGGGAATCATAGGTAGCCTGTAGGGATCATGGGATGCTGGGATGCGACGCCGGGATGTGCTACCTACAGTACACTAGTCCTGGTTGTCCTGGAAGAAGCAATTCCAACTTCCAAGACGGCCAATCACCCTCCCTCTGCCTCCTGCCGGGGGGCGGCAAGGCGTATCGATAGACACAGCTATCGACGATCGTGCCACCGGCGCTCAGCCTGGGCTGTAAGACGTTGATGGTGGGGCTCTCCTTATCCTGCTTCAACGCTGCATGTACGTACGCTCGTACTCTGCTCTTCCAGTCTTCGAGGTATACCTTGTTACCAACCAGTACGAGACCGACCTCCACTGCCTCCCGCGATAATGTCACCCACGCTGGGGCCGGGGGCGCAGTGGAGGCCCAGCACTGTACATGTAACCTGCGATACCCGATCGTGTACATCCTGCCATCCTGCGCGTAGTATTTGCTGTGTGTACATACCTCTTGGCAGCATGCTAGTACTATACAGTAGTCGTCTGGACTGGAGTCTCGCCTACACTAGTATGTCGTGCGACTCGTGCCATGCCAGCCAGCATGCGAATGTTCGAATCTGGGGCGAACCGAGCGGTCCGGGAACGACATGGGAAAAAGCATCAACCAGCCTTGCGGGCATCAGACCATACACAGTAGATGATGCAACGAGGGGGTGACTGGCTTGATCATCATCACACCGCCCACGGCCAGCGTTTCGGCCGCAAATGAGAAGCTGCGCTCTTTGAACTTCAATGAAGCGGTCAACCAGTCGACTAAATCGTCTGATGAAGTCTGATGCGAAAAAGAAAGAAAGCTCCGAGGCCCGTGGACCGACAGACCGACTCCACAGCTCCATCACGATTGATCAACGGTCTAATTAAACTCCCGTCGTTTCGTTATCTGGTCGAGTTCCTGACTAGTAGCACGGGCCCTACCCTATTGTGTGGGTTGATGATTTGACATGTTTGATGGGGTCACATGTAAGGAGATAATGAATATGAGATAGGACTAAGGTTAGTAATAGTAAGGACGGGTCTGTGACTCTCGACGCGAGAGAGTCAGTCTATGTCAGTCAGTCGAAGAGCTACTCCCCTAGCCTTATCGAACAGAAAGAGATGACGAGGTGAGGGATATGGAGAGGCTAGGCTACCTCTTGCGGCAGTCTGCTGCGTGCCTGGTTACTTTGTTGACCGCTTTGTACATCATCTCCTCGTCTGCCCGTCCCCGCATACTGTTCACATCGCGTATGTATTCAAATGTTGTACAGTTTTACGATACGACCTCGAGGACCCAAGGTGCGGCTTAGTGTTCTCGAGTTGCAACCGATAGCGAAGCATCAGGCGAAGGCAGCAGGCTATCCAGGGTACAGAATTCCTCTTGCAGGGGAAGGGCCCGGGATGGCCCCAAACTCGCGCAGTTTCTTTTCTTTTGATACCTTGGCCCATGGAAAATCTCCCACTTCATGTTGGTTCCGACTTGCACGTGGAAAGATGTTTTTCGACATCCAACGGCCGAACGGCTGCTGCTGCTGCTGCTGCTGCATGTCTCTTCCTTCGCAACGTGAACTCCCAACCGTTCCCGCAGCCATGCCGGTGCGAACCGTACGCCACTGGCAATCCATCCCGCAGTCCTGGACGGCCGCCCGTGCGTCTCCAGCCTGATGAGGAAGGCGGGAGAGGGTAGGTAGCATGGCATCTCTATCTGATTTCTGTTTCTGTTGGCTTGCTTCGTGTGTCGGCGCTGCGACGTCGAGCACATCTCGATGGTCCGAACCTCGCCCACTTCCGCGACGCACGCTCGGTTCTGTGTGCCAATAGCCCGCTCTAGCATCTTTCGGTCAGGCGAGTGTCGTCACACATGAATGAGCCGACGCAGTCGGCATGCAATTGGCAGTCACCAACATCCATCCATTTGCGTGGTCAATATGGCTGGCTGGCTAGCTAACCACCGTCCATCTCAATCTCCCATCAAGGCTTTCCCCGCATGTTTAAAAGGCTCTGGAGGTGCCAACTTCGTCAGGATGCTCCAAGGATAAGCCTATCTTGATGGTTCAAGAGTGCATCTAGTACCATGTTCCAACCCCTTAACCCATAGATAAAACAAGCAAGCAAAAGCATACGCAGCAATCTACCCACCCCTTTTCCGCACGACCGAGGATTGGCTCCGGCACTGCTAGATTGCTCATAGCGCCCATCGTCCGAGTTCGTCCAAGAGCTAGGTATATTGCTCTGATAAGGCAAGGCGTCGAATGTCGCGAGAACCGTTTCTACCTACCTGTCTGTATCATAGCCACGTGCGCACGGCTCGCTCATGATCGCCGTCTTCAAAACGCGCCAATGTATAGTTCACACCTGCCCACGGACTGGTCTAGGCTCTAGCGAAACCAATAAACTCAACTCAGCGAACAGTCCGTCGTCTCTCTGGCGCGGGGGAGACCTGGGGACTAGCCCTACGAGAGGCGCCTCGTGGCTCTTGGTGGAGGGTACTTGTTTGTACCAAGACAGGCACAGACACCATAACATCAATATTCATACTTAGTCAGTCTAGTCTCGTAAGAGCATGGATGTTATCTGCCGTGTCGCAATCCCTATCAGACAGACCCCTATTCAGATATCACCCATTGTGTACGTCAAGCCATGAGGTCAACAGAGACGACTCATGTCGTCGCGTCGGCCAGCCGAGACATCAGTGCAAGAGGTGCTCGATCTTTCGGTCCAATACAACCTCGTGTGATTGATTTGTGCCATATGCCCGGATATCGTCGAAGACGACCTTTGGCCCAGGCCGGATCGTGTTGCAAGAGCCTTCCAGGCAGATGCACACGGCAGTCACATTATGATATATCACCTCGACCGAGCGAAGCGATCGACTCGCCCAGCCGGACCTCGATGTCGCCGGAGGACCGGAGGACCGTGCTGGAAACCCAGTCGAGCTTGCAGCGCATCCTGTGACTGTTCCGCCACGGTACTTACCCCTGAATACTTTGTTATCTTGCACTGATCCCTCAGGAGTCAGGAGTCAGGAGTCAGGGGTCCAGACTCGATCGTCTCAGAACATTCCCTAATACCAACGTTGCCTTCAAAGTTCCTTCCATAACACGGCACTTCTCGTCACTTCTTGTCACTCCAGGAGTCAAGTCATATATTTGAACGGTTTGCACTACGATTGAAAATGCGGGCTAATTGCAAAGTCTATGTATGTCCGAGGGTGGCGGAATATTAGATATTAGCAACAATTACAAGCTCAAGCTCAAGCTCAACTCCTCAAAGTTCAACCGTTTCTAAGCTTCCAATATGTATCTTGAAATCAAAACAGATAGACTGCAACGCCACGGACATTCCTTGACCTCGTAGTGACAATCTTGAACCTGGAATATGACCACACTGGCGGTGCATGAGGTTATGCAAACAAATCAAAATGCGTCTCAACTGCACCCCATTTTGCCAACTTGTCATCTGAGGTGGGTGCGGTGACGGATGAGCTGACGATGCTGACGCGAAGCCCCTCGACCTCGGTGGCATCAACGACAGTACCGTCGAGGAGCGACACGCGCAAGTCAAGGTAGGTACTCAGGAACGGCTCCATATCGCCTGCTCGCAAACTCGCAACTTCTCCTCCGGAAATGGCGCTCATGAGTGCTGATGTCAGTGGAATAGCTCCGGTGACCTTGCCTTGCTGCATGCCACCATGAGGACCATTGTTGGCGAATACCCCAAGAGTGCCTATCAGGTTTTTGGCCATAGGCCAGGATGAGGAGTCCGAGGGGGCTTCTCCCAGGAAGATCTGAATGGAGAACGAGGTGTTCATTGCGTGCTTGTTGACTTGGACGTTGGCAATCCATTCTCGATAAGTGTTGTCGATGAAGACTGCATCCATTGGTGGGTGAGTTGACGTATGCCTATTCCATCTAGCAGCCTTGGTCTTCAGAGGTCCTGAATGGTCTGGAGCGAGTCTGTGGTCCCGTGCTGTGGTTCCAGCTCGAGATGACAGCGTATGGCTGCTATTGATGGACATGTTAACCGGACTATACGTTGTGTACAGTCTATTGATCGCGGTGATGACTTCCGTGCGGTTCTTGTTGACAACCTCGGCATACGTGTAGCCAAAGACCTCATGGTCTCGTGCCATGTCCGACGTCCAGAACGATGTTTCGTTGGAGAAGAACGGCGTAAGGGGTGTATCCACATCTTGTATATCCCCGGCAGATGTTGTATGGGAACCGTAGACAGCCGGCGTCGGTACCACGTATGAGCCGTTGTGGATGACCTGCCACATCGCAAATATTCTGTCGACGTTGGCGTGGTGCAAGAAGAACAGAGGGTCGAAAGCAGAATATGCGATTATGGCTAGATGTCCCCATCCACCGCCTCCGGTAGTGTGGACTGAATCGTGCAGGGACTCGATCGAATCAAGGGTACCAGGGTCACCGAAGGGAATCCAAGCCTCATTGCTGAAATTCGTGTAGTCCGGGTAGTTTGCAAACAGGTTGTAGAGCCGCTGTTGGTAACTCGGCAGGTGGTTATCTAGTGCGAGTGCCACAAAAGAGTCATTTGACAGGGCGCCGGGATCGGTTTCGGGGTGAGGAGCACGTTTTGTTTCGTTCCAGGTATTGTACTACGCTATGATCAGCCACTCGAAAATCACGCCCTAGAACAAGCTACAGAAGATACTCACGGGTGCATCCGGGAATGTAGAGCTGTTGAATGGCTTGAATGTGTAGCTAAAGAGAGGATTCGATATGACCTGGACTCCATTTGGGCCAGAAACCTCGACGTTGGGGGAGCCACCAACACTCAGAGGGAGGACACTATCTCCTTCTGGAGGGGCGGCAGCCCAGTCCCAGTAGGGCATACGAAAGGCATCGGCTGCCTTCTGGATTCGCTCCAACTGGTCTGATGGGTACAGCGTGGCAATGAATTGCACGATGTTGTAGAGCGTTTGCTAAGTCAACCCATGGTTAGCATATGAGAAGGACGAGGGCATATCTAATAGGACGACTCAGCCGACCGACATACCTCGTAAAGAGCCATGTAGGGTCGATGCCAAGTCGGAAAGAGGATCGACACATGAGTACAGTAACCGGTGTTCTCGCTACCGGGAACCGGCTCGACGTCTGCCCAGGTCAGGCCAGGCGCGCCATGAATGCCTACTACATGTCAGTGCCTAGGCGGTTCCATGCTGTCGCATATCTACCAACCTGCGATTTGGTACCACGAGAAGGGCGACTCTTGGTCCGTGTACTGCATCCAGCTGAGAGCGAGAAGGTACAAATTCCACTTGTCCTCGTCTTTTTCCAGATCTCGGAGCTCAACTCTCAACTGCGGTTTGCCATCGATACGGGGGAGGCTGCTCACGATGAACGACTGGGTGTATTGCCGTTTGCGAAGTCGCAGGCGGGCGTTGACACCGTAGTTGTATTGTCCAGGACCATCGTAGGTGGCAAGACAGGCGGCGACAAGGAAACAGGAGCACAGAAGGAAAAGTCTGTGAATGAACACCATGCTGACGATCACTTGAGTTGGTTCTGCCTTTGGGGTGCGGACAATTCCACAGTGGTGGGGAGACGCACGAGACGGAGCGTCTGGGTGTACAGCCGAGGAGAAGGCCGAGCAGTGTTGGGCAGGCACTCAGGCATGGATCTAATGGAAGGTGGTCTGAGTAGAGCCAGTTGAACAAACAAGTGAGGTCTGACCTATGACCTCTGACCTGTCCCGGTTTCTTGCGAGAACGGGCTGTTGGGCGAAACGAGTGTGCGTGAATGATATTGGTATTATGAGGGCGGGCCTGTTGCTGCTTTCGGGCTTGCAAGAGGAGAAGAGGAGAGTCGAGACAACTTAACAGGGAGAGGGTGCCTACATTAAATGAGGGTCTGGGTTGGCGTTTGTAACATGGGATGGAATCAGCTGCCTGTTGCCCCAAGGGCTTGCTTCGGGAAAGAGCGGACGAGAGGGACTGAGGGCGGTCGTGACTTCACCATCCACACTTCCAGTGCCATCTTCTTCGCCCCCTTTTAAGCGACTCATGGCCCACAATTGACACGACACCTCCAGCTCGGGCTCCGATCTCTTCATCTCATCTTGACCAAACATACCTTTAAGGTACCCAGAAACTCATGGGATCAGACATATCTAATGTGTCTGGCGAGTACTAGCAATCTACTCTGCCCCGTATATTGGAGCAGTGGCAAACACATCGAGTTTATACGAGGCAGACCGATGCAGCCAAGCACGTCTCTCTGCGAGCCGGCGCTGTGCATACCCGTCACACGTCACACAAAACCATACCCCTTTCTGAGACAGACCAACCGCCACATCGGGTGTGTGCTCTGCCATATTACCTCTTTAGCGAAGGCAATAGCTCGACTGTCACAGATACAAATGCGGTAGTTGAATCGAAATCTCCATTGTGTTCCCGTAGTCCTTTACACAGTCTGAATTAGATAACCTACAAACTCCGTCAATGCAATGCTTCGCAAGGGTCACCTGCTCTCAACTGTCACGATGCCGCCGCAATAGCCGGCAGTGCCTTGTTCGCGCTTTTGCCGAGTCCACGGATGTTTTCCCATGTGGTTCTAATCAGCCGTCCCTTTCGTGGAGCGTCCTTCGGGTCGACGCGGTACTTCAGTTTCACTCCCATGGCCGCCAGTTCCACGTCGAGATACTTCAGAGCACCGGGAACCGCCACCTTCGTAGTCTCTTCGCCGCCGGTCCATTGGTTTCCCTGCCCGTCCTCCCATATCTCGCCACTAAGCTTGGTGAAATCAAGATCCGGGATCTGGTCAAGCCGTGTCGCACAGTTGCGACAACGGACAGTGTTCACAGTCTTCTTTCTGTTGCCACCAAAGGGCGAGACCGTTGGTTGTGTTGACAAGAAAGAGCCACACTTTCGGCAGATCCACGAGACAGTGTAGTCGGAGCAGTTCAGGAGACGGTCCTGCAGGAGGAACGCGGTGCCGTGCGCCAACAGGGCATCCCGCTCCATCTCACCTACACGAATACCACCTCCTCTCTTTCTACCCTTGATTGGCTGGCCGGTTGTGGGCACCACTGGTCCCGTCGTCCTCACTTGATACTTGTCATTGACCATGTGTCGCAACCGCTGATAATACACAACGCCGATGTAGATATCGGCCGCCAATTCCTCGCCGGTGATTCCCGAGTACATGGGTTCGTTGCCGTGATAGTTGTAGCCGGCCATCTTGAGCTGGTGGCCAAAGTAGTCCGCAGCTGTGTTGTCTTCATCGAAACGGAAGGGCGTTGAGTCCTGTGCAAGCCCATGAAGCGCGCCGGCCTTTCCTGCTAACGACTCCACAAACATGCCGATTGTCATACGAGAAGGGAAGGCATGTGGATTGATGATAACATCTGGCTGGATGCCAGACTCCGAGAATGGCATGTCGATAGCTGGCCATTTCTGCGACGCCACACCCTTCTGACCGTGACGTGAAGAGAACTTGTCGCCAATGATCGGAGATCGAGGAATACGGAACTTGATCGATATCGTCTGTGCTGGCTCGTTTCCTTGCTCGCTCCCTATGATCCGTACCTCTTCGATAAAGGCTTGCTCCGAGTCCTTGTACTTCTCGTACTTGGTGACGCCATCTCGGTTCACAAGATTTCCACTGTAGTCTGCTGAGACGGTATGGTGAGCAAAGATGATATCACCTTCCTGCACAGCCCGTCCGACGTAGGGAAGACCGTCTTCGTCGAGCATGGTTTGCGTCCAGGCCTTCACGACGCTTCCAGGCGCGAACCCGAAGAGTTTGGTAATATTCTTGGCGGACCTGGTTCGGCTTTCTTCCTTGAGACTGTATTTCTTCGTCTTGTAGATCGTCCCGTGACCAAAACCGCGTTCGTGCGCTGACTTGTTTAGGATCATAGCATCGTCCATGTCGTATCCAGTGTATGAGATCACAGCAACAACAGCGTTGGTACCGTTCGGGAAATTGTCAAAACCATAGGCGTTATGAAGAGGAGACCTGACGACCGGCGTCTGACCCGTCTGAAGACGATACATTTTGTTGTCCGTCCGATGCGCCAACGCTGCTCCAGGAGTACCCATAGTCTGCTTACCCATCTGACACTGGTACATGTTTCTGGGGGACTGGTTGAAATCTGAGAAAGGGGTCATGTTTGCCAGGATCGAGAGCATGTTCGTGGGGTCGAACTCTACATGTGTCGAGTCTCCAGATACAATCTCTTGCTCGGTGCAAGCAATGGACATGTAAGGCTGCTCAAGAGGCCCGACGAAGTCTTCCTTCTCCAGTGGAAGATACTTGACTGGGCGAACCATCCTGGAAGGCTCGGAAGACATGAATATTCCGGGATATGACCCTCCCCTGGAGGAGGGAACGTGGCCGATCTCGAGGTGTACAGGTATGCCATGGGAGCCCTCAACTTTCCAGTATCGGAAAGTATCCGCAATCCGGCGCGACTCTGCTGGCTTACACCAACCGACTATCTTTCCGTTCAACATCACGACAACGCTCTCGTCTGTGGCAGCCGATGATGTGTCGACTACGCCAAGCTCAGCGGCTAACTGAGGAATAGCGCTCGCGTCAACTGAATGGGTCATGATCTTGCATTTATGAGCAAGATGATTGAGTAAACCACAAGGAGAACCATCGGGAGTGTGCACGGGACATAGGAATCCCCATGACTCTGGCAATAGTTTTCGAACGGTCGTGGTCTTTAGCTGGGCGAAGAAGCTACCTCGATGCACCATGCGGAAATGACTGATAAAACGCAAGAAGTTCAACTTCTCGGCGACAACTGTAAAACCAGATACTTGTTGAAGATCCAAGCCAGATGGACTCGCCAAGTTACCCGTTGACATGAAGTACTCCAAGGCGTTACCGACATTCTCGTTGGTCTTCTGGAAGATTTTAATGGGGAAATCTTTCGTGAACTCGTCCGAGGTGAACGTCCTCGCGGGAAACTTCCTCAAGTAATCCCGTAGTGCACCACGAAGCGATATAGAGATCAGCTCATCTAGGCGCTCCTTGATGATCATGCCGTACAGAAAGCTACCCAAGAGGATCTCTTGATTCTGTGCCGCGTCGGGATTGTCAACAGCGCAGTCTCCAGCGACTAGAGCATACAGTTTTCTGATCATGAGGAGAAATAGGCGGAACTTGTCAGAATCCTGGTCTTCAGTGACGTCGACGTTTCCGAGATGGACCAGCACCACTCTGCGGAGAAATTCAGTTCCAACTTCGTAGTGTGACAACGTATCTGGCACTCCCAACACTGGCCGGAACTTCTCTCCTAGGTAGGCTCGTGTTTGTGCCTTGGTGAATATCCCGTAAGTCTTGTAAGTTCGTAGCAAGAGCTCGACTCGGTCCGTCAGAAAGGTATTGCGGATTCCCTTCGAATCGGGAGAGCCGACCAAGCCCTCGAAAATCTCTCTGTCATTCGTCTCCACCAGTGCCTTCAGGATCATCATCACTGGGACCAGATACTCGTTCTTTCTCCAGGAAAAGCGGAATGTGATATTACCATCGCTCAGGTAATGGAGGACATTGGTCTGCGAGGTCTCGTCCGGGCGGACCGATCTGAGTATGATACCAAAGGGCGTGTAGGCTGGACCACGGTTTTGGAAACTTGGACGGTAGATGGCCAAGGGGAAATTCCTCCGGTTCAGAAGCAAAAGCCGTATAATCTTTTCGATACCATTGACGATGAAGTAGCCTCCCAACTCTTCCGATTCCTCTTTCCGCGCGACCAATTGTGCTGGACTGTTACCCCTGAGATGGCAATGACTGGACTGAAGAGCGGGTTAGCAAAACAAATCTCAGCTGTATTCAGCCCGTCTCATACCTTGACCATTATGGGGAGTTGTCCAATCTCCCGAGCGAACTCTTTCGCTTCTCCATTGTTTATTCTGTACTCGAAGGTAACAGAAAGCTTTCCTCGGTACGACACATGGCGTTCTCTGCATTCGGACGGAAGGATTTCTCTGTTTTTCACAACAAACTTGTTGCTAGGCGGCAGCTGGGACTTCTGTAGGTGTACACCCTTGATCTTGATGCTCAGCTTGTTCCTGTCCTCTGGTAGCGCCCGCTCGTCGCCGTCCAGAAACAGTCTCGTGCCAATGTCGGCAAGGCCATGAGCGATCAGACCATTGTCACCGAACAGAGCGTCGAAGGACTCAATGTGTGGATTGACCGCCTCTTGTAGCAGGGGGTAAGCAGATCGGTCGGTCGGAGGGTTTCGAAATAGGTTTTCGCGGCGAAGAGTGTTGTATTCGTGGTCCCAGCTGGTGCTGGTGCTGGTGCTGGTTGGCTGCGGCGCCATGGCAACGGCAACGGCCAGAATGAGTGCCTCGGTGATTTGGTTTGGTGTGTATTGAGGAATGTTCAGCTGGAGTTGACTAGCGGCATTCGAGAATGACCTCTGCACACTATGCAGCACATGAACTGGTTAGGTTGAAGCCACGACAATCCAGTTCAGCATCTGTGCCTACGAACATTTGAACCCCACGATTGGAACTGTTCCAGTACCGACGACCGTGTGGCGGGAAGAAAAAGATGTCTTATCGGAGACGCCCATGCATATCGATAATCTTATCGGCAGTGCTTTTATGGGGCTACGGACTTGTCGGCTTTACTAATGCTAAGGTACCTTACCTTACTTACAGACCCCACCAACCCCCGGGCCCCGGCCACACGCGCATGTCGTCGTGTGCGTAGCTGCTGTTTCGGCTTGGACATACCTATCAGGCCAATATTTGCGAACAAGGCACCTATTTGCAGATTCCTTTCTCACGTTCCATGTTCCTATTCACTTCGGGGGTGGCTTCACCGGCCAGCCGAAGAACCACTCCTTCGTTTTGGGGTGTGAGTTGCCAGCCTGCTTGCAGTCCCATATCCATAGTACCTACATACTCGTTCTTCGGTAGCGCGGGGTCTGTTGGAGCGGGCAAGACTTTCGTTGGTTCGACACCGTACGAGAGGTCTGCTCCTTTGAGGCCACTTTCAACTAATATTGAACTTGTCAAGCTGCCAAGTGGCTGTCGATGGCTTCGTTCGTCTACTCCCCGGCTTGAACCGTCTCAGCTAGCCGCAAGTCTGGTTTTCCGGGACCAGGTAGGCAAAGTACTTTGTACACCGGTGATGGCCTCTTGTGCGTTGCCGGCCCGAGATCGTCTGTTGTCTCTCTGCCCGTCACGGCCCTCCTCACACAGTAGGTAAGTACATGGAGCTCAGAGTCCAATATGCCCGCACCCATGGCAGGCCGGCCCATCAGACCCAGACCTCTCTTTGCTCTTGGCCCTTCTCAACCACTCATCTCTTCCATAAGCACGAAGTACGACGTAGGGCCTGCAGTCTGCAGTCAGTCCGCATGGGCCTTGCAGCCCAACCTGGACTTGCATAGTACATGCTGCCTACCTTAACCTACCACCTTACCTCACATTGCATCTGTTCGATGTTTATCGGTAGCCCGTCTTCTTCAGATTCTCGGCCCCTGAACTTCATCAGCCCACGAACCTACATGCCTACCTAGGACCTTACCTACCGGTCGCTGCCTTCTACCCTGCATCTTCCACTCCTTGCATCTTGGATACGCAACCCTATCTTGGACCTCGAATCTCAGCCTACCATCTCCGGCTCCATTCTCGAGCTGCAAACCGATACCCACTTCCCCCAGGTCGCCGCAACTGCCGCCTCCTCAGAAGCAGCATTTACCGTGCATATTAGGTGCTCTCGTAGGTTCGGTTTGTACGACTTTCCGGACATTCTTGTCTCTATAAGCAAGGGGAGCTCTGAAGTAGCGCCGGGAAGCGACCACGAGCGTACAAGGCACATAAAGCTTATAGATCCAAGATCTTATAAGCTTGTTCTACCTCTGGGAGGTACCTGTGCTGAGTGTGGGGAAGCTTGAGGTTACCTGCCCTTCCGAACAGTCTGACGGGATTCCGAAGCTGCCTAGCCACCAGATCGGGATAATCTGGGCATCTTACAAGACTCTTTCTTACAGGAGATCACTGTGAATCTTCCCATACCTCAGTCTCACTGCCAACACTTGCTCCATTCTTATCAAGGCGAAAGAGTCTGCATCCTAACATTCATCATCGAGCCCAGAGCTGGCTGGGGCGCCGTCTCCCGTGGTTGGCATATCCATCTTCTCAAGCTGCGTTTGCCTCAAGCTGTCAACAACTTCAAAGTTACCAAGGACCTTCCATAGGTAGGGTCCGGGTCCTACCTGATAAGGTACAAACCGCTCACTGCCTGTCCGTCCATAGCTCAGCCATCGACCGTCTTTAACCCCCATTGCCTGACCACCGCCAGGCTCCAGCAGCCTGCCTGACCTTAGGTACACGCGAGGCCTTATTAAGCGTTCCCGCCTGGATCAGTTCCTGTTCCGCGCGGGCGCATACGCTCAGTCGTTTCGTTTCATCTACCACCACCGGGCCTGCACTTTTCTAGTCGGTTTGGACATATCTGCGCTGCCGACCCCACTGGCCTGACCGGAATAAACGAATGAAACCCCAGTCTTCTTCTTCCTAACCGCTGCCGTCGAATGCAAGGGTTGACCCTCTTCCTCCCAGCAACCGACAACCATCCTGCCCTCTGATCACGACCGGGTTGTGAGGCACGGGGCATCATACAGCTTGTGCCATACTCATATTCGTGGTGGGGAACTGGCCGTCTGGAGACCCTCTTGTCTGTCACGGCGTCACTGTCCATCCCACATCCACCGTCACCGTCACCGTCACGGCATCTCCCAAGCGCAGGTACCGAGTACAAACTGCACCCTCACTGCCTCACCATCGGCACGCAGCTACATTCTCGCATTCACCGAACACAGTTTGCCCCTGGTGGCCGACTTGCCCCCGCGAGCGCTACGAGCAAAGACGTTACAGCTCGTCGTAATACGAGACATTTATTCCTCATTTCAGCGAATAGCCAGAGCACAAACCACTATTTAACTTCTTGTCTAAGACCCCCGTCATCTTTGCCCACCGCGTTTTCTGACCACCCAGCCTTGCGTGCACCCTCCACAATTCTCTCGTCTTCACACGTCGTTGCGGTTCAGCATCCCGCAACTCCACCATTACAATAACACTGGCCATTCCGAGACTACCGGCATCATGGCAGGACTGTTCCGGAAGATGTACGACTGGTTGCTCAGAACATTTTGGTGAGTCCATCCGTCGAGCATCCGCAAGCCTGGGTCGGGTCGCTGGGATACTATCCTCACCGCTGTATTGGCATGCGCCTTTTGCACCCATCTGTCGCTGTGCTGTCCTGCTACTCCTCTGCCCGCGGCAATAGCCTGACGTATCAATAGGGCGACCGAAATGGATGTCACGATGATCGGGTTGCAGAATGCGGGCAAGACCTCGTTGCTGCGCGTCTTGTCGGTAAGAACCCCCAACTTCTCAATGCCCTCTTTTTCGTTTGCCCGATGCTAACCATTCGACTCGACAGGGTGGAGAATTTACGGTCGAGTAAGCACGAACCCTTTCCCCCAGGACGATGTCGGCACCTCCATCATGCGATATCAGGCTCGGACGGATACTGTGCATGACTAACAGCTCGTGTAGCTCCATTCCAACGGTCGGTTTCAATATGAAGCGAGTACAGCGCGGCCACGTAACACTCAAGTGTTGGGACCTGGGAGGCCAGCCCCGTTTCAGACCGATGTGGGAGAGGTATTGTCGGGGTGTCAACGCGATCGTGTTCATCGTCGATATAGCAGACTTGGACTTACTTCCGATGGCGAAAGAAGAACTCCACCTGCTCACGTCGCAAAAGAGCCTCGAAGGGATCCCCTTGCTTGTGCTGGGCAACAAGTCGGATCTGCCCGACAGGCTCTCGGTGGATGAGCTCATCGATTGTCTGGATCTGAAGAACATAGGGCACCGGGAGGTTTCCTGCTATGGTATAAGTGCGAAGGAGGAGACCAACCTAGATGCCGTCCTCCAATGGCTCATGAAGTGGGCCAACAAGTGAGCTCGTCTCAAGTTCTGCGCGACACTGGTTTCTCATTTCAGCTCTGGCCTCCAGGCGACACGGGCCTTATGGGATCTTCTGTCGAGGGTTTCGACAACTCGAAGCATATTGACGCGCTCATGATATCCTGGGATCTTAAAGAAAGACGGTTGATCTTCTCGGCCGGCGACGACCTATTATATAAAACTCTCGCGAGCTTGACTGGGCCTTGTTGGGCTGCCCCACGCCTCCAGCTTCTTCGGTCTCACCTTCCAGTATTTCCTTTCGTAATGCGCCTGGTCTTTTCGGTACGATGTTCTCTGCATAGCAGTCGGCATGGTATCGCTAGCCTGGAATCTGGAGGCGAGAGGAGTCAGGTTGATCTCTGGTGCATCTTCTCTTTTGGCGGGACATCTCGTCGACACTGGAGGGGTCTTTGCCGGTGGCGATCATGGACATGGCTGATGTCCATAGGTGTAGGGTGTAGGCGTGACGGGTGAGCGAGCGAGCGAGCATGGGGGTAGCTAGGCGCATTTTGACGAAATCAATGATGACTTATGACACGACTCGAACTTGACGTCCGTGACATGCAAAGACGCGCGTCGCGCGTCGCAACAAAATATCGACATGGACATCGGGGTTCGTGGAGGAAAAGGGCGGGACGGAAATGCGGCCATGTCAGGCCCGAGGTGAGGTGAGTAAACGTATGATGGACACGGCGTCACTCGACGGCAACAACAAGGTGCGACAAGCAGTATAAGAGAGAGCAAATGAACAGCGGGAACTCCGTAGTGAGCCAAAGGGAAGATAAAACTATGTAGAGGAGAGAGAACTGCGTCGGCGACTGGGGGGGAGGGCAGAGAGAAGGCAGAAAAGGGTACTTGGAATGGCTACACACAGACCACATTTTTGATGCGGTGATGCGTTGGCAAACTCTCTAAGCGTCGCGACGCGGGCCGAGACTGATTGGCTGCGCGCAGGCGACCAATCCATTGCCAGCGCACTCCAGTTTCCAGGTACCTCGAGGTGTGTGGGTATGGCGGACATATTCCCAGTCGAGTTTGAAATGCCCGGTTCCCTGCTTGCGCGTTTCCTTTTCTTGGTATGAAACCGGTGGGATGTTGATGTAGACTCGCTGTCCGTGTCTTTTTCTTGGTGCTGGCTGCTGCTCGAGAGAATCAGGGATCGGGAATTTGATGGGGGTCAGTCGGTGGTCTGGACTTTTTCTCTCCTTAATAACTGGGCGGCGTCAGGGCGGGCTGGCGACATCCCGTACATGCCAGTGATCCATCCCCACGGAGAATATTTGACGTGGCCGCATATCATTAGCTGCGCGCGCGCCCTCGCGGCGGGAAACACGTCCACGTTCGACATTTCAATCACAGTCTCCCAAACCCATAGCAGTATAAACCGAAACCCCAAACGCACCATGCTGCATTGCCCGGCTTGTGAAGGAAGATCCGGAAGTAGAATCTTCCTGACACTTAACCTGACTACATGAGGTACCCAAGTTGGATATCTCTGCCTACATCCTGACCTCCATTGAGAGCTTGAGTGATGTAAGTAAGCGATGTGGGCGCGACAGGAAAGAGAGAGGCACGCCGACGGACTTGGCCATATGGATCAATACCAGACCAGCTGGGCACAATTGCCATCCTGTCAATTACTTTCACGGTGAATCGGTGATGAAGTATGATAGGTACTTAGTTGTATTCTGTCTAGATCGTCACCGACGGGAGCATCCGACACGGGCGCGTGGCAGAAGGCATGACTAGGTACCTGGGAATGCGACATCATTGTAATTTGTTGCAAATGACGCCACGCGAACTTCATGGCTGCGCAAAAGATTAGGTAGATAGGTGCATGCCTTCGCATTAGCACCTCAGTGATGGCTGTGTTCTTGACAGCTTCGAAGTTCAGCCTATTCCTGTGCGATGACCGCTCTGGGATATCAAATACAAATACAAATTCGATTTGAAAGATGCTACGTGCGATTCGTGGCTGAGGGGAACGCGAGTGCATGTGTTCGCTGGTCGTGACGAGAGCTTCGGTGACTGTACATACACACCGAGCACCTGGTGCTGCTGAACTGCACCGCCATCAGACATCGGCCTGGCAGTCCCGATTTTGTAAAACCTTGTACGTAGGACTGATCCTGAGTCGATTTGTGAATACGGAGACGATGCGGCGTCTTCTATGTATGGAGCAGTAGCCCAAGAGCAAAGCGCGGAGGCCGCCCTCGACACTGGTATTTTCTTTATTCAATGTTCACCGAGTCCTTGACACCGGCTCATTGCGTCCCGGGACCCTTCGGCCACAGTAGGTGGCACAGCCATTTAATTGATGACATAACAGTCGTAGAGCAAAGTGAGGTAGGTACGCTTGTACCTACAGTACTACAGGAAGGTGAGGATATTGGTGACATTAGACGCTCTTTCAGTGTGTAAGGTATTGTTCAGAGAAGAGCTTCAAGCCAGGCAGCCAGGGCAGAACCCGATCTCGCAATCGCTTGATTTTGAAATCGGGGTCCTGTCGGCTGCTTCTGGATTCCAAATGCAAGGCGCGCCATGCCTGGAGGAAGGTGGAGAGTCTGCACCAGATGACAGATTTAAAGTTTTAAAGATGGGCTCGGCCTTCAAAGCGGAGTCGAGGGAGCTCAAGCTGTCAATCCGTACAGCCACAGGTACCTAGATACATTGTACATGACTGCATGACTGCATGCCCGTTGACTGCATCATTGAGCGATCGAGCTGCTTTCGGGTAGAATACGGCAATAGGTGGCTTGGTAAATACAGGTTAGGTAAGGCGCCACGGGTCACGGCCATTCAAGCAACTGTCATAGTGTCCAACATGTCATCGTGCCATGGCCAGCCAAGACTGGAAACGCTGACATTTTGCCTCCCGCCTTTCAACTTGGCCATGCACAGCCACTCTGCCCAGGCCAAGAAACACCAAGACGCCGACGCTGATTGGCGCTCCCGCCGTTGGGGCCGCGCCAGCTCCCAAGCTCCCAAGTCCGGCAGGCGGCATCGCCATTCTAGCAACATTACCACACCTGCACCTGCAACATCGCATACCTGTTTCCATTCTCTGTTTGCAGGGCCACTGCTTCTCTTAAAACAGACACCGACGTCTCAACTCCTTCACCCAGACTTCTCATCAACCTTCATTCACCTCCAGTCACCCGTCTCTACCTGAACAACTATTTGTGGACCCATTGTTGATCGGCAACCACCTGCGCATCATTGCCATCACTGCCATCACCTGTATTGCATTCTCCAAAGCTTAAAGGTCCATCGACGTCATCCCCAACGCCATCCTCCTCAGACCTTTCGCATACATCCCCTTTGACAACAACAATAACAACAACAAAACACTCCACGACCACGCCCGACCGAGTACCTTGATCATCAGGTTTACCTAATACGATTCTCCCCATACGTCCGACATGGCTCCTGCTGCAGAGCACATCAACGAGCTGAGCAGCCGATATGGATGCAACTATGGCTATGACGGATACGGAAACTGTAGAAATTACAGCGGATGGTCATATTGGGGTCGTTGGGTCTTTACCGCCGTCCTCGTTGTCGTGATCCTCGCCGTCTTCTTCCTCTTGGCGTAAGTGTCACCGAACTCCATCCGTGGCATACTCCCCAAGACTAACAGCACCACAGCTGCATCAAAGCTCGTCGCCGCCGTCGCGGAGGCGCTCAGCCCATGTACGGTACTGGATGGATGGCCGGCAATCAAGGCAACCAGCAGTACAACAATCCGCAAGGCTATAACCAGGCACCTCCGCCAGCTTACGGAGCTCCGCAGGGCCAGGCTTACCCGATGAACAATCAGTACCAGACCACTGACGGATACTACGGTCAGCAAAGCGGCGTGCAGCAGCCCAAGGACGTCCATAACAACCCGACCACGGCGAACAACGATTACGCACCTCCCGCTGGCCCGCCCCCGGGCAAATAGCCACAATGATTTTGATCACTGGATTAGAGGGAATGGACGTTCGTTACTGGGACACGGGACGATGAGGAATATACCCCGATGATGGATTGAGACATGAGTATGGAGCCCTGGTTTGTCTTTCCGGCGTTATGATGGGAACTGGGAATGGGCGTGTGAGGATCCCAACAGAATTCATGAGCATGCGCTTACGCCAAGATGGCATCAGCAAACATCTCTCGTAGACAATCTACATAATTGCAATGGAATCAGCATGATTGTATCTACTCATCACTGCTGCGGCTTCTATTTCATGTGTGTGATCAGCGCCGCGAGGGTTTTTCGAGTGTTGAGGCTTGCGTATCGACTTGGGCCAACACCCAACGATGGTGCTCCTGTTCCGGAGTCGTTGGTGCGTGCATGTAGGTCGGTGGCAATCTAACCACCACATCGTGAAGGGGGCGCAGCTCACCAGTGCGACCTTCTGCTTGCGTACCGGCATTCGACCACAACCCCCCAACACATTCCATTTGGCCAAGCTATTGAATCGATGATGTGCAGTAGCATAAGCAACGGGTTGGTGCTCCATCATCTACATCCCCGTCGTACTGGGTGTGAACGTGTCTATAAGCCTCCCTGAGATGCCGTCACTCAAAGTTCCTACAGACTACTCATTGGTAGGAGAGCATGGTGAACAATACGGCCGTTTGTGTTGATTGCCGCTTCACGGCAGACTGGTTCAGGGAGGTGTCATTACGGTTGGCGCATGCGAGTGTATACGCAACGGGCTCAAGGTGGATGGAGTTTTCACATGGGTGCGTCGAAGGACTGACTCCTCGTTGTTTTGCCAGTCTCCTGTGCGACCTCCTACTTACAAGGTCAACTGCAGATTTCCTTGAGGTAGCTGGCATGCTTACTCCCTGGGTGTATTGGTTTTGCTGCTTGCTCTGCTTTGCCTTTGCCTTTGCTACCAATCCTGACATTTCGGGGGGCGATGACGACGTCGAGCACTCGCGCTTGGAGGTTTTAATATGGTGTCATAACTCACCTAACCCTATCTCACACGTAGCTCTACGGCCACACACTGTGTGTATTTCATAGAACGGGGATTGCCAGTGAAAGTTGATAGACTGATCGACCGACTCCTAGGTTATATTGTTTCACTACCTCGGCGACGGCCTACTACATCACCTCACACTCGACGTCCCGGAGGCCAGCGATACTGAAAATCCCCCAGAGACACATGGCTGTTTTGCCCCACAGTGCAATTTCTCTGTACCGTATATAGCATACGAAGAGAAAGTCAATGAATATATGCAGCGTCTCGTCGCCATACTAGCTCTGACGGAGGCATACAACGTATAAGAAGTTGGGCTTGGTCCTTCGGCCTCCTCTGAGGAAAGGATGTGCTGATTCCTTGACGTGAAGCTCCAGTCGTACGGGTAAACGTTGATGCATGTACCTCTATAAGAATACTGTCTCGGCCAGAGATAATAAGCAAGGGGGACTCGATGTATACTTCCTTCCCGTTGGGCTCGTGGTGTCGAGTCACAACTGCGAGCTTGTCTCATTGGTATCATGGCAAGAGGGTGGAGGCATAACCTGTTGTTCATAGAAAGTAAGACCATCGAGGCGAGCAACGAGCGGCAAAAAAACTCACGTGTTGTATCTCGGAGCTCTAGTCGTGGACTCTAGAGATAGGTTTTGTCTGCTTGCTGACGGGTAGCCTCTGCTCCTGTGAAGACTCACTCTATCGTCCGTCCTTGGCAGAACGGCGATGTTCGGCTCTCTCAAGTTATCAACCTACCGCATCACGTACCGTGGAAACCATGATTCCTTACCGGTAGAACGAGGAAGCGCGCTCGCTGTATAGCATTTACTTGAGGAGGCGAGCATGATGAGCCAAGGCAGGCCGACGGGCGTGCCAGGCCGCATCAGCGTCGTCCGAGGGCGGCGGCGACATCCCGGGCAATCGCGGTAGTTCGTCCTCGGAACTGAGGACTCTAGTAAACTTCTAACGGTCCTCAACGGAATTAGAATAGGCCCCGGGACCGGCGTAGGCTTATGTCTTTGTGGCGAGCTGGCCGACTCTCGAAATTGAGATGGCCTTGCGAGTGTCTGGGGAACGAGACGTCGGTGGATGAGTCGGCAGACACGGACCCCACGATGGTCTCTGGTGATCCGTCCGGTGCGCGTGCGGTTGCATTCGGACAGGGCCTCAAACTTTCCAACACCGGCGGGTGGTCCAGGGTTGGCCTCTACGTAACCCATATCCCATGGATTAAGCTGGTAAAGGGCCACGAGACCAACAATGACGCCCTTTGCAGTATTAATCCGTGCTGAGTTGTTGTTTGCAGCTTCTTCTGCCCATCGACGGCTTCGCGAAAGAGAAACTTGGTGGGCTGTTGAGGCTTTGATCCGTGTTCCCTCCTTGTTACTGTCACAGACTCACAGTGACCGTAACGGTCTTCTCATATGAGACAGTAGGCAGTAAGATGCCAAGCCAAGATGATCGTCGCAGCCCACCCAGATAGGATTCGGGAACGCGTCAGGCTTGCCCACTTTAAGGCTTATGATATCATCGTCAAGGCAATAGCGAGAAGCCCGACGATAATTGAGTAAAGAAACAATAGCATGAAGTGCTCGGCTTGCTTCCTGCACTCTGTGGTGACTTCTGTTAATAGGCAGCTGTCATACAGACTCACAGCAATCCCACAGGCTGGAGTTCAATGTTGGATTACTGCGACTGCACAGCCTCCACGGGTCCAGTCGCTACAGTTTCACCCGCAACGGGCTGAGACGCGATCGCCGTCCCCACATTTCGGTGAGTACCTTACTGAGGATCATCCATAAGTCCCCAGAACAGAATGAGGTATTTTGGGCACGTTGGTGTCGGTTTGCAAGAGTAATAAATAATAATGAATAGCTCTGTGCAATGCACTGACGACACTGCAAGTGACGGTAGATCGACCTAAAGAGGGACGACCCGTCAAGACTCAGGGGGTGCCAATCCTATCCCTGATAGGCCGCTGTCCCACTTGGGCAAGTCGCCCATTGATTGAACTGAGTGCGGACCGAATTGATAATTGCGACTCGTCCTCGACGTTGCCCTTCCTCATTTGTCCCCTGCTTTTGGGGGCTCCTGACTGTGTTCCTGCCGCTCCAACACTCTCATTATTGCTTTGTTGGCCAAAGTGTTGTTGGCCAAAACAAAGGATTCAGGAATCGTCTCTTCTGCTTCTTCTGTGATATACTTTCTTCACTGTTCGCGCTCTGTGGCACCACGCTGACTCCCGACTTATTCACAATTGCTTTGACGCCGACCCTCATTTCCTTGGAGTCACTCGATCCTTGAACTACTTCGCGACTCAGACCCGCGCACCACAGGAGAGAACCGGTCGCACATGACCGTCACACACCTTCTCTCAATTACATCCTTTACCGGGCGGCAACGAACGGGAACACGTAGGCAGGCGAGCCGTGTTTGCTTGCAACAGCGCGAAGTGATTGACGGACACACACCCGCTAAACTGTAGACAATGGGCCTATGACATCCCCCGATGTTTCGACGTTGCGACCACGAACCTATACACCACTCCAACCTCTCCAGAAAGACCCCCGAATCTCGAACTCCCTCATAACACGGAGAACCAGCACGGAGGGTTGAGAGGGGCGCAAGCATGCCGCACATCGGTGCCCTCATGGAGCGCAGTCTCCAAGAGCGCAGTTTGGGGGACGCGTTTGCGGATCTTCTCGCGCGCAGTGCAGTCGCTGCTCTGGGCAAGCGGCAGTTCAGCGGCATTCAGGGTGACATAACCGATGCCAAAACGGCATTTTCAAGCTGGGACAACTGCATGCAGGCTACATTCTGCAAGTACGTTAGGCGATCTTCGCCCAAGGTCGTGTGAAATATGAAATGCATGCTGACTCTTGCCAGATGGCCGGTGATCGCCGTGATCATTGTTGGCGGTCTGATCATCTTTTCCATAGTGTGGTGCATCATTCGGTGCTGCTGCTGCGGTCTGTCATGCTGCTGTTCGTGCTTCTCATGTCTGAAGTGTTGCGGTGATTGCTGCGGATGCTGCGATCCCCCAGGAGGCAAGCGACATAAACATCTGGACGACCCTTTCGATCCGCATAAGGGACACGACCAAGCGTACCGGACGATTCCGCCAATGAACCCCAACTTTCCCCCGATAGGACCAGCCGCTGCTGCTGTTTCTCCTGCCGCCGCTGCACCTCAGTATGCTGTGTTCGAGACTGGTGGCGATAAGAAGGATGCGGACTCGCTGCCCGCAATGCCGACTTGGGAGGACCAAGGCTCCAAGAAGATTATGGTAGAGGAGGAGCCGGTCGAGATGGAGCCGCTGAAGAAGCCGGATCAGGGCTATAATACGTCCATGATGAACGCTGCTAACATGTCTCATGCGACGATACCCAGCCCTGGATCTGCTGTCAGCAGAAGTCCGTATGGTCCACCTCCCGGCTCTGGTGGGCCCAACGGATACATGGCGCCGACGCGGGCCGCGACAGATCCCTATGGAACGAGCACACCAGGCTACGATGATTACAGCAATAACGGATATGGTCACCCGTCACAAGATCACCTGAGCCAAGAATACGCTGTGGCCGGTGGTATGGCGGCGGGCGCCGTGGGAAGACGGACACCACATCAGGACTACAACAATGGTTATGACCACGGCGGCATGGACCAAGGATATCCCCAGTCGCAGACACCGAGACCCTACGACGACGCCTATGGACGGAGCGTCACACCAGGATCATACGCCAATGGTTACCGACCACCGCCGACCAACGGGTACGGCACCCCACGAGGCTCTCCTGGGCCGCAGGCCGGGTACGGATACGGAGACCCCTCTCGGATGGCATCCCCCGGCGCGCAACAGGGCTATGGGCACCCGAACCGGATGCCATCGCCAGGATCGCAGGGAGGCTACGGCAACGGGGCTCGCATGGCAAGTCCAGGGCCACAAGCAGGATGCTACGGAAACGGAGCTCGCATGGCGAGTCCAGGCCCTCAGGCAGGAGGCTATGGCGGCAATGCCTCTCGGATGCGATCTCCCGGCCCGCAGGCAGGCCTCGACAACTACCCGCAACGATCCCAAACCGACCCTCCGCAGCGATCGCAAGCCCAAACACCGAACAGCTACGGCCGGCAACAACAACCCCCGGCCCCATACCGCCAGTACTCCTCCGACTCGACCAGGCCTCTGGTACGGCCGGGAGGGATGGACCGCCAATACTCGGAACTAGAGACCCCCGAGTCGCCGATCCAGAACAACGGCGGGTTCGACTTCAACTCGGGCTACAGCCGGCCGGAAGGCAGGCCTACGCCGCCACCGCCGCAGCAGCAGTCTGCGAATGGGGGGACGGCGTATCCGGGTTATCGCGCGTACAAGCCATCGTAAATCACTACCTACGCATGGGGAGGAGAGTATACTGGAATTAGCATGTCTGATCATGACGACGGAAGCGATATCGTTTCATTTCTTGGTAACCTACAGCGTAGGCAAATGGCGTTGCATACGTACATAGGTACATATGAGCGTACAGCGGTATCTTTTTAGAGATCGGATTAAGCCCGAAAAAGAGGCGAGGCGAGGCGAGGCGTTCAGGGGCAGGCAGAGGTTACCACTTTTGCATACAGTAACCGGCATTTGTGTGAGATATAAGGCAGGCGGGCAGGCTACGCGGCGAGGCCAGGCGAATGTACAATCGAATATTTGATACCATAAGCCGAGATAGTTCGAATTGAATACCTAGGTACATCTTTAAGCGGCGTGTTCATACTCTGACAAATATTTACTATTGGCTTCTGGAATCACTCCATGTGAGAAGAGGGTGAGTGAAATGGGAAGCTTCATACGCAACTGGATCGACCTGGTTGATTCCTCTGAAATTCGGCCGAAATATAGTATTCCAGCGACGGTGATACTGATTCATCCATCCAGGTCGTCGACGTGATGCTAGACTGCGATCTTCGTATGTATGTACGCTGCTAGCTAGCTACTCTGGGCATGATTCGTATGCGTGTATGCGGTTGGCACGCTATCATGTTCGTATCGCTCTCCTGGATCCCTGTAATACCCGGGTATGGAGACCAAGTGACCATCTATCAACCTACCATCCTACTCAAAAGCCATGAGGAGGCCCTGCCGAGTAGACGTCAGGAAATCCGACGCGGCAGATCTGCCACAAGTTCTAATTTCCAAGAGTTAAGCGGTGACCGTACTCCTTCCTAGTCAGATGCGTTTCTAAACTTTATCGTTGGTGAGTGGGTGAGTGGGTGGATTCTGCCATTAAACGACGCGCACAAGGATGACGTGGAGGGCACCAGATAATTTCGATAAGAGCCCGAGGAACCATCTCGCTCCGAAGGCTTCTTTTCGAGCAAAACTAACTTCCAGGTACAATTTGGAAATCACGAATTGGCAGTACGGAATTGCTCGTCGTCGACACTCTTCCCAATGTCCATTCATGCTACTAACCATGCAGCCAAAATGTACAAGAGCTGCGAACGAGCCAGCGATGTCTATCGAAATGCTTTAAGTGAATACCAGCCGCCTCCCAAGACCGCCGAACGCCTCTCGATATCCATAATCATCAAACAGTCTTACTCGGGAGGAACCAATTCCTTGGGCAGAGGTTTACCGCCCCTCTCGTCCTGGCTCTTGCTGCTCCCTATCACAGTTTGACCATCCAGCTCCGGATCGTACTCCTCATGCCCAATCTTCGGGTGCTTCCTCTCGGCACCCTTGGAGCTTTTCGACCGCGCAAGCTTCACACTCTCGCTGCTCTCACCACTGCTCGACGCATCGTCGTCATCGCTATCCGCGAGGGCGTCGTCGAATGGATCGCGCTCGTGGTGATCCTCCTGCGGCAGCCTCTCGTGGTCCGTATCTTTCATCTTGATAAAGCTGTCGATGATGTAGTACTGCAGGCCGTTCATGATGAGCGGGAACAGCATCATGACGAAGACAATCTGCAGGCGCTCATTGCCTTCGGTCCACCTCAGCGCCCAGTCGCCCACGCGAGATATCCACGGCAGGATCAAGAAGATGATCAGGACGCAGATCTTCATGCCGAAGAGGCCGCAGAAGTAGATGACAGACTGCTTCAGCCACCACCACCACTTCGGCGGGTTGCCGTAGTTGCCGGACTGGATCGACTCCGCCGGCTTTCCGAGCGGGGTGTATGATACGAGAACGGTCGTGACGCGAAGCAGCAGGATAAGGATCGGGATACCAATGGTAGTCTAGAACGAGCAGAGAGGTAATCAGCTTCCAATCTCAAAGAGGAGGCGACAAGTTTCGGACAACTCACATCGATCGCCAAGTTTAGCAAGTAGAACGAGCACGGGTTTGGCGTATATCCGTCGTCGGCCCTGCGCATGAGGGCGCGCGCCGTCTGCACACTGGCCGGGTCCAACTTAATAGAAAAACGACCGCTGGTGAGCATAGACATGAAGACGTTGGCCATGTGGACCAGCACCGAGCCAAAGACCTGCTTCGACACGTCGAAGAACCAGATCTTGAGCGGCCGCTGGGGCCGTTCGCGCCATCTCTTGAAAACCAGGGTCGACAGCGCCAGGCCGCCCAGCGCGAGCTGGACGAACAAGGCAAAGGGCCCGAGCAGCCGACACTCGCCTCCACCTCCGCCTCCGTCGTCGTCCAAGAATGTGTCCATCTCTGCCGATGTTGCGGCGGCTGCGACTGCGGACGCGGTGGACGTGAGCACCGAGGTCAGGTGGGTGGTCGCCGCTGGGAGGTCGACACCGATTGCTGCGGTGGATGTTGCTGTCGCTACCGAAGTCGGTACATCGAGGAGGGAGTTGAATGCGACGTCAAGCGTCGAGGAAAACGGCATGCCAATGATGTAGGTATCTTGAGACACAGACACGGAAAAGCACAGCAGTCGCAGAGCAATGCAAGTGGTGATGATGACGCCAACTGCGAGGTGAGACAGCGCGATAGTCGTCCCGCTCGGATTAACAAGGTTGAGGATCAGGTGGGCTTTGTGCCAAGGATGTCGTCAGACTTCAGACTTTACAGACCGGCTCCAACGGCTAAACGGTTATCGCACAAAGAGAAATAATAAGTTCATCTATCGTATCGTTCTTGTTGGGTATAAAAAGAAATGCAGAAATGGGCCTGGTTCTAGGAGAGGTTGTAGAGCAGAACAGAGGCCACGAGATCTAGTCAGCTCTCGTTGGATGCAAATGGATGCAGCTGAGCATTTTGTCTATGACACTTCTCACGTCTGGCACGCCTGGGCTCCATGGCTGCCTTGCCCAGGCTGCGGAAGTTCCTGTCTCAGGGGAGGGTCTCGATTGGGCGGCTGGCTGACTTTAGCCTTTAGGGGCCCAGTAGGGGCTTAGCTGCCCTGCAGGTGGCTGGGGTAGCAGACCGTTCCACTGTAAACCTTCCCTGGGCGTTCCACGTTTCGCAGTATCACCTGCTTGGGTACGGCCTGAGACTCATCACAGCCCTCGAGAGTCGAGACTCGGTTTCAATAACGTGTTGCACTCGATTTCGAGGTGTATTAGTTTCACCTCGCCGATGGATATGCATACTACTAAAGATATGTGTGCATGATAATATTCACTGAGCATACAATCATGAACCATCGTATGGAATCTCATTCTCGTTGCGAGCCAAAGGCCCTCAGGTTCGTAAACGTGATATCGCGCGAAGTCAAACGAAGGGAAGTACATTGCCATCAATGCCGAGCTAGTGTGCGCTATGCTAAAGGGTGGTTTGCATCATACTCAGGTAGGGGCAACCAATGCTGAGCAGAGCCAGTCCTGCGAGTCCGAGAAATGCTGCTCGAGGTGACCATAACTGAACATGTCCGCGCAAAGCTGCGGTACCGTGTGTCAAGCCATGCACAACTTGGCAGATTTCCGCGGCATCAGGCCGCGAACGAAGCTCAAAGCGACCTTTCGTGCGTGCCCGGCCACATCATTATCGGGCTTGCTCTTCTTCCCCTTCACCACCGAAATCGATTTCTTCTCGATCGACGTCGTAGTGGTGGTGGAGCAAGAGGTGGTGGAGGGAGACGACGGGACTGCAGACCTGGCTCGGGAGCGAGTCTGGAGCCTATCCACAGGCCCGTCTAATCGTCAATCGATACCATACTTGGTCTTGAGCTGTTCTACATTCTCCTGGCGCGCCTTGATGTCGTCTTTTGACTCCCTCGCCTTGAGCGTCTTCTCGGGTTGATGCCATAGCACTACACAAGCAATTAGCCATATGTACCAGTACGGGGGTTACACTGGCCAGGTGCAAGGGTGTGAGCATACCAACGAGATATCTGTTCTGGAAGTTGAAGCCGTTTAGCTTCTCGAGGGCATTCTTCGCGTCCATTGCATTCCAGAAGACGACATAGGCGGTTCCCTTGGCCTCTAGGGAGATACCCTTGCGGATTTGGCTAACACTGGTTAGTCGGGATCGGTACACGTGCGATGGTGTTCGTGGATACGACATACCGGACGATGCGGTTCTGGGGCTCGGGGTCGAAAAGCTTCCAGAGCGCCTCATCTGTCACCTCGTAGCTGTAGAGATAACGGTAAGTACATGTACGGATGGTGATCGCGGAGTCGGGGCACGAACTTGAGGTTCTTTACGAACAAGACTCTGTAGGGTATCCAGGGTTAACATTACTGCCATCTGTCGAGTAGCGGGATAGACCGGATGGGGACGGTTACTCACGGTAACTGCTCGGGTGCAAGCTTGCCGGCGCGACTCATATCTTGATGGAGGTGTTTGGTCGAGTGTCTCGGGGGTTCGTTGGTAGTACGGTGTTGATCGCGAATCAGGTGGTGATGGTTGGGGACTTGAAGGTCTGGGCAGTAGACAGGACGTGTGTTGCTGCGGAGGTCGACCCGATAGACGAAGCCTGTAGATCTGGGGGTTATCAGCCACGTGATGCGTAAGTGGGGTAACCGATGGTACTCTATCGGTCTGTCGGATCGCGCTTGCCTCGCTGTTCCCGAGGCCCTTGAAGGCATCAATCAGTGAGTCAACAGGTAACAAGGCCGAAACCCCACAGGGCCACCTTCCGAATGACTGGACGGCCCTCAGTGGCCTCACCAATTGCGTGCTTGGATTCATACATCACCTGTATGCAAGTAACGTCAAGCAATTGCATTATACTTGCATGATAACCAAGTCGAAAAGTTAAAACTTGTGGCTGCTATCCATATCGCGTCTCATTGGCTAAAATGTGTTCGGAGAGACGCAGTCACTGATGGGTGCCCTACGCGTATCGCGCGTCCCCCCTTTTAAAGGACTGGCTTCGGAATCATCGAAGTTGGGTGTCAATGGTACCTGATATTCAAAGAGTTGACCAACATAAGGTATATTTAGGTTAGCATCAAGTGCGGCTAGCTGTTTATGCAAACAACCTACCTCCTAGGTACCTTACTCTCACCGTATTTCACGAAAGCCCGGAACGGCTTCTTCTCCGCGCTAGAACGACCGGTGGTTCGTTCACCTTGAACACGAAGCAGGTTGGACTTCCTGTCAATCCCGTTTCTCGAGTCTTATTAGATCTCGCTTGAATCCATCCCTGACCCTGCCCGATTTGTTGGGTGTATGTGACCTACGGCGGTGTGAACTCACAGCAATTCTGCAGTCGACCTCTGGTTGACTTCCCCAATCTCGCTGGCTACTTTGGAGGTGGGCACGTATACAGACGAACACGACTCATAGTCTTCGAGTTTGCGAGTGAGGTTTCGAACGCGTATGGATATAGCCCAAGAATGCGTGAGGTTTTCAGGGGTAACATGCAATGTGTTTGTTCTGAGCATAGAACGAAGCCTTGTAGGTGTCCTACCCTCAACCTTGCTCTGAAGATATTGCGACCGGTTCCTCTCCATCTGGCAGTGCCTGTACCGTCATCTCGGGGTCATGCCTGTCGCCGTCCTCCAGGCACCACGCCTGAACAGAAGCAAAATGTTCTGATAATCGTCGGGGATGACCTTGGGTCCAGCAAGACATCGGCATATGGAAGTGAGGTTGACACCGCGAACCTCCAACAACGATGAGGACTGCGAATGGGGTTCGCACGGCTGCATCATGCTCTCACACGAGCAATGCTTTCACCTGGAACATATTCTCACAAAGCTGGGTTGGGACGCTGCAAAGATAGGGAGCAGTTTCTTGGAACCGCGGCTAAGAACAGTATGCTAATCTTATCACGGCAGAAACGTGCCCCGAAATCTTCAAGAATAGGCCGGGATACGTGGGGTATCTGAACTATAGTGTTGCTGTGTTAGGGGAAATTCTCACGTTCATGAGCGGGAAATGGCACTCGGACCTCAAGCCAGAGGCTTCACGAAAGTCCTCGCCACGCTGCCAGGGGCTTGGAATCTCTCCAATCACGAGCCGCAATCACACGGACTGGAGAGTAAACAGACGGCGATTATTAAAGGTGGTGGCATCTGGATGGCGGACGGCGAGTTAGTGGATGACGGCATATAACTGCTCATGGCATTCTAGTCCTCCGACACTTTTACGAACTATCCTGAAGTTCCTCCAGAAGCGGACAGACAATAAGAGGGAAGAGCCCTTCTCGAATCAGTTACACTTTACGACACCCACCGGCGAGAGGTACCGCGGCCCAATACGACGATGGTCCTGCAGCCTTGCGAGATCGGAGACTGAAGAGCTTGGTCATAAGGGGCTTGTCCCTTCAGACGTGGAGCCGGACCTCACCTGGATAGAACACCCCGGCCCAGTCTTCCGTGGGCGTAAAGTGGTGCCTGTCCGAGGGAAGCCTGGAGACCAATACTCGAGGACCCATGGAGCGCGACCATCCAGCTGAAGGGGCCGACAGATACTGTCGGCAGGGTATGACTGAGAACAGCAGCCGTCAGGGTAGGGGATTGGACGGCGCTGTTTCTGCCACAGCCGAAGAGCCCAGGCAAATGGCAGCTGTATGATCGGTCATCCCAGCAACCCGGAGAAGCTGGGAGAGATGATTAAGCACTAGGGGACATACTTTCAGGAGGCGGGTATGTTTGACCCCTACGCCTTGTACCACCAGGCACTGAAGCAGAAGAAAGCCTCCGTTGAAGATTACTGATTTAATGTTGTACCTAGCACTCAGTCCGTGGTGAATAGCAAGTATACGAGGCATAGTTCGTCACGTAACAAAGTATAGGAGTAGAGCTCAAGAAGACACGGCATGCTACGGGAGAGGCGCGCCAGGTAAACACGTTGGACGCACAACAAATATGCAGAACATTGGTACACAGCCTATTTATGTTGGACATGGGGTCTGACCATGGATTTAACAGTCCTACAGCAAACTGAAGAGCTTCCAAACAACCCAGACAGAGTTCCTGGTCGGCTCACAACAAATGCTGGTGATGACTAGGTACTTTGTGAATGATCACCCTAGCATGAGAATTGGATAGCTGTGTAGCTGGGGTTGTATTCATTGCACTTCTCTTCCAGCACGTCACTCATAGTAATGCTCCTGGGAAGTCTCTACCTTCAGATATACACATCAGCGGGCGCTTGAGCTCACACCCTCCTCGTCCTATACCCAGCACTAGCACATGAATCAGCGGATGAGAATGACTCTGGCAGCAAACTTGAAGGCGGTAGGATAACGTTATCATATACGAAGTTGATGGCTCACAGAGACTAGGGGGGGAGGGGTCGATACTATCTATGATTTCTGAAGAGCTCCCACAAGGCACCAAAAACATAACGACATCACGGATTTCTCAACCAGCACTAAACCCATATTTGCAATCATTTGGCGGCCGTCATACTTCCCCGCCTATTCCCATTGATTTGAGAGTCTTTCCTATCCTTAACTACCAATCTTCACACAACCATCAGACCAGTTACCTCACCAACAATCTCACAGACCACAAATCATACAAACCCAAGCACCACTCACAGGCTACTTGAGGAATTGCAAGAAGCAAGATGCGTACGTTTCATCCCATCCTCCTCCACGAATCAAAAATAAACGTACCAGATACTGATGGCGGAGTAAGCCTAAACCTACGATTTTCAATATACAAAGTCAAGCTCATGGGTCGGTTAAACTCGAGATTGATGAGTACGAGGCAAAAGTGCAAACCCTCCCCTATGATAAAAGAGGAAAACATCCGCATTCCTCAACCAATACAACTATATGATTCGTATCCCATGACAAGTCATCGTAGAGCTTATGTTCGACATATCGCTTGATACAGAAGATTACAGTTCGAGTGGGAACGACATTGTATCTTTACAGCTCATGGCGGAGATGGACCTTAAGGCTTTGGACCCTAGAGCTGGGCTCTGAGTGAAGTGTGAGGGTCTCTCAGTACATTTCGACCATGACACCCAACGCATCTCAAGGACGATTGTCCCATCCAGCCTTGTTATTCATTCGGCAGCGTCATATGACTGAAATCTATCAAGGTCTTCCCTACTCACACATGTCCCCTGGGAGGTGAGGCTCAAAGCTCTCATTCCGCTACGTTTAGATAGATGAGGGCTTCATCGAGCTGCTATGATGTCAACGCGACAACTAGTCTCTGCCATCGACACTGCGCAAATTCAGACGTTCTTAAGATTGATACGTTGGTCGAAGCGCAATGGGAAGAGGTCTATCATCTTCTCTCCCCGTGGCGACGTATAAAATATAACATGTGATAGATCGAGTAGGATTCAAGATGCATGAGATGAAACCTTCCTCCCAGAATATTATTAGGCTATTGAGACATCCGTAATGTGACGTGAGTCCTTTTCCCAGCCACCGCCAAGGTCGGAAAGTCTTTGATAATGGTGTGAGTCGTGACACTCTCGCCCCTGGATGTGCAGAGTGGCTTCCAGAAGACAAATGGAAACCACCAACACTGCCGATAAGGTACCGGACAACCAATGGCAATCCTGTGTGAACCGGTGAAAGAAGACACTCTGTGTCAAGGGCACCGAGAGTACTTCAGGTAGGAAAAGGGGGGTTCTTTCGTTTGAACCTTGTTCTTGTGTCTAACCTTACGACTCAGCTTCCAGGGGTAGTGCGAAATGGAAACCAAACTACTTGGAAGATAGGGGATGTCAACCCCTCCAGGCGACCACTACAGCGGCTACGCCCGCTATCGGCTTGCAGCCCAGAGGTGCAGGTGGTTGACCCACAGCTATTCCCGTCTCCCGACCTGGGTTAATCCGTCTCACGTACAACAAGCAAAGCGGCCAAACCACCAACCTACCTCTCCATGTATTTCCTCCATCCACACGCCGCAGCTTAAGCCGACCTTGCCTCTTCGCCAATTCTGGTTGCTCTGCCTCCCCTCAACATCACTGGCTAGAGCCTCCAAGTTCAAATCGCCATACTCGGCCCATGCCACGCCCGTGAACGACTGCGGGACAAATGCCATCAGTAACGCACTCCGAGACGCCTTCGCTCTCGTCGTCGGGTAGGAAGCGGAGGCGGGAGGATGACGGCCAGATGCAGATGCCGTTGTACGGGCAGTCCAAGACAGCAGCTTCTTTGACGTCCTCGTCGGCTAACAGCAGCGGCCTCGGCCCTTACAGCAGCACATCACAGCTCAACGAGTCCCAGAACCTATTATCCGCCTTCAGTAGCAATGAGCGGCTGATCTACCCCTCGAACCGCGGCTCGGCCGCGCTCTACAACATGCCGCGGAAAGTCATACCACTGTCCGCGAGCAAAAGGTTCCGGCTGCTAGACGAGGACCACGACGAACCGACACAACAACAGCACCTACGTCACCAACACCAACACCACCACGACGAGCATCACGATGCCGCATCCCCTTCGCCCGCCGCCGCCATGCACCAGCAACAGTCCTACTTCTCACACGCACACCCAACGCCGCCCATATCACCGCATCATCTACAGAACCGACCCAGCGCGAGCCGAGCGAACTCATCCGCGCTGTTGAAACCCTGCCACGTCTGCTTTCGCAAGCCGACCAAGAAGTCCGACCTCGACTCGTTCGCCGATTGTATGGGCTGCGACCGCCGGACATGCTTTGTCTGCCTGCGGGCGTGCCAGGGCTGGCTACCGCCTGCGGAGGAAAGGACAGGAAGACGAGAACACAACAATAATGAGGAGGACCTATCAGCATCATTCACCATGCACGACGTGGACGACGATGTCGAATACAACAGCAATAACCACACCCACCAGGCCCGAGACGCACAACCGCCGCCGGACCACGCACGGTCAAAGAAAGGGGAAGGCGGCGGAGAGGCGGCGGGCTGGAGAGGCCACGGCCACCGGGAGGTGATCTGCAGCCAATGCTGCGTGGAGCGCGGCAGCGAGGGCGAGGTCGTCTGCCTGGGATGCTTGGACGAGGTGGACGGAGCATAGGACGCCCCGATGCTCGGAGTGGCGTACTAGGATTATCTGGGCAGTTTGTAATGGATGGCCTAACTAAGACTCATAGGACTGAGGATAAATGTCGTATGCCCAAGATGCATGATACCACGGGGAGGAGAAATATAGAGAGCAAGCGAAGGAGAGAAAGAGAACGAACTACTGTCAACTTCTGTCTATACCCCGACGGCGGAGAGAAAGAGAGACGAGTTACGGTCAGCTTCTGTCTATACCCGACGGCGTCGGATCTCTAGGGAGGGCTCGAGAGCCTATTGTTGTTTTCTTTTTGGCATTGCCTGCGGCGTCCATGGACGGTCATCATGCTGTATTTCGAATCGAACTGCATCCACGCGAGATACCATGGTGTCAAGGACGACGGGACGAACGGCACAACGATGTACGTGTACGAACGAGAACACGTATGTGGAGGCTGGAATGCTCGGTATTTGGTAATGACGAATGGCCTGCATGAAGAGCCATGAACCCTCACATAGATAGGTATTTGAAAACCCGTACATAGTAAATCACAACGGTATCGATAGTTAATGCTGGGATGATTAGAAACAAGTTACCAATACACGGCACATGGCACACGTGTGAAGCTTTCATTATCTAGCTCTCGGCTAACCATGCCTCCATCTACCATACGCCCGTACTCATACACCAATGAAGTTTCCCCTGAAACCCATTATGCGCCTAGTTGTACTGCATGTACGTGGCGGTCGAGTTGAACTTCAGGTTGCCCTTGATGACCTTGTCGACGGCGCTCAGGAAGTCCTTCTCCGTGGCGACCTTTCTCCTCGCCCGGATGGCGAACATGCCGGCCTCGGTGCACACACTTCGCAGTTCGGCACCCGTGGCGTTGGGGCAGAGACGGGAGATCAGCTCCCATCGGATATCCCGCTCGACGGACATGCTCTTGGCGTGGATACGGAGGATGTTTGCTCGTCCCTCGAGGTCGGGCAGCGAGAACTCGATCTTCCGGTCGATACGGCCCGGTCTCATCAGGGCGGGATCCAAGGTTGACGGTCTGTTGGTGGCGAACATGACCTTGATATTTCCGCGTGCATCGAAACCATCCAGTTGCGTGATAAGCTCCAACATGGTTCTCTGGACTTCGTTGTCTCCACCGGCTCCGTCGTCAAACCGTGCACCACCGACGGCATCGATTTCGTCGAAAAAGATAATGCAGGCCTTCTTCGTCCGGGCCATCTCGAAGAGCTCCCGCACCATGCGGGCACCCTCACCGACGTACTTCTGTACCAGCTCACTGCCGATGACTCGAATGAATGTGGCGTCGGTTCGGTTGGCAACGGCTCGAGCACAGAGTGTCTTTCCCGTTCCAGGGGGTCCATATAGCAGAGCGCCCTTCGGGGGGTCGATACCCAGGTTGACAAACCGCTCGGGTGACAGCAGCGGCATCTCGACGACCTCTCTCAGCTTCTCGACCTGTTCCTTGCATCCACCAACATCGCCATATGTGACGTCGGGCTTCTCCTCGACCGTCATCATCGTAACGCTCGCGTCGATCTTGGGTGGCAGGGGCAGCAGGATCTGGTACTTGTTACGGTCGACGCCCACCCGCATGCCCTCCTCGATATCGGTCGGGGATACGCGATCACCCAGCTGGACCACGAACTTGGCGATCTGCTTGACGTTGATGACGTATTTGCTCTTCGACTCGTCCTTCTCATCCGCAATGATCTTGGTGCACCGTGCTACCTGTAACGGTTGCTCCTCGGACATGCGTTGTCTATCGGCGGCGACATCCCACAGATGGGGCGGGGCGAGCCCCGTGTCGGATTCCTTGACGCCAATCTTCTCGTCGACACTCTGTTGCTTCTCCTTGATCTGCTTCTCCAGATTCTTGAGGGGTGTTCCGTAGGGTGCGGCGCCGTAGGTCTTGAGGACTTGGATATCTCTGTTCTCGGATTAGCTGTGCACGGGGAGGTGCGTAGATTGGATGGCGGATGCGTACTCGTCGGAGAGAGGCTGGATCTTCTTCTCTTCTACCTCGTCGTCGGCAAACTCTTTCTTGTACTTCTCCCAATTTGACCCGGTGGCGGAAGGCTGCGAGGGATGTCAATAAAGCTCTACCTCTCTGACACGCACACTGTTCAACACGTACCATCTTGCTGGTTGAGACTGGGGTTGGGTGGTATTAAGTCGAATGTAGTTAAGGGAAAACACAGGATCGCGAGTGTCGTCGGGTATCGTTGGGGTCTCGTGGATAGACGTCGATGGAGTCGGATGCCAGAAATGATGGAAGAGTTGGGAGCTCTGGACGGACGACCCGGTCGAGATGCGCTGAAGCAAGCAGCTGCCGGTGCTGTACGTCCCTACAGGGTTGCATAAGCTCGATTGCCTAGAACTGCTGGGTATAAGTGCAACCATACCTAGTGGGGCCTAGTGCACTGGCAGCCTCGCAGCTTCCCCGGAACATTTTATTTCAGCAACGAAAATATCCATCCCGATTCACAGCCTGCGCGGGGGACCTACAGCTTGTCAACCAGGCTACATACCAAAACATTACACAGCAGTGCACCCGTTTCGAGACAACCCGCCGACAAAGACCTCAGCTCCGTGAAATCTCGACTGTTCTACCCATAACCAAACACCTGTCTACTTTCGACCATGGCGACTGCAGCCCAGTCGAGCGGTGCCCACAGCAATGCTACCTTCAGAGTAGGTCGAGCTATACCCGCGAACGCCATCCCAAAGCTTGGGAAGTTGTAGCTGACCCCGAGTAGGACAAGGAGAAGCCTCTGGCTGTGCGATCAGCCAACATTGTTGCTGCTAGAGGTGCGCTGCCTCTGCCCTCCTCGACCTATAGAGATCCCCTTTACTAAGTGCAGCAGCCGTCGCCGATGCCATCCGAACCTCGCTAGGACCCCGAGGTATGGACAAGATGATCAGGAGCGGAAAGGGTGAGACCATAATCACAAACGATGGAAACACCATGTTGAAGAGCATGTCTGTCATGCACCCGACAGCCAAGATGCTTGTCAACCTCTCGTCCGCACAAGACGTCGAGGCAGGAGACGGTACAACCTCAGTAGTTGTCATCTGCGGCGCCCTGCTCGGTGCGGCAGACCGGCTATTGGGCAAGGGCATCCACCCGTCGGTCATCTCCGAAGCCTTCCAAAGAGCCGCCGCGGCAGCGGTCCAAGTACTCCACGACATGTCACACCCCGTTTCCCTATCCGACAATGCAACCCTCCTCCAGGCCGCGAACACGTCGCTATCCTCCAAGATCGTCTCACAGTACTCCGGCCTCTTGGGACCCATGGCAGTCAACGCCGTCACGAAAACGATCGATATCAAGACGGCAGACAACGTGGACTTGAAGAACATCAGAATCATCAAGAAGGTCGGAGGCACGATAGAGGACAGTGAGCTGGTCGATGGCTTGGTTCTGACGCAACCAGTTCTCAAGGGAGCAGGTGGACCAGTGAGGGTGGAGAAGGCCAGAATTGGCCTGATCCAGTTCCAGTTGAGCCCGCCCAAGCCAGACGTAGGTTGACCTGTTTACCCCTGAGAATCATGGTTACTAACAAATACCGTAGATGGAGAACACCATCTCCGTCAACGATTACCGCCAAATGGACAAGATCGTCAAGGAGGAACGTCAGTACCTCTTGAACCTGGTTAAGAAGATCAAGAAGGCCAAGTGCAATGTTCTTCTGATTCAGAAGTCCATCCTTCGTGACGCTGTCAACGATCTTTCCCTACACTTCCTCGCCAAGCTCAACATCCTTGCCGTCAAGGACATTGAGCGAGATGAGGTCGAGTTTATCTGCAAGTCCACTGGCTGCAAGCCCATTGCAGACATCGACTCTTTCACAGAGGACAAGCTCGGAACGGCTGATCTGTTTGAGGAGTCCCAGTCGAGTGGTGCCCGTATGGTCAAGGTGACTGGTACAAAGTCCGCCGGCAAGACCATATCGATCGTCTGCCGCGGCGCGAACAGCCTCATCCTCGACGAAGCTGAGCGCTCACTTCACGATGCCCTTTGCGTCATCCGCTGCCTCGTCAAAAAGAAGGCCCTCATTGCGGGTGGTGGTGCCCCGGAGATCGAGATTGCAGCTCAGCTTTCCAAGCAATCACGATCACTGACTGGTACAGAAGCGATATGCTGGAAGGCTTTCGCAGACGCGTTGGAAGTTGTGCCCACGACACTGGCTGAGAATGCCGGTTTGAACAGCATCAAGGTTGTCACAGACCTCAGACACAGGCATGAGATGGGCGAGAAGAATGCGGGTGTCAGTATCAAGAGCGGCGGTGTCAACTCGAATATTGCCAAGGAGAACGTATTGCAGCCCCTTTTGGTGAGCACAAGTGCCATTGAGCTGGCAGCTGAGACGGTCAAGATGATATTGAGAATCGATGATATCGCTCTGACGCGGTAGTGGAAGTTATCTTGGCGGAAGGAATGTACCATAGAGTCGCGACCGATGTTCATGAGATTCCCCAGGCTAAATGACCTATGGAGAAGAAAGAATCCGATGCATATGAGTGCCCTACACAGCTGGTTATGATGCGAAGTTCAGACCGTTTGCGTCGAGATTCACCCCACGATACCTACTAAGTACTTGAGGGGGGTTCGGCGGGGCATTAGGTATGCAGTGAGGGGTGTATATGGATGGCGTCAGCGTCGGTGACGTTTATAATAGCGAAACACCCGAACGGCTTACACATGAACCCACGACCTTGTCGTTGTTCCCTCAAACCTCGGACTGGCTTTCATATTATCAATTCCACTCGGCCCTCACGAATCTCAACCTAGTAGTCAACAAATGTCATTTCGGATCGCCTCCTCTCGCCTACTAGCAATATCAACTTCGACCCGCCGAGTAGCGACCATCTCATCTCACCTACTACAGCCTAGTAGACCGTCGCCACTGTTGTTCGCATCATTACGCACGATGACTTCCTCCGTTCCCAGCACGATGAAGGGCGTCATGATCAACAAGACGGGCGGCACCGAGGTGCTGGAGTACAAGACGGACATCCCGGTGCCCACGCCGATCGACGGCCAGATCCTCGTCAAGAACGACTATATCGGCGTCAACTTCATCGACACGTGAGTGCGCTTCGTTCGCCCTTTCTTTCATATATGTTATGTAGGCAACCACGGAATGATTTTGGTGAACTGACGCTTGGGAAACGTTAAGGTACTTCCGGTCTGGTCTTTACCCGGCGCCGCAGATGCCGTATATTCTTGGTCGCGAGGCTGAGGGCACCGTCGTCAAGCTCGGCGGCGGCGACTCGTATGGGCTCAAGGAGGGCGACAAGGTCGTCGTCATGTGCGAGGGCACATATGCCGAATACACGTCGGCCCCCGCCGCGCGCGCTGTGAAAGTGCCGGCCGGGATGGACTCCAAGATCGGCGCCGCGGCCTGGCTGCAGGGCCTCACGGCGCTGACGATGGTGCGCGAGGCGCACGCCGTCAAGAAGGGCGACTGGGTCCTCGTCCACGCCGCGGCCGGCGGCACGGGGCTGTGGCTATGCCAGCTGCTGCGGGCCATCGGCGCCAACACGATCGGCACGGCGTCGACGGACGAGAAGGTCGAGCTAGCAAAGAAGGCCGGCGCGACGCACGTCGTCAACTACAGCCACGAGGACGTCAAGGCCAAGGTGATGGAGCTGACGGGCGGCCAGGGCTGCATCGCCATCTTCGACGGCGTCGGCAAGTCGACCTTCGACCTGAGCCTCGACTGCGTCGCGCGCAAGGGCAGTCTCATCAGCTTCGGGAACGCGTCCGGCGCCGTGCCGCCCGTCACCATCGCGCGGCTGTCGGCGAAGAACGTGCGTCTGATGCGGCCGACGCTGTTCAACTACATCGTCACGCGCGAGGAGCTCGAGGGCTACACGAACGAGCTGTTTGGGCTTGTCGTCAAGGATAAGTTTGATGTGAGGATCCATGAGACGTACCCCCTCAGCGAGGTCGCGAGGGCCCATGAGTATCTTGAGGGCAGGAAGACGACGGGGAAGTTGTTGTTGGATCCGTCGAAGTAAGGGGGTTTCCATGCGTGCGTGGGAGCTATGCAAGGGGGAGGCACGGGACGGATGTTTTATGCTGCCGAGTACTTACCTACATGCGGAATGAAAGCGGCAAACCTACAGCAGAGGTAGCCACGTATTTCTTCGAGTCGTGCGAAATAGGTGATGCGGTTATGATTGTGCAGATGGGCACTCAATATTGAACGGGTATATACCTCGACCCGCTTGAGGCCGTTTTTTGATGATATCTCGATCTTGAGGCGTACCCTGCTACCCGCTGGACTCCAGAAGAACCACCAACGTCTTGTACCTATGGGCACATAGAAATTGTGTCTTGTGAGCAAGCTTCGACTACAGTCTACAGTGGTACCGGTCTCATCCTTGGTGCGAGGTAGACATTGAGTGAGTGCTTCCTTGCCTGTGTAGTCAAGAATATGGCAAAGAAGGAAGCAGATAGGGGCTCTTGCTCGGCCCCCCTTCATGATCTCGACAACACAGTGGCGACGCTGGTCAGAAGAAGACTGGTGCTCTCGTGAAGACACAACAGTGAGGAGGTGAATGGTAAAAGGCGGCCTGGCCATTTCATCGCCCTCGATGTTCTATTAGGACCAAGGGCGCTTCCCATCAAGGTACTATTCTTTCGGAAGACATATCTCTTGTCACGACGCAACGCTGCCTCGACAAGGCACAATAGTATACGTAAGGCTTATTCCGCATACTTCCTGTAAGGAAAATCTAGAGTAGTATACGCAGAATGTATGCCTTAGTAGCAATCTAGAGCGATCGAAAACTCGGGTAATCATGAGGTGCCAACTTCCTTCGAAGCATATAATGCCCAGTGTACCCTCATGACCAGCCCAAGAGACCGATGCAGGGTCTTCATGGCAGTAATCGGCTGCATTCCAATAACCGTCCGTCCAAAGTCAAGGGTTCGGTATCTGCCACCTCGATCGATACAAGACCCATGCGTCGAGAAAAATGCTACGTCGAGAATGCCAGTCTCAAGCATGTATACCTACCTACTCTTCGCTGGATTGTCAGACTTCTTCGTCTGATAGCCCAACATGAGCTCCCAAGACAGAATGGGGGTTGGCGGTAGCTCGAGTCTGGGGGCTACCTAATGTAAGTAAACCCCTGTTGAACCCCTTACTCGATACTGAACGTCATCACCCAGTGCCTTCAAATACGGTGTACACGGGACGAAGTTTCGAGCTGGGGGATTCAACATGCAGAATCACATGGGTGGGTGTTCCAGACTGGCGAAGACCGCAGGCTGAATCCTGGTAGAGAGGCAGTCCTCACGATGCTCCGCTGACACTGAGACTCTCCACAGAGGTACGGATCACGGTGCCGGTCAACTGTCCACTGTACTGTTCCGTCGACCCCCATGTTTCTTAATACGGAAAATAAACCAACAGCAGCGATGCCCAGTCCTATGACTTACACGACCGGTCGGACCGCAGCAGTGAGCTGAGACAACACCGAAACTAGGGCTTGGAAAGCTGTTCAGGAAGACACGAGTCACGCACGATGACCAGAGCGAAGAAGAGATACTCCCGTCCTCGAGGGGGCAGGGGTTCCACCAGGAAGGATTTTGCTACAGCCTGCCATCTTGTACATGCATATAAGATGGGAGGTACCGTAGGCTAAGCTCAGACCGCTCGCAGACACATGTGTGTTCTTCAGTAAAAACAAGCATTCGGCCTTCCATGCTCTGCTTCCACTGGGTAGCTAATGCCAGTCACTCTTCGTCCCGCATCCCATCCGGCCAGGACAAGGACGTATGGTGCCGCCGTAGCCACGATCGAGAAGCTCTTGAAGGGCTCATTCATGCACAGGAATTATTACAATCTCTATCAGGCAGGAGGTGATTCAATCCTCCCTCGAGAATTCATCCCGGTCAGGTCAGGTGGTGTCGAGTTCCCCAGCAACCAGACCACCGGACCATATGTAACGTAAATTCAGCCCAATCTCTCACCGACGCCCTGTACCAACGTCAACCCTTAAGGCCTCTTGGTATAGTGGTAGGAGACAAAATCCTTTCGCGGGGGTTTTTCGTAAGTCTAGGATTCGATTCCGGGCCGTGCTGGCAAGCAAGTGATTAGGGTATCGCCCAGGTTAAAGCACGTCTAGTAAGAACGGATTGTATATAGACTGAGCAATTTTGCTTTTTTGCACTAAAAGTTTAAAAATTATACATACCTCACTTACTATATATGATTTGGCAGAAAGCTACTACACCCGCATCTCCCCATCCTCCACCGGGTTCATTCCGGCCCGAGCACGTCTGGTCCGCCATCCTCACTAAACCCAGCTAAGTTTCCACATTAACGCGCACGCAACTACAACTCTGTCTTGGCCTAGTAGATATAACTACGAGCTCAACCGAGTCGATCGGACAACGGCGGACAGAAGCAAAAAGATAAGTTGTTCAGGAAGCCAGCGACAAGGCCGTATGAAAAGGTCCATGATTAAGTCGGGGCGTTGCGCCCTCTTCTAGAGCCCAAGACGGGCAAGGGGAACGGTAGCATACGCTTAGGAAGAAAGCTAGGCTTTACTTCAACTGTTTGTCTCTCCGGTCCCGGTTAGTTATGTTACTTCTCGAATGCGCAGCACGCTTCTCAGGGGTAATATAATACACACACCTCATTCAGAGGACGTCGTAAACAAATTCTGCCCTTTCAATCTTTCTGCCTTGCTAGTAACTTACCGACTGCAGGCACGACAATATACCCGGAGCGCTATGCATCCGAAAAGCCAAACCCTGTTTATTATAGCAAGACGCTTCTTAATGAACCCGTAACATATCGTCTCAGGTTTGTCCCTCCCCTGTCAGGCCACCTTTAAACGCGGCTCTATTCCGACGAGCGATGGTAACCTGAGTCGGAAATCGTATTCCGAAAGTGCTCTTCTTCGCTCGAGCTCGGCTTGGATCTATCTATCGGGGCCAGAGCATCTTCGGGATTACTGCCGTGCCTAGACTACCGCCGAGCTGTTGGTGAATCGTGGACGCGGAACGTGATTTGACTCGCTAGGTCACCTTCGATCATAACGATGAACTCTAAGGACCACGAAACCGTGAATACCATGTAAGGCGTCCACGCCTGAGAATAGAATCACAACAAGACTCGCCTACATACGATCTCCAGTCACTCTTATATCTCACATCACCCACTTGAAGAAGAGCCGAAAAATACTAGCTAGAAGTTGTATTCAGGCATTGTTGATATACACCTACAAACTACCACTATGGGTATCTGAGCGGAGAATCTTCCATCCAGGCCCGTTGAAGCCCAGATGTCGCTCGCGCTTCGAACGTGCGCTCAATGCGTTGTTGTAATCAAACATAGCAGCATCAGCAGCAGCAATAGGTCTCTCTCCCGAGCCGACCCGCTCAAGAGGAGCTGCGCCTCTCGATACCTAGACAGGACCTCATCAGAAGAGGGCAAGTAGAACAGACAAGGTACCCTTTCCACGTAAACGGCAACCACCACCACCGACGTCCCCCGTTTTGGTACTCCGGTAACTCCAAGGCCCGCGAAAGCAGCAGGTAATTGCTATAACAATTCCCAGAATGTGTCCTTTCTCATCCCAACATGGAGTGAGTACGAACAGCCTTAGGGCCATTCTCGCTGCAGATACGATTAGCACATACCCCCTCCAAAAAGGTAACCGGCATTGAATCTTACTTGTAGTCAACACGGTTGAGACTCATCAGACGCTGAGCGTCGGTACCAGCCGCGTCCAGGTTATGAATGCAGTACGCCAACCGAGCGGCGATCAGCGAGCCCAAGAACATCGACTCTTCGAAGCCATTCTTGGTCCATTCGGCTAGGTATGTCGGCATAGGAGCCTGCTTGATGCTCATGGGCGTCTGCCCGTGAGCGTGGTGACCGTTAAGACCATCGCCGGCGGCAGAGCCAGGCGCCTGAGCCGCGCCGGGTACACCTAGCGAAGCCGTCGTCGCGGCTTGCAGGAGTGGGTTTACGGAGCTGGAGGTTGGCAGTTGGCCCGCATAAGAGCCTGTAGGAGTCTGCGAACCAGTGCCAGTCGGCGTTGCCATGTTAGAAGGCAGCTCCGAAGTGAAAATGGTAGCAGTACTGGGTGAGATGAGATGGCGGGCGGCAAGTGTTTGCATGATGTTTTCCTTGAGGCCCCGAAGACGACTACCATTCCCGACGAACACGATATTCTCCCAGCAGGCAGATCGCTTGTACACCTCGTCGATGTTCTGAATAGCGCGATATATCGTTTCCGTCATGCGGTCTATCTCGGCGCGATCCGCAAACATGAAACGCTCAAGACCAATCTCGATATCTTTCCGCACTCGCTTCGTTCTTCTCTCCGTTACGGTCTTGGTCGGCTCCGCAGGCACGGGAAGATTGTCGCTATTTGTTCCACCGGTACCCTCAGGCTTGGGCTCGGTCTTTGCTTCCCCACTGGCTGGAGCACCCTGAGTTGCCGTTCCAGGGATACTTGCGGGTGCAGGCTGAGGAGCTCCGTTTGAGACGGGCACCTGTACGTCTTCGAGCGCGAGGTCCTCATAGTGGAATATGTTATGCTTTCGCTTCGAATTAGGTAGCCGAGCCTTGGCTGCCGCGGCAGCCTCGGCGGCTTCGGCGGCCTTGCCTGCCTTTCTGGCTTTGGCCCTCTCCGCCTTCTCCCGCTCTCGCTTGGCCAGGAATTCACGTGTGTTACCGCTGGTAACGATATTGGCCACATCAAGAACACCTTCATCGGCAGCCTTTTCTTCGATGCTGCCACTCTCGTGATCCACACTATAAGCAGGTGCTGGTTGCGCGGGCTCTATGACCTTCGGTCCTTCGGTTGATGCTGCAGATGCATCACCTTCGGTAGGGAGCTCCATCAACTCTGGCTGATCCACCGCATATGGCAGCACCTCACATATCGGACTCTTCTTCAATTGCTCGGCCATGTCGTACGTGAAGCCCTTGTCCTTTAGGATCGATAGCAGCTTCTGTGTGAACACCTCTCCTCCGGAGACCTCTCGTACGGGTGTGGGGTAGCCCAGGTCCTTGTGACTGACAATGATGTTGTCGTATAGGCAAGTGACGTCGAGCTTCTCGAATCCGATATCCACTACCGTCATGGTCGGCCATCGCAGTCCGTATTGTGCTGCAACAGCGCTGTTCAGCAGGCACAGAGCTGGCGTCTTGGTCTTCTCGAAGATGTACCGGGCTATCGATTCGCAGTCTGGGCGAGTCCATTGCGGGGATGCCATGAGTACAATTGGCGTGTTGTGGTAGGTTGTCGTAAGTAAGCTGTGTACATGATCGAGGAAAGCCAGGAAGGCTTCCATGTTCACTATGCGCCCACCTGCGCATCATATGTTAGCAACTACCAATACATCCCGCCAGGGATCGGCTTCCAACCAGGGGCAGCTGCTTGTGCGGACCGCCATAAGCACAATCATCTGGGTAACTCACCTTGTATAGGGTAAATCACGCCCTCAATGCTGTCGCGATCCTCAACCCACTCCCATCCATCGTCACCTTCTTTCGCGCCATTAGCATCAATCGCGCCTCCCACCGCGCCGGCCCTCTTGCGCTTATATGTAAAGTACGGTCTGTACTCGTCGCTCTCCTCGCCCTTGAACATGCGCGTGGGGATGCGATGCGCAGGCGGCGTGAGCTCAGCGCACCCCAGCTGGGCCATGGTGGTGTGGCTGCCGGGGCAGATGACGAGGACCTGGTCCTCCCGCCATTTGCCCTGCTGGCTCGACATGGCGGCAGCGAAGGCGGCTGCGTCGTAGTTATCGTAGTCGTTGTCGTCGCCCGAGGTGTTTCGGCCGTATGTATTCAGCTGGCGCAGGAGCTCTCGGCGCTGGGCTCTCTCTTTGCGCGGCGAGCTCTCGACGACCTCCTGCAGCCTCTGGATCTGTTTGACGGGTGTGAGGAGCTTGTTGGTATCGGGGCGCCTCTTTCCTGGCGTGAAGACCTGGCGGAACGAGAGGTTGTAGTGGGTTTGTTCGTCGGAGGACGTCGAGGTGGGAGAAGAATCGTCAAACCAAGGCTTGGTGATGGCTCCAAGCTCGCGCGGGCCAACACGTCCCCAACCTGCCGATTGAGTGGTAGCTCCATTTTCCAATGCCTGCGCACGGACCTGCGCCTGCTGTGGCTGCTCGCTACTCCTGGACCATCCATTAGTCCTGTCCGTGCTGTGCTGTGGCGGGTACCAACTCAATGCGGCTAGCGTGTGAGACGGATGGGGCTTACGGTGATTGGACAACAATAACATCCGCGATGGGACCATCCTCGACAAGGCTAGCTGCACTCGGGGTGGGGCCGGCTCTACCGGTACGAGGCCGGCCTTTGGATCTACCGCGGACCCGATGCTTCCCACGGCGCGGCATTGCAGATCGGGATCGTGGTGCGGACGGGACGGTGTTGTTGCGGGTGCGCGTGTTCGGTGGTGAGGACGTGCACGATAGAGTGAGCCAAAATGACAATAACCTCAAAAGGGACAAAAGGCTGCTGGGACAAATAGTGAGGGGAAAGATCAGAGGAATCAGTCCACTGTGCTCAATGAGGTGCGGGCTTGGTGGTTATGGGCGAGGTATGCGTGCTTCCAAAGTTGGTGCAGCAGGATGTGGGAATTGAATGGTACAAGGTACCTGTGTTGTTGACATATATTTTTCCATTGGCACCAGTCGTTATGGGTAAAATGAATGAGCGCTGTAGCAACCAGTATGTAGGCCAGGTCAGAGGCACCCAGGGCATCTGGCTTGCTGCTAATCGCTCTCCTACTTCCCTACTGTTACCGACCATTGCACTGCTATCCACGGTCTGGTCCCCAATGCAGCAGCCGAGCATTGCCAAAGGAAACCACTATCATCAGTTCGAACACCTCATCAAGGAGGATGCACCTCTAGCTCCAGGTCACCCCCTCCCATCTTGAGCAGTACTCGAGTGTCTGGATATGTACAATGGATTAAACGATTATGTTCAAGGGTATTTGTAATGCTTCGGCGCTCCAGCTCCGTGGAGCCTCCATCAGATCCCGCTTCCCATACTGAAGCACCATGGGATGATGTCCCAATACTTGTACAGTTACACCAACCCCTCCCAGATCGTGCCGTGGTATCTCATAGTCCCCGTGACCAACCCAGCCCTATGCTCCCAGTAAAAAAAAGAACTCCAATACCCATCTTCATGTCGTTAGGTGAAGCAAGTATGAATACGACTGTCCCACTTAAGCCACCGAGACTGGGACTCCTTGGCTCGGCAACCCGACCTGCTGCCCCGTGCTCATTCGGCTTTGCGTCACAGCGCTGTCCTGTTGAGGTAGTTGTTCCTCAACTTTGGGGAAGTAGCCGTCGAAGCCTTGAGACTCCTGAGCCGGACCTGCAACGCTCTCTGCTGGTATAGCCTCGCTCGCTTCGTGGTGAGGCTCTCCGTCCTCTTGCTTCTTCTCAGCTGCACCATCGATATGTTCTATGGAAATGACCGGACTACTCTCAGCCTTCGGTGTCGCAAGTCCCTGGGTAAGCTCAAACTGCTGCCTGAGTGGGCTGCTGATCATACTGGAAACATCTGGCATTTGACTCCTCCTGCGCGATGTACGGGCAGGACTCCGAAGCGGTAGTGGTGGAGGTACTCTCCGCGGAATACTAACGACAGCTCCTTTTGCTTGCACAACTTGGGAGGCAACCATCCGAGCCGGTGTCTGAGCTGTGGCAACTTCGAATACGACTGCCTCTTCAACTTCATCGAATGCTTCGTCGTTGTCGTCGTATTCGTCTTCCGAGGCGTGTAGGCTACCACCATCCTCTTCTTCATCGTCCGCATCATCCTCGTGCTCAGACTCATCAATATGTTCCTCCTGCTTGTTTTCACTTTGGTATAGCGGCGCCTCCCAGGTCGCATCCGTCACGGTTGGTTCGTCATCTAGATCCGGGAAGTTCGATAGACTCCTCAGTGCGCTGATGTCAATTTGCGTGTAGTCGACCTCCTCCGGCTCCTTGACCTCCAGAATCTCATCAGAAGAATGGCGTTGGTTGCCATCCTCACTTTGGCTTAGACTGTGTGTAGGCGTAGTCTCTGGGGTCGTCGCAGAGTAGGTTTGAGTGCCAGTGTTGGTGATCTGGCTCCGTTCCGTTGCCGCTGTTTTGTTCGACGTGTAGCTGCCCCTGTTGCTCCGCGACATGAAAGTATCGATACTTTGACGTCCAACCTTGGGGAAGAGCGGGCTCGTCGGACTTGGATGATACTCAAACTGACTGCTTCCAGGTCTAAGTTGTGAGCCGGCTTCCCGGATGCCAACTCCCGCCATCTCAAGGGCTAGAACACCAAAGGGATCGGGGTCGGCTGTGTCGGGTAAACCAAAAGAGTGCGACGAAGCGGCCGATTGCGGTGATTCTATCATCGCGTCTCCTGGTGCAGGTTGGGACGAAAGTGAGTCCACCAGGGCCATATCATAGTCGACCCTCCCTTCGGCAGCCTTGAGTACTTCGGCCAGAAGTCTCGTCTGCGGCATGCTCTGATTTATATCACCAGCCAGAATTTTGGCGACATTTAACTTCATTCCATAGAATCTCTCGTTCTCGTCGGCTCGCTCGTTGAGCACTGTCCCATCCAACTTGACCTCTGAGAACTGCCCCTTCGCTTTGACGTAGGCGATGGCCGTGTCACTCAGGTCCGCCCATGTGACATCGTTTTCGAGTAATCCAAGAGATACCAGAGGACCACCCGTCATACTGACATCGGTGCCAAGCGTTACCTTGGTCCTCGCGAATGTTTCGAGGACGGCGAAGTTGTTGATGACAAGAACACAGTCATAGACGTCGACGCCGATGATGAAACCTAGACTGGCCGTCTGCAGCATCAGGCCGGACGGCGGAGACCAAGTTCCATCAGTCTTGCGCGCAATCAAGATGCCGCTCCCTCCGGATCCCGAGGTCCACAGGCCGGACCGCATCGAGGTGAAGACTGCCAGACCAACTGCATTTTGTATTATCCTCGGCGGTATCTTCTTCAGGATCTTATTCGACGAATGGTTGCTCGAGGTGGTTATCGGGCTTCCCGGTCGCTCGTCGGGTATTGAGAAACCATCGCCTAATAATCATGTTAGCGAGACTGAAGGGTGTGATCCCAAGCACAGCATGCCACACGTACTGCAGAATGACTTCAATATGCGGGCAGCCTTTTCGCATTCCTTGTCGAGGGTGGCGGGCCAGAATGCTTCTTTGCCGTGTCGGGACGAGGTGCTGAGGCGATTGACAGAGGGGATCTTGTCGGCCCAGCCGCGGACCTTGTCGACACTCGCCTTGCGGGTATGGCTGATGGTGGTGCCGTTGCTCGTTCGATTGCGGTCCCAGGCCGGGAGTAGAGCAGAAACGCGTTGCATAGTAGGCAGCCAACGGGGCCCTCTGCCGGCGGTATCGCCAAAATCACCGATGGTCGCCCGTCGAGGGACGATGTATGTTCCAGCAGGCGAGGTGGTGTTTGCAGGTGTTGTTGTTGGGAGACAGTCGGTTCCGGAGTCTGCCAGGCCGTAGGGCAGCACATGGAAGTGGGAAGTGGGAAGTGGGATAGATGCTTGTCGGATACTTCCAATATTCTGCAGTAGGCACGTCGGTGGCACGGGCCCCTCCCCTGAACCAATAGCCCGAATGTTAATTACTTCCAAGGTTAAGCAAAGTTAGGTATACTTTTATCGACCACTTTGGGCTGTCAGCCAACAGAAGGGACAAACACGGGCAGGATTTCGAGATTTCAATATGCTGAAGCCACAGAGAGGTTTAGTCCAAAGGTTTGAGGGGAAGTGGTGGTGGTACGGTCTTGTGTAGAAAGTAGGCTGGCGTGGCAGGGAGGCGGCCGCTAAGCCAGGCCGAGGTGTACAGGGCATGTACAGCACAACGACAACCTTCCTTGGATGTGGCTGCGGTTCGACCTGATCAACTTGTTCAAGGTGACGTTTTGGACGGGGCGGGCCAACCGCAAGCAGGGCCTGTGTCGCATGCAAGCCAGCAACCACGCAGCACCCAGGCACACCAAGACGCGCGATGTGCAGTAGTGGCAGAGGAAGAGGGTGACTAGCGGAGGCTTATTGAAGCTGGTGTGTACGCCGCGGGCGTTGGTGTCAGGGGTACAGCGCCCGCATGTGGATGAGAGGTGGCGGATGGATGGTGGACGGGCTCGGCAATAGCGGGGGGAGTTGAAAGGCGACAGGATCAATCAAGGCTCGACGGCATCATGTAGAGGGAACGGACCCCTTCTCGAGGTGTAGTTCCTGCGTAACTGCAGGCTCTTAAGGTGTGTCGACTTCCTTGGTTTCCGAGCCGGCGAGGCCCAAAGCGGGAGCGGCGGAAATGAACACCACAGCCAGACTTTGAAAGAGGTGGGTGCTTTGAAGGTAAAGCCGAGTTACGATAGTCTGACGATATAGCTACTGGCTATCAATCCTGCATCATTCCCTCTGTATATATGTAGTGTTGATGCCGCTGGCAACGACAGAAGCAAGGGATATACATCAGCTGAATGAATACTCTTGATTACTTGAAACAGCAGAAGGGCTAAAAAGGAAAAACACGCATGACTGGTGCGTCAAATCTGGCAGGAGGAAAGACATGATCATCAAACAGTTGAATGTTAAATGGTGGAGGAGACATTCCAATTCATGACATTGCAGCACGCCGACAGGCAAACCCTGTCCAGACAGTCCTGCAGGTTTGCACTTCAAGCGCACTCCACACGCAACAGCAAAGCCTCCTCTCGTTCACCTGCATCAACCTGGCCCCAGAGAAATCGTGAAATCGGCTCGTCTTTCCTTTGCTGATAAGATCAGATGATGGACTTGCCCGGGCTGTTCTGCATGACTCCGTAGCCATCCTCTACTACGTTATACTTAAGTAGGTATATATAGGATGTAGGCAACTGACATAGGCACTGATAGACCATTAGAGAGGAAGGACTACTAGACCTATGGCACGGTAGTTCGTACAACCTACACCAAACAGGGTGCCGCCGTTGCCGGAGCCCGATTGTGTGCAGATGATGCAGGCAAGCAACCTCTCGGATAGAAAGAAGCGTTCCTGCGGTCTGCCATGCGGGGCATCGGATGGGAAACCTGCAGCACGCACGCACCGGTCACGGGAGCAGCGGTTCAAAATGAAAGGAATAATAATACAAAAGCAGCAGGCGAACAGGCCGAGGGGATGGCCCGGATGCATTCTTTTCTGCAGGGAATCCTTCGACCTCGTGTCTGTCAATCAATCACACGATGACATCGCCATGCCTGCCAGCCTGCTGGGGACCGAGAGAGCCGGATCGTCCATCCCAATCGCATCCCAGCCGATACGATCTCGGCTTATTATTACCGACTCCACTGCTGCGCGCATTGCTTAGGTTGCGTACTGGGTGAGGCTTTGCTCTCGCGCACGGATGTTGATTTAAACGCCATTTTTGACAGCGAAGCAAGCCATAACATGATCATTGATAACGCAGCAATATGGCAGATGGGGTTTCATCAATGACAATCTACTGCGTGGCCGACGTTACGCTGGCAGGCTGGTTGCTCCAATCCGTGATGGGCTGGCTCAGATCATCACCGCCTCCCTCATGTGCTGGTTTATTTTCACCTCCATGTATGCGACCACACAGAGAGTGGGGGGTTCCGATGTGCTGTCGGTGAAGGAGACAGGCTCCAGGCCTACAAGGTATGTCTCGCCTTTGTTTCATTGGTGGCCTGATCTAGGTACCTACAGGTAGAAATGCGGTCTCATCCGTCTACAAAGGGACATGGATGCATGCCAAATCGTCCGTCCACCTGCATTGCATTTCCGCCCCCGTAGCCCAAGCCCCAAGCCCCAGTCCAAGCGCGACAGCGACGACGAAGCAGGTGAGGTGGTGATGAGGCGGGAACACATGGCTTTGCTCGCATGGCACCACGGGCGCTACTATTAATAATGATCGAAGGGATGGAAATTGATACATCCTGAGAATGGAGTAATGTACTTTGTACACGACGAGTTTCGCTTGATCTACCCGGCCCAGACCGTTGGAAAACTTCTCTCCGAGTCTCCGACGGAACGCACACAGCCCACTCAAGCTTTGGGGAAGCAGGGCCACCCCGGCATCAGATCATCACAGACGCCGGCCGCTTCTTGAAGGCTTGTTATTTCAAAATCAAAGTGCATGCATGCATGCCAACGTTGGAGACACAGAATTATAAAGACCACACTGCATCCTATTCGATCACATCAGTTAATACCTCTCATTACCTTAGGATGGGCCATCATCCAGGACAGGCAGATAGCAGACAGATGAGGTGACCGTTTACGACCGAAGTCACCCCTCACCGACACTCAAGCCGCACGAGCTGTCACGTCCTACTACATCAGCTCAGCTGATGCAAAACCACCACGGTACATACGACGTGTGACGAGGCTCCCGGCCCCTCTAGACACTGACTACAGCCAAACCATCGTGACCTACAACAGTAAGCCAGTAAGCGCAGCCCGCATCAAGAAACATGTGTTGCTCACCCACTCACTCATCCTGCTCGTACCACCCGAAATTACACGCCCGGGCTCTCTGGACTCTATGGACCCTGATCAATCATCCATCCCGTTTGCTTCCCCGTGAATCCGTATGCGACAATGAGATGCCGTGCACCTAATTCTATACTATAAATGTCTAGCTCTGACATTGTTGGGCATGTTAATTCAGACGGCTATGGCCACGCTGGAGGAAGTGAGTTGGTCGGAAGACTTGCGAAGGATTAGATAGGAGCGACGGGATGTAGCCTCAACGGCAACAATATATCTCTTTTGTTCGAAACGGAATGGGGGTACTTGCCACCTACTGAGTTCACAAGGCCCCGTACATTTATTAAAAGGAGTAGACACGAGGTTATGAACTTCCCTGCCTTTGAAGTAAGATATTAATATCCACCTCATCTGACGAAGGTAGCTTGCCACGTCCCTGTACACCCTAGGGAGAGTTCCAAGAGGCGGCGTAGCCTTCCTTAGACGTTAAAGAATATAATCAATCTATCGATTCTTTCGATCGCAAGAGCGAGAGTGGGGTCTGGCGGCACAACATAGTCGCTCTTATACTACCTTTGTACACACCACCTACTTGAGTAATTTATACGTAGGTAGATAGCCAAAGTACCTCATGTGTGCTGCCTCGCAGCCGTGATCAGCATCTGATCTGCCTACATTACATGTCGGTCGATGTGGCGGTGGTTCCAACTACCTGCATGCGCTCTGAACGCACGTGAAGGTTTGAGATGAAACCGCACTGGATTAAAGGGGGTCGAGGAACAAAACACGGGGCTATATCACATTACCCGTACGTAGCTCGGCGCCTTACATGTACCTAAGCTTTACCCTCAAGCTATCTGCAGTTGAAGGAGGGAGAGAGCCTCGACAGCCACGAAACCTTGCAAAGCCAAAGAAGGATCTAAAACCCCGCTTGGCCGGCGGACACCATAGAGAAGACCATCCATCCCCAGATATTCTGTCCGTCCAAAAGTCCCAAAAGGACCCTCCTCGTCCGGATTCCTAGCATCATCCATCTCGTCTACCGTGCGTCTAAGACACTACCAACAAAGAGGGTGCTTTCGTCGTAAGTGATAGTAGCCGAAGGAGAGACTACACGTTCCCTCTCTATCTATGGGTTTCCCTTTTGATGGTCAAGCTCGGAATATAACAACGAAAGGCAGCAGTCGACACGGCTGTAAGCTTGCCATCGAGGCCATTGCATCAATCTAGAGGTGTGTGTGTCTTATTATGAACGCATATACAATCTGTCACCTTTGTACCTCATCCCCATTCATCCCTCCAACTTGGTCGCCGACAAATCAAGTCTGCCCAGGCCCAAACAGCAAATTGTTGACAGACAGAAGACCCCCAAAAACGAAACTCGTAAATCATCTCCCTGAATGAAAACAGTAGGCACACCGTGCTAGTCCTAAAAGGACGTAACAGCCATCGATCCAACGCCAGACCGCGGAAATGAACCGCATGAACCGTGCAATCTATAGAAGGTAAACAGTAGTGAAAAGCGTCTAACCCAGAGACAAGGGTGAGAAGTGAGTGAAGTCATCCCATGCATTTGTCACGCCGCCTTTATGCCCTGGTCCGCCAGTAAACAAGAGCCATAGTGCAGGAATCCATGCACCGTCAACGCCGCCGTCTGACCACTGTCCTGGTGATGCAAGAATCTGTCGCGATACATATGCTGAGGTTTGGCTTCACTCGTGGCCGCTGTTTCGAATCCCAAACACATGTTACTACCTCCAGACGTCTCTCGTTCTTCAGTAGTTCTGTTGGATCAAAGAGTTTCCGGGGTAGACCCCGCCACACAGAACGTATTGCTCAAAGGGGAGGCAGTTGATAGTCTTGCGAGAGGTTCGGACCCATCGAGGACGAGGAACATCTTCCCAATCATCGTTGGTCAGGGGGTAGAAGTTGTAGGCCTCATGCGACGGCAGGTCCTGATGTTCGCACTCAAAGATGCCCTCGAGGTGCAGTCGCTCCAATTTTGGCAATTTGACACGAAGGCCCCTGAAGAGAGACTTGAATGTACCTTCCCAGAGATGAACTCCACCTAGTGATACTTCGAATGGCTTCGCTAATCCACGACCTCCAAGGCGCAGTCGAAGCAGCGTATCGCCGTGTCGCCCAAGAAATTCCTTGAGGTCATCTTCGTCACAAGATACACCTTCCAATGCCAAGTCGGTCAGTTGCTTGTAGGTGAACCCAAAGAGTAGTTCTCGAAAAGAAAGTGCGAACTTGGAATGTTCGCTCGTATAGGGGTGAAACGCGAGCTTCAGTTTGCGCAACTGTGTGGCAAGCTGCAACATACGGCCAAGTCCATTCACGGCCTTGAAAGAGGAGCTAGGCCCCTGAAGACCGGATGGATCCAGGGTTAGGTCGAGCGTCGACAAGCTATCGAACGATTGGGCATGTGTGAACCAATGCGTACGGTGACCCGGTAACCGGAACACCTCGAGTGGAAGCCGATCGACTTTGAATGAATTCAAGCGGATGCCATGCAAGGCAGATATGATGGCATCCAGGTTACTGTACGTCTCAGGCCGTTCGAGTTTCCGGCGGCAGTTGGGCCAGTCGAAGACGTCCTGCAAGATCTGGTTCTTGAGCGGGCATCGTGTGAAAGAGACTTCCAAGTCTTTGAGATTCGGCAGGGCTGAGCAGGCTTCTCTGAGGTCGTCAGCCCTCAAATGGAACGGGCCGACCTTCATGCGCCCTTGTTCAATTCTGTCAAACTCTCGGCGGGCATTTCCCATCAGCTCATTGCGGACTTCTGGAGGCGCCACGAAGTGTTGAGACCTAGTGAAAAGGGCAATTAGTCAACATCACATGAGCATTACTACTGCCAGCCAAATTGCTGCGTCAGATGGGGTTCGGGGGGTCCGACGCCGCTCGGTTGCAGCAAGGTGATGACATAGCGAAAAGCTCACGGGTCGTACCAGAAACTATGGCCTGCATCGTAGAAATTGAGATCTCCAAGAAAAATGCAGATGGACGTGATGCTTCCTCTCAGGCGTTCGTGGAGGGCGATGCAATGCAGGCGATCAATATCATTCCGCCAACTGACAGATGTGAATTGCGGCGACAGCAGGTAGTCGTAACCAATATCTGCCAACTTCACGGAGACTCCTCGTAAACTTCGCACTGATTCGGGCTCACAGTGGGTGTAGATGAGCCTCAGAAGCTCTACCGGTAAGGTGTCCATGGAAGTGAGTAGGTATGAGAGGTCAGGCTGGGCAGTCGAAGCCGAAAAGGCGGGATGACTGCAGCGGGGAGAAAAAACAGAACAGGCCCAACTCCGCCAGTTGAGGAAGACAAGAAAAGAGAGAGTATTCCACGCCGAGACAGACAGACAGACAGACAGACAGATGATGAGGTAGGTATATCAAGAAAACAAAAAGCAAAAGTCCGGTCCTTCTGCACCGTTCCAAAGTGTTGTTTTATGCTGGAGAGAAACGGCCGGTGGCGGGAGGCGAGAAGCAGGTCCGTGGTCCGTACTTAACGAAGAGGCGGAGAGACGATGCTGCAACAAGCCTTGCCTGGCTGAGACTGGGACAAACAAAGAGAAGTATCGGTGAGAGTGAGACACGCAGATACCGTCCTCTGCCTAATCCCCCCAGTCCTCTAAGCTCAGACAGGCAGCGGCATGAAAAAACAAGATAGACTGATCCACGGATGGTTTGTTGGCGAATGGATCCTGCAATGGATCTGACTACCCGGCACGCTGGCAGCTGGGAACCTGAGGTGAGGTGAGAATATGGAATAATAAGGCGGTAAAGGCGAACACGCACGCCCGGTGCCACCAGAGATGTGACCAAGACAGCCAGCCTGCAAGAGGACGATAATACGGTGAAGAGAACAACAGCCACGAGAGGCCCGAGAGCTGGGGTGCCAGGTGACAGGGTGGACACCTCAGTCCCGGGGCACAGCGAATCCACTGTGACAGCTGGGGACAGGGGCCAGACAAGGCCAGACGGGGCCACTTTTTAGTACCTGCGTTAGGTTCCACGAGGCCGACCAGCACTGTGTTTTGGCGAGCCGTAGAAGCACCCGGGCAGCTGCCGGGGGCCGGGGTGAACCACTGTGATTCGCCCGCAGGCCTCCATACAGGCAACAGACCGCTGGATCGTCTGGGTTCGTCTGTTGTTGCTGCCTCCAGGTCTCTGAGGTCGGCCTGACTGCCCAGTGCCCAGCGCAACCCGACGACGCGACGCCAGCCTAACGCCCCACCTGCAGTGATCAGTCTGCAAGTCTGCAAGTCGGTAACCCGTCCTGCCTGCCAGTGGCGTTTTCTTCAACATGAATCATCACAAGAGCAACTCAACAATTCCAATCCGGACTCGCTTTTACCTCTATATTGGATGCTCGCTCTCCTTACCTATTTCTTATAACATCGTTTCTGAATGATGTGTATCACCATTTCCCCCGAACTCCTTGCCTTCCCTGGACTTTGCGCCAAACTTGTGTCCCGAATGGTACGGTAAAAGCCGACCACACCTGGTAACTACCCCTGGAGATTGACGCCATGCTGCTAAGAGGAGGGCCCCAGCAATATTGAAGTCGCTACCAGAACCGCAACACCGCAGTTCGCTCGTCACAATCTGCCATGTCGCGCTTTAAATACGGCCACCTTATCGTCGTAAAAGAGTATCTCCCGCAGGCGCAGCCGCGGCTCCGGCTCATCGTAGTCGCTCTCCTGGATCGAGTCTGCCTCGGACTCGCCGTCGTCCGAGACCTCGGTCATGTCATCCTCGTTATCTGTTCCTGCCATGTCGTCGCCGTCATCGTCGTCTTCTGTCTCTTCACCACCGTCACTGACAGTGTCGTCCTCATCATTATCTGCAGGGAGCGCTGTTGCGCCGTAGCCATGTTGATCCGGAGTGTTGTTACCGTCACCGTTTCGGGCCTCCAAGATCTCGAAGCATTTGTTTCCAATGCCTACATAACAAAGCTGAACCTCTGGCCGTAGTGTGATGATATCCACCAATTGGTATGCCAGCTCTTTCGGCTCGAAGGTGCCGGCTAGATGCTCTAGCATATGGGGAATATGCAGCGAGCGAAGCTGAGGTATATTCGGAAGACGTTGCAGGAATGGGTGCTAAAGACGCCTGCCGTTAGTTTCTTCCATCGTGCCGAGGCCATTATCACTCCAGGGGAACAAGCTTACCCAATCCTTGTAATCGAAAGCCGCAGCCAGCTCCTTCAGACTTCCCATACGCCCACTTGTGATGTAAGAGACCAAGTCGCTGCTTAATTTCCAAGGTACCCACGAGTTGCCCAACGGGCGAGCTCTCCTATCCGAACTGTCAAGGAGCAACTTCTTGAGACTTGACCGATGCCGCTTGATGGGGCCTTTGAATATCTGGTCAATCGTCACTGCCGGCGGAGCTGGCACCCTACGCCGACGGTCTTGTAGAAAAAGTACCTCAAGGCTGTTCGGTGCCAGCGTCTCCTTGAGGAAAGCGACGAGGGAAGGTGATGTCATGTCGGTGTGGATGTGCTTCAGGGCCAGATGATACTGGGCGGCTGTGCCAGCTGATGAGCCGTAAGAGGTAGGTGTAGGTTGGAAATGTCTCCTGAGTACTCTCCACAGAGCGTCGTAACCATCACAGTTCAGAATCGTGAGATCAGTCAGAACACTCCAGTCTATAGCCTTCGTGCAGACCTGCATTGAAAGGGCCACCCTCTCAAGTGCCAGAGTTCGCAGTGTTAGCTTGCCATCGAGGCGGTCTCTGGTCCGGCGACACGACGCTGAAGCTTGCCACGGTTCTGTTTGGGAAACGTAATAACCACGTGGTTGAACAAGTGTATTGATATGGGCGGTTGAGTCAGAAGCAGCCACGCTACTGGAGGCAACTCCTCCATTTGATCCGCTTGATGTATCGTCATCTTGGAAATGAACGTGACGCGATTGCTCTGCAGACGAGGCAGAAGATGCCCCCTCCTGGCCTGTCGGATCGGATTTCCTTCTGATGTCACTAGAGCGTTCCGAGTCAGTAGCAACATCTTAGGGGGAAGCTGGAGGAGAAAGGAAGCTTCAGCCATCGTTCAGGAATCCTGAGACAAGCAGAGAAAGCCTGGCCAGAATCCTTATCGACGAAACACGTCAGGTTAGGGATGTGCGGGTGGATGCTACTCACTATATTCGGCCAACTAGAACTCCTAGAACACCTCCCAACCTCTTGTCACCAATGTGGTTGTCACCTGGCCACCGAGCATCATGATCTACCTGCTCCAGGTGAATTCCGTCCCAAGTTTGAGCAAATTCGAGTGTCTGGGCTTTCTGGGAAATTCCAACACGAAGCTCCCGAAGGCTAGATAGAGATCGCTCGATAAGGACCGACATCTCATCTAGATATGCAAGCTCATCAATGTCTAAAACCGTGAGACTCTTCAACGGAGACAGCACACTGAAGGTCGGGTACTCAACGCGGCATTCGGAGTAGCTTATTGTCTGAGCCCACGGCGGGAAAGTACCGGGTGTTATGGTGTTTCCAGTGGGGGTCATCGTGCTACCCGGTGCTGGACCACTAAGAGGTGGCGGAGGGGGGAGCGGATGTGTAGGACTCGAGACGGTTGTAGAGGCGGGAGAGGTATCAGAATTGTCGTGCCAGCGGATCCACACCTTCTCCAACTTTGACTCTCCCTCGGCGTGATGGTCCTGCAGGGACGCGAGACCCATGAAGATGTCGGACAAGACTCCAGTCGGCATGTCCCACACGAACGTTTCCAAGTTGATCATCTTCCCTACAGCAATCGCCACGAGGGTCCCCAGCATCTTACCGGTTTCTTTCGTAATCATGTACTCGGAGGTCCAATCGGACGGTCCATTGCCAAGCGAGAACTTGCGCGTATACTTCGCATACTGATTATCTGAGAGCTTCTGCGACGGGCTCAGGTTACCCAGTGGGGTCCCTCCTAGCCACCTTGTTCTCTGAGCAAACTTGCTCCCCAGACACAGAGTGGATAGGCCATAAGTTAGGGCATCGATACTCTTACTGTCTGTCGTAGTTAACGAGGCATCCGGCCAGACGATATCGAAACGTGCGTATATGTTGGGTATGGTAAGGCTATAGAGCGTGGAGTTCGTCAAAGATAGCGAGATCAAGTCGTTGGTGTAGGTGACCTATGAACCCAATGCTCAGTTAGTAAGATCATGACAAATGTGAGTTGGGTACTGGACAGTAGGCTTGCCTCCTTAACGATCAACCTTAGTACGTCGACTGGAAGGTCCAGAAGATTTAAGGGCCCGACCTTGCTCTTGATAGCTTCCCATTCGCGACTCTTGTGCGCCTTGAGGAGTTTAATGATGAGCGGGACCTGGTCGCGGGAAAGAGGTGTCTGCGGTTCGCGAGAAGGAGGTTCGGAGGAGGGCGCTTCACTTAGGAACTGACTGTTCTGACTGTTCCCTTGTTTTGCCTGGGAATGCGGAGCTGGTGGTTCCTTGGAGTTGGAGGAGGTGGTGTCGGTGCTGTGGGCCATCTTGTCCCTCTCCACGAGTCCACGCTGGTTCCTAAGCTCTGGCCGACTCTCCGTACTCTCAAGCCCCTCGTCCATCAAAAGTATTACCGTGCACCGTGAGTCTGTGACAGTGGATTGGAGTCGGGAGATTGAGATGCTGAGCACCCAGGCAGCGTCTTGAGGGGTATGGTCGTGATGCCTTTGGGGAGGCGGCGTTTGCGCAGATGGCCCGGTACGTGATCAAAGCACTGAACGTGACACTACCGAGCTCCGTGGCCTGGAAGTTGCTGAACTTATGTATGTTTTGTATGATGCGTATGGACTGGGGCTCGCAAATATTTGTTGGCCGTATGTAGATATGTCAGTTGTCAGTTACAGCTCTGACTTGTTTGCTGCATGCTGAAAGATTGTAGGGTCAGGTCAAGATCAAGCTGTCGCACGAGCCACTTCAATGATTTGCGCGCGGCACGTAACGTTAAAGCTTCGATGGCAGGCTAGACCTATTGCCCTATGACCGAGGTGTGCCGCCGACTTGAGCATATGACTATAATCATGTATATCGTATTGACGTTGCAGTTGTCATGTTTGCAATGAGGTACTCATTAAGGTAGAATGAGTAGAGGAAATAAGGAAGTGATTAATATTGATGCAGCTTCATGTTCCTTCCACCAACCCGGTTGTTTTGCGGCGCATGGAAGGGCGCTGAAGGGCCAAGGCTGGAAGAGTCCACAGAACCTTAAAATATCCCGTGTCATTAGCACGTCGTTTTATGATTAGTTTCATAGGGGTTTTCTGGGGTCGGTCCCCCAACGCAGACCAGTAAACGTTGACGAGGACGTTGCTCTAATAACTTGGTTCAATGTTTTGCCAGTCAGACGAAAGAATAACATGCTAACACAGTGAACTTGTTAGGTCGTCTTCTAAAACAAGCTCGCGACTCGGGAATATCTTTGGCTTCTCTGTTGGTAGCCGTCCCTTTTCCCAGCGTAGGTATTGTACAATGTACGACTAAGTTGGGAGCGATCAGCCGTGTGGAAATGCTGCAGAGGAGACTGGAGTGTCGCGACAGCGTCATGTAAAGATCATTTCTTATGATGTACACCCACCTTTGATGCATGTCGACGAGCCTGTATACATGTAGGCATTATCACGAATGAAGTTCTGAAGGTTGCATTCGATATCGCTGTTCCTTTTATTATCTACCTATATTACCTACCTTAAGCCAGCGCGGCACTGGGCCTGGGGTGCGTGCCCCTCTTTCTGCCCGAGTGCAGACGCGACTTGACCCCTCCCGATGTCCGCCGGCCCCCTTTCAGGTCTCGATGAACTTGTAAACTTGGACCGTCAGGTAAAGAATCACCGGGCCGTGCCTTGTGCCTCGTGCTTGTTTACGCCATACCCGCCCAGACTAATAACTACCTTAACCAAGGGGTCTGGATCATTCTCGACCGCAGACATCCCAGAGCCCGCCATCCCTACATTCCGTACCTGTGCCCTGTGTTGCTTTCAGGCGTCTCGAAGCTCCGACTTCTGCCCCGCTCTTATTAACGTCGAACCTGTTCGGTCGCGTCGTGGCTACATCATCCGCCCAGCTCTCCAGGGCTCTCTGTGCTTGCCTGCTCTTTAAACCGAATTGGAAGGCTTAGGTGGTGATTACAGCCTAACCCAACAACACTCTGACCGCAAATCGAGTCGTCTGTTCCTGTCCTCCAACCTCGTCCGTCCACCGTCGCAACGTCATACCCCGACGACCATCTCGGCTTACCAAGAACCCTCACAGGAAGCACCTCCCAGCTGTCGCATACCCTCCCATCGCGACACATAACCTGTCGCATTGTTACTACAAGCGTCGCACTACCATCGACATCATGGCGGGCTTCGCCGAGCGGATCTGGGAGTCCATCTTCACCCCTGGCCCAACCCCGAGTCTCCTGATTGCGACCAACGTCACCTTCGCCAGTCTGCAGATCGTCCTCTTCGTCCTCCTTCTCGCGACATACAGCGTCCACTTTGTTGTGTTGTCATTCCTGTCGGCAGGGCTCTGGTGGGCCATCAACTGGTTCGCGGCCGAGTTGAAAGCTGCCCAGGACAACGAGGCAAGGGATAAGGCCCGCGCCGAGCAACGAGCGTCCCGACAGGTGACGGAAGACAGTGAGACCGAGGTCGAGACGATCATCGCGAAAGGGAAGCCAACAACTGGGAGCAGGGAGGTCGAAGTCATGGAGCAAACTGGAGACTTGAAGCTGCGGGCCGAGTCCTCGTCGGGAACCAAATCCAGTGTCAGCACCGAAGACGAGTGGGAGAAAGTGTCGGAGAGTGAGAAGGAGAAATAGACCTGACCTCGATGAGGAATCAACACAAGTACTATTGGGCTCCATTGGGACATGTTCATCAGTGCATTTGTAGCGCTTCTTGGTTCGGTTACAAAGATACCTCCTCCGCATGATAGTTTTTGGGCGTCGATTCCACTATGTATGGAATACGAGCATGATACCTGATGACAACCTACCGCAGAGAAGATCTACATCCTCTTTCAGATGAATGCGGGAACATCAATATAGTAATTAATTCGGCCGCATGGAGCAAACATAATATTCTAAATGCGAAGGTGGCTACTTAGACATTCAAATCATACAAGCAAGCTGTCGCTCGTCCAAGGTGGTCCGTCACGTGACCGTTGTTGCGGGAAGTTTACATTGGCAGCGGTCTGGAGATTGGTGGTAGCGGCAGGCTGCCCCCCAATTTTCTGGGCCAGAAAACGGTAAAACCTACCTCATATTGGAGCTTCTGGATTTTGGTGAACGCGACCTCGAGCTTTCAGACAAACAACCCGACGCCCACAGAAGAGATCGCCTTCACATAACTAGAACTTTCATCGCCCGTCAAGATGAAGCTCGTCAGGTAAGCCACTCCCCACCCCGAATGCCGCACACAGTCGTGCTGAACCTCCACGTCCAAGGCTGCTGCGCCCACCACGGCCCCGATGCTGATTGATTGCTCTCCAGATTCTTGATGAAATGCGCCAACGAGACGGTGACCATTGAGCTCAAGAATGGTAAGTCGTCGACCCGCGGTCCCCTAATCCCCATTGCTTGCGCTGCCGCAGCATACTGACTGACATATTGCTTGCCAGGCACCATCGTCCATGGCACCATCACCTCGGTGTCGCCGCAGATGAACACCGCCCTGCGCACCGTCAAGATGACGCCGCGCGGCCAGGACCCGCTCTCCCTGGACACCATGAACATCCGCGGCTCGACGATCCGATACTTCATCCTCCCCGACTCGCTGCCCCTCGACACGCTCCTGATAGACGACTCGGTGAAGCCCAAGAACAAGGCGCGCAAGGAGGTCGCGGACAAGGGCAACGTCCGCGGAGGTCCGCGCGGCAGGGGCGGTCCCAGAGGCGGTGGACGTGGTCGCGGTGGCGGCCGTGGGTTCGGACGCGGCAGACCGTAGATGGATGGGAGGAGTATGCTTGCGAGAGGATGGACGATCAAGTCAGTCACTGAATGCATCAGGTCGGCCGTGTTATACCTGGGTCTTTCCACGAGGAAAGCGGAAGAGTGAGGGGACCACCACACAGCGCGGCTTCGGCATACTGCTTATGATGTACGGGAAGAAAGTTGGGACAAAAGGTTTCCCTTCCCACGGCGTTAGAGGCTAGGTAGTGAACAAAAACCCAAAGAACTCATGATGAAACGACAGCAGCAGCTGGTATGGCTTCCTCAAGTTTATTCTCCTGTCATAACAGAACATGCTCACAATAAAACCGATCAAGATACACTGACCTCCCCAAAACCCTCCCTCCTCGTCTGCTACCTTACTCCCTCCAGATCCTGATGATCTGCAATTTCTCCCAGCCGGCCTGCTTCCCGCTATCCCGCACCGTCTCGACGCACCAGCCCTCGCCGAACCCGCGAATCCGCTCCTTGACCTCCTCCGGCTTGTTCTGCGCGCACAGCAGCACGTACGCGCACCCCCGCGCGGACAGCACGCGCGGCAGGCTCGCGATCAGCCGCTCCGTCGTCTCCATGCCATCGCGCCCACCCGCGTACGACAGCGCCAGCAGGCGGGAGTCCTCCTCAAACGTCGTCTTCATCCCCTCCACCCCTCCGCCCTCCATCCCCATGCCTATCCCTCCCTCCACCTCCACCCCCCTCATCTCCGGCAGCTCGGCCGTAGGGACATAAGGAGGGTTAAAAACCAGCACATCGACGGCGCCATTTCGGAGCGGTGTCGTCAGGTCCCCCTGCAGCGCGCCGAGGAACCCGAGGCCGTGCGTGGACGGGTGCGCGGCGCACGCCTTAATAACCGTTGTCTCGGTCGCGCGGCACGCGTGAAGATTGATGTCGATGGCGGCTGTGAGGACATGGCGCGTGCCGAAGATGGGTTGCGCGTGCGCGGTGGCGAAGGCTATTACTACGCCGGAACCGGGCCCGATCTCTACTACTAGCGGTGGTGGCGGGGTTGATGATGTGGTGGTGGTGTTCGTTGTGGAGGAGAAGGAGGAGGAGGATGGGTAGTGCAGGAAGCGCTTCTGCAGGAAGGCCGTCTCGCTGGCGGAGGAGAGCGTGTCCAGGAGCAGGAACGAGTCCTCGGCCGGCTCGTAGATGCGCTCGTAGGCCACGTGCGAGGTGTCTGGTGTTGGCAGCATCGGGGGCGGTTAGCGGTGTCACGACATCTACTGTTGATGTGGTGGTTTTGGTGGTGGTGGTGATGGCGATGGTGAGAGGACTTTGTCTGATGATGGTAAAAATTTGCCTCTTGGGTTGAGAACACGACAAGCTTGGGCACGTGATACGCTGGAGTACGTGCTAGGGACTTGAAGGCATGTCGTGATGCTGAGGTGCGTTTCGTACAAACTTGGTACCATGTGCTTGTTGACGGAGGCTACATGAGGTATGTGGGAAAGACTCGACTCGTCACTGTTCCTGACTGTCTCGTCAGGTATCGTCGGCCTCTTCGCCTTCATCGCGGAGCCTCTCCTCTCGTCGTCCTCCTGGCTCGACGAGTCGATCCCGAACCCGGTTATCCCATGCCTCACATCTCTTGCTCGAGAATACTGATTTCAAACTCGTCGTAGCTCGTCGTCTGTCGCCACGAAAATTGCAGTGGTTCTCCTCTCTCCTAGCCGAAAGTCTTAGCAATCACCCACGCCAAGCAGCATCTTGTCTTTCTTCAACAACAACAACAACAACAACACCTCCGTCACCACCATCACCAACGAAACCGTCATACGTACCCCCCGAGACAAAAAGTTCGTGTATCCCCAAGACTCCCATCGCCGCACCGAAGTTCCCAGCAAAGAAAGGCCAGCCAGCTCCCGTTCCCTTCACGCCTCCCTCCTCTGTCCCCCATCCAACCCCCTAAACTCCCTTCCCTCGCCTCGCCTCCTCTCCCCTCACATAATACAACACTCCACCCCCGGATCACACCGACTGGGCCCGGTCCCCCAGCGCCGACGGTCACGGATATCGACGACCATGCGCACGAGGTTGCGATCATAACCACCATAACCATAGCCATAACCGCCACCCCCATATCCACCAACAAACCCGCCATAACCATAACCGTAACCGCCACCCCCAACAAACCGGCCTGGACCGCGCCGCAGCTCGCGCTCGTCGCACGCGGGACACAGCCCGTCGACGCGGAACGGGTGGCCGTCCGATGAGTTTGAAGGCTCGCGCGCGTGGCCGTCGCCGAATGTTCTGCAGAACCGGAACCCGGACCCCGGGTAGCACGGGCGCGCTATGGCGAGCCAGTGGTGGCCGCAGGCGCGGCTGCGGTAGTGGTCCGTTGTGCACATTGGCCTTGGTTTGGGTTGGGTTGGGTTGGGTTGGTTTCTCTGTCGTGTATCTGTAAAATCGGTATAGCCGGCTGGCTGGCGTCTGTGTGTGCGATTGTTGTCTGGGAAGAAGATGTTGTGGTTGGCGAAGCGGGATTGAATTTGCGGTGATGTTTCGTTCTTGTGCAGGGTTTTTCAGGATAGTGTGTTGTTGCCGCGTCCACGGTGGCTCTGGTATGGGATTGGCGAGCAGTTGTTTTAAAAGGTAATTATGTTGTAGATTGCGGTCATGGCGGTCTGAGGAGGGAGGTAGGAAGTGAAGAGCAGGAAGGAACTGACCCCATTCCGACCTGCTTGCTTTGTGGGGTTTGATGAGTGCAATGCTGTGCCAAATAGACGCACCACGGGATTTCCAATGACTCGAAGCCTGAGTTGTGGCTCGGGTCATCAGGCCTTTGCTCTACATGTAGGGTGTTTGCGTTTGTTTGCTTGAATGCCATGGTGACGAGATAATGAGTCACGGGGCAAGGCACTCACTCCAATGGCCATGCACACCGCCAATCATGGGACGAACAGATTGCATACCTCGATTCGCGTTATCAATCCATCGTTTGAGCATGGTGGTTAACCTGTGATAATCTGCTAAGTGAAAATAATTGAGTTTGACAGAAATCAGAGCATCGGACTCCTGGTATCTATCTATTTTGTGTGCTAACGAACGAACCAGGAGTCTTGACCAGTTGCCAACTCCGACTGATTATCATACCAGTATTCATTCTAGTTGCATACCACCCTTGGTGTTGTATCCCCACTAGACAATGTCACAATGAAAGTTCCCAGATACAATTGGATTCCAGCTTCAGAGCGGAGACCGAGCCCCTGATCACATAGATGCACCAGCGTCTAGTTCATCCGTAACAGCATCAACCTCGCTGGCTCTCTCTTCTTCAGCCCCGAGTGATTCACCGTCCTTGTCATCACCGCACATCCTCGTCACCATTTCCTCGATTCTAGAAGTTGTGCGCTCCAAGGTACCCAGCCGAGCCGTCAAGTCCTCCACCTCGCCTGATTCGCTCATAATGTTGCGTACCTGCTCCGTCAGCATACCAAACGGAGCTATCGAGTCTCTGCGGCTGGGAGTCTTGATGGAGGGCTCCGTGCTCGCGTTGTCGTCGTTCTTCCTGGGCCGCTCGTCGTTCTTCTTGGGCCGCTGTTCCACATGCGCGGAGCTCTGCTGCCGGGCGAACTGTCTCCGGATCATATGGTGGGTCATCTCGTCGTCGACGGCGATGTCTTCCTCGACCGAATCCGGGGGCGCAATCTCGAATACGGCGTGGATATCTCCGTGCGTTGTGATCCTCCACTTCTCCCAGAACCATCCCCTGCTGCGGCGTTTCCTGGGCAGCTGCTCCGCTGGGTCTTCTGCGTACTCTGGAGAAGACCATAGGATCCGCCTCTCGATAATGGCGATCAGGAGTAGGACCGGCAGGTTGATAGTCCGCACAGTCGCTACGTGGATCTTGTGGAACCAACGCGGACTCACTAGGAATTTCATGGGGACGAGAACAAATAGTGCGATTATGTTGAAAGGAGGTTGGTAGGCGAAGATCGCATCGCTTTTGACTCCTTCGAGGGTCCGGACAGCTTTGCGGAACTGGATTTCGGCGGTTGCGTTGGAGACAATGGTACTAAACGTGTTTGAGAGCATCGAAACCAGGATGGTCAAGAACAGCGTATTGCCGAGGAAGGCGAATGCGATCATCAAGATCGGGCCCAAAAGCCAATGGAAGTCCGTCTGAACAGCGGGACGGTGTTAGTGGACTGGACGTTCGTAGGTTTCTTGAATAGCATACGTACCGATTTCGAGACCCCAGTGCCGTCTAAGCCAAACCAGATCCATAACATCCATTTACTGATGGTGCTTCGAGTTGTTAGTATGGACCGACGGTACAGGGTTGAATGGCTTACACGAGATCATGACGACCTTCTGCCAGCCAGACCATAGAGAGCAGGAAGCCGCAAAAGCACCTGTGAACCATCAGTACCATCCCACCACTTGTGCTTGCTGACCCCAGTGGGGAGAGGAGGCCGATACTGGGAGTCTCGCGGGCTACTTACCAGGCCGCCAGGAACGTCAGTAGTATGAAATCCGCCACCATTGACCGCAAAGAGAGGAAAACCAGGTTGTCAGAGAGCAAGTTGAACGCTAACCGGGGAACGAGTACTGGTGCACCCATAGCGAGGACGTCTAACGCTTGCTGGCCTGGCTCTAATTGACCGATTCTCCAGCCATGGATACGCAGAATGAGGTAGGTCCAGTATACAATCGCGAACATGACATCCAAGAACGACCATAAGTTCTGCGTATATACCGCCCTGAGTTTGTCAGTGAAGAGTTATAAGTGTAGACAGCCGCATACTCACCATCCATGCTCAAGTATGGTCGCGAACTGGTCGAGGACCCAGCCAAAGGCATAGACCGCAAATAGTATCTCGAGGATACTCAGATATTCCGGATTACGTTCCAGCATGAATAACAAATACAAGCACAGCAGAGTAATGAACTGGACGATCTCCAGTGCAGTCCTAGTTCGTGGTACAATCAAACGATATTGATTGAGGAAAGGTTCGTTCTGTGGTTGATACAGCGAGATGGGTTTCTGCTTGTAGCGATCCGGGATCATATCGAGGAAAGTTGATGGGGTGTATATGACCTGGCCGACATAGATTGCGTCGATACTGTCTCGTATGAGCCGAGGAGCCATCAAGAGACAGAGTAGAGAGGACTGTCTTACACTTTCTGGCAGTGTGTGGAGCTTAGGAAGTATTTACTGCCGCTCAAGATAGCTACCTCGAGGGCAGGCAGAGTCCTGTGATAACTCCATGCAGCCCCGAGAGAAGCTTCGCGTCGGGTCTCCTCGGGTGCGTTCTGAAAGGGTTCGAAACCAGCAACAAGTATGTTTGCCAGGAGAAGCAGACCTTCAGAGCCCGGGTTGTCTTCACCAAAGCGTCGCAAGATACGAGTCGCTACCACCTCACACAGGGTTGCTCGCGTGAAATGAACGTTTTGCCTGTTCGTCATGTGCTCCTGCTCGTGTAAGAACCGAGAACGGTTTACGAGCAAACAATAGACTGGGCGGCGGTCACTCGTTAGCTTGACGATGGTTCAGTATGGTGACATCGGTAGCACAGCCATGACACCATCGTTTGACGTCTGAAGAAGGGCAAACACGTACCTATGGAGATATCATCTTGCTCATAAAGCTTGTCGACCAGTGGGCGGACGACGGATATGTTCAGGCGCAGGTCTCTCAGCTGCTCGAAGGTGAGGTAATCTTCGACTATGCTGATGACGTCCCTTCTTATCCTATGGATATTCGTGTAGACTGGCAGGTGGGCATGCGCGTTCGGACCGCAACTGAAGAATGGCTCTTCCCCATTGGGGTGGCTGAAGACAGCACGGCTCAGGAGTGGACGGCGCTCGGGCGACTGGACACGGATCGCCCTCCTCCGCCGGTCTGACATGATGAAGTCTGCAGTCTGTAGTCGTGTTGCGTGACAAGGTCAGGTGGCAGACAGCTCGAATAGTAGTCCCCTCAGCAGTGGTCACAGCGGCTTCACGCCATATAATAGTAAATAATGCCTCACTATAGATGACAGTTACGTGTACCAATCAAGGGACGGTTTGGTGGTCACTGAGATCCTGCGTAATTGGCATGTCAGTGTGAAGCTCCCTGAAGTGGGGGGTGCATATCAGGGTGCTGATGGACTCACAGGAGCTTTCTTGAAAACACTGAATAGCAAATCTCTGAAATGTCTCCAATGGATGTATTCAGCCTATCGGGACGTTGAGCTTGAAAAATGCAAGCAGAGAACAGGGCGAAACTGCAAACCCCAAGTGAAGAAGGGACACTGTCTCCGTGCTTTTGGACGTTGGTGCCAAGACTGGTAACCGTCGCGTTTCAACTTTCAACATCGATACCCGGACACCTGGGCCGGCCAAGCCTTGCTGCACCCCACTTAAGGCCATTGCTGGGCCATTGGGCCGAAAATAAACACCAGCCAGAAAAAGTAAATGTCAGCTGAGGTAGGTACACTTGCGCACCATCAAATCCCATTGCTTTAAGTTGAGCACAACGCGCGGCGAGCATACCTCGAAGGTCAGTCGCAGCGACAATGCCATGGCCCTTCAATTCGGGCTCAGGCCCAGGCTCAGGCCCAAGTGCAAACTCCAGCCCCGACAAAGATGACGACTCGTCAAGGCCTCCCGTCTCCTGGGCCAGCAGCCTCAATGGCACCGACTGGCAACACTACAAGGACCCAAGGAACTGGGTCCCGACCTTCCTATTGACCACTACTGTCCTCGTCTCGCTGCAGGTCTATCGTTCCTATCTGCGTCGCATACCTGGCGCCATACATGTCCAGCCCAGCTTCTTCAGGAAGAGGAGTTTGTTCGGCCAAGTCACAAGTGTTGGGGACGGCGACAACTTCCACATGTTCCACACCCCGGGCGGACGCTTCGTAGGTTGGGGATGGCTACGGAAGGTTCCGCAAAAGAAGGCCGAGTTGAAGAGCAAGACTGTAGGTCAAGAATGTGTGCGTGTCAGCGACGCTCCCGCTAACCTGTACCACCTCGAAGATACCCATACGCCTCGCTGGCGTCGATGCGCCTGAAGGTGCTCACTTCGGGCGACCCGCCCAGCCATTCTCGACAGATGCTCTAGCCTGGCTCTCGAGTTATATCCTGGGCCGGAGAGTGCGCGCGAAAATTTACAAGCGAGATCAATACGACCGGATAGTGGCCACTGTGTTTGTGAGACGGTTTCTCATCCGTCGCGACGTGGGTCTGGAGATGCTGAAGAGGGGGCTGGCTACGACATACGAAGCGAAGACCGGTGCCGAGTTCGGCGGCCTCGAGGAGAAGTACAAGGCTGCTCAAGCCAAGGCAAAGGACAAGAAGCGCGGCATTTGGGGTGGCAATCCGCAGCACTTTGAGAGTCCCCGCGAGTACAAGACCCGCATGAACTTAGCGGAATCGCAAAACCAAACAAAACCCTGATGGCATGCAGAAACTCGCGATCCAATGCTGGCACGGGTGATGGCGAGGCAGCTGCACGCGAGTCTGGGCCGCTGGATCTATCCGAGCCCACGGGCGGTTCGCGACTCGTTTCGCGAACGGCTTGATCGTCGAAACCTCGTAAGCGCGCCCTGATACCTACGATCTCCTCGCCCGGGCCAGGAAGCGTCGGGTCACGCCGCAATCTGTTCTGTGAAACAGTGAATGTATTGCGGAGCATGGACCTGTATGATCAGCCCAAAGCACTGAACTGCATCACCCTTGTGTGGATCGTTACGTCCCACCATGGAACGGGAACGCATCGGTTACCAGATTCCAGGTTCCGGACTCCGGAGTGCACAGTCGCAAACGGAACACAATGATAGGAGAACACTTATTGCTCTCGGATCATGTTTACAAGTTCTTGACAGGCCGATCGGTCTAGATTTGCAGAGTGGTAGCGCATGATTTTAGAAAGAGCTCGCCCTGTTCTACACACTCTGGCTGTGTGGTTGCCTCGTCCACCTAGTACGACATTGGCCTGGTGTACAATCATGTGAAGCGAAGCACAGCTGTAATGATTCAAGACCTCATACGCGATCGAAAGTGAGGGCGAGGTCAGCTGGGAAAGTCAGTCAACGATGAGAGTTCATCGGGTTGAAGCCGCTGTTGCCGGTTGCAGTCCTGCGAGCGCACGTATCAGTCAGCCATTTACATACATAACACAACTAAAGCTACGATTTGACGCAAGCAATATAACCATGCACTTGGAAACCATGGTGCATTTCACTAAGCTTGTATCGTCTGAACTATCTGAACCTTACTAGATACCACTCTGATCTAGGGACATCCGATATTCACGTCGCCCAGGTTGCTGGTCCCACGGCACAGGAAGTGAGTGATTATGTAGGTAAATGAAGTACTCCTGGACGGTTCTACAAGAAACGGATCACACGTCATATGTCATTCGCCGACATACATGAGCATGAGAGATCATGTTGCGCAAGCATTGATCTCCAGATGAGAAGTCGGGTGGCTGCCAGGTCGTATCCTCCAGAGGCGCGGGGCTCACCGCTATGCAAGGAACGCGTTTCCAATCCTTCAATGCGTGGAGACCGGGCTTGGGTGGCTTCGAGGGAAAAGTGCCCAACCAAGTTGAGGCGCGGCATCGTAATTGTTTATAATGCGGGAACCAAGGTGACAATATGGAGAATGGGCGAACCAGGTTGCCGCACAGCCCGATTACGTGGACGGAGGCCCGGGTTGATCCAGGACGGCCACAAGGGTGACGAGGGAGGTCGGTCGACGCGAGAGATGCTGACGGGAACAATTGGTCAACCCCTGTAAAATGCCCGTAACTCGTATTTTGGAACATTCCTAGACTCGCGCGACGTGGTGGCTGCGCGCCAACCACATTGGAGGCTTGGAGCGTGAAGTTGAGAGAGAGCCCACCGCCCAGAGCTGCTAATTGACACCCGACCAGTTACAAGTGGCACCTCACTGCATCAGCCACCCCACTGGCTGGCTACCCCTTACTACCGCATGTAGAGCACTGGAGCACTCTATTGAGTCTATTCCTGTGCGCTTTTGATGAGGAGAGGAAGGAAGGGATTCGCCATCATCCTCCCTTCGCTTTTTGGGTCTTCCTCCCGAGAGATTCTCGACCTCGTCGCAGGCATTTTCCGTTTGCCCTCCCTTCCTTCTCCAGACGGACTGCGGAAGTGGTAGAAGACTCCCACGGAGAGTTATCATCGCTCATTATTCTTGTTCTTCGACTCTACAGCAACACACGTCCGCCACGCGGCATTCCCTTCTTTTACTTCACTCGCTCGTTTCTTTTGCTTCGGCAGTCCAATCGTTCGACACTCCGCGCGCCCCTGATCCGACGACAGCATTGCCCGGCAACGCAGTTCTCTGACACGACTAGGAGACCGGTTTCGATCGCCGTCTCGCGCTGCGAACACACTCGTTACAAACGCATCTTTCAACACGCAAGAAATCTGGAGATTTTCCTTCGACGCTCGGACCCGACGAATCGCCAGTTGCTGCTGCCTTCACTCCATCAGGGGAACCAAACAGTTTGGCTTGGCAATTGGACCAATCCGAGGTGTTTACGGTATTGCACCAGCCTCATCACGAAGAGGAGCTGGGATTGGACGTCGACAATCGGTGGCGGGTACTAATCCATCCGTCTCATCCATCCGCTGCAAGGCACACACCTCCAGCACACCTCGCACACACACCCGACCGAGGTGACACACGATCGGAGAGCATCACATTGTCATCATCGTTGCGATCTGGGTTTCTGGTAAGTGGTCACAAGCTTCATTTGACGGTTCATTTGACGATCGTTATTCATTACCCCATTCGCATCCCATTGCACTACAATGTGTGCGTCTTCAATGTTCATTTGCTTCGTGGCTGGCCCTGCCCCTTGCCCATTCCCGACCACCTGTATCTAGCCCACTTTTGTTTGCTTGTGCACCGGTCCAATCTCAACCGCCGCCATTCAATGACGGCCACTGAACCGCGTCTTTCTTCCTTCCAGGCGTCACATGGACTGGGAGCCGGTGCTGTCACCACGGTTTCGAGTCTTACACCAAACAGGTGTGGTGTCGGTCGCAAGCGGCCACTAATTTCAGCAACCACGCCGAAGCTGTCTAGGCCGGATTACGCACTGGATGTTTGGGTGTGTACAGGGGTACATGAAGCTAACTGCTCCATAATAACAGTGCCAGCGAATGACAGCACGGCCCATCTCATCCCATCGCCCAAACGAGAACATCGACCAGCGAACGGCCAGAGGAAGCTGCACACGCACCACTAGCCAATCCGCTGCGGCTGCTGCCATCGATCCTGCATCTGCCTGCCTCCTTCACCTCGTCCCCTGCACGGTAACCAGCATTCGACCTCCCTCCCGAAACCAAGGAAACAAACTATACCACGCAACTCTGATATACACTACGCAAGCGACCTGACTCTTCGGAAAAGTCAGTTGACAGCGAAAGAAACGCCAACCACCTAACGTTCAACCGCGAGAACCGCCCACAACGCTTTCGTTTTCCCGCCCGGTACCAGCCCGAAACACCATTCGCGGGAGAAGAGTGCGGATACCAATCCACTGAACCTTCCTACCACCAGCATCCAATCCGCTGCGCAGCTGGATCCTTCGAGCATGGAATACGCTTGATATTTAACTCACTCCACCAGTTATTCTCAGGCCGGGGCGAACCGACTCTCGCGATTGCCTCGGTCGCTGGGCACAGTAGCCATGAGGATACCTTTGCGGCCGCGGCCTGCTACGCGCAGCCACGCTGGGACCTCAACATGGCTTGTCACTCTCGCTGCACTCGCGTCGCTCGCACGCGCCATCACGATAAATTCCATACCCGACCCGAATCTCGACGTCAGCGGACTGGGGCAGATGGCCATTGCGGGCGACTTTGATGGCATTTCGTACTATCAATTCGAAGGGCAAAGCGAGCAATCTTTCAGTTCTAATGGCTCTGAACAGCTCATGACTGGCTTGCCCAACGGCGCATTCCTCTCTCTCCAGGGTGCCGACGCGTCGATACGCACCATGTGCATGTTCAAAGGAAATGTCGTTCTCGGCGGCAACTTCACAAGTCTAGGCGGGAAGCAGTTGACAGGCATTGCCGCCTTCGACCCTGCCACCGGCGATGTGGCTGAGCTTGACCAGGCCAATTTCTCAGGCCAGGTCAGCAGCTTGCTTTGTGACGACTCGGCAGACAGGGTTTATGTTGGGGGAAGCTTCCGAGCTGAAGACTCGACCAATGCCATCACTTGGGTTGCCAACGCTGGGTGGACGAGCTTGCCGTTTGCGGGCTTTAATGGACCCGTCTCGTCCATCGTTAAAGCCTCCAGTGGACACATCATCTTCGGAGGAAGTTTCACGGGCTTGGGCAACACAAGCACACCTAGTACCCCGGATGGCCAGACCATCAACCTTCAGACTGCGAACCTTATTGCGACCCAGGGCACTACCACGACAGGCTTCAGTGATCCGAAAAACATCGTCTGCAACACCGATGGTACCAGTGGTGAGGGGAGCACCTGGCTTTTACAGGACAATGTCGCAGGATCGTGGAGAGCGGCTCTGAATTTCGGGTTTCAGCCTACAAAACTGCGACTCCGGAATACACATCAGGATGGCCGAGGAACCCAGACCTGGAGGTTCACCGCGGAGCCAAACAATGGCATCATGAATTTTACGTACATCGACCCCGCGAGTGGCCAGAACCGTAGCTGCACGAGCGAATGTCCTTTGAGTGCCAACACCTCAGTCGAGTTTCAGGACTTTCATTTCGTAAACAGGGTCGGCATGAACGCATTTAGGATCGACATATCTGCGTGGTACGGCAACGGTGGTGGATTGGACGGTATCGAACTATTTCAAGATGATATCTTCACTTACGCCATCAACGATTTCAATGAGCCGAGCTGCGCCAATACGACTACGCTTTCGGAAGCCACTTCTACGGGCCCGTGGACCGTGACTGAGTCTGGAGCCAGCAATTCGCAATATCTGTCGGCCGAGCTATCGAAACCCATCACCTCTGATGCAGCCACTGTCGTCTTCCGCCCGGACATCAGAGAATCAGGTGATTATATCATCAAACTATACACACCCGGCTGCCGTCAGGACGACACGTGTTCAAGCCGTGGCCAGATCAACGTTTTCGCGACCTTGAACTCCACCAAAACCATCCAGCACTTGAACGAAGGGGTGAGTTTATACCAGACAAACGAGTTCGACAAGTATGACCAGATCTTCATTGGAAATGTTGATGCTAGTTCAAGCTCATTCCGCCCCAGTATCACATTGTCGCCTGTGCCTGGCCAAACGGTATCTGGAGACCAGATGATCATGGTTGCTCAACGAGTCGGTTTCGAGTTGATGAACTCTACCGGTGGTCTGAATGGCCTGTTTGAGTACGACCCCTCCAAGGCTACCGTGGATACTTCCGACTTCGATAGTTCTGCCTTTAACAAGCTGGGGTCTTCATTTAAGGCCGACTCTGCTGTCACCGTTCTGGCCACGGCTAATGACATGACGTACATCGGGGGCAATTTCACGTCGGATACTGTGCAAAATATTGTTGCTATAGACAATAATGGCCACACGGTAGCCCTGGACGGGGGACTCGACGGAGAAGTCTCATCGATGTACCTCAGCGGAAGTCAACTTTTCGTCGGCGGCAAGTTCAACGGGACTCAGAACGAAACCACATCTGGGCTCGCAAATGTTGCCGTCTATGATGTTTCGGGCAACACTTGGAGCCCCCTAGGTGCTGGTGTTGATGGTACCGTGACAGCCATCGTGCCCATGGCGCTGAACCTGACTGGTGACACCCCAGAGGATGTGGTCACTTTAACGGGTGACTTCTCACAAGTACTCGCCTTTGGTGACAACGACGCTGTCAATGCAACTGGCTTCGCTGTTTGGGTCAAGTCACAAAGCAACTGGCTGCAGAACTTGGACATGCCCGTGCCACTGATCAATGGCATTCTCTCGACCTCCCTTCTTGAGGGGCTGGATAGTGGCCCTCTGTACGCTGGGTCGGTGTCTTCTCAGTCCCTAAGAGCCTATGGCACAGCGTCATTAGGTCATACGCTCGGGAATCTCCCTATCAAGATTCAATCACCGACCACATCTTCTACCAACAACCTTCCAAAGCGCGCGTCTCCGCTCAACAGCACAGATTCCGTCTCTGGTGTTGTGGCAGGAGCGTTCAACACAGACGATGGGAAGAACATGACGGTTCTGGCCGGTCACTTCAGCGCAAAGGCCACAAACGGATCGACCATCTATAATCTCGCTGTCATTGATCGGAAAAACTCAGACACTATTACTGGCCTAAACACCGGGGTGTCCGAAGACTCGGTGTTTTTGGCACTGGCGATTCAAGGCGATACTGTATTTGCTGGCGGGCGCATCAACGGCACCATCGACGGGTCCGCGGTGAAAGGCCTGATTTCCTACAATGCTGCATCGAACTCATACAACACACAACCTCCTGTTCTAGATGGTGAAGGTGTGGCTATCTCGGCTATCGAAATACGACAAGATACATCAGATATCTATGTTGGCGGATCCTTTGACACCGGCGGATCTCTCCCATGCCCTGGTGTCTGCATTCTTAACACAGAGACGAATCAGTGGAGTCGCCCGGGCTTCGAAATGAGCGGGGTCGTCTACACCATGTTGTGGTCCAGTGATTCTGTACTTGTCGCGGGTGGTGATCTCACCATCAACGATACGAGTGTCTACTTGGCGTCTTACGACGCATCTCACAACAAATGGACCACATTCTCAGATGCCTCTTCCCTTCCGGGCCCGGTTGATGCCTTGACTCCAGCTAACAAAGACGGAGATCAACTCTGGGCTGCCGGCACCCAATCTGATGGAACTACGTACCTGATGAAATACGACGGCTCATCTTGGCAATCTTCCGGGGTCACCTTGGATTCCGACACTGTGATCAGCAGTCTTCAGATGTTTACAGTGAACCAAAAACATGATTCGGCATCCCTCATAGATTCTAACCAGGTTCTTGTCATGACGGGTTCGATCGCTATACCCGGATTCGGCAAAGCGTCAGGCGCGATATTCAACGGCACGACCATCCTACCCTACGTCCTCACCGCTAACACGGATTCCACAACGGGATCGGGCTCAATCTCCAAAATCTTCGTAGAGAAACAGGATTTCTTCAAGAAATCGTCAGGTAAGCTTTTCCCAGGCTTTCTTCCATATACACCAGCTAATCATAGTCTCAGGTGGCGGCATGCCCGTCGGCTTTGTCGTGTTGATTGCGCTGGCTATCTCATTGGGCCTGATGCTATTGATAGTGGTTGCCGGTCTCGCCTTGGACCGGTATCGGAAGAAGCGCGAAGGCTATGTCCCTGCTCCTACTTCCATGTTCGATCATGGCAGCGGGATGCAGCGCATACCGCCACACGAGCTACTGGACTCTCTGAGCAAAGGGAGAACCGGGGCACCTCACGTGTGAGGCGGTCTAATCGTGTGACGATCCGCCCAGCGGAAAGCAACATACCAGGCTTGGATATGGAGGAAGCATCGTTCACCGCCGACCGCTATCTCCGATACATATACCACAACATGAGCTTTGAACCGGCGCCAGAGAAGATGGGAGGCAGCCCACAGAGATACCCAAACGCCATCGTCCCGGCCTCGTCGCCAGTAATGAACGGAGGACTGGGGAGGATATAGATGGCAACAGCCAACACACGCTGGAGTTGTGGCGACTCCGGCGTCTTCACGAGTTATGACCACACCAACCAGCTTCCTTAATGTTTACATGCCTATTTACCCTTCGACACACCTTGTATTAACATTCTTCCTCACCGTCGCTTGTACATTTCACTCATCTCGTGGTCTCGCCCCCCGGCCACGGAAGGATCCAATCTTGAGGAGAGCAGCTTTGGAAGTGCAATTGTTTGGAGTTTAGCGGAGCAGACCGGGGAAGAAAACCAATGGGAATTTCGATGGATTGATGGCATGGGGAGACTAGTCGAGGACAACTGGGAAGACGACGACATCCGTTTCTGTAGACTCGGATCTGAGCAGCCGTTTCCACCTGTAATATGGCGGTAAATAGTTAATCTGCAATAAAGTAGCTGCTGAACCTCGACTCCTTTTCTTGATCCGCGCCAAGTGATAGTGACAATAACCACTGCACTGCCGTTTAGATGGAGCGTGGCATAGCTTGAACTTGCAGTGGGACAAGAAGCGCTTTGGTTATTCCAAACTTCGGAGAAGCATCAATTCTGAGGTCATTGCCTGAGCATATTTGTTCAGTAGGAATGTAAGGGGATCCAAAGAGGCAAACATTGTATTGTCAAGTTGTTGTAGCCAAGTCTGCATTGTTTGGGCCCTACATTAAAAGGAGATAACTGCCAACCTTAACTGCTTTTGCTTGAGGAGGCAGGTACATATAAAACAGTGCAGCTCACTAGCCACACAGTCGCCCCTTCTCATCGAGATTATCTCTTATCAAGCCACAAGTAGATGCGGCTGATGCTCTAGATTTTGCACGCAAGCCACTCGCGTTAAGCAGCGGGACTCGGGCCTGGCTGAGACTGTTCTTTCACGTTACCTTAGTCAGCCCAGGCCCTCTCCGAAATCTCGACCTGCTTTACTTTTCGCCCGCCAGCAGTCAAGCATCAGCACATCTTAATTTCCACACTGCCACCCAACGTCCTCATTTCCCTTCGCAGTCTTGGTCCCCTTTTCGAAGCATGGTCACTTTTGGTATCGGCACAATAGTTCACCATGTCGGACGCTGACTTCGAGACCATTCGGAAGCTCCAGGCAGAGCGCAACGCCTCAGCAGCTGCGAAAACAGGATCGCGATCCTCCAACGACCAACGATCCGAGAGCGCAACCAAGGCGAAACTTACCGAGTCCTTCGATACTGAGCTCTACGACCGCGATGGAGGCGACAAATATGCCGGCTACCTCACGTCTATTCCCGCGGCTGAAGGGGAGGATGAAGAGATGGAAGATGCCGACAGCTCCCGCCGTCTAGTCGGCCAATACACAGCAACTCGCGCGCAAATCGACGAGTTTGCACACGGAAACGGAGTCGAAGAAGACGACCCCTTCGCTGGTAGGGGCGAGAACAGCACCAGGATTACCGATCGCGAAACTGACTATCAGAAGCGCCGCTTCGACCGCGTCCTTACTCCCGACCGCGCCGATGCCTTCGCGGCTAATCGCCAAGCAGGCGCTGTTGACGAAGGTCATACCTACCGCGATGTGATGGAACGGAGGGAGCTTGAGAGGGAGGAGGAGCGCGTGAAGCGCGCCATCCAAGCCAAGCAGCGAGATGGAGATGGAGTTGACGGAGAACATCAAGCGACCCTTCAAAACGGCGACAAAGAGAATGCGGAAGCTGGATCGACCGAGGCAGTAGCAGCTGGACGAAAGCGCAAGAAGAGATGGGACGTCTCTTCGACGGCCGTGGACGAACCTACATCTGAAGCTGTCGATGGGAAAACCAAACGGTCGAGGTGGGACCAGGCACCATCACTCTCGGTGCCTGGCGTAGTAGACGGGGCCAAGAAGCGTTCAAGATGGGACCAGGCGCCCTCTGCGACACCGATCGGTAGCAGTGGCCTCGTCACGCCGATGCATAGCTCTCAAGTCGGACCGGGTGCCACTCCGTCCTTCGGCGGAGACATGCCCGGCGCACCTGGCATACTGAGCGATGATGACCTCAACGTATTGCTGCCGGGTGATGGTCAAGGCTATAAGATTATCGAACCCCCTGCTGGTTATCCTGCAGGCCACGCGCCAATTCATAGGGTTTCTGCAACGCCTCTGCCGGCGAACTACGGGGGTTTCATGATGCAAGATCCAGAGAGTGTCAGAACAGGCGGGAACCCGATGCCAAAGGAAATCCCAGGTGTCGGTGAGTTACAGTTCTTCAAGCAGGAGGATATGGCTTACTTCGGCAAGCTGGCGGATGGATCAGACGAGAACAGCCTGAGCGTCGATGAGTTGAAGGAACGAAAGATCATGAGATTGCTTCTCAAGATCAAGAACGGTACACCTCCAATGCGAAAAACGGCTCTCAGACAGTTGACGGATAACGCAAGGCAATTCGGTGCTGGACCTCTGTTCAACCAGATTCTCCCTCTTCTCATGGAAAAGACATTGGAGGACCAGGAACGCCACTTGCTGGTCAAAGTCATTGACCGAATCCTCTGGAAGCTCGACGACCTCGTTCGTCCCTACGTGCACAAGATTCTGGTCGTTATCGAGCCATTGCTCATTGACCAAGACTACTATGCCAGAGTGGAGGGTCGAGAAATTATCTCCAACCTCAGTAAAGCCGCTGGTCTAGCTACGATGATCAGCGTGATGAGACCGGATATCGATCATGTCGACGAATACGTCAGGAACACAACCGCGAGAGCGTTCGCCGTGGTGGCGTCGGCTCTTGGTATACCGGCTCTCCTGCCATTCCTTCGTGCCGTGTGCCGCAGCAAAAAGTCATGGCAGGCCCGACATACTGGTGTCAAGATCGTACAGCAAATTCCTATTCTAATGGGGTGTGCTGTTCTGCCCCACCTCAAGGGACTGGTGGACTGTATAGGTTCCAATCTGAACGACGAACAGACAAAGGTGCGAACCGTCACCAGTTTGGCCATCGCAGCTTTGGCTGAGGCGTCCAACCCTTACGGTATCGAGAGTTTTGACGATATCCTCAACCCCCTCTGGACAGGTGCCCGAAAGCAGCGAGGCAAAGGACTTACCGGATTTCTGAAGGCCGTTGGTTACATCATTCCGCTCATGGATGAAGAATACGCGAACTTCTATACTTCACAGGTTATGGACATCCTGCTTCGAGAGTTCTCGTCGCCTGATGAAGAAATGAAGAAGGTGGTCTTGAAGGTTGTCTCTCAGTGCGCAGGCACTGAAGGTGTCACGGCTGGGTACCTCAAAGAGCACGTTCTTGACGAGTTTTTCAAGAGTTTCTGGGTCCGACGTATGGCCCTTGATAAGCGGAACTACCGACAAGTCGTCGAGACGACCGTTGACATTGGCCAGAAAGTTGGTGCCAGCGAGATTCTTGAGCGCATCGTGGTCAACCTCAAAGATGAGAGTGAACCCTACCGCAAGATGACTGTTGAGACGGTGGAGAAGGTGGTGGCGAGTTTGGGAGCCGCAGATATTGGGGAGAGATTGGAAGAGCGACTCATTGACGGCATCCTCCACTCCTTCCAGGAGCAAAGTGTTGAAGACATTATTATGCTGAACGGCTTCGGAACGGTGGTGAACGCCTTGGGAACGCGGTGCAAGCCATACCTACCTCAAATTGTGTCGACCATCCTATGGCGCCTCAACAACAAGTCGGCCACTATCCGACAGCAAGCCGCAGATCTCATCAGCCGCATTGCCATGGTTATGAAGCAGTGTGGCGAGGATGCCCTTATGGGTAAGCTTGGTGTCGTGCTGTACGAATACCTCGGTGAGGAGTATCCTGAAGTGCTGGGTTCTATTCTTTCGGCACTTCGTGGCATCGTCACCGTTGTTGGTATCAGCCAAATGCAACCCCCAATCAAAGATCTCCTCCCTCGCCTTACCCCTATCCTACGAAACCGTCACGAGAAGGTGCAAGAGAACACGATTGATCTGGTGGGACGTATTGCCGACCGTGGACCAGAAAGTGTGAACGCAAGAGAATGGATGCGGATCTGCTTCGAGCTACTAGACATGCTCAAGGCACACAAGAAAGGTATCCGAAGAGCAGCCAACAACACGTTTGGCTTCATCGCCAAGGCAATTGGTCCCCAGGATGTGTTGGCAACCCTGCTAAACAACCTGAGAGTCCAAGAGCGACAGTCTCGTGTATGCACAGCCGTGGCCATCGGCATTGTTGCCGAGACTTGCGCTCCCTTTACGGTGCTTCCAGCTTTGATGAACGAGTATCGGGTGCCGGAGCTGAACGTTCAGAACGGTGTTCTCAAGTCACTGTCTTTCCTCTTCGAATACATCGGAGAGATGGCTAAAGATTACGTCTACGCTGTGACACCACTCCTCGAGGATGCCTTGATCGATAGAGACCAGGTGCATCGGCAAACGGCAGCCTCGGTGGTGAAACACATTGCGCTTGGCGTAGTCGGTCTGGGATGCGAGGACGCCATGGTCCATCTCCTCAACGTAATATACCCCAACATATTCGAAACAAGCCCGCACGTCATCGACCGCATAGTGGAGGCCATCGAAGCCATCCGGGTGGCCGTCGGACCCGGTCTCGTGATGAACTACGTCTGGGCTGGTCTCTTCCATCCCGCCCGCAAGGTCAGACAGCCGTACTGGAGACTGTACAACGACGCGTACGTGTACCAGGCGGATGCGCTGGTCCCCTACTACCCGAACCTCAACGAAGAGGGTATCGACAGGCCCGAGCTGGCGATTGTTTTATAAGTAGGCTGAGTAATAGATGGGAGGATGAAGGTTCTTTGCTACAACGGTATCGGCGTCCAGGTTGCTGCACAGTAGGCAGATAGGTCAAGAAGAGCCAGAAGTGTATCCTACGTGTTGGACATTGTTTGCCCCTGTGATGGATTGTGAAAATACGAGCACGTTTGCCAGCGAAATTGATATCTGAGTTCGTGAAAGTATGACGTTGGGCAGACAGTTGCGCTCGGGGACTCGGAACTAGACTCACAACAGTTGCCGGAGCAGGGCGTATGCCGAGCAACGTTGGACGAGGCTGCGTGGCATTCCGATCCGATATATCTGCTGCTTGTCGTTATCCGGTAAGCCGGATGGCTGTTCTATTTCACGGAAGGCTTGTTCATATCGTCCGTCGATCACTGATTTGCAGCTGCAAAGGGTTTCGATTAACCTACCTACCTACCTACTCATGTGAGGCGGGCTTGTCCAGTAGGGGATGGAATCGGTCACGCTAGGGAGACAGACGGACACCAGACCCGGGATCGTTGCGATTGGGTACTGGCTGCTGGCTGCTGTGCTGGTATGTCGTTGGTAGTTGGTAGCCCGGATTGCTCGCGCGGAAGCACTTGATAGGCACGCGGGCGGTGAGAAGAAGGGGTTGGTTGGGGTGATGAGCAGGGAGGGAGAAATAAAGGGACTGGCTAGGTTATTGGGAGGTCGTCATGACGTGTAGCCATTGAGTATTCTTCACAACTCTAGTACCTCTTACTATCTTAGCCTCGTTACCCTGCTTTTTGGTACATATGAGAATTGCGCCGAACTCTACCGCGTTGATAACGTCCTGTCTGTGTCTGTATCCCTTTCCACGCGGTCATTCGTGGTTGCGCTCGCTCTGACATGACAACGCCGGTTTCGTCGTATTCGATGGGCTGGCTCACGCTCTCTGAACCGTTCTGTCGCTCGTGGGCTGATAGGTTGCACACGTAGAGATATGCTTTGCGCAGTGCGCGCTCCCAACGCCATGCCCTCCCTGGTCCTCTTGGGATTGCTTGCCTGGAGAGCGGCTATGGCTCGGGGGGGTAGACCCTCGGATCTATCACCAGCAAGAGTCTGATAGATTATCACATTTACGTGGCCCCCAATGGGCTTCCTGGTCATATTCAGAATGCTTGAAGAGCAAACATGGCCCGTGGAGATATATGTCGACAACAGGAATATGATTGAACATCGAATCTACAGTAGAAGTTCGAATCAGCAAAAGTTAGAGAGAGGACAGAGCTCCCTACGAAGAAAGACGTCACGTCACGCCGTGTCAGTGAGTGAGCATCAAAAGGCTTCCAGAATCCTTCGATTGTTGATCACAATCACCAGCGTCCAACAGACATTTTAATAAAGTTCGTGCCAGCAGCCGATCGATCATCGTGCGACAGCCCGCTGGCTCGCTGTCAGACTTTGCGTTTCGCTCTTGTGTCTGAACTGGTGATGATCTTCCCACCTCAACTGTTTCCTCCGGACGGTTCCCAGCAAACCACGCGACACACGGCGACGATCGCCCCCTTCTAGTGCGCGCTGCGGAAAGCTTCGAGAACGACTATCATCTACCTCAACGGGAAGAATGGGCGACCCCGTCACTCACCCCTTTCATTATTATTGGAGTTCTGGGGCCTGTTCCAGCGCGCTGGAACCGGAGAACTGGGTCTCATCAGTCAGTACGTTGATGTCAACAGACAGTCCCTCCCTGGGCGACAGCGACGAACTGTGAACAATTGCGTGCTCGCACAACCAACCCCCTTTGCCCCTTTTCAGGATTGGACGGTCCAATAAGCGCTGAGATTGCTTCGCAATCGATGTCATTATATCCCCTATTATCATGCTGCCTCGAGGACAGCGACGCAGTGATACAGCACTGCCTGCTGAGCCATGGGTAGAGCCCACAAAACTCGTCGATACTTCTTCGACCACTTGAGGTACATGACCCCCTTATCTAATTCGAGAAAATTGGAGATTGTTATGGTCCTTCAAAGTTCACGTGTGGGTGGAGGTTGGAGGGTGGAGGGTGCGGAGATACATGAAGGCTGCTTGCTACTCGGTATGTAACGCTGACCGCACCGCGGGCGGCAGTGATCGGCAGTCGCAGGTGAGGTCGGCGAACGACTCGAATGGAAATCGTGATCTTTCCCCCGTGGAGTGGCGGTGAGATGGTGAGCGGCAGCCTGGCAATACCTATTGCCCTATCCAATCGTACTTGTAATTGGAGTGAAATGATACCTACGAATTGAGGTTAGCTCGTAGCGCTAGGGTTAACACTACCGCATACAGTTAGTCTTATAGCCCCGAGCATGCAGCTATTAGCCTTAAAGTGTTAAACGCGGTAAGAGCTTTAATTATAATAAGCGGGGGTGTTTTTATCTGCCGTATATATATACGGCTAACATATATTATATAAGTAATTATAAATATAAATATAAGCTTTTAAAAGGTTTTATAATAGGTGCTTTTTATTATAATAATATATAATATTTACTTTAAAATCAATTATAGTAAAGGTTTAACAATAAAAATTAACTAGCTTATTTAAATTGGTTATATTGACTAACTATTAGTTTTAATAGAAGTAGTATTTTTATAAATTACTCTATTCATAATTAATTATAATTAATTATAAAAACGGTAAACATTGACAATTTATTTTTATATTACGTAATAAAACCTATAAATATCGAAACTATTAAAAGCTTATATATTATATGATTTTTTTTAGTAACAAGATAAGTGTCAGATGTTGGATCCCAGATATGGTGCCCTTAGGTGCAGTACCTACTAGGGGGCTATCAAGGGAACAGTGGATCTATCCTGGCATGGTGCAGTATGGTATTTAGCTGTAGATTAGCCCTGCCAAGCATACTTGAGAATGACAACAACATTTGCAGCGACCGCTCACACACCAAAGGCTTGTGACCTTTCTAGAATCTCACAATAAGTTAATAATAAGCCTTAAAATAAGCATCGATACTTTTTTAAGTTTATATTATTACTAGCTTTATTATTTTAAAAATAAAGAGAAAATTATAAGTATTTGCTATTATTTTAAGAAAAAAAGACGATTAAAAAATAATTTTATAGCTTTAAATAAGCGACATAATTACATCTTTTAATAAAAGATAAAATTTATTACCGGTTAAAATAAATATTATTTTTAATTCATACGTTATTTAAATTTAAATAAAATCCGTATTTTAAAGCTATTAAGCCTTAAAATAACTAGTTTCTAATATTAGTTTTAACCTTATTAAAACCTAGTTATTAAAATAAGTAATATATAATGTTGAATATACGTTATAAAAGTTTAAAAAAGGTTTATATGGCCTTAATTATTAGTAAAATCGTATACGATATTCAATTTATACGATATTTTGAGATTTTCCTTATTAAAAATATCCGTTATTTAAAAAATATGCGCTATTCTATATATCTCTCTTATAAGGCGTATCTCTTATCAGGGGCACCCACTGTATCGAGAGTCCTAGGTCCCCAGTTTTCTACAGGCTAGGATAGATATCGCTATGGAGTAAAGTCCCGCAACCAATTCAGTCGTTCGCACTTGCAGGGATCAGAGAGCTTTCCCTTGACAGGGATCCTGCGCAAGTGACCTGGAGACTGGAGTGGAAGGCACGATGACAGATGCCCGCTTTTAGTGACATCATAGCTTCTTCGCATTTTCTGACCGCCATCAGACTTGCAACCTCAGGTCCCCTCCCTGCATCCCGTCTGTTTTCCTTTCTCTCTGTGCCGGGAACCCCTACCAGCGCATTGAAGCCAGTGCGATTGACCGAGACACGCCATCCGCGCAAGTCACGGGTCCAATTGGGACATGGGCACAAGGCGCTTTACGAGTATCGACACCGTCTGAAGAACGGGACGGGCGTCACGGGACCGACCTGTGAGTGCCCCAACCTTCGCGCCGGCAGTCGAAACTCTGAAACGACCGCTCTACGGGGCAGACAGCGCCGAGAGATGCATGTGGGATGGATAATACCATCTATGGCAGACCGCTATGCCCCTTCAGGTCGCGACGCGTAAACGCCAAGCTTGGCTATACATCACTCACTCATTTGCTCGGTATGGGCGTGCGAGTCAGGCACTTTTCATGAGCTGCTGCCTTGACAATGGCTTATGCGCATAGGCACGACTGCGTGCACGCCGACACCACCACTGACGTCGGGTTGGTATATAAACAGCAACACCTCCTTCGATAGCCTAGTGGCGAGCTTCCCTCGGACCCCAAACTGCATCACCACCGTCACGGGCAGGACGGGGACTGGCTAGCATCATCTGTCCCACCACCAATCAAGTGAGGACAACAACACCGCCCGTCTCCCGGTCTCCCGGGGACATGGCTGCAGTAGCTATGAAGGTGGAAGGTGGAAGGACCCTGAAGATCGCGGGCTCGCAGCACATGTGTCCACTGTCGACTTCCCCGGTTTATTAGCCAGAACTTGAGACGCTTGCTCACCTGCACTGATCGACGTCATGAGGTGAGCCATGTGTCGTCACTGGCCGGGATGCATGATGGACCTCCATCAAAAGTTCAAAACGCTCGTGTTTTGCCTTGCAGCATCTGACGGGAGCATTCTCTGGTAGGTAACGCCAAGAGCTTTATCGCGAGCTATTGTCCTCGGTGTCCTGGACCTCTGGACCTCTGGACTCGTCACAGCGCGCAGATGCCATCACCGGTGGCCGCTTCTGCCTACCCTCAATATCATCAGCGCCCGGCGCATATCTTCCCGTAGTATATGAGAGAAGTGAGAGGGGAGACAACATCCTTTAATTGGCTCCCACGAGCGGCATCGTGATGCCATAGGATTTGAGTCAGGATTATGCTGACAACTTACCATCCCAATACTGGCGGGTTTCTCGGTTGACAGTTCACAGCCCGTCGTCAAACCGTCGAACGGGATTTGTCTCCGGCTCGCGTCCTTTCGCCTCCCACCGGAGATTCCCATCTAAGAACCGATTGGACTATTCACCCTCAAGCGTCAAGCTCACCTTGAACCAGCTTAAAAACGCAACTTACCACCAGTATGGACATGGTGTGAGGGGAAGAGCATTTCCACCCATTGGACTATAGCACCCCGGGTGATCAGCCTAACAGTACAGTAGCAATACTGCCAGGCACTGATCAACCTCGTGAACACGTTTCGGAGCCGCTTGTGTGGTTCGGCTAAGCTAGCAATAGCGTTCTGTCACCGCCGATACGATATCACGCGCCTTGGACATGATGTGTATCGCGGCCATCAAGGTGTCTGCCTAGTTGCTCATCATGGTCGTCAAGGAATTATCAATGGGGATGGCATTGACTTGTTCCGGATCCCAATCCTGATGAAGGTGCTAAAACAGACTCATACGCCAATATGAAGCTCACGTTGCCGACACGGTCAAGCTCGTCGTGAGCTGCGCTGCTCCTGGAACTATTGTCAGCAGGAGGACCGGCCCTCCACCCGTTGCTGCCACAACTATCGCCAAGTCAGTCTAGGGAAATGTCCGCGCCTCTGCCGCCCATTGCTCACCCTTGATTATAACAAAGTTCTTACGTCGTCCGCAATAACGCGGTATCAAGACAAGAGAGAGTCGATTGGAGCCCACTCGGCGCCACCATATCTAGCACAGCTGACAAGATGCAAAACTTGCGCTAAAAGAGCTCGGAGCTGCGGTTGCAACAGTGAGCGTGTTTCATGTTTGAGCCGGACTAGCGAGCGGCGATCATCAGTCCCGAACAGGCATCCGATCTTCTGGTCGCTGTCCGGCCAGACGCTGCGGTGACCGTTGCATGTGTGTGCTGTGCTGCACAAGGTACGGCGACTGGGGTGGTTAATGCTACGCCAAGTCTGTCGTCTGGTCTGCCTTCCCCGTCCGTATATCTCCCCCGGGCTCGCCTGCGCGCCAGCATGCATGTCTGTCGTTGCCGAACGGAACAGCTACCGTACGGGTCGATGGCGTGCCCGTATGTACTATATTTCTCGGGGTCGTTGCGCAAACGAACACTCAAGCCGCGTGTGCCCGCGCGGCTCGGTTGCAGGTTAGGTTCTCTCAATCAGCTGAGAGAGTTGACTGGAGGAGATAGAGGGGATCGTTGAGCGTCTCCACCCTCGCTATCTGTCACTTGCCTGTATTCATCTATCCCGTCCCATACGATTGTCGCGTTTTGAATGCGCTATGTCGCTACAAGTAGGGATCCGTGTTATATCTCCCATGTCAGTGGTCACCTGGCCACGGTTTCGCTGGCTCGGTTCGAAGCCGGCTCCGCTCCTTGCTGATCCGGACCGTCCGGTTGGTGTCTGGGAGGGTGGGGACCCCGCAACGATCAGGGTGAAAGGCAGGGTGAGAAAAATACTCTACTAACCTAATGTACTACTATAAGATACTCTAGAACTACTATACGAATTATATTATTTAATTTAAAATCAAAAGAGAAATATACTAACGTATAATTAGGCGTAATTAGATTAAATAAGTTTGAAAAAAAAGGAAGATGAAAATATGTATATATAAAAAGTAGTTTTAAAAAACTTATTTATATATAAAAATGCTATACGTGTATACTTTGTAAATAATCATTATGCATGGTATAAAATATTACGATTAAAGATTTTGATAAATTAAATAATTAATATTTCAATAAATACTTATCGTATTATGACAGTGTGTAGTTATTGACATTACGCTTTTTAAACTTTAAATTTATAAAATTTAAAACTAGTCAAAAGTGGATTCTTTTTACCTTAGTATCCCTAGTAAAGTATTGCCTAATACTCTACTGAGTTGTCAGATTTGAGCCAATCGTCAGAGTGAAGTGTGTGTGTGTACTTCCTCTGTCTGGAGTGTCTCTGTGCGACCGTGGCAATTTTGTGCCAGAGGGGGCTGGCTCGGGACGGAACAACTAGGTTCCGGTGTCTACCTATCTCACCTTTAATCCAACATGAGTAGAGTAGGCTAGTACCCTAGTAGAGTACCAATACTATAGTAATTTTTTCACACCCTGGTGAAAGGCCGGTACGCAGGACAACACGCGCGGGAATGTGGATTGATGGTCCTCCTGCCGTCCTCGTGGCTCGCGTGGGTGAGAAAGTACTATCGAACGGATGGTAACACAGAGATGGGGCGGGGAGGCATGTCGATCGCGAACACTTCCAGACGGATCACAGGTTGCGGTTTGGTTTCAAGTCAATTGGGTCTCTCCCATGAGTGTCTGGTTGGTCAATGTGTCGTATAGCGACTATTAAATTACAAAAGGCAGTAGCGAGCGTTAAGGTCTCATCAACCGACACCTGATCGGCGTCTCTCGTTGGAAGCAGCTGCTCCTCTGCCTTCCTTGGGGGGTATATGCATGACATGGCTAATAGTACAAGGTGATCGTCAGCTTCTTCTCGCTCTCTTTGCTCCCGTCGTTCTCCGTGTGACTTTTCCCGACCAAGAAGGAGCTGGAGTCGTGATCCAAGTGAATGGAAGTGATGTCTCGGGGCATCGAACGCTCCCATTCCCGAACGCCATTTTGAGGGTATCTCCTCGCAAAAATGAAAAATTCCAGATCCCGGTTTGGCCGAGCCCGAGCGACGGACATGAAGAGGCGAATGCCGTCGAAATCAGGCCCCGTCGTGGTTCTATACGCTCATCCGTGCTCCTGGCTCTTCAAATGAATCTCCGACAAATCGCTCCAGAACGCGCAACGCGAACAAATTTTTGATCAAGATATGATCTCCACATACTCATACACAGGCTGGCAACCGTCCACCTCTTTGGGGACGCGTTGAGCCAATAAAGTTAACATATGCCAGGCCGGCCTCCTCTAAATTCGAGGCCAGTTTGACGTGACTTGGCCCGAGGTGTCCACATTAGAATGGTCGTAAATGATCTAGAGTCGTAATAAAGCGCAAAATCGCGGGTCGTGCGGAAAGCCGCCGCCATTCTAATCCGATTGGTCGTCCTGGTGGTCTTCTGACCCGGCCTCTGACTTGGCATCGTTCTTGTGTACTTTACGATGCCGTCGGAGATTTGAAACAACAGAAAAGTGACGTCCACACCCTTCGACCTCGCAGCAGAAAGCTAGATAAGATCAGCATCATAGTCGAATTGCCAATCGTTCATGGCCAAGACTCACGTTTTTCACCTGTGTGGCTGTACATATGCGTCTGTAAAGAACTTGGTCTTGTGAAGCGCTTGTCGCATATCTTGCACTTGTGCTTCTTTTGCGTGCTCGACGAGATCTTGGAACTGAATTGACCCATCATGGATTGAGGCGCAGGCGGCGGTTGGGTCATTAGGTTTGCCGGCCGTGGTAATGTTCGCGATGAGACAGATTCGATGTCAGAGCCCGCTGTCGAATAGTCGCTTACTGACGAGTCGACAGAAGCCGCATAGTAGCCACCGCCATAATTGCTTGCTGACGATATGGAGGAGTTGTTCGAGTGTGCTGTTGGGAAACCGTACGACTCGGACGCCCCTCTTCCCCGGTTGGCAGGAGGGTATATTGCGCGAGGGGTCTCCTGGCTCATGGCCAGCATACCTTGACCAGCATCGAGCGCATCTGCAAAACTCCTTCGGTCATCACCGTGGTGCAGACTTCTGTGGCCTATGTCAACCATCGAGCTCCGGTGTGAACGCAAAGAATCGCCCGAGCCATGATCGATCATGGGAATTGAGGAAACTGAGGAGACTGACGACTGGGAGTATCTTCGAGTGTCGGCTTCTGGTGCTAGCGCAAAGGTCGATCGCATGGGTGCTGGTGCGTAACCAGCTACATTGCCGTCGTAGGAACTCGGCGACGCCGCGTAAGGCGCATTGACTGGGGAGGCGGACGAGGCTGTTGCGTACGACGGCTCTCCGTAGGCGGCGGATGATGTCTGCATTCGGTTGAGACTCAGAAGATCTTGGGGCATATTGAGTAAGTCTTGTTGTCCATATGCGTCCGCCATGAGAGTGCTACCTGCTGAAGAAGCCGTCACCGGGATGCTCCCGTACGGTGCCATTGAGCCACCCGCGTTGGTGCTTGTCCTGCCGGCGTGATGCTTGGCCAGGGACTCGAGGCCACCGTCGGTGAGCCCCTGCGAGTACAAGCCCTGCGAGCTGGGTTGACCGGATGAGCCCGATGTCCATGGGTTGGTGAAATGCGGAGGGTTGGAGTAGGAAGACATGTGATCGAAGTTGAGAGCCCCGAGTCGTTGTTGATGGTCAAGAGTCATAGTCATCTTCGACCGAATATAGTAACCAGGTAAACAGGCCGGAAGGCGGAGGCTTTCCAACACGCGAATGTATTCCTAACCGATAGTTCGCTGATCAGATCTGCGGGATCCCGAAGAAGACAGATTCGTGTCACCTTGCTGGGGAAGGTGATGATAATCTTTCAAGATCCAGTGAGAGGAAGATCCGTCGCAAGTCGCGGAGGGGGGGGGGATCAGCAAGCCTTAAGTGTTTGGCAGGACGCTGGATTGGAAGTGCGACCAGGAACGCCCGAGAGTGAGAAGACCCCCAAAGGTACAACGTCTAGGGCCGCCGGTACTTCTGACACCAGTGACCAGCCCAACTCGTCTGAAGCTTAATGCTTCTCCAGTATCTGGCACAGGTGGACAGGTGGAGCCGTCCCTGTCCCTAGTCCCCTAGTCTGGCTGACTGCAGTGAGAGGCCAGCGAGAGGCCAGTGAGGACGGTGAAGCAGAGCGATCGGCAGTGCAATATCCCCTACTGAAGCAGGCCAACGCAGCAGGGCTGGGCAGTACTGTACGGTACAGATTCGAGCCGGGGGGCCTTTACTGCTAGCAGAGTCGAAGTGACCGGGAGTGATGCTGTCCAATTTGACAGCAGCCGTAATAGGGCACGAGTAGTGGTGAGAATGTGGAGTTCGGTGGCTCGTTTCAAGACCGAACAGTTAACGATCGGCAGCGGCCAGATATCTGACAATCTGGGAGGTCAGGTGTACTTGTAGGTACTGTAGGACACTCGCAGACAAAACACGGCAGCCGGGCCTTTCAAGGTGGACAACTAGTGGCGACGGGGTCGGTGCTACCGGTGAGGTACTGTTGTCGCCGATGTGTCTAGGTATAGGTAAATATTTGAGGTGATGATGATGGGTTTGGGAATGTCAGGCGGATGGGGCAGGGAGCATTCTTTACATAAACTGGCCCGGGTAGTTATGCGCTATGTGTTATGACCGATGATGGAATGGTCGGTACGTCAACTGGCAGGATTGGCAGGCAGGCCCATGACCGTCCGCTGCAATGTAGCCTGTAGGCAGTGTGTAGGCGGCAGGGCAGTAGCCAGTAGGCGCTGTGGCAGGGTTGAGAAGGCGAACTATTATGTTAGAGTAGGGTATCCTGGGTATCAGGCAGTTGTCAGGGTCTTCCGAACCACCGTTGAGAGACGATAATGGGGGCCGAGTGGGTCAGACAGGGCACAGGGATCGAGTTATGGTGGAGGCGGGAAAAGATTGAGGTGTGCAGTAGTAGGTAGATACGGGAAATAATTAAAATCGACATCGGTCATAGGCTGCCATGGTACATACATCCACAGAGATGGAGGACGTGGAGGAGGTGGTGGAGGAAGGGGCAAGTCTCTGTCTCTGTCTTGGTCCCTGTCCTATCGACACACCCGGTAGCTGCCAGCTGTAAACATCGAAGGGCTCCACCGGGCCTGCCAGAACAAGGCGTGCTGCTAGCTGACGCCACTGATGCGGAGGATGAGGGGCCATCGTCACCGTCGCCGTATGCAGGGTCTATTCACGGCAGCAACTACGTCGCCTCTATTCAAATGTTTCTTCTTCTTCGGCACTGCAGTCAGCCACGAGTGACTACAGCGTCGAGCTCGAGAGATACTTGGATCTGGCTTGTACGTCTATGTATGCGAGTATCTGACATTGCGCAGCAGCAATTGCTTCTCATGGTTCAACCGGAAAGGCGGAGGAGGAGGACTGGGTGAAGCTTCAAAGACGTTGGAAGGAGCCGTGGAAGGCGCCAAGGCCCAACTGGGGACTCCGCGCTACCGTATGCCGTGCTACCACTCTGGCTACGTCATTCCTAAGCACCCGGTACATTACATTAGGTAGCGAGGACAAGGCGGTGTTGCGCCCCTGGTCAGTGCGACCCTCCCAAGAAGCCAAGTACCGGTACTTCGTAAGCCACCTGCTCGTCCAAAGTTCCAATTCATCATCGTTATTATTATCGGGCAAAAGTGCACTGTTGCTTTCAATGTTTATAAAAGCAATAGGTCATTCCGGCTCGTGGCGGGTATGCAATTACGGGAAGCGTTGGTCGACTACCTTAGAGACAGAGTCTTGAACTTGGGTTTCACGATGAGGGCCGAATCGTGAGTTGGGGACACATCTCAGAGAAAACATGGGACGGCTGGGGAGACGAGACGGCAAGATGGAATGCTGCAGTAAAATACTATGTAGGGTGAGCCGTGTGCTTTAAAACAAAGTCATCGGGATGAAACTGGGGGTTGCATGTATGACGATGTTTGCGCGCCAGCCGGAGCAGCTACATAAGGTATGTAGAAGGGGGTGAGCCAAACTAATCCATTGCTTCTTTCACGCGAGCTGACGTCGTTGCTGAACGCTTCATTCATGACAGATAAAACGTCTATTATTCCTCTCCGCCGCCATCTCTATGCCATACCTAAGTCATCCATAGTTGCTGTCTTGGCTCCTGGCTCACATGTGTTGTCATCATTGCATGCCACATATTGTATTATCACGGGCACATTCACTATTCCGTGCTGAATACCTGCAGGTAGTGTTCGTCGAAGAGAAGTGACGATATCAGAGTCCAGGTCGAGTTGGGCAGAGAGGCTCCAAAGATACAGTACGGTACCAAAAGATGACCCTTCGTCAGCGTCTTGGCTACAATGGAACGCTCTGCCAGGTGCCCTGGCACAATGCTCGTCATCATGGTTAGTGCAGTGTCTTGGGGGCGTGGCGGAAGAGGATTCCGAGGTGTGCGGGAATCATCCGTGATTAGGGTGGCGTCTTCTTACTATGTATGTATATGTAGTAGACTCTGTCTACGGGAATAAGCCTCGTTTGCTCACATGACATAATCGCTCGCAATTCCCCCATCTGCTCTCCATTCTCCTGCTCCAATCAATTCAATCATTTGTATCAACCAATGCCCTATCGTGCGCTACGGCCGACAGGCAAGAGGAGCATTGGACACTCCATCATACCCCTTGTGAGCCCAGCACTCCGAGTGCCTGGAACGACTCGACGAGATTGCTCATCTCACCTGCGTTCTCGTGACGGCACTCGGGCAGCATCTACACAGCACTGCCAACGCCCAGAGATTGGAGATCTCAATATCTCCACGAAGAACTGTAGGGATATCGTCGAACGAAGAACCCGGCGGGTCCGTCCCAGTGCCGAGAACAAATCAATTTTTCAACGGCCTCGCCTGTGGACGAATGGAGAGCCTGGTGAGAGGTTCCAGAGGTTGCAAATTTCCCGTGGTGATGTTCGCAGGGGTCGCCCCAGCACTCCGTATCTTTTAATGAGGCTATCTACGTGGACCCAGTTGAGATCTAACCTCATCAACATCCAGTTTCAGGGATCAGCTGACCTTGATACTATCACGAGTCCGTTCACCTTGGACCCCAGACGACGACCAAGGGACACTTGCAAGGACCGTTCTCAACAACACCACTTCACGGTCAGTCCGTCATTTTTTAATTCTATCATCTTCACAGTACCTTGTGAGTCCAATGCCACCATGCCACCTCCCGTTGATGATGGCGCTCTGCGAGCACGGTGCGTAGCGGCGTAGCCTCGCGGACTTGGCGGTCGTGAACACAGCCCTTGTTATGTTCTACCTTGGGCTTCTACTGTGGAGATATATCTTGGCATTCATCTCGTTCCGAAGCCTTCACTACAAGTTCCCAGCATTGGAACTAACAGCGTGGATACCTCTAGAGTCCAAAAACTTAACATCTTATGAAGCGCAACCCATGATCAACGGTATATTCCGGGTTTCCTACAGAATCTGGCAGAGTATACTTCACCTCCACATGGCGCCTGCGCTACTACTAAAGTATCATTCCGCTTTGGACTTCGAATGAAGAGCCCCTGCTAGATTGAGATCCATGTCCATGTTGTCACTCTCTTTTCGGCAAGCCGGCGCAGACTATTGAAAATAAGTTTCCGACCTGTCGAGAGGGTACAACGGGAATAATCACTTTGGAGCTTGGACTAACCTGGCAACATAGGGCTCAATACCTAGGTGGAGCTTGAGCTTTGGAAAGATGATCAGAGATCTAGCAATGGTATCTCGAAAATCGAACATTCGATATTGATTATGGATGGAGCTGCCAGATTCCCGGGAGACGATGGGTGACGATCATCGACGTGCCAAAACCACGGATGACTGGCCCGCTTTGCACGCTGTCTATCTGGGGACCTTGAGCCTTGAGCCTTGAGCCTCATCAGTCTCCACGAGCCGTCAGTGATGCCGACATGCGATTATCTCCATCCTAGCACTGCCTAGGACGGTCAGCAACGTTCTGCGTTGGGCAAGTCCAAAATTACGCAGGAGTTGCTGACATCCACTGGACGTCCAGCGGCCCAGTCACATAAGCTCTTCAGATGCCAAGAAGCAAGGGTGTGTCTCAGATTCGACTGGCATTCCCCATCTGGTCTGCTGGTAGGGTGGGCGAATGTTGATCACATCCAATTCTAGCAACTGACGGCGTCGTTAGCGCAACCTCTTTCTTCCCTTGCCCAGCCCCTTGCCTGCCTGCCTGCCTGCCCTGAGCCAACTGTCAGGACTGTCTAGACAGCCCAAGAGCTACCCGCCGGCTGCAAAGCCTCGGGTTCAAACGTCTCTCATGATATGATGGGTGACTTTGATTACAACGAGGAAGACCCGGGAGGCGCGAGACACCCCAGCGGACCAGTGCCGAACGCCCTTGCGCCGCTATAAAAGTTCGGGCCTGGGCACCGGCAGTCGAACTATGTTACTAGGCTGGGCGTGGGGCATGCCCTGCAGTTCCGTTTTCAGGCATCTTGCCTCACCTTGGCAGGACCCTCCAAGCAACAAGCTGTGGACTCTTGGAGATTGGGCGTTGACCAAGTGGTCGCCGACCATAAGGTGCTTTGGACGCAGGCGGCAGCTGCTAAAAGGTATCAAGACAACGCAAGGGTGCAATATGCAGGTTTGATTGCAGCCTTACATACACATCAGATTTCTCCATCTCGGCTATTTGATTATCTGTCAGGGTGACGAGATCTCATCACATACATACGGCAGCTCCGGCATACACCTGCGAGTATTGGACAACGCCAATAATTCCGTGTTCCTGGTGGACGACGGTGAACTACTACCTGGTCCAGCCGCTTTGGTCCAAGCACGCCAAGTGCCGCGTCTCTAGTCCCAGCCACGAGACGCAAGGTTACATGCTCTAACAAGACGACGGTGTCGTTCAACATCCACCAGACGTTGGCCACGGCGGATGAGAGGACAGTTGAAGTGGCTTCTAAAACTAGCCGAGCAAGTCCTCCAGCATCGACTAATACCGCCACGTGCCCTGATAAGACTCCGCCCACGACACTAGGAGATGTCTCGCCGCGAACATATCGCAGCGGTGGGTAATCTCCAAATCTGCAGCTAACGGGGGCAATTATAGCGAACGGCGAAATCAGTGGGCTTGGGTCTCGTCGTTTGCTGGCAGCAGCCGGATCTTCAAGTGTTCGACTGCGGAGGATGATGGGGGAGAGCAGGCCAGGCGGCCGGCGATCCCTATTGCCGGAGCTTGCTGGCCTCACTATGATCAATCAGCGCGGGGAGGACGACTGGTCGTTGTGACGGCTTCATACTCTCGACGACCGGACTCTGGACGGACTCGTCAGCTGTCGGCCCGCTTCATTTCCTTTGGGGCGGCAGTCATTGAGCGGGAGCCTCAGGTGATGAGCAGTGATATCGGTTGGTAAGTTGATACAGAATGTCCAGATCAGATTGATGTGTGTTTCCTTCGCCCTCTTGACTGGAGGGCACGGATGCTATCACACCATTAGAATCGCAGACAGAGTGCCACGATGTGATAGTGCCGAATGGTTTCCGCTGTACGCATTGCGGCTGTGCCGTCGTTCTCCGATATCCAGAACTTGCCCCGGTCCTGATCTTGGAGCTTGTACGAGGTTTCATGCCCGCGGCTTTCTGTCGCAACTTGATATATTGCACTCCTTGCAGCTGTCCGCAAGGGCTTTCGTACCTGGTGTCGCAGTACCTTGCATGTTTAGACTGGCGTGACTGGGACGCCACCACGTGGTCGTGATGTCGATCATGAGATGCAATGCATACCATACCCAGCTTGGCGGACCGCTTGTCATCAGACTCGCAGAAGCTTCGAGGTTTCACGCCGTCGAATTAGACTTTACTACTGGCAGGCACTCCCCTTGCAAGACTTACAACTCATCAGTCCGTGTGTGTGTGCTACAGTAGAGTGATCGGACTAGCAGGTTTAGATGCTCGGCACTTTATTAGTCCAGCATTGGTAGTCAGTCTACTTGGTTCTTGCCTACCAAGCTCTAGACAACATATCATAGCCCTATGATGGGATCAGGGGCGGCTCAAGAATCAGGCAAGGGGGTCGAATAAGGGCTGTATTAGTGACCTGTGAAGCTGAAGACATGAACGAGGTAAGGTACAGCTTGCGGCACCAGGAGTTCTGGCCCTACATACATCAATCTCCAGGTATCGTGACAGCGAGTTCTTAGTGAGTTTGCTGCTCGACCAGGATGAACACCTCAAGTCTAGGAACTCCGAATTCCGCTAGCAGAGCAGTGTCCAAGTCGTCGCTCATTCCACCTCGGCCTCTAGTATTGTCTCTAGGTCCTTGCCAGTCCATATGTATTATCGTGACCGGAGAGCTCCCGGTATAAATCAGAAGAACAGCGGGGGACGTTTCCTTTTATCTGTCCATGTAGTAGATACCTCTTGCTTGTCAGGGACCTTGCTGTGTTTTAGAGGAGGAAGAGCTTACTGTAAAGACCAACCTCTCGAAAGTTAAGGATGACCACTGGTGTCACTCGTTTCACACCGGATATAATGGAGGTGGACACGTCGTTAAGCTCCTATTCACAAAACCCGGAATATTGCTGGATCGCTTCGTCCTGGCTATCTTCAGACGCACGACGTAGGCTGTCCGGGAAGTTTCCACAGCCTTGCGAGGACTGGGAGGCAAGTAGTTTCAGTCTGCCACCCCTTTTCGAAGCCAAACGGTCTCCAGTTCGACCTCCAACATCACTCTGGGCATGGTGGTGACGGAAAGAATACGACGTGGACAGTCTTCCGCGAGTGGATGCAAGCTTCCTTAATATCAACATCTGGAGATAATTCAAGGAAGTCATTGAAAAAAGGGGTAAGTGGCCTACCTATGATAAATTGCCAGCGTACCAATATGCACCGACAGCGAGTAGCTGGCATGCCTAGTTCAGAGTTTATACTCATGCCTCGTGAAGTGTTCCCTCGATAGTCAAGCCTAGCGCAGCTTTCTAAAGTCAACGAAGCGCCTAAAGCCGTGTAGCAAGCAGAGGAGACCCAGAGTCAGGAGCATGGTGGCCACGAGATCACGGACGGTACACGGAGTCCTCAAAGTCTCCGTACACCACCCGTCTCAGCAAAGAACGGTAATTCTATCGAATTGATATAGGCAAAATAGAATAAGTATTGAAAGCAGTATCAAATCAAAGCTCCTTATTCCTGTGTGCTTATTCCAGCATTTTCGAGTTCTCTATTGGTAATCTTGAATCCTACCAACATGCGCGTACGGAGACTTATAAGGGCGGAGTCTAGCGCTTCGACGTCGAGTAGAGGCACGAGGGACTCGGCCGGCACGCACTCCATGTTGCGTGTCTGGTATCACTGAGCCTCCTACGTATCTACGACCCCAAGCACTACAATGCATGGAAGGAAGCAGAGATCCTGGTCGAGTATCACGCCTTGATGATCATTGGTTCTACTCTCTCGCCAAAGATACAAGAATATCCGCGAGAGCCCTGCATGGGCTGGAATGCTCATCAACTGGATTCAGCAGCCATCGAAGTCCAGAGTGACACACGTCTGTACCACCCGATAGCCCCTCGAGTACAGACCGTGCTTATTACACCCAACGCTGTCTGCGACGAACCGTCTGACGACTTCAAAGACCTGGATTGCAACATGGTTGGTCGTAGGCACTGTTGACGAGAAACCAAGCTGATGGAGGCAGTGAGGCTGTAAATTGCTCGTCGGTTTCACTACAACATGCCCCACGCTGAGTATTTCGACTACCTGTAGACTCGGATTGTAGGAATTTGTCACTATGGAATGGCGTCTGATGGGGTCGTGACGTGGTATTACTCCCAGTGTCGGCCTTTCTCCTATCCAGCCCCTTATCCCGGCCCACGGAATCGAGGCCGGGATAGCATTCGGGGTAAGGCTCACCACAGTACCGTCATCGACTTGCCATCACCAGGGTCACAACCGTGAAATGCGTCTGGCGGGCGTAAAGTTATTGACTTTTAAAATGATGCGTCTCTGTTCCCCAGCGGGTGTTTTGTCTTGGACCAGCACTCGTGTCTTCGTCTAGCTATGACCACAAGAGATTGAACATGTCACTCTTATTGGAGCCTAATTTCACAAAATTTATTCGAGAGCTGGAACTGAATGTATATAGCCTTCGCTGCCTGTCATCGAGCCTACAAACAAAGTCTCGCAAGCGAAGCCTAAAGAGCCAGGAGACGCCCATCCCACAGCACTCCAGATCAGCAAGGACGAGGGCCGCGATGGTAGTCCCCTCTCTCAGCAACAAGTGATCATCATCCCAGGCTGCTCACCCACACTATGCATGGAGACAGCCAGCCCCGGAGACCACCTGCGCGATACGCTTCCTGAGAGCGCGCAATCTGGACAAGGCAAAGCGACACTGGGCGGCATCTCAAACGGCGACAATGTCCACCTCCGAAGCTCGACCTCGATCGCCCCGGAAGCGTCCGCTCCTGCGCTGAGCAGCTCAGGTTCAAGAGACATGAGCTAGAAACCTTGATTTAAAGCCGCCGGCGTCTGGCTTGTGTTCGAAGACAGTACGAGAGACATGTTCAACACGCATGTTGGGACGAACAATCTGTCCCATTTCCCTCCTCACTGAGCTCCTGAAATTGACTTTGCTCCACTTCTAGGTGCACGATGTCCAGTCTCTCGTGGTGGCGCTGTCGTCGATGGCGCATCGAACCCCCACGCCGCCTTCAGCGACCGGCCACATGGAGAAGCGAGTGTACGACGGCGTGGTAGCTTACCGGCAATATGTCACTGACATCTCGCCGGATACGGAGCTGAAATCTGGGGGCTCGCACATAAATGGCCAACGGAATCGAGAGACAGTACGGCGCGCAGGGCCTGCACCCGTGGAGCGTGCCTCCATGTGGCATAGAACGGGGCTGCAGAGGCCGAATCCGCACGACGCGCTGACCTTTCCCAAGAGCGGCACCCTGACAACGCTGACAACGCTGACAACGCTGCTGTACATGCAGAATGCCGAGCAGGTCGTGTCGACGATAATGTGGGCGGTCATGAACAGGGACCTCGAGGGTAAAGGGGACAAGTACTTGGAGAGGTGTAAGATCAGTGAGCCTGCCCCGGAAGGGCCTAAGGGTATTGAGCCCGGATATATTCCATGGGCTTATAATGAGTCGGACGCGAAGAGGCCGTACGCTTTCACCCCTGAAGCTCGTGGGCTTCGAACAAGAAGGGCGGAACAGGTCTCTTGTGAGCTTCACGGCTTCACTGTGCCGACAACTCTCTAATCTTGCCGCGTTCCGGATCTCCCGTACTTACTATATGATTAGGTGTATTATATCTGCCTGCACATCACCTTGTCGGATCGTTCATGCTGGCCAGTGATTCGTCTTCCCATGCCCAAAGGTTCACCCGTTGGGTTGCGCGGTTTGCAACATTTTTCGTCTGCGGATGCCAGCCTTGCGCTGCCCAGACGTTGACAAAGAGAGGCTCGACTTCTGCTGGGTCTTGTCAAGGGACGAGTCAATGCGCCTAAGGCGAGGAAGTGAGTTTGCGAAAGTCGGGTTGTTGATAAAAGTGTACGTCTCAGATGATTGATTCGGTATGAACCACCCCCCTTTGTCTAGCCCCGTGTTCTTCTTCTCTTCCTAGGCACACCCTCCTCCGCGGGTAGATCTCCCTCAACCTTGACCTTCTCAGTCACCGCAGTACGGCGTTTCCGGCTTTTAGTCGTCGGTTCGCTAACGACTTCCTCCTTGACCTCGACTTTGATGTCAACGACTCCAGGCTCGCTGGATGCCTGTTCCGAGAATGACTTGAGGTTGGCTGTGAAGAGCACCGACTGGGCCCAACCGGCGTGCGTGCCCCAGATCTTCCGGAAGTGATCCCCGACAGAATCATACATCAGCTTCGAGAAGGTCTTGGTCTTCGTTTTGCCGAATTTGTAGTCCCGTTGCGCGATCTGCCACACATGCGTGTCGACTGGCACTGCCTCGCCCCATCCAAGACCCATGAGGCAGACACAATCTGCGACTTTTGGACCAACACCGGAGAGTGAAAGAAGCTGATCATGAGCGTGTTTATAAGTGACTGGCTCGGCATCGGCGCTGCCCGGTGTGGGTGGCCATGCTGGGTTCTCTGGGTTCGTCAAGCTTTCAAGCCAACCCTCTGGCTTCTCCTCGCTCACTATGCGGGCTGTGTCGGCGATGTACTTGGCTCTATATCCGAATCCCAGCTCTCTCAGGTGAGATTCCACCTTCTTTCCTGTCAAAGCCTGTGGTGATGGGAAGCCGTGAAACTCTTCATCCCCAATTTGTCCGATGCGTGGTCCGTAAAACTTGCAGAGCTTATGGACCTTTGATAGTTTAGCTTCTCATAACCTCCCATATACGAAAGGGGTGAGTGTGTACTCACCATCTGCGTAATACGCGAGATGTTGTTGTTGCTGCTGCAAATGAAACCTATTAAAGTTTCCCACGCATCTTGCCCAAGAATGCGGATGCCGGTGAACTTGGGTGCCTTCTTCCGAAAATTTGCATCAGCTTCAGACCATTGATTGTACAAGGCTGAAAGATCATGTTTCAGACTGAAGTAGTGTTTGAGGAGGGCTTCGGTGTCATCATACTCCTGGATTCCGGGATCTTCTTTGATCGACACCGGCAGCTTTGGTGGTATTAGACTCGTCTCGGGCCAGGTTACTCTGTAATGCAGATGGTCCTTGTCCTGCTTCAGTGACAGCAACCGACCGCGCAGCACACAATTCCTTGAGGCGAGTTAGCATGGAATTGAGTAGTTCAAGTCGGGGCATATGGTTCTCCTTACCACTCATCCTCGATCTTACGCCATCGAAAAGACTGGCCACAGCGCAAGGTGGTCTCGATGCAGAGCTCTGTCAAGCTAAGGGGCAGCTTCCTCCACTCTGATATGCGAGCTGTCTGCATTTCAGATATTGGGCGATGACTCAATGGCGGTGAACAGCGAACAAAGCCTTATTGACCCATGTGACGAGCTGGTAGGGCAGCGTGAAGACTGAAGACTGAAAATTGAAGACGAGAGTGCCCAAAAGGAGCAAGTGGCGCTAATGTAGGGGTGGGCGATATCGCTAGACGCTAGGCTACTCTGAGTGTAGCGGGGGTTTTCCACTGCAGCAGTACATGTAGCTCCATGGGTCCATCACCCGCTTCAGCTGTTGCTCCATCCAACCAAAATTTCTAATTTCTCCAGCCTCGCCTCTCGCCTGAGAGACCTGGGACCTTGACATCTTATCGAGTGTCACGTCCTCCCCTTCACCACGCTGTCGCATCGTATCACAGTCAATCATCTGCCTGCCTTGTCCCTTCATTTCGCTTCTGAATCCATACGCAACGCGTCCGCAATGAACGGCGATAGCTATTCCTCCCGAGGTGAGCCTCCTTACAATGCATTGACTTTCAGGCAGCCCCAGCCAGGATCTTGTGATTAGCTAATTGGTGTTGTCTAGATGGCCGCCATGGCTCATCTCGCGACTTCCCCCCTCGTGATGACCGCCGTGACCGAGGCGATCGAGGCGACCGAGGCGACCGAGGCGATCGACGGGATCGCAGACGAAGCAGATCCCCGCGCCGCTCCCACCGCGACGGAGGAAGAGACGAAGATGCCTATGCTTCGAGTCGCAGCCACCGAGACCGTGAGCGCGAGGATCGCTACGGTGGCAGTGGTGGTGCTGGCGCTGCTGGAGGCCGAGGAGATCGGGGAGACCGCAGAGAACGAGAGTGGGATCGCGATCGTGGCACTCGAAGAGACAACCGCCGCGACGATGGAGGCAGGCCCCCTCGACGTGATCGCGACCTGTTTGACGACCGCCGTGGTGACCGACGCGATCGTGGTGACCGAGGCGGTCATGACCGGGGTGGACATGACCGTGGTGGCCACGACCGAGGAGGACCCGACCGAGGTGGACGAGATCGAGATGAGGACCTCTTTGCCCAGAACCGCCGAGGCCGCAGTGCGACGCCGCCCCCTAAGAAGAGGGAGCCCACCCCAGACCTTACCGACGTCGTTCCCGTTACCGAGCGCAAGCGACGCATGACCCAATGGGACATCAAGCCTCCTGGCTACGAAAACGTCACTGCCGAACAAGCCAAGCTTTCTGGCATGTTCCCCCTGCCAGGAGCTCCGAGACAACAACCCATGGACCCTACGAAGCTCCAGGCCTTCATGAACCAACCGGGCGGGAACGTCAACAGCGCTGCACTGAAGCCGGGCAATTCGCGACAGAGCAAGCGGCTCCTCGTCTACAACCTTCCTCCGGGTTCAACTGATGAGAGTGTTTTGAGCTTTTTCAACCTCCAGCTGAACGGCCTCAACGTCATCGAGAGCACTGACCCCTGCGTTCTGTGTCAGACCTCCAAGGACCAGTCTTTTGCCCTCCTGGAGTTCAGACATGCATCGGAAGCTACAGTCGCGCTTGCGCTTGACGGTATCTCCATGGAAACTGATGACCCTATGAACGGTACTGGAAGCGGGAGCGGCCTCAAGATTCAGCGGCCCAAGGATTATATCGTGCCGGCCGTGGCTGATGAGACAGCGTATGAGCCGGGCGTGGTATCCAAGGTCGTGGTTGATACGCCGAACAAGATCAGCGTCTCGAACCTTCCTCCCTACTTGACTGAAGAACAAGTTCTGGAGCTACTCGTGGCTTTTGGAGAGCTTAAGGCTCTGGTTCTGGTCAAGGACAACGGCACCGAGGAATCTCGTGTAAGTCATTCACCTCGCGTATTATTCACAGTATCCGCCTCTAACGACATACCAGGGCATCGCGTTTTGCGAGTTTGTCGATCCTGCTGCAACAGACATAGCCATTCAGGGCTTGAACGGCATGCTTATTGGCGACAAGAACCTCAAAGTACGGAAGGCCAGTATTGGTATTACTCAGGTCTCTGGTGTCGAGATGGGTGTCAATGCGATGTCCATGCTTGCTGGAACAACCGCTTCCACCGATTCAGAGGAGACCCGCGTTCTCCAGCTGCTAAATATGGTGACACCGGAGGAGCTAATGGATCATGAGGACTACGAAGGTACGCGCTATCCTCAAACCCTTGTATCTCCACTACTAACCTGGACAGAAATCTGCGAGGACGTTCAAGAGGAATGCGCCAAGTATGGTCAGATATTGGGTCTCAAGGTACCCAGACCCTCTGGAGGAAGCCGACAATCTGCAGGCGTTGGAAAGATCTTTGTCAAATATGACACTACAGCTTCGGCGAAGAAAGCACTGCAAGCGCTAGCAGGGCGGAAATTCGCCGATAGAACTGTCGTCACGACATACTTCCCAGAGGTAAACATTTCACCTGGACGGTACATGATTAACAGGACTAATATATTGATTCCAGGAAAACTTCGAGGTTGGAGCGTGGTAAAGGGGAGCGAAAGGGGTTCTGGCATTGCTTCGCAGCGTTGGGTACGGCAGCATACCTATCCTGAAACGAGGAAGAGCTACCAAGCTTGCTTATGATGAGCAATTTGTACTATTGTGATGTTGTCCAGACGGTGGCGTTGGACTAGGCGTGCTAATGAGATAAATCTCGCGACGACTTTGATTTGGTACTCCCTCTAGACTGTGGAGGACAAACCAGACATTCAACTTGAAGTGCCTCGCCAACCATACTATGAGCAACCGACTGACGTGCCACTGGTTTATGGAAGAGCTGATGCCGGGATACATCGAGTATCCAGTTTTGCTCACGCTCACGCAGATACTTACAGGTAGAGGTCTGTATCTAGTCCAATAGGATCAGATTAAACAAGAAGCCAGCGCAATGAGTCATTAGTAATGTCCAAGCTGGTGATGGAAGAAGCATTGAGGCTACCTTCATAGCCTTTTAGAGCCCCATGATTGGATGGACAGACCGTCCGTCTGCTGGTCGGCAATGTTGTTGTTGAGATCCATGGATGACCGGGCAGACCGGGGAATATCTGACGTCGGAAGCACGTAGATCCATCGTATAAGGTATGACACCTGCAAGATGCACAGGTGCCTAATCCTAATGGCCCCCGCGCCTTCTCTGTCTCAGGTACCGGAGTATACGAAGTTGAGAGAGTTACACGTATATCTCTAATAATAACATTGAAGGTAGTCGCGATAGCGCTAAGACGGCTCCGCGGCATGGCGCTCATTTGTCACGCACAATTCCGAAGGACGGAGGGAATTCCGGTAGAACTTACCTATTAATGTCCAATCCTATCCCATCTCCAGCTTACATACACGCCGGAAGTTGTTGGGAATTCTTGGGTCAATGGGGAGGCCGAGTCTGTACCTACATGTCTTGGAGTGACGTTCCGACCCCGTCAGAATGGTGCAAGCACTATTTACATATGTCTCCTTACGTTTCACAACAACGATGGCACCGCCCTATTACGTCAAAACTCGACGTGCGACCTGTCATCTTCTTCTCTTCATTCTGCGTGCTGATATATAAAGCACCCGAGACAGCTCGCTATTTTAGCCCACTTGGCGATCCCCCAGCTTCGTTGACATCTTGGTCCACATCAAACGAGCTCCGACTGCACATCATGCCCTATCACATATCACCTGAGACCACAACATAATAATCACCGACCACCAGCAGACCAAGATGAGCAAGCCATCCATGAGCGAGCACCTGCTGGAAAGCACCCGCGAGCTCTACCAGCGCGCTACAGAATGCCAGTTCCTCGAGCTCGCGGGCAAGGGCCGTCTACCCCGTGACCAGCTCTGCCAGTGGCTGTCGCAGGACCGGCTCTACGCCCAGGCCTACGTCCGGTTCATCGGCGGGCTGATATCGCGGCTGCGGCTGCCCATCGGCGTGGAGCCCAAGGGCACGAACGCGACCCTGCAGTGGCGGATCCTCGCCCTGCTGCAAGGGTGTCTCGCGGGCATAATGAAGGAGCTGCAGTTCTTCGAGACGACGGCCAAGAACTACGACCTGGACCTCGAGGCCGTGCATGACGACGTGGGCGACCCTGAGGCCAAGAAATTCGGCCCTTGCAAGGCCACGCAGGAGTACATCGACCTCTTCGACTCGTTCACCGCCCGGTCGCCGGACAGTCATCGCAAGTCGCTGCTGGATGGCCTGGTGGTACTGTGGGCGACCGAGAAGGTCTACCTGGACGCGTGGACCAACGCCAAGAAGCATAGCCACGAGCAGCCGGATCTGGAGAAGGACCTCGACGGAGGGGCGCTGCGGAAGGCGCTGATTCCCAACTGGACGTCGGACATGTTCCGCGTCTTTGTCAGCGAGATCCAGATCTGCTTGGATCGGTACGCGGCGAGCCTGAGCGAGGACACGGAGGAGGTTGGCGCGGCCACGTCGATGACTATGTTCAAAAAGGTGCTCGTGCTGGAGGAGGGCTTCTGGCCGGTGGTTGCGATGGACTGATGGGGTAGTTCAGTGGGATGGATGTATGGCATCGCCACCGACATGAGCTAGGTGGCTTGAGTCTGCAAGCATGAATGGATTTGCAACGGCTTTTGCTATTTTGTAGTTGCGGTGGATTGCTCAGTTTCCGTCGAGATTAAAGGAGTCAAGTCTACCCTGGACACGATAGACAAGAACGGAGTTATGCGACCAATCTACGAGCCAAGAGAGAGAGAGAGACCCTAGCCAGGTTGTCAGTCGCGCTTCCCGTCCGTATCACAATTCTCAAGAGATATCTCGTTGCAGGGTCAGAATGACGAGGTGTGCTTTAATAAGCAATGAACTCCCCAAAGCCGTCTTCAAGGACCAATGTCGGAAACACGATGCCTGTGCGACACCGATAATCCGGGTTCCGACTGCGCATATGAAATTGAATTCCTCGCAATACTATCATGCAGACTTCTTGTACGTGTCTTCTGAATCACTTACAGCCTTACAGGTGGACAAACGCAAAGATATCGCATAGCATTCTGGTTTCGGCCTGGCACTGAAGGGACCAAGTGTGGCGCGCTGGCCGAGTTTAGCCACGTTTGATCCCCACAAAAGGAGGTTGTCAAGGTAACGTGGGGAGGTTGCGACCAAAACAGTCAACAACCGAACCCATCGCATTGAAATGACTTGCTGCTCCACACCCTCACTTTGCGACAGCCGGCTTCGTGTTCCTCTCAATGTTCAACAATTAACAGTACAGTAATTCCAAGCCACCCGCCGCATTTGCCATTGGATAGGCACCTATCAAAATGGCAGCCGGCGATCTCATTGACTTCGATATCATCGAAGGACAGAAGGAGAACATTCAATCCCTACCTGGCGGACGATCAGCAAAGAAGCTCGCTGAAGTCTTCTCGCCGTCGCCCCTGAAGAAGCTGGACACTCCCACGCCGACAGACACCAAGAACATCAACGACTGCATCAGAGCCGAGTACGAGGCCGAGATCGACAATCTGTCCGAGTCTGACGATCCCCTCGATGTCTTCGACCGATACGTGCGATGGACTTTCGACGCGTACCCCTCGGCGCAAGCTACACCCCAATCCCAACTCCACACCCTCCTGGAGCGAGCCACCAAGACCTTCATCGGCTCGCCACAATACAAGAACGACCCCAGATACCTGAAGCTCTGGCTTCACTATGTCCATTTCTTCTCCGACTCCCCACGGGAAACATACGTCTTCCTATCGCGCCATAGCATTGGCGAAGGGTTGGCGCTCTTCTACGAGGAGTATGCCGAATGGCTGGAGGGCGCTGGCCGCTGGAACCAGGCAGAGGAGGTATACAAGCTGGGAATCGAGCGGGATGCGCGGCCAGTACAGAGACTAGTGCGCAAGTTCGGCGACTTCGAGAAGCGACGCGCCCAACAACCAGACGGGATCGATACGCCTTCATCTCCAGCGCTGCCCAGTGTACGTCCAGCACTGGCTGCCAAGGTCGATCCTTACGCCGCAGCTGCGCGAGCGCCTGTTGATCCGCAGGCTCCGAGACCCAACATGGGTGTCGGCGGCCAGGCCCCCAAGCCCGGCAAGAAGAAGCTGGCTATCTTCTCGGACGCCGGCTCGGAAGCCCCGGCGATGTCGTCGATGGGCGAGGGCGCGAAGGGCTGGGACACGATCGGGTCGCTGGCAGACCGCAAGAAGGAGAACGTGGTGGAGGCGAAACCGTGGGTGGGAGAGACGTTGAAGACGGACGTGAAGAAGAGCAGCGCGCCCAAGATGTCGGTGTTCAGGGATCCGGTAAGTTAGCAAACTTTTTGTTCCCCATCCGGCCAATTATTGATGACAACAGGACTAATTGTTGGCGCTTTCGCGATTGTGTATTCCAGTCTTTGTCCAGAATAGCAGAGTCTCATATTGTCATTGCTCCTTCCAAGCACCAAGTGATCATCAACCCGGCGAGTGGTAAAATGGAACGTATCTTTGTCAACCTCGAGGCCGTCTACCCTACTCCGGAAGAGCCAGGCACTGAGCTGAGCTTCGAAGAGTTATGGGCTGCAGATAGAGGCTGGCTTGATGCTTGCTGGGACGAGGAGAGTCTAATAGAGGAACAGCGTGCGCCGACTGACGAGAATTGCCCAGAAGTAGACCTGCTCAGCCAGAGGGTTGCGCAGAAGTTAGTAGTGCACCAGGACGTCGTGATGCTCGACGAGAATGGTGCCCTCAAGGAGCAGTCCAAGCCCACCAAGAGCAAAAAGAAGAAGTTGATGGAAGTCAACGAGACCCAAATCAGTCAGTTATCACACACACACACATACACCTTTAACCCACACTTTAGTGCTACACCTCAGGCATCTATCTAACACTGCATCCCTCCACAGTTAAAGCGAAACTTGATTCGCCCTCAGGCCCCAAAACCAAGAAAAAGCGTAATGCAACATCAGAGCCCACGATGACGATGCATACGAGAGCGGCGACGGATGAGATATACAGCATGTACAATGCGCCTCTAAACACCGCCGAGGACGAAGGCATCGAGAGTGACAACGACGAGTACATGACAGATGGCGACTACACCAGCGGTGCAGAGAGCACCGTCACCACCACCAGACATGTCTCCGCCACCAGCGAGGCCGGTGACGAGGAGACTGGCGAAGACAACAAGAGTGTGGTGAGCGACTGGTCCGAATTCACAGCTCGGAAGCACATCCCCGAAATCGACGGCGAGACAGACCAGGAAGACGAGGACGGTGACAGTCAGATGTCAGATGCCGCCGACGCAGACACAGATGACGAAGTAGACGACGAGGAGGCAGATCCCGACGAATCCCCCAGAACCAGAACCATATTCGTCCCGATCCCGCCCGAGGACTATGAACCGCCTACGCGACCGTATAGGGACCCGGTCGAGGCGGCTAACAACCGCTTACCGTTTATGACACCCATTACTGAACGAACGGAGTCTTCACTTGGCGTTATCACAGAAGCCAAGCCGCCTTACTTCAGCACGAAGACTCCCTGCAAGAAGGACTCGCTAGATACCCCGATCGAGGAGGACGAGGACGATGAAGACTTTGAGCCTCTCAGCAGCCCCCTGCGAGAGATCCTCAGTGATTCCCGCTCTCCCGTCAAGGTCGCGCAGCCTCAACTCACAAAGCCTAAGGTATCTACTGCGGCTGCTACAGGAGTAAAGGCCAAGCAGCAAGTATCGAAGGGCCCCATTATCCTGGAGACACAATGCAACCCCGTCGACGAGCTCATCCGGGAAGAGATTCTCGAGAAGATGCACCCACCTCTAAGCTCGTACCCCGGCTTCTACGACTACCGCACCGAGCGATGCGATCGCGGTAACGAGATCCGCAAGTTCGCCAAGATGGTAGGGAAGAGTGGCAAGAACGGCAATGACAAGACCGGCCCCATCCACAGCCCTATCGTGCTCGAGTTCCCGGAGCTCATGTGCGAGTACACCGTCAAGCGAGAGCTGGGCGCCGGAGCGTTTGCGCCCGTCTACCTCGTTGAGAACTCGTCCCCTGACTCTGGCGCTGAGAGCGATGAGGACGACGAACCCGTCGTCTCGACCACCCGCCGCGCCACCCTCGAGGCGCTCAAGATGGAACAGCCCCCCACGGCCTGGGAGTTCCACATGATGCGCCTGGCCGCCACGCGCCTCGGACCGCACCACCGCGCGACGGCGTCCGTCTCGGCGGCGCACGAGCTGCACCTCTACGCGGACGAGGGGTTCCTCTTCCTGCCGCTGCACCCGCACGGCACGCTGCTCGACGTGGTCAACTTCTTCCGCGATCAGTCGAGCATCATGGACGAGACGCTGTCCATGTTTTTTGCGATCGAGCTGCTGCGCACGGTCGAGGCGCTGCACGCGAGGCAGATCCTGCACGGTGACCTCAAGGCCGACAACTGCCTGCTGCGCCTCGATACCTTATCAGAAGCGCTCTCGGGCCAGTGGCGCGCCGACGGCTCGGGCGGCTGGGCGAGCCGCGGCGTCGTGCTCATCGATTTTGGCCGCGCCATCGACATGCGCGCCTTCGGGGCGGACGTGCAGTTCATCGCGGACTGGAAGACGGGACCCACAGACTGCGCCGAGATGCGCGAGGGCCGCCCCTGGACCTGGCAGATCGACTACCATGGCCTCGCGGGCATCATTCATTGTTTGTTGTTCGGGAAATACATCGACACGGTGCGCTGCGCCGACGCCGCCGGTAACAACAGCTTGAACACATCGACAAACCGCCGCTACCGCATCCGCGAGAGCCTGAAGCGCTACTGGCAGACCGAAATCTGGGCCGAGTGCTTTGATATCCTACTGAACCCGGGTTCGCATGTTGATGTCTATGGCGAGGATGGTGGGGATGGTGCGCGTATGACTATGCCGGTTACGCGTGATTTGAGGCGCGTGAGGGAGCGCATGGAGCGCTGGCTCGAGGCGAATTGCGAGAAGGGCGTTGGGCTGCGCGCGCTGATGGGGAGGGTGGAGGGTATGGCGGGCGCGGCTGCTAAGGGACGGAAGCACTGAGCTGGACCATCAGCAGCAGTGCGTGGATGGATTGACGAGATGAAGATACCTACATACACGGTGACGACGAACACGAGAATGAAGCAATGCATATAGTCGGGCGTTGGAGGTGTTCAGGCCCGGTAGGGGGCGGGAGAACTCTTTCATTGTCTGGAGGATTGATGGGTTGGATGATGAGTCGTGGATACCGACTTTTATCTCCCCCGCCCCCCCCACCCCCCCCCTTTCCCCTCCAACAGATATAGAATTGGTGGTTCACTGCTTTGCTTGCTTTATACACCATACCCAAAGAACGCCTAGGCAGTTACCAATGATGCATGCATACTTACAGAGAGAATATACAAGTTTGGTACAAATCCAGAGCCCCTGCCTGGATCGTGGTGAAATCAGCTCAGTGATTACCTAAAGTTCACTCAGATTCTTCCTCGTCTGAAGTCTCGGCGGTCTTCTTCTTTTTCCTGCCGCCGCCCTTCTTGGCTCCCTTCTTCGCATCCTTGGCGCTCTTGCGGTCGACCTGGTCCTGGATCTTGTCACGCTCGCTGGCGCCCTGCGCCTGCAACCGCGTGTCCAGGGCCGCAAACTCCTCGCTCTCGGCGTCCATCCCGATGAGGCTCTCGAGCAGCTTGATCTCGTCTGCCCAGACCTGCTTGTCTTCTATGGTCTTGCCGTCGGGACCCTTGCGCTCTATCGGCGTCTCGAGCACCATTGGCAGGCCCGGGAAGCCGTCGTGGTTCATGACGTTGTGGAAGGCGCGCAAGCCTAGGAAACCGGTACCAATGTTGGCATGCAGGTCGCGGTGGGAGCCGAACGGCGCTTTGCTATCGTTCAGGTGGAACGCCTTGAGGTAGTTCGCGCCGACCACGTCGTTGAATTTGGATATCGTGGCCTCGAAGGCTTCGGGCGACCGCAGGTCGTAGCCCGCTGCGAAGGCGTGGCAGGTGTCGATGCAGACGCCAACCCGGCTCTTGTCGTCTACCGATGCGATGATGTCCCTTAGGTCCTCGAATGTACAGCCGACGACGTTGCCCTGTCCCGCCATGTTCTCTAAGACTGTTACGACGGTACTTGTCGCTTTGTGCGCTTTATTTAGTTGCGCCGCGATGCGCTTGATGGCCTCTTCTCTATTGTCGCCGTTGGTGTTCCCCGGGTGGAAGTTGTACAGCGTAATGCCCAACGACTCGCACCGCTGCAGGTCATCAAGGAACGCGTCATATGCCTGGTCTGCCTTCTCCTTCTCCGCCTGCGCGAGGTTCACGAGATACGACCCGTGCGGTAGACAATGCCGATGGACCTCGAATTTGTGTTCCTGCGACAGGCTGTGGAAGCCGTCGCGGGCCTCGGGTGCGATTGGAGGGTTTGCCCATTTGCGCTGCGACTTGAGGAAGAGGGCGAAGGCGTTGGCGCCTATGTGTACGGCGTTGTGTATTGAATTCTGGACACCTGCGCGAGCCTCTGGTTAGCTTGATGGGTTCGCGGGAGCCCAATTGCTTGCATGTAATTACCTCCTGCACTGCTGACGTGGGCACCGATATGCATGGCCTTCTTCATCGAAGCAATGACAGTGCGCTTAGCAAGTGGCATGATGTCCTCGATCTTGGGCTTCGCTGTTCTTCGCTTTTTGGCGGGTTTGGGCTCCTCTTTGGCAGGCTCCTCCTCCTCGTCCTCTTCGACTTTGACTTTGGCAGCTTTGCGCTTCCTCGTGGGTTGAGGCTTCTCTTCAATCTCGGGAACCTCGAGCTTCGGGACGGTCTCGGTAATCCTGCGCTTGGTGACGCGGGTCTTGGCCTCGACTTTCGTGGTACCGTTGGTTTCTGATGCGACCTCGGTAGTAGCGACAGTCTCTGCAACAGCTTTCTTCGCCTTGCGAGGAGGCTGACGAGGCATTGTGGTATTTGTGCGCTATCAAAAGCAGCCGTTATTGGATTCGCAGGCACATATGGGTGTCGTGCAACGGTGTGGATGATGGATTGATCATTCCGACAGGCAAACGGGTCCAGTCCGGTCGGGTGTTTCCTGGTGACGCGGGCCGAGACGATACGACTGGGAGAGTGACCCGACGCGTTGGAACGCGGCAAGCGCAGACTCGTAGTCACGTGATGTGTGTATTGTGGATGTCTCCCGACAATTACGTAATAATTCTCCCAAGCCTAGGCCCATGTGTGCTGCTATTCCATTAGGCTTGTGGGGGTGACTGTACCCGCCGGAAATATCCCTTCATGGATACCGAACGGAATCCCGTCAGAACATGTGTTCGAGTCTTTGATTCTGATTGGTGTAACGGGAATCTGAAGAAAAGAATTGATTTATTTCGGCTCACTTTTGACACGTGCTTCTTGATGATAGACACGAATGAATGCAGTATTTACATGTATCACTGACAAACTCATGGGCGATACGTCTCTTCGAATTGATAAGCGACATGACTCCAATTGCTCACGCGACCACTTGCAGAATACAGAAACCGGTGTTCTCGAACAACTAGAAAAAAGCTTTGTGACGGCCTTGGCTGCTTGGCTGGTGTGCACGCAGCACGCAGCACGACAGCCGAAGCTGCGATCCAGGCCCGCGTTCAACGTCACAACGCCTCTCGGCCGTCTTCGCCTGCAGGCCTGTTCCGCCGGCTTGCAGCCTGCCCATCAACGGCTCCGTTTCTCCCAACTGCCAAGAAGAGCCTCGACCGCATGCCCCTGTCGGACTGTGCAGCGGGGGCTGCCGGAGGGAGCGCTGGGAGGTACGTGCCTCTAGCGTGATCTGAACTTTCTGTCGAATCAACCGAGATCAAACGACAACGTGGCCGGTTTGCGAGTCGTGATTGGCTGGCAATTAAACGTTTCTTTCGTGGATTTTGACCCATGGAAGTCGGAACAAATTCGAAGGTTGGCTCCCATAACGTCACTGTTTCACACGCAAACACGGCCTTCTCTTTTGTTCGCCCAGGGAAGGATCATCCAGATCATGTGTGCATGTACAGTAGGAACCCAAAACGTACCTACTCAGCCTACTCTTTCACTGATCAGCCAGCACTCGCCGTGATCCCCTACCAATTGGGGATGCCGATGCGGCTGACGCCATGCGGAATGGCAGGCTGGGCCGCTGGAGTGCGGGCATCCACCATCGTGACGATCCCACCACCACCATCCCACTTGCATGCATGGTCAAATGGTCCCGACTCCCCTTCGACAAGTCACAACTGTGGGGAAGCGCCATTTTGCCAGTAGGAAGCCAGTAGGAAGCCAAGAAGCCTCATCGTGCTCGCGTGCGCCAGAAACCGCGCTCCTCTCAGTACATGTACCTAGCCTTACCTAGTCTGCCACGCTTCTTCTTTTCCTGCCTTTTGCCGCTCACTCCATCTAATCTTTGATCTTTTATCATTCACTCGTCCTCCCGAGTCCCAACGACAGCCGTCTTTGTCATCTGTCGTGCGAGATCGAGCTTGTATTGGCCACCCATTCAGTGTTATAATCATTGATAACCACATCATAACTACTTATAAGTAGTTACTTCTCTGTTGTGGCCGACCTCTTCAACCCACCCCTGGCCACCAACAGCACAGACTGATACTACCTGATCCCTACCTACGCGTCTCCATACTCAAGTTCCTTTGCCGGCCACGACGTTGCACATATTCGAGAGACACTACCATAGCCTGTCGGACTGGCGAGTCCAACGGCGTATGAGGCAGTCGAGAGCACCCTAGCACACGACTAAGTTTCGGGAGACTAAGTTTGCGAAGTTTTCACGGACTTTATTTGACCTCTCCCTGCTTAAATACTGGTCTGACGCAGCTCGTGTCCCGAGTCCTCTCCCTTTCACACACAACAATGGCGGATTTCTTGCGAGGTCATCACGCACGCAACCCCCCAATCGGGGAGGTGCCGGTGCCTCATGGACCCCATATGGCCGAGGAGGACCAACAATACCCTCCGAGAGGCTCTACCGACTATGCTACCGACCAGGAAAAGCAGATCTTCTCCCACCTGACCCATCCGGATGACTCCTATACTCCCGAAGGTGTCTACTGGGCTGACCTGCCCCTCGCCCAGCGCTTCGCCTTTGTCAGCGAAGTCGACCGAGCCGAAGCGAAGACCGAAGCCAAGACTGTCCTCGCCATGATGAAGGAGGACCCTCTCAGCCCCCTCGCCTGGTACTTCCGAAATGCAATCCTGCCAGGTGCTGGTCTTGGCCTGGAAGGCTACGTCCTCTTCTCCATCGGCAATCTCCAGCCATTGTTCGAGGCTGCTTGGCCGACATGCTGGCCCAAGACTGGCACTGAGTGCAGCCGTAACTGGGTGTATTCTGTCACTTACCTGGAAATCATCGGCATCATGGTCGGTCAGGTTGGCGTGGGTGTAAGTAGTCCACTGGCACAGTCTCTTTGCTGTGAAGGACAAAGACTAATATGTTGGTCGTCTAGATCATTGGCGACTGGATAGGACGGCGATGGGGTCTCATTCAAGACGCTGTCGTCATGCTCATTGGTCTCATCATGCTCACGGGTTCTTGGGGCCTAACTCTACAGGGCTGGGTTATCATGTATGCCTGGTCTCTGTTTGTATACGGTGTGGCCTGTTCCTACTTGTCTTGACAAGTCCCTTGCTAACCGCCTATGACTTGTAGGCATGGGCGTCGGTGGCGAATATCCCATCACGGCTACATCGTCCATGGAGAACGCCGTATCCGCTGGCAAGCTATCGACTAGAGATGACCGGCTTCACCGTGGCCGAAAGGTTACCATGGCCTTCTTGATGCAAGGCTGGGGACAGTTCGTCAACCAGGTCGTGCTCATCGTCCTCCTTTGCATCTTCAACCGTGGCAGTGGCGGCGAGCCTCCCTACTCTATCTCTGCCGCCCAGTTCACCTTCCGGCTATCCTTTGCCTTTCCGGCCATTGGAACCCTATGGCTTACCTACTACCGAACCTGGAAAATGAAGAATTGCGGCAAACAACTCGACAAGGCCAAAAAGAAGGCCAAGGTTACAGGGTACGACGTGAAGTCGCTCAAGATGACCTGCGGCAGCTTTGGTGGGCGGTTGTTTGCAACTGCTGGTACCTGGTTCTGCAATGATGTGTTCTTTTACGGCAACAAGCTGTTCCAAAGTACGTTTTCGCGTGTCCAAAGGATGTCCGACGGGGTGCATATGCTTACAATCTTTCAGGTCGGTTCATCGGCATCATTTCCGACAACCCGAAATCCCTCTTGACCATCTGGTCCTGGAACTTGGTCAACGTCGTGGTCTCTCTGTGCGGATACTACGCCGCATCGCTCTTAATCGACAATAAACTGTACGGCAGAAAGAACATGCAGCAGGTTGGCTTCTTCATGTGCTTTCTCATGTTTGTCATTCCCGCTTTCAACTACGGTTACTACACCAGTGCGGCAGGAATCCACGCCTTCCAGGCGATGTACTTCCTATCCTCCTTCTTCAACCAGTTCGGGCCGAACTCGGTCACGTTCCTGGTCGCCGGTGAAGTCTACCCCACCCAGGTCCGAGCCAGCGCCCACGGTTTCTCGGCCATGATCGGAAAGTCCGGCGCTCTTCTCGCCTCGGTCCTCTACAACTACATTGGAGATCAAACCAAGTTCTACGTGATTCCATGGTTTGGCCTCGCCGGTATGCTGATAACGTTTATTTGGCTTCCCGACACCACCGGCCTGGATCTGAAGGAGCAGGAGCGTCGGTGGTCGTATATCCTGCAGGGGCGGGAACACGAATATCACGGTATTGCTGTCCACCCGCGCCATCTCTCACTCTGGGAGCGCTGGACGGGTGTTGGAAAGAATTACCACCCCGAACTGGATACGAAGGCCAAGATCCGAGATCTTCGCTCAGACTGGGAAGAGCGTGAAGCATCGCGGACCGCAAGCGAGGCCGAGTCGGCTTCTATCGATAACGACGACGATGAGTTCAACCAGCAAATCCACGACTACTTCAAGGGAAACCCCGTCTCCACGACCTCGAGCTTGCTGAAGGGTGAAAAGTCGAAGGGGATTGATAGCTCACCGTCGGCATCTCAGAAAAGCAGAAGTGATGCGACAGCAACGGATCAGATCTCAAACGAGAAATCTTCCTAGAGGAGAGAATGAGTTGGGATTACAGATAGAAGGACGTCGTTTCCTAGATAGATTCGGGCATTGCAGGCGTGGCGTAACGGCGTAACGGATAAGTCAATTGGGACAGACAAGGTCAATGAAAGTCCGAAGCAGGAGTCATTTATTTGGTGTAGCTATGTGCAAAGATGTACGTGAACAATTCAGAGAATAATGGCGCGCCATGGAGCCGTTCTAGAGTAATAAAGGTTGATGGTGACTGCGATGACTAGGTATGGCTGTACTTGTTGAGCTTGGCGGAAAAGGTAGAAAAGCAGCAGCTGAGTTGGGTTGGTCTGGGAAACAGAAACATCCAGAGCAGTGTGGTTGGTATCAATGGTTTTGTTGACTTATTAGTAGGTACCTACGTATGGCACGGGGCACGGGGCACGGAGCACGGGGAAATAAATGGGGTGGACAAATGAAAGTCAAGTGACAGCGCGTAACAAAGGCGCCGCCGATCGTCGCGTCACTGCGTCACTGACCGGCCGAGGGGCAAACCCGCCAATTTGCGATTCCTTCTCTCCCTTCTCCAGCAAGCACCGACGACCCAACCCTAACCCCAGACGGCTCAGTGGTCGCCGTTGAATGGTCGCAGTTGAAGGGACACGCGCTTGGCAAACATGCTATGACCCAACTTTCTCCCAACTTCTCCCAACTCCAAATCTGCACCACCTTTCCCACATCCGCAACTTCCTCCAGCAAGCAAGCACGATGCCGGGCACCACGAAGCCCTCGAAGCCCGCGACACCCGCGAAGCCCGCGACGCCGCAGGGTCGCAAGTACACCCAGACGAAGCTGGGCTGGGGATCCGGTACCAAGGACGGCAAGGGCGCAGGCGCGAAGAAGAAACCGCAGCAACTGCCGAACGGGAACATCGCCAACTACTTCTTGAAGCCTGAGGAGAAGCTGTTTTTGGACGACCCCTCGGCACCGGCGACAGCCCCTCCGAAGGGCGACTTCGGCGACGACAAGGATGATGAGGACATATATGGGCTCGAGGACGACGTGAAAGGGACGGCGAGTGCAGACGGTCCAAGTGCTTTAAAGCGGAGAAAACTAAGCCATAACGGTAGCAATGGATTCACATCTCTTGTCGAGGGCAAAGACCCGGACCCGGTCAAGAAAGAGCCGGAAAAGGGGTCTGCGACTGAGACCGAGACACAGCTTCCGAAACGGAAACGGCCGGTTCGACGTCGGACCGGACCCTTCTTGGCCGACTCGGACAGCGAGGACGAAATGAAGAAAGAAGCGCCTACAATGCCAATGTCCAATGGCTCGACTCCTTCATTCCCGGCCCTCGATCATATCCCGAGCTTTGCGACGCCCCTGGCGCCGAAGCCGGCAATTGACGAAAGCGGTACAGATGCGCCGACGGACGCAGCAGTGCTCAAGCAGGAGACCTTCTTTTATGACGAGTTCCCCGACCTCGAGAACATCGAAGGGTTGTTCGACGATGACGAATTTGCCGACGGCGAAGAGGTTCGCGCGAAACGCTACATGGAAGAGCAGGCGAAGCTGGAAGCGGAAGCGGAAGCCGAGGATGCAGGAGGCTACACGTCAGACTGCATAGCGGAACTGCCGCCGAAAGACGACGAGGGCACGACGGCCACTTGCCCGTTGTGCAGTGCAAGTCTGTCCGGAATCACTCCGGAAGAGGCCACGGTCCACGTCAACGCTTGTCTGGACGGAAACCCGATACCTCTCCCGGCCGCGTCTAAGCCGGCTCCGGCAAACGAGAACACCGTGGACGCCCCTGAGATGGGCAAACGATTTGCCAAAACCGCCGTACCGAGACCCGGCCAGGCGAACCCCATCAGCCTCGGAGGCACGACGGCTGATAAACCGACTTCGGCGTTCAGCAAGCTCATGTCCGGCAATTCTGAAGATGTGGCTTTCGCAAACGCGGCCGCGGCGCAGCAGGCGGCCAGGGGCAGGCCTGCCTACGAGCGGACATGTCCGTTCTACAAGATCATGCCTGGCCTGTCTATCTGCGTCGATGCCTTCCGATACGGCGCCGTTCAGGGCTGCAAGGCCTACTTTCTCAGCCACTTCCACAGCGACCACTACATCGGCCTGAGTGCGAGTTGGAAGCATGGACCTATATACTGCAGCAAGGTGACGGGCAGTCTCGTCAAGAACCAGCTCAAGACGGCGGCAAAGTTCGTAGTAGAGCTCGAGTTCGAGGAGACGGTCGAGGTACCGGGCACTGAGGGGGTCATGGTGACCATGATTCCGGCGAATCACTGCCCTGGCAGTTCACTATTCCTCTTTGAAAAGTCGAGTGAGAAGGGACCGAACCCCAGAACGCAACGGATCCTGCATTGTGGCGACTTCCGCGCTTGCCCCGCGCACGTCACTCATCCACTACTGAAGCCCGACACCATCGACGCGATATCCGGCAAGGTCAAGCACCAGAAGATCGACATCTGCTACCTGGACACCACATACCTCAACCCTCGCTACGCCTTCCCACCCCAGGACGATGTCATCAGAGCCTGTGCCGACTTCTGTAAGTCTCTCTCGGGCGATCCCAGCGTGGCGGACGAGGCCTTCGACGCGCTGCGGCGCGAGAGGGGCACCACCACCGTCAGCAAGTTCTTCCCGAAGGATGGCGACACAAAGCCCACCAACGGCAGCAGCATTAGCACCAGCAAGCCCGAACCGAAGAAGAACCGCCTCCTCGTCGTCTGCGGCACATACTCGATCGGCAAGGAGCGCGTCTGCAAGGCCATCGCGCAGGCGCTGGGCAGCAAGATCTACGCGAACCCGCACAAGATGCGGCTCTGCGCGCAGCTCGACGACCCGGAGCTGGCGGCGCTCATGACGCCCCACGCACACGAGGCGCAGGTGCACATGCAGGCACTCCAAGAGATCCGTGCCGAGACGCTGCAGGCCTACCTCGAGACCTACAAGAAGCACGGCTTCACGCGCATCGTCGGCTTCCGGCCCTCGGGGTGGAGCTTCAGCGCGCAGGGCAGCAAGAGCAACGCAACAATATCGGCCACGACGGCGCCCAGCTCGGTGCCGACGACGGCGATCCTGCACGGCCCCGCATGGCGCCCGCGGTTTGGGAGTGGTGATTTTCTCGCGCAGCCGGGGAGCACGCGTGAGGCCATGTGCTTTGGTGTGCCCTACTCGGAGCACAGCAGCTTCCGCGAGCTGGCGCTGTTCCTGATGGCGCTGCGCGTCGAGCGCGTCGTGCCTACCGTTAATGTCGCCAAGGAGGCGACGCGCGCGCGCATGAAGGGCTGGACGGACCGCTGGCTGGCGGAGCGGAGGAAGGGTGGGGTTGTTAGGGTGCTTGAGGATGGCGGTGGTGAGGGTGCTGGTGGAGGTGGAGGTGGCGACGAGAAGACGACGAAGAAGATGATGAAGGGAGAGGGAGAGCCGGCCCTTTGGGATGGCAAGGATGGGCAGGGCGGCGGGGTTGTTTGGTAAGGCTTGCTTGCCCTTTGGCATTGGCATTGGCATTGGCATTGGCCTAGGACTTAGGTTATTTTTGGCATTGCTGCCGTTGGCTTAGGCCTAGGCATATACCCTATACCCTTTGGAAAGGGCATGCTGTTGGTATACCATCCGGTCTGCCGGCCGCAGCCCTGGAATTCGCATCGCATGGCGTAGAATGGCGTCGCATGGCATGGCATGGCATTTCCTGGCGTAGACGGAACGGAAGACAGATATCAGATTCACATCAGATTCAGTAGTGCAGGCAGGATTTAGACCTCACGGGGGCCATATTCCTCGTGCCTAACTGAAGGATGTCTAGACTATTCTCATCTTTCTTCATTGCTTGTCGCGTGCTTTGCGGGTCGCTGGCTCATTGCATGTGCTTGACATCCATTGCACTGTCAATGATGCCCGTTTTCCCCCATGAGCTCATGTCTGGCTGATTATGTGCCTTTTAATGCCGTAGCTGACGATGGACGATACCAGACGGCTTCATTTCGCTACTGTGCTTTCCACAACTGTCATGTCCTGTCCCTGTCGCCATGTCCTCTCGCTCACTTCCCCTTCCCGGCTTGATTCGCGGCTTCTACTCCACGTTAGTAACCTTCCGGTCACGAACATGTGTGTCTTGACTTCAGTCGAGTGGAAGGAAGGTGAGGGGAAAAAAGGAAAATCAAGATTAGGACGCGAGAGACCGCGAAGGTTTGGAAGGGGCGGGACTGGACCGGACTAGACTGACCTCTTCGTGTAGCATCTTCCAGGAGCGCTATGTCTACGGCATTGGCGGGCAGGTGGACATATCTCACGACCGAGCCGCGGATAAAGACGTTCTTGACGGAGCTCTGTGGTTTCGAGCGTGAGCGATAGATAGTAAATTCAGGACACGTCTTTCCCACGCGTGAGCACTGTTTCTTCCTCGACCGTTTCCATCCACACTGCAGCGAGAATGGCACAGGTGCAGTAACAGCCAGATAGATAGATGGCTGAATGAGTGGACAGACAGATAGTAGGCAAGGAAGGGGCACACATCAGGGCAAGATAACACCGGATACGCGAGGACTGTGTGACTTACTAGGTGCGGGTACTTGATCTCCTCGACGACCTGGATCTCGTCCAGCTTGATGTTGAGGTACTGGTCGACGCTCTTGAGCGTGCCACGGATCTGGATGTCGTTCTTGAGCTCGACCGTCACCTCGTGGTCGATCAGGGTCTTGAAGAAGCTGTCATTGGCGCGTGGGATGTTAGCTATGGCCCTCTTCTCTTCTCCCTTCTGCTTGGGTTTTCTTTCTTGGATACAGCTTGGCTTTGACCATGTGGCGGCGACAGAATTGCTTGATGCGAATTGATGATGGGGGGGTATACAAAGAGCTTCCGAGTCGGGGGCTTGTTAGATGAGGGGATGATGAAGCAGTGGAGGCCGCCGGGCTGGTGTTGCGATCCTCAGAATGTACATAGGCAGTAAGTATCCAGCGAGTGGTATATTCAAGCTCATCAAGGACCCGCCCCACGGTGGACAGCAAGACAGCATGCCTCGCAGCAGCGTCATGTGACGGCAATCCAGCTACCCATGATCGGATAAAGAGAGGATAGTCAGGTGACATGCGAACAGACTTCCGTTCTTCTCATATGTATATACGCAGGCACACCGAGGCTCGTGGGCTTCTCGGCTTGCGGCCCTTGTGTGCCCCTTGTGTTTTCGCAATTCCCGGCCGCCACCAAGAGGATCCACTTAAATCGAGAAGGATAGGGAATTGAGCGCTTACCTGAAGAATAACATCGTGCCAGCAGATACGCGTCTGAGGTTGATGGAGAAGCTCGTTGATCGTGATGCGCCGCTTGGATAATTGAATGGGTTGGTGTCTTGGTCTGTCTGCACCTTAGCTACGAGAGTGGGTCTCGCCTTGTCCTTGGCACCTGTCACGTGAGCTCTTCTCGTTGGGGCGGCACTCGGGGGCAATCGACGTCGCCTTCAATGTTTGGAACTGCCCACCAACAACATTGAACCTTTATTAGGTACTACCTCCCGATCTACGCGTCGCTTTCAACATTCTAGCTTTCAACATTCTACAATACGCATCGCACATGATTCTCTCTCGATATAACAATACTATAGACGCATTGGAAGTCATTGATTGGTGTTGGTACGTATCTGTTCCTACATCCGGCGACGGACAACCATTGGAAAAGTCTACCCTCGATATCCTGGTGCACAGACTAGTTGCGCACCAAACCTCCTTTCCAATTTGGATGAGCCTGTTGAAGTCTGCTGTGTTCTGTTCTTTCCGCACAGTGTGTTTGCGTCTCGACGCCCTCTCGCCCTCTCGCCCACCGGCATAATCTTGGTAGCCGGACCTGCCTGCCCCAACATGTTGGACACTGAATCGAAGCATTGGAAAACAAAGTGTTGCCGAAACTGCAAAGTGTAGGGGGTATCCTTCCGTTCGACTCGTTTCATCCATGCTATCACCACCTGAGTACCCTATGGCCCATCCCACCGAGTTCCCGCATATGCATCCGACATTGAAAGGGGAAATAAGAGAAAAGTATCGCGCGGGCGATGGAGAAAATGTTTAACAAAACACCTTCGAGAGCGAGTGTCCTGGCGCCCGCCGATGTGCCACTAAAAACCTCCGAGCACTCCGACCTATACCAGTCAAACCCAACTTGTTCTGGCCCATGAACCCCTTGAAAAGCAGTATAAACTCAACGCTCCATCGTGCAGCATGACCTCCTACCATGCTGTCCCCCTGCCACGCAGGAGAACCGCATACGAAATGGTATAGGTGGGAGAGAATCGTCGTGGTCGTAACGTCATAACAGCTTACAAAACAAAGTATAGCGTGTGCCGATCGGCAGGTTTTAGCTATCGTCCTCGGCGTCATCGTCTTCATCTTCGTCGGGGCTGCGCGGCTCAATTTTCGCCTTTTTATTGGACGCAGCGGCATGTGATTGAGACTTCCTCTTCGAACCGGCCTTGTTGGGCGGCGGTTCGATGGGACTGCTATCCTTGTCGTCGCCTGAGCCCTTCGTTCGTTCGATCTCTGCTACTTCTTCGGCGGTCAAGAACCGTCCACCAGGGCCCCGGGGACGTCGCATTGCGTGATTATGTCGCGATTCGTGCAGATACGGCTTGCGACCCTTGCTGGTGAGGCGCAGCGCCTCTTCAAGCCGCTGTCGTGCGACACGTCTCTTCAAGATGCGGTGGAACTGTTTCGCATTGACATATAGGGGCGACTCTTCCACGCCCGCTGTCATCTCTGGTGACTGTGGCTGCTGCATGGATTGTGCCGGGGGCATCGGGGGAGGTGCGACGGCCGAGCGAGGGCCGTTGTGGCTCATCATAGGTGCATTCGGGACTCCAGGGCTGGTAACCTGGCTCATGCGCCGGCCGGGCAATTGGTTGACGTTCATCTGCTGAGGTGAACGGGGATCCCGGGAATCCTTCTTGGCCCCGGATGCCATCCTCGGCGAGCTCTGCGAGAGGCTTGGATCCGAGGGCATATATCCTTGATAGCCGGTTCCACCGGCTGCAGCGGCGGTCGCAGCCATGGCAGCGGCCTGGATCTGAGGTACGCCATAGTGCATGCCCTGCTGGGGCACGCCATACTGCGTCTGGTACATGTTGTGTCCTTGTCCGGGCGCCGAAGATTGATGTTGCGAGGGCAGAATTGGCGAGGTCTGGACGTTGTGCTGGTGTATGCTGTGACTCGTGGGAGAGGTGATGTTATTCCCAGCGCCAGAACTCGTGTAACCAGAGTGCGCCGACGGTGGAGGTTGCTGATATTGCGCGTAGTCCATCATTATTGGAACCGGAAAGCGCACGGGGCGGCGTGGATGTTGTGGTACCGAAAGCTGATACGTCTCTTATCGCGAGTCGGAACAGAGACAACACGTCTGGGTCCAACAATGTAATTCGGAGTCCGACTGAAGGCGTCGAGGTTCAAGATCTACTATCCTTTCAAGGCTCGTAATTGAGACCTTGCAAGGGCTGTACTAAGCCGGCCTGATGTCTAGAGATAGAAGGCTGGATGGCTGGCCGCAGTTGGGCACACGCGTTGAGATGCTCCGTCACTTGGGTAGCCGCGAGTAGGCTGGTTGTGCACCCAATCTATTGGATATGCGTGGATGAGTTGGCACTGGATGATGTGGTAGGTGCACGCAAGTGGCCGCAACACGGCATATGCAAGACGAATGTAGGTCGCGGGGCGGATTTCAGGGTGGTTCAGATCCTCTGGTGAAAGCGGGACTGAACGACCACGTGAGATGTGGGAGACGGCGTGAGGCTATCCAGTGCAGTGCTGGAGACGGGCCTGTAGCAATGATTATGCGAGAGCGGTAACCTGGCGAAACAGCTCGCGAGATCTTCTTCCCCAGAGCTATTCGAAAGGGCTATTCGAGTGTGGAGATCTATCCAACCAAAGCATTAGACTTGCTATCCTTAGTATATATGAAGGAGCTCGGATGATGTGAGGGGGTGGAGGGGTGAGCAGGCGTCCTCGTTTTTCGTGCTGGGCCACCACTTGATGCGCTGGCATGCATGACGGAATATGCAGGAAGCAGGCCCCACCCTGTCAAGCACCTCAGCGACAAGAAGAGACCCAACTTGTCGTCCAGCGGTGGCGCAGGGCGAGGCCTGCTCGATGCCAGCTAGACCTTGCCAAATGTGTCTGACGACATGGCCAGAGCCGGACTGTCTGAATCCCAGATGAGGTGACGAGACATTTCAAGGCTGCGGCATGGGCAATGGCCAAGAAGCATATGCAGTTCTCAGACACATGCGAGGCAACGTATGGGCAGCTCGTCTGGGGCGAGATGGTGAGGTGGTGGTGGAGCACTAGCCACACCAAAGCACCAAAGGCGGGAAGTAGGTGTGCGTGAGTAAGAGAGACCACGAGGGAAAAGGGAAAGGGCCGAGGCGAGTTGCGCAAGAACGGATAGTTGGTGCCCTGGGTGGACGAGTTTGCGACTAGAAGAGGGTGCACCGATCACCCCTCTTGCCGTAGTGGGCGAAAAGCAAGATGGTGGGGTGACGGAGTAGTGTGTGAATGTATCGTTGCAAACGGGCAGATGGGAGGACGGAAGCAGTTTGGGAGGTGTGGTGGGTGTGGATGTGAGGAGTAGTAGGGGGCATATGCGTACCTCTTTTTGACGAGATCCCGAGTGCTTGGGTTTCCTGCACAGGGTTGCCGAACTGACGGAACTGGGCCCTTCTTTATGATTGACGTTAGCAGGCCATCAGCTTGGGACGCCAGCAACTGCGAAGATTGGAAAGCAGGGGAGTATAGTCAAATCAGACAAATCGCTAGGTCATCTGTGTCTGTTGGTTGATGCGGCAGATGGTGGTAGCATATATGGCAGCTAGCCACATCTCACATAGTAATGTACAGCCTGCGGTAAGGCCGTGACGACGCCGATACGGTAATGGGGATAGCTGGCGGTACGTATATGCCGGGGTGTGGTGGTTCGGGGGGATGGGGAGTTGGGGAGTTGGGCGTGCAGGTCGATGTAATGCGCTGGTAAACTTACCAGAGGAAAATGTCGCGCGTCAGTCGAGGAGCACCGACGAAAGACGAAAGCGCTGCGATGGATCTGATTAACAGATGCAGGCTTCTTTAAGGTAATTGTCGTCCGCAGACAATCCTAATCACCTGATGGCAGGTAGAACCAATTATGGTAATGAGGTTGGACCTGGCGACGATGATAGGTCTCTTTCGCTTGTCGCGAAGGGGTCGATATTCAGCGGGCGTAAGAGAGCTTGTTGATTTGCTGGTGGGAAGTGGATTTCCTGCTGCCTTTTTTGCGCTGGGTCGCTGACTGGCTGGATCTGTTTCGTCCTGGCACCCCGTTCAGTACCACGTCAAAGGAAGAGACGGGAGGGGAACAAAGACACGGGAGGGGAACAAAGACACGTGAGGTTGCGCGATGAATGTTGAAGTTAAAGAGAACAAGTGTAACGCGCCGTACCTCTACGATTGTCTCCGCGAGAATTGTTTCAAGTGCCAGTTGAGAAAGGGTTTGGGTGGTGGGAGTGCGGTGAGGTCGCAGGCACGCGTCGCATAAAAGTGAGAGGTTGAGTTGTGCGTTTTTTGCAAGGCAGGGAGTTTCGATAAAAAATGGCTGACTTGTGAACCCTGGTGCAACTTGACTCGTCTTTACCTCTGACGCGATTTGGTCTGATGAGATCAGATCAGATCATGTAGGCGCATATACACATTCACTGATGAACGGTACCTATACTGCTGCTTGCTGCCGTTGATGGATGCTGATGCTTGATGCTTGATGCTGATTGTTGATAACGATCCGAGCTTTTTGGCGCGCCAGGCTGCGGCTGTTGTCCCAACTTCCTACTGTCGCGGTCAGATAGTGAATGGATGCAGACGGGGCGGATAAATTAGGCGACGAACAGACGTTGACGGCTCGCTGTGATTTGACGAGGGCTTAAGTTTCAGAAAAGAGACTTTGGGGATTGATTCCCTCGGCGCTCTTTCTTGTTGGATGAAAGGAATTGATTCGATGAAGAGTTGTGAGTGGTGGACCGAGGATGGAATCGATGGATTGATTGGTGAGAAATGGGCAGAAGCGAGTAAAAAGCGAGGAAGGAGGGACCGAGGGGGGCGTCAGAGACCCAGAGGGGGGCAGAGGGCAAGAGGGGCGGTAGCGGCGAGGCGCTTTAATCATTTAATGGGGCCGTTGGAAATCTTCGATGGGTACAGGTGGGCTCCAGCCAGCAGGCCAGCCAGTCCGCAGCACAGTGGCCAAGCTCCGTGCTCCGTGCTGCCAGCCTGCCTGTGATGACCTCGGGAGTGATGACCTAAGCTCCATCAGCTGACGTACCTACCTCAGCACAAGATGAATTGCAGCCACGTGAACATTGATAGGCGGTTATTCCAGCGCTCTTCACCGCTGTAATGCTGGCTGACCACAGGCAATATCGTACAAATCATTATGTAGCCTGCTTTTTGCCAGCAACATACACCCATACTTCCAAGATTTGCAGATTCCCTACTGCCACGGTCCTAGCTACCTCTCTTGCTGCCGTCCCTCAGTCCATCAATCCATTGCATATGATTTTCGCTATATGCCTACTTCGCCAGCTCAAGACAAGATGCAGTAGACTGGTGCTCCCCATCATGACCGGAAGTACAAAGCAGCTCGGTCGCCGCTGTTACCAACACCCAGAACACCCTGGTCTTTTCAAGTGCCAGCTCCACTTGCTCAATGTGGCGATATCTTCTGCTTCCCACCCGGCTGGTTGGCTGGCAGGCTGGGCTGGTTGGTTCCAAGCTTGGTCTCTCTTCTTTTCCCTATCTGTCTCTCTCTGCCACTGCAGAAACCACTGAACACCGACAATCATCTCTTCAGCGCCGTCCACTTTGAGATTGCACTTCTTGCCTTCTTGGTGTTTGCTCTTGTTTGCCAGTGCAGACAACCCGGACATTAATATGACCAAGATGCTACATTACTGTCTGCAACTGCTGCACCGATATCACAATCAATGCCGATGACCCTGTCACCGGAGTGGACATTGCCATTGGTTGGTGAAATGCTTCTGCAGGATCGAGGTTGGTGGCTGGAGGGCTCTTCAGCCCCCCTCCAGCACACAGAAGGCAACTTCGTACAGTGAGCACGGCACAGTGTCGCATCCAGACACTTCTCGCGGGCTTCTCGCGGGCTTCTGTGCAGTGTGATCTCGGCCTTTGCGTGATATTCGGCGGGGGTTGGGTATTATTCAATATTGTCGGGGTTGGCTTTCCAAGGACGGCACAGTCAAGCGGCTAGCCCTATGCCTGCTCCCCTGCTGCCCTTGCCTCTTCCCCGCCCTCGATTCATGAATTGCAATCTCTCTTTGATTATGGGAATTACTGCAAGAGGAACCTCGGCGGCTACCGACTCGTGTGCATGATCATGAGGATCGCGGAATGTGGCACCAACGTTACTCTCCCGAGGCCCAACCTGGAGCAGGTTGATGTGGCAGGTGTGCTCCCCCAAATCTGGATTCGCAGTGCTGTCCAGATCGACAGTAGCAGAGCAGGCCAACAGGGCCACATGACGACATGCTCGAGGCTCCGTCGCGTCGAAATCAGAGATGCGATGCGAAGTCGAAACCCCACGACGCGACGACTTGATGAACAAGTGTCGAGTTGCGAGTTGCGAGTTGCAAATCCAGCACCATAATAAGACCGTTTTGCCTCCCGTCTGCTAAGCACTTCATACACAGGCGCAGATCAGAGGACCCTGTGATCCCTCGGTCCGGACAGCATTGGAGTCAAGACATTCGAGTTCTTATGCGCTGCGGAGAGGCTGTGCCCGTCCGTCTGGACCTCGTTCAGCGACCCAATCAGAGAGCAGGGGACAACGGTACTGCTTGCGGAATCCTGTCAGAGCAGTCAGAGCTCAGACCGAAAGAGTGACCATTGGCAGGAATCAAGGGATATGGAAACAATAATGGACCAGTCACATAATTCATCGCCATCCATGGCCTTGTCGAATTTCCGACCATTCACAGGAGCACCTCACAACTCAGATGTCAACGGCCACGACCACTGACCAGAGTATCTGACAGACTGACAGATCGAACTTGGTAGCCAGTAACCTGACTGATGATGAGTCACGCAGTCGCGGCGTGCTGTCTTTGCATCAAACATGAACGGTCCGAAACCTACCCTTGACGTCTCTCGACATCGCCAACGGCTAAGTGCAGCAGCAGGTTTACATCCAGGCTGCCGTCTTGGACAGACAGACAGACAAGACAGTAAGCGTTGATGCAAGATTGGTTACACCGACTTTTCGATATTCGCAGC